AAGTGCCGGCTGTCATGCGGCGTTGTCGAATGGACGCAACTTGAGCCTGAGCATTGGTGAAGTGCCAAGCATTCGAGAACGACGTGGCCAGGTGAGGACCAAGATGCTTCAGCGAGTTGGTTAGGTTACGCGGGTATGGGACAATGGGCGACAGTATCGACAGAATCGCAATAGGAGCTTTCCGAACAAAACCTTCTTTGTTCAGCGATGTCGACATGGACTGTTCTGATTGCCGTCTTGTCATAGGTGGCATTTGCGACGGCGTAGTAGTAGCCGGTGATGCCATCTCTTGCGATAGGATAGGATGTATCAGCGGTATGTGCGTGACTGTGCTGGCTCTGTCAACGCCGATAGCCTCAACCATGCCATATTGTGTGTAGTCTTGCGGCGAACGGGAGGGGTTGAAAGTCTCCTCGTCAACGTTGCCCGTGGCGAAGAAGGGATTGGCGTCAGCGTCATTCTGAATAGCTGGTGAAGGAGCGGGTGATTGTGCCCACGGTGAGCTCGGGTATTGCTCGTACTCCTCGTAACGTTGCGGCAGACGGGGATCGTTGGTTGCTAGATTAGCTCGGCCACGGGCAGCAGCAGTTTTCTGGGCTTCTTGTGCAGCAGCACTGCCCTGTATTGCAGAGGGTTTGGGTTGATCCTGCTTGTCCTTGCCTAGGTCTTCTTTGGATGTTGCATGCGAAGTCGAGTAATCCCTAGTAAGAGTGACCAGACGTCCTCTCTCCAAAACACGGTTGACACCTGTGTTGTCGATGAGGGCATCTGGTTCATGATCAAGAGCTCGAAGTACATGGTACACAGCACTGGGTGGCGATGGTTCTCCCACACTGGAGAACTCTGGATCGCTGAAAGTAGGACCGCCTGTTGGAGTTGAACCAGCAAATGCAGGAGAGGCGCCGTCAAACGAAGCCTGGGAAACCTGTCTCAGTGGATGCTCTGGCCTCGCCGACATGTGGGGTGCATGGCTGGCCGCCCTCATCGGACCTCTTGGTCGGGTAAGCGGGGCTGGTGTTGGGGTATCTGGCGATGTGTTGGATCTCTGGCGTTCGTGGCCTGCGAAGGAGTGATGGGAGAATAGCTTCGGTCTGCGCTCCGGGATCATGGTGGCTGGTGGCATATGTGCATGTTCATTTTCACGCGAGCCTGACTCTTGTTCCGATGGAAAGTGAGTGCCTGTTGCTTCCTGGTACGTAGCTGCGAGGGGACTTCCGTTGTTGGTCGTGGCAGTGAAGCTAGTCTTCTGCCCCCACGGCACATTCTCAATATCAGACGCGTCCGCCGGCACTGCCAAGGTCGCTCTTTCTGCGCCGTAGTGATCACGCATGATGGAAGTCACAGCTGTCCACCAAGCAGGAAGACCAGGCTCGGCACCTAGGCGCAATACAATTTCGTAGAGATTGGGACTAGGGAATCGCGGGTCCTCTGCATCTGGGCTTTGGTAATGTCTCCCTCCTGGGGCAAAAGGCGTACTCGATGCGGCGGGGGTGCTGCTCTCGGAAGCAATGCGCTCTTGCGGGGCTGCGTACTCTCGCGATTGGCCGGCAGCTACAGTAGGTGACAGGTTGGTGAAGGGCATGTGGAATGCCGAAGCCCATCTTGGCGTGTTTGGGACGGAGGGGAAAGGATACGACGGGGTGCGGACGGCATGGGCGGCGGCGGGCGTAGGTGGCATGCTGCCGCGAATGGTTCTTGCCGATTCCGTGGACTCGGTCGACGTGGTAAGGGCCGTAGGTAGCGGGTTTGGGCTTGGTGTAGGGCTGCTAAAGGCTCCCTCGAGGGTGGGCGAGATGCCGGGCACAGGCTCTTCCTTGATGGGCGATATGCGACGGGACCCCAGGGCCTGGGCTTGGGCATTGCTGGACGAGGAGCGCAGACGGGCGCGCTGCTGTTGCTGCTGCAGCATCTTGAGCTGCAGGCCGCGCAGTCTCTCGACTTCCATCTCGTCGGGCGAGGCCTCGCTCAGCGGCGCATCCTCTTTGTCGTCGGCCGGCTGGCTCTCGGGCTCGCTCATTTCCGTGTCGGTGGCTCCATCGTCGCTGCGTTCGCTCGTGGGGCGGGTCTGAGGCGAGGATTGCGACGTGTGCGACTGGTAGGGCTTCGCGTCGCTGGCAGCCAGTCTTTGCAGTGGCGGGCGTGCGGTGGGTGGCGTCGCGGTCGGCTCTCTCTTGGAACTAGGAGAGGGTGACGGGGCCTTTGTCATTATTGCATTCCCCAGTCTCCCACGTCTTGCGCAAGTGGTGTCGTGATGGGGTCGAGGATATAGGGAGCATAGATGGGATGGTGAGCTATGACGTCGCGGCGGGTGCTCCTGGCAAGAATGGACGGTGTAGAGGCCTCAGCACCATGGACAACTCAACAACTAACAACAACAACACACGACTATAGGACCACCGGTGGTACTGAGGCTATCGTTGCGTGTGCCCGTCAAGGCCGAATCCCCCCGGGGCGCAGGCGACAAGCTGGGAGTGCTTGGTGAGTAAGAATCAGGTGGTGGGCACATATGCCAGGATCAGGAGCAGGATAGCCTCGCGCCCGTGGGCTGAATTCAACACACACGCCCGCACACACTTACAGAAACGACGAGGCGGCGCTCACACTTGGGGACGCGTTGGACAAAAGCAGTTTGGGGGAATCGTGGATCGCGTAAATTGATGAGTCCTGGCGCGGGAAACCGTCTTGCTCCTTTCTCATTACAGCCTCTCCCGCTTGGACGAAATTGATTGTTGGCAGAGAACCGCCCTTCGCTATGATCGAGTCTTGGCGCTCGACGTCATCAGGGACTGTAGTAGCCGCGCCTCCGGGTGCCTAAGCCGAGTCTGACTTTCGACGCCCAACCACCGCGACCACCACACCGCACTTGCAACAACCTTCCGCGGAAAATACTCATCGCGATCTCGTGAATCCCACTTGTAGCAGAGTCGCGCTACCTGCCCCTGCCCCGACCGCTTCTCGACTCGTTCCAGAAGTGCTACTTTTCAGGTGGCTGATAACTAACGGGATGCCACGTTGTCCCAATTGGCTGGGTTCCCCTGCAACGCGTCAGTAACAGTTTCCTATGTGTCCTCGATCCGGCTTAGCCCAAGTGTGCCAGCCGCGAAGACGCTTGCCGCACCAACGCTCTCAAATCGTGAACTAGAGAGCCTCATTAGCGATATTGCTGACCCTCACTCGATTGACGTCTTGAATACGCTATCCCGCAAAATTTGGCCGTTCTGTCAGTGCTCGGTCCGAATGCACGCCAGCCTACAAGTAGCCAGCATGGAACCACAAGTGGTGTCATTATGCCCAAGGGCGGACCACCCGCCTGGATCTTGCAGTCCGCACTAGGAAGCCTCAGCGGCTTTGGCGCTTCTATAATTCTAGCACTGGCGCTTCTACAATTCTAGCACTGGCGCTCTACATTTCTAGCACCTGTCAGGCGAGACACAGTAACAGAGAATGCCAAGAGCTGCCATGCGAGACAAGATGTCGTCTACAACTCCAACAAACTCTAATTGTCACCTGAACTGCGGGTACCTGCCTCACGTGCGAACACCACACGTACCCACCACCATGCCCTCTCAACGCTCGGCATATGGATCTTGATATATGGACCTTGATATCAGTTAGCTTACCTGCCCCAACCATGGCCACTATCCCACTATCCCACGATCCTGCCATGTCCGCGAAATACCGCAACTCCTTTCCGAGCTTCGGAAATATGTTCCCTACCAATCAACGTCAAACGGTTCCAGGTCGGGTACCTTACAGCGATTGTCTCCAACAAATACAGATCTACAGGCAATCGCAGTATCAACACGCCACAGCCGTCGTCAGTCACGTCGATCTTCAAGGGAACCACTGCTCCGTGGAGCTCGACATCTGTAACAACCACGAAATGCAATCGCCGATCGGATCGAGGATCTTCGCCACCGTCAGATGAGGCCGATCGAGCCCTGCTCACACTCCAGCAGTCCGAGACCTGGCACTGTGAACTATCAAACAGGTTTCAATCATAGTCAATGACTGATAAATGTGGCCTACTAACAAGTATTGACGCAAAGCACAGCATAGAAATCTAGTGTTGCGATCGACTACCGCTATCGATGCGGGATCCAACCTCATGCCACAAACAGGAGTAAATCGTCTATTTGCTGCCAGCCTCGGTATTGATATTGGCACCAGCACTAGCCACACAAAGATCCAATACCACATTTCCCCTGAACTCTCCGCCACAGCTCAAACTCGGCTCTCCGTCCCTCGTTCGCTGAAAGAAATATATCTTACACCAATCGTCTTCGTTACAGTCGATCGGCTCACAGATGTCACCGTCGCAGCTCTCCTCTGCTTTGAACGATACTCTTAGCCCACCCTTGTATCCGGGACATAAATCAACTTTGTGCTTCCTGTCTTCGGCCGACATGGACTGATCCGTAATTTCACGGCGATTTTCGGTGTTGAAACCGATGCCATAAAGCAAGGCATGGTCAAGCGGATCAGCGCAGTCAAGGAGCGAGACATCGTAGTTGAGTTTGTGGTAAGGTAGCTCGTCCAGCGGATTCTGCACAAGCGCGTATTCAAACTGCAGAGCCTCACTCAGATTTGCAGCAGTGAAAATCTTGAGTGAGACACCCTGGCCACGCAGTTTGTCATAGTCTGCACAGTATTCTTCTGCGCCCTCAACATTGGGGCAGGTGACACGAAAGGATTCATTATAACTTGCTCCAGATGCGATGGTGTGTTGAATGTTTTCTTGCCATGCGTTCCAACTGCCGTTGTGTGAAGCAACAATTGGGCTTGTGTCGTCAATTTTGGTCCTGTTTCCGCCAAGCGGCCAGGCACCAATGGATAACACTACCAAGTCTTCACTGCAGCCGTTGTTGATGACAATTTTGCCATATTCTGGCCCAACCTCAGCTACGATTGACTCCATGGGAGATGTCGGTGACACATCCGACGCAGCTGCACTTACACCAACAGTGCTAAGGCTAGATGGCAACAGGCTTTCCGAAGCCATGGCTGGAGATGCAGAACCTGCAAAAGATGTTTCGGTCGTGCTCATCGACGAGATGCTGCTAAGCGCCGAACTCACAGGCATGTATCCCACAGTTGCCGATCCAGAACCTAGAGGTCCCGAATACGTAAACGGTATCGACATGAGGACGAAGAGAAGCAGAAACCACTCGATGATTCCGAAACCCATCCTAGTCGATGACGAATAGTTTGCGGTATAGTTCTCGCTGCTTTTATATTATGAAACTGATAGAGATGAGTAGTGGATAGATGGAACTTGTGCTGTGCAGAGGACTTCAGGGAAGATGGTGTATGTATGAATGTGAAAGCGAGCGCGATAGTTGAAGCATATTTGTATTTAATGACATGAGTCTTCGGTGATGATTTGTAAATATGCTGGAAGTGACTGTTGCTGTTTACCGAATATCTACTTTGACTAGTATTGTGACTACATCTCGCGCACCGTTATGAATCTTCGCGACTCCGTGCATGAGAGTCACAAACATTGGAAATTCTTATCATCATACAGCCCGGGCCGCGTACGCGACCACGACATTTTCATCCATTTGCATTGCTTGTATAGCGTGACATCCATTGTGTCGTTCTGTACCTCAAAACTGGCTCGAAACGTTTTAAGTCGCCAGAAAGGGCTGCATGTCGTGCCTCTCGATAAGATGGCATGCGTAGATAGAAGCCAAGGAAGGTTGAACTGCAGGGTGTAGCACTGTAAAACAGCTGTCACCAATGTAAAGGCGTAAAATGATGTCATAAGCGGCGTCTTAAGCTTGTCACAGCCCTTCCAACCACACAACTGCCCCGCAGTGCGGCCCGCCTGATCGTCCACCTTCCTGTATTCGGCAACATCTGCCTACGGCGCCCTTCACGTGAATCGTGCCTGAAGCCTTGAAGACTATATCAATAACGATGCTGCTGCTTCACAGCACATAGGAGACGGGCTGCCCATCTTACCTCGATTTTACAGGTACATGTCCGCTGCACCGCACAGTATGACCGCCAACCTCGACACGCGTCGCATTCGATCTGCCACACCCGCTGAGCTCCGGGATTACTACAATCAGATACTGAAAGATGCACCTATTGGAGAAGTCACAACGCAGCTTCTTCAAGTTGTCGAGAGTGGCTCAATACCCCCAATAACCTTCGCGCCATGGCTCGGCGTAGCAAAATCGCCTTCCGTTATCCGCGAAGCACTTACGCAAGATGTCTCGGTACTGATTCGCAAGTTTGCAATCAAGCAACTTCGTAAATCGCTTTGTTCTTCGCGATGGAAAGAGACGTGGGAGGGGATCGGAGGTACTGCGGGGGTGCTTGACATCTTTGCGGGCCTCTCGGTGCTCGAGGTTAGATCAGCTTGTACAGCAATTGGCAGTTGCGGCAAAGGTACGGATCTGGATGAGAAAAGAGAGCTTTTCACGCAGTTATACAAGGCACTGCACCCTGATCGATTCCCGGATTCGCCACATAAGACAAAAGACAAGCGCGCACTCGGACGATTCTATGCGTCCCTCATTCCCGCATGCTCGGCAGACCTGGTGGCGGAGGCTATTATGAGCGGCTTTAAAGGAACATGGAAAAATACGCGGGGCAAATATGTCATAAAATACTATCCGGAGTATATGCAGAAAGAGATCCTCCAGTCACTCGGTGCAGAGGAGTCATCTCCCGTTGACATCTCGACCTTTCGAGGTCTATTGCATCACTATCCACCGGTAAAGTCGACTACAACAGGGTTCTCTGAATCTATGGAATTCTCTTTGATGGTTCTTGAAACCCTGAGCAATTCACCGCGTCGCGTAGTAGAGGATAGAGTTTTCGTCGACCAACTCGTCAATCCTCTCTTGAAACGCGCTATCAAGAACCGTACAGACTGGAGCATTACACAACGAATCGTCAACCTTACAATGCATTATTTAGATATGCATCCAATCAAGGGAGGCCAGCGATCTGGCCTCCAGGTCGACTTCCTCCAGCAAGTTGCCTTTTGTTGGTCACAGCAACCAAGTCTGTTCGAACAGCAACTACGAAGGATCTGCTCTCATCCAGTATTTGGCACAGTCAGCAAGACTGCAATTGGAGACTGGGATAACGTCCTCACCGGAATCCAAGCAAAACAAAGCTACCCACTCTTGAGACTCTGCTACCAAGCGTCTACGTCGCTTGATCTGGACAGCGACGAAGACCTTGCAAAGACAAAGGGCTCAATTCATCCCGAATTCTTTTCTAATATGTCCCCGGAAGATTCTCTTCTACTATTCACTCGTTTGCGAAGAGTCAGAGGAGACACAGATCTGATCTACTTGGGTTATGGTGGTGGCTCCATCTTCAGCTTAGCGTCTACCTTTGACGGTTCTAGCGGTGACCCAAATATTATCCATATCTGGCTACTGAACTTAAACAACAAGGAAGAAGAGGCCAAGACTATGGCCAAGGAATACATCGATATGCGCAAGAAAAAGGCCGCCACTGCGTCTCAACCTGACCAGCGCGCTTTCTTCGCCAAGTCAGCGATTTTCGCGACCATAGCCTGTGGATCACTTTGGATGCTGCAACATACGATGAAGTGGACCAACCGTTTCTTGGGCGATCCGACTGTGATTCGTGAAATCAACCTACAAGCGTCTACTAATGAAGGAGTACGTTTGCTTTCAGGCGTTCCTGAATTGATCAACAAACGTTTGAGCCTGACAGAGCTGCAACAGCGGGTATACGCAGCAAACTCGATTCTACAAGACATGTTTGATACAGCCTGCGAAGCCCTCAGGCAGCCATCGTTTCAAGCGTACAATTGGTATGGCGTTTTTGAGTTATTCTATCAGGTCATCAAATTGCGAATCGATCTCACACCGATGGTCAAGAAGCAGCTCGACGCTTCTGACGAGGATGTACTGACAAATCTTTGGGCTGATACGATCTCGATGGTCATTGCGGTTGAGGAAAAGGCGCAGAAAGATGGTTACGAAAGACTTCAGGCGAATCTCTTCCGCGGCATCATTGCCTATAATAAGCCCTTCACGTATGAGCTGGAGAGTTGTGATGTATCAACATATGCATTCCTTGATTCCCTCGCTCGTGCGAGAGACGAACTCTGGTGTAGATTGCGCCCATTGACGTACCCTGCTACAGTCACACTTCCTCATCCTTTCCCTCGAGGACTTCCGCTCCAATACCTTACCGCACCATGGACTTTGAACGTGGAGGATCTTAGTAGCGTTGCTCCTTATATCGCATCACGCACTCGACGCACCGTGTTTCCTGACTCGGAGGCTGCTCTCCAACCAGTACCAACGGACAAAGATTCTCAACAGGCCATTGGGATGTTCGTGGACAGCTATCAACATGCTCTGCAACTTTACATACCCAAGGATCGTGACAGAGTCGAGACACAAACCCGTGTTAAGAGAGCATGGGAGTATGCAACCGGTCCTTTGAGTTCCAAGAGAATGGCAGAGGATGAAGCAATACGCTTCTGGAAGGACAAGAAACCACGACTTATGAGTGAGTGGCCGCCTCAGGGTGCAATGAGCACTGTCGAGAAGCCTTGGCCATTGATACCCGACGACGATGGTTCCGGTGAGCCGTGCGAGTGGAATCCCTTTTCGTCGAGACCGGATTTCCCCAAGAGAGAGCTTGATGAGCTCGCCTACGTCGATTTTTCAGTAGGCATATCTGAAAACTCGACCTCAAGACCACCTGTAAATCTCCCCGTCATTTCATCGGCTGAAGTCCCTGCCTACAAAGATGATCCTCGACACATCTGGAGTGACACACGCGGTATGGGTGAAGGCGGCGTCTTGTCGGCTTTGTTGTATCTTGATACGAAATATGTCGGTGATAATCGTCTACTAGCTACGCCATTCCCCTCTACAACAGACGTACGATATCCTTCCCTGTTTTTGGACGACGACTTCCTCAATGCGGACGAGCCCAATCAATACACAGCTGCTAGGGCGATAAGAGGCCATCTCGACACAATACCACCTCTATTGTTGGCGCAATCCTCGCATAACCTTGATAAGGCACTCAACAAGTTTGATGCAGATTCGGAAAAAGAAATCAACGCGAACCCTCACGAGGTTTCGATGGAGCTCATTACACGATTGGGTGAAAGCGATAGGCCCGGTTTGGCCATGCAGTCAGTCATTCGAACAATTCTAGATAGACCAGAGTCGAGCTCGTGGCATCGGAAACTTCTCAAACCTAGTCTTCTCCGACGGCTTCCAGCAGCGCAGGCGGAATACCTCATCGAAGCGTTCACCGATGAGCTCATTCATATGCTTCGAACAAAGGATAAGAACAAGAAGAGTTCAGACCACCAAAAGGTTGCATCAAGTGACAAGTTTCATGTCAAAGTTACTACGCGCAAGATGCTAGCTCAACTTCTCCAAGACTTGGACCTTGTTGGGACGGATTATGCTCTTTCGATATTGCGAAAGCTCTCCAATGTGGATGCACATGTCGACGTCCGGCTCAACGTAATCAAAAGTCTTCTAGCCTTGCTCGAATCTGGCTCTCAAGAGCAATCTCGTGAAGTGTTTACCATCCTGGAATCATTCATACCGCTAGCTGGAGCCTTGGATGAAAGAGAGGCACTAAATGAAGCGCGCTGGGTAAAATGCGAGGAGACTCTGTCACTTCCCGAGCTCCAAGCAGGCATCATGGGAACTTCGAGTTCAGATTCGCCAATCCTGGTCGCTTTGGTCACTTATCTTCGTAGTGGGAAGATCCCGACGACCGAGATTCAGCCTTTCGTTGATCGTATCATGATGCCAATACTGCAAACCCTCAGAGATCAGACAGCGAGATGGGTGGCATTGTTCCTTCGGAAACACGGGTTCGAAGATATATTGCTTGGAGACTTTAACATCCCATCCATTCCACGAGACCCATCGGTGAATAGGACTTTACTTTCCATGGGGACGGAAAGACTGGGTCATATTCCGCGTACTATACTGGAAGAATATGTCACGTATATGTCTTTCAGGGCCGCAATTCCAGCGCCCTTGCAAGCAATGAACGAACGGCTCGTTGCAGACCCAGCACTGCGCTCGCTGCCCGAAGTCGAAGCATGGATGCGACTGTATGGAAAATCGCTCGATGTTCAAAGCGAAGGTACGGATATTGTTGGGCTTTTGGATTATGTTATGGAAGATTCCGAAGACCCTGCCATTACGCCAAAATCCATTCAAGAGCAATTTCTCAAACTGTTCACTGCATTACTTTGGAACGATACGCCAGCTTACACCAAACTCACAAGGCTGTGTGATAGACTTATGCTTGGCGGCTATCTCGGAAGGACGTGGTGGAAGCCATACGGAAAGCCAATCTTGGAGGCGATGGTGTCCTACATAGACACTTTGCGCACGAGAGAGTGGGGACGCGATCCTGCCCGGAACCCATCAGTATTACCCGACACCTTTTCTTGGCGTCTTCGCCTGCTTGATTACCCATGGCCGTCTCTCGATGAGGAGAAAGCATCCCGCGAGGAGAGATGCAAGGTCTTTGCGAGCCAGCTGGTCGCCATCGCTGATGAGTTGAGTAGCCTGTCAATCTATCACAAGCAACTCGATCAGCTGTCTACCTACATCGCTACTGATGCTTCTACGGGTAGCCAAAGAGCAGAGATAAGCAATAACCGCGTCTTGACCGCAGCTTATGTAGGCGACATCAGTAACACAAGACTGAGCTGGTTGACAGCACCGGAGTTGCTGAGGGTCGAGATTGCAGCAATGCTGGTAACGCGGGTGGGCAACCAATTGTGGGAAGCAAACACTACCGTAGATAAGGACATTCGGGGCCGATTAAAGGCGGTAGTGGAGACATGGAAGGCATGTGAGAACGAGGGCGTTAGGAGAAAGGGATGGGAGATTGAAGAAAATTACCTCAAGTAATCTTACGTAGAGAATGGAGCACTTCAACCACGACGGCTGTAATTAGCGGGTTGACCTTTACGTCATTTCGGATCACCTGATGCCGCTCAAGGTTCGCTGGTGGCCTGACTATTCTGACTTCGCAGTCCAGCAAGCTTCGCTTGACCTAGATACTACAACCCACAAAGTGCAACGATGACGGCTTCCGAAAGCGTTTCAGCCTCCGTATTGGAAAGCATCACATTGAGACGGTATCAATGGCCACAGCTCAACGACCGCCAGCCCATTCCTGCATTCTACCGACCACTGATCTTTCTCCTCACTGTCATCCCGTTCTTCTTCCGAAACCGGCGTTGGGTCGCTATCTGCGTTTTCATATTGATTCTCGACCTGTGTCTTAGATCACCAGGTTATACATTCGGCAACCCCTCAGCCGATTACTACAACGGCTCATTCTTCATCGCCGCTCCTCTCTGGTTCCTCGAATTCGCCATTCTTTCCCCACATGAGGGGCCAGACGCCCCAACTTACGTCGGAAATGCAAGCTGCAGCGGTACTGGGAGCAGGGAGAGCTTGGATGTTATGAGACCGACGTGGCGGAAAGTACTCCGTGTGTGTTCGCTCATGGTTCCGTCGCATCGCGGTATCGGTTGGAACTGGCAGGTCAAAGGCGTTCCTGACGATCCATACATATGCCTTCCTAAATGGGCCTTCGTGAGGACGCACATTTGCAAGGCGTCAATAGCGTATGCACAATCCTTGGGAATGCTGGTGCTGCTGGCATGGGGTTCGACCGCGGAGGCACGGCTGTCATCGGGAGCCTATTTGCATCGTCTCATCATCAATATGCTCATTGGCTGGTTCGGTGCAATATGGGTCTTGGGCCGATTAAATGGCTTTTACAGCTCAATAGCGGCGGTTTCCGTCGCGGTAGGAGTGTGCGAGACATGGCAATGGCCACCACTCATGGGAAACCTGAGGGATGCGTGGTCCGTGAGGCAGGTGTGGAGTGTGGTGTATCACCAAACGATGAGAAAGGTAATGCGGAAAGTGATTCTTTATCCAGTCGTCACACCATCTTTGACTTCCGCCACCATCGTACGATATGAGTGACATGCTGACATAAGGGTCTGTTTTAGATCATCTCGCAACCCGCAGTTCGCATAGCTCGCCTTCTGGGTCTCCGCAAGGGCAGTCTCGGATCTGCACTTACTCAGCTATTCATATCTTTCGCAATCACCTGTTTGATACACAAGTTCCAAATGTTCATGGTAACGCGCAGAGACATGGGAGAACTGTCATTTTTCATGTCCCAACCGGCAGCCATTGCTGTCGAAAGCCTTGTGCAATGGGGTTTCAGTCGGATACGGTCCCGAACAGCTGGCCCTGACAATAATCAACCTGCATTGTCAATGTATGCAGGCTATATCTGGGTAGTCTTCTGGTTCTCCGTTAGTCTACCAGTCTACGTGAAAGGTTGCAGAGACGCAGGGATCATCCGTGATGAACTCTTCGGTAGTAGACCTTTCGATGCTGGAGTGCGCTTGGCGGATTGGACTTCTTATTGATGAAGGGCATATCTCCAACCAAATGAGAACATAGAGTGGCAGCTTCAGTAGCTCAATTGAAAAACCTATGACAGGACTGAACCCCGGAAACGATGTATCAGGGTCTAGAAAGTCGAAGGCTGGTAACCCCTGCGCTACTGTGCTGGTAAGAGTTTAGCGGCGGTCTGTGCTGCCAAACGTCATCTTTCTGCGTTCACGTACTCAATCAACACCACACATGCAACTGAGTACTGCAAAGCCTAACTGGAATACGAGACTCAAACTCGCGGTAATGCATCTGCATCTGCTTATCTTAATCAGGAAGATGCCGGGGCTCTCCTACCCACGTGCCCCCAATGGTAACAATGGGTACGCCCCAGAACCTCACCTACCGGCTCCTCCCTGACATACTCCATGCCAATTAGGAGAAGAACCCTTCTTTTACAAGACATCTTGATGCCACAGTGATGTAGATTTATGGCTCAGGGAACCTCTAGACCCTCTCGGGATTATGAACTCATCATCTCCAGTAACCGCAAAGCCAACAAGGACGGAATCTATAAGAGGGCGTCTCCCTACTCTTTGAATTGAACAGCTCAATTGTTCGATACACTCGCTATTCTTTGAAATTCACTCAATAACCAGTAGTCGACCAATATGTCAGGCTGCTCGCTCGTTGCCGCAGGCTTGCCGGCCCTCATTGGGACGGCCACCCCAACCTTCAGCTACGATCAAGCCAAGCATTCATTCGGATCTGGCGATGATTTCGGTATCCAGATGACTTACATGTCGGGTACTTCTACATGTTATTCAGGAACCAGGCCTACCTTCACGCCCATCATCTCCAACCCGGCTCTCCTATACACCCGTACCTGCTCTTACGTCACACAAGGAGTGCCCGCAACCTATACAGGTATCTTCTGTGGAAATGCCGATCTCTGGAACTGGGTCAACATTGGTGCTTACACGCTCGACAACTACCAATTCCTCAACCCATTCGCGGTCACCCCTCGCCCTTTCACAGCCAGGTTCGGCGACCAGCCTGCACCGACCACAGTCGCTACAAACACTGTTGTGGTGACCCAGACTGCCACCAATACTGCTTTTGCTCCCATTCAGCCCGCAGCGACTACTACGGTCACTTCTGCTTCCTCCACTACTACACGTACGAGCACGGCCACTGTTACGACCCCAGTCACCAGCCCTTTCACGCAGACTGTCACCTCGTGTCCAAGGCCTTCAAGCACATCCACACCATTGAGTTCTTCGAGCCCATCTCCTTCTTTAATCGTGCCGTCCTCCTCGTCTAGCTCTGCTGTGCCGGTTGTGTCGTCTTCGTCCTCTCGGGTTTCTACTACTACTGTGGTCGTCGTCTCAACAACTAGGCCATCGCCAAGCTCATCTTCGAGCCCTGCTCCGGTGGCATCTTCATCATCTTCCGTGGCTACCACGACTGTTGTCGTTGTGTCCACCGTCTCCCTAACACCGAGCTCGTCTTCAAGGCCGTCTCCTATCCCATCATCAAGCTCGTCTGCTTCGCCTTCGCCTTCTTCATCATCAGTTGCTACTACAACCCTCACTGTAGTGACTACTGCTACTCCAGCACCGAGCTCGTCTTCGACCTCCTCGCTATCTCCGCCACCTGCTCCTTCGAGCTCATCGGTACTCACTTCCTCGAGCTCACCCGCATCTCCTCCTGTTCCATCATCATCATCATCATCATCATCTTCTTCTTCTTCTTCTTCTTCTTCTTCTTCTTCTTCTTCTTCTTCTTCTTCTTCTTCTTCTTCTTCTTCTTCTTCTTCTTCTTCTTCTTCATCGGTTGCGACTACCACTGTCGTAGTAGTTACTACTGCTACTCCGACACCAAGCTCTGCTTCGACACCTTCGTCGTCATCTATTCCGTCGAGCTCGTCTGTCCGCACATCTTCGAGCTCATCCGTTTCGCCTTCTCCAATCTCATCTTCGAGCTCATCCTCGGTCGCCACTACCACCGTCGTCGTGACTACAGCTACCCCAACAACAAGCTCTACTTCGACTTCATCTTCCTCTCCCATTCCTTCCAGCTCAACCAGTTCAAGCCCTGCATCTAACTCCTCCACTGCTACTTCAGCCAGTCCGGCACCCTCTTCGTCTACTCTATCTTGCCCTGCAAGCAATGGCGCAACCTTCAGCACGCCTCAAGGAAACTTCATCGTCGAATGCTTCGTCGACCGCTTCAACAATGACATTGGCGTTGCACCAAATAACCCTGCAACCTTCGAGCAATGTATTCAGGCTTGTGCGAGCACTTCAGGCTGCCAGGATGTCTCTTATCTGCCCAACGGTCCATGTTATCTGAAGAATGGTCTTGGTGCACCCAACTCCAACAGCAACGTCTGGGGTGCTAGGATTGCATCTGTACCTGTGTCTTCATCCCCAGTGGCATCCACATCTTCCGCAAGCTCCTCCTCTTCTGCTTTCGCTACTACCACAGTCGTTAGTACCACGGTAGTTACTGCTGCCTCCTCTTCCAGCTCTGCTGCCAGCCCCGCCGCTAGCGCTTCATGCCCTGGCTCCAATGGCTCAACTATCACTGCCAATGGTAAGCAGTACCTTGTCGAGTGTGGTTCTGACTACACGGGCGGAGATATCCCAGGTCCAATGAGCCCAACCTACCCAGGCTCCTACGAGGGTTGTTTGGCAGACTGTTCTTCCACTTCGGGCTGTGTCGCTGTCAGCTACGTCATAGGTGGCCCTTGCTATCTGAAGAACGCGGTCAACGGTGCGAGGAGCAACTCCAACATCATCGGTGGACGATTGGTTAGCACTATCTCAAGTTCGGCGGCACCCAATTCTTCAGCAGCACCCACTTCGTCCTCTGCGGCTGCTTCGTCCTCTGTGGCTGCTTCGTCCTCTGTGGCTGCTTCGTCCTCTGTGGCTGCTTCGTCCTCTGTGGCTGCTTCGTCCTCTGTGGCTGCTTCGTCCTCTATGGTTGCTTCATCGTCTGTTGCTACCTCCTCTCCCATTACCTCATCCTCTTCAGTGGCCGCCACAAGTTCTGCACCAATCACTTCGGCTGCCCCTGCTCCTGGACCCTCGACCGTTACTGTTACCACGACTATCTCGAACACGGCGTACCAATGCTCATGCACGCCTACCAGTGTCTTCAGTGTCTCATCGAGCGCCCCTGCTCCTAGCTCAACAGGTGCTGTCACTTGCCCGGGCTCTAATGGTTCAACTTTCGTGACTTCATGTGGCGCACAATACGCCGTCGAGTGCGCCGCCGATCGTTACGGCAATGATCGTAAGTATTTAAACTCTGCTTCCTCTATGCACATCAGCTAATATAGTGTACAGTTCCGAACGGCCTCGTCTACACTGACACATACGAGCAGTGTCTCCAGGCCTGCGACAGCACCACTGGGTGCGTTAATGTTTCCTGGGTCATAGGTAACCCAGGTGCTTGCTACATGAAGGGCAGCATTGGCGCCATTCGGAACAACTCAAACATTATCGGAGGTCGCAAGCTCTCTGGATGTGTCGCTCTCAAGCTTCACCGCAAGCGCGTTGCGGTTGCTGCCCCCAAGCAGAAGCTTGCGAAGCGTGCTGGTTTCTACGGTCCTGACTTCACATTTACTCAGGATCGCGTCGTTGCGACTGCGACCGGAACTGTCAGGACCACCGTCACTACGTGAGTACTATCCTTTACTTCTCATCATGCAATTACTTACCAACAACAGCACATCCACACCCATCTCTGGTACTGCCACTCAGACTGCTTTCACCGTTGCCTCTGCCACCGTGACCACCACCACAAGCGTGCCAACCACCGTTTACAACATCATCACCGTCACTACATGCCCAACTGCCTCTCCTACCGTCTGAATGGTGGCATCATACTCTGCCAAGATCTTCAACCTCGGTCAACTCTAGACAAGACTTGTAGTGCCTGTCACCACGTGTTAATCTTAACTATCGTCGCTCTTTAGCAAATAGTTTGTCACTCTTTAGTGATGGCAAATCATATATATCACTATTATAGAGATAGTAGATGGTTTAATGAAGTTCTTGCCTCACTGAATCAATCCTCTTATTACAGTGATGAGTAACTACATGCTCCTACGCATCTGCTTGAAGTGTCTTTAATCACGAGATAGAAGGTATTCCATCGTTACGAGCCAGCACATTACCCTTCCATAATTCGACAACACATACCTCAATGCATCATCACCGACTCAAGTCACCGCGTCAGACCCATTCATCAATCAGCACAACTATAAAACTCCGGAGCCATCCTCCAACAATTCCGCATTGTATCACAAAAAACATCCTACTCACCCACCACAAGAACCTTACCTCAAGCTCGCTCCCACAAAGACACTAAATGACTACCAACAACAACAACAACAATATCGACCAAATCACTATCCAGACAGAGGTACAGATAGTTACAAAATGTACAACCGCTTCACCACCCCCGAAGAGTGGGCACAAGAAAACTACTACGCCTACTCGCGCGACATCTCGCCTCCCCGCAATCGCCACGAAGAACCAAGACCAGGGTACCACACAAACGACTACCGAACCGTCAGTCCAATAAGAGGAGCATCAGGATTACAGAGGCGACCACGTGTTAATTCTATTCGCCAACCGCCACCGTGTGGGGTGGGCTGGTGGGATGGAAACGTGGAAGGATTGAGGCACTATCGGGGTAGAGCGTACTGGGGGAGACGATGAGATGGGCTAGTCCAGGATATAAGTGACTGAAAAGTATCAAAAGTACTGTTGGCCCACGACGAAAAGAGCACAAGTCAGCAACCTCACCTTATTTTCAATTTCCCCCTTCCACATACCCGCCCCCAAATATGCCATGACAACACATCTTTCGGCAAGGTAAACAATCAATATCGAAAGTCTAAGTTCATATCTTTCTCAATATCTGCGTCGAATATGTGTGAGAGTGGGATGAGTGAGAAGAAGAAAAGAACCACATACACACACCCCAGATTCCGCTAAGAACCTAGCCGCTGAACCGCTGATTGCCAACAGATTGATACACATAGAAAAAAAAAACGCCATTGCCAAAAAATGCCATACCCTTATCACCAAAAAAGAAAAAGCGCCAGTGCGTACCATATCCATGCAACATAAAACAGCGTGAAAACGTCATGCTCTTTGCTAACTTTCTTGTCTTTCATTGCGCGGGCCAAACCCAAACGTTATCATTGATGTCGCCTCCTTCTGTTGGCTGCGTGCAGATGAGCTACTCCTCCACCAGGCATCAGGGTCCGGCGACAACGTCTGCGAGGGGGCGGTCGCGTGCTGCCATCGTGGGTGGCGATTTGAGGGTCGTCAGGAGAGACCAATTGACTGAAGTAGGTGTCCTACACCAAGTCTACGTTAAACTTCCAGGTGCCTATAAACGTTAGCAGCATTCCAATGAGGGCTAAAAGACGACTAACCGAGCTTCAGGTTCTCCGCTGTGTCATTGAGGACAATTATCCTTCTCTTGGTGCAGTATGAAGTCTTGTCAAGGATATCGACCTTGAGGTCCTTCAGCTGATCGATTGGCTTCTCGAACATCTCGCTGAGATTCTCGACGGCCATTTCCAGGTCCTTTTGGTTGTCCTCGAAAATCTCTGTGAGATTGTTTCGTGCAAGGTAGTAAGCAAAAGCGTAGGTCCATTTGAGTACCTGTCGGCACTGCTGAAGCGCATGTGAAGCTTGGTCCAGGAACTGCACCTCAATCCATGACATGCCCGACGAGTTCTGCAGTTGCTGCATCTTCTTTTCCGTCTTGAGGTAGAGGTCTTTGTCTAGCTTAGCCGATTGTTCGTGGTTGGCAAAGCGGTTGTAGTAATGAAGGTATCGTTCGAGCGACTGCCGGGACTTGGCCTGCGCATCGCGGGCTTCCGATCCGCTCTTCTCCTCGAAACGGTTGCAATTGTACCAGCTCGTGCCGTGCTCCGACCACTTGCCCATACACATCCAGCAGAACTCGTTGCGACATTTCCTGCATGTCATGTGATTGCACCCTCCATTCTTCTCAATGGTGGAGTTACAGTTTGGGCATTCCTTTGTGTTGGCCGATATCCAGTTGGCTGTCTCCGAGTCGTCCTCGCACTTCTTGACCCATCTCTTCACTAGAGCGCAAGGTGCGGGTTGGTGGTTGTTCAGCGTGCATCCAAAGCAGAAGTCGTGTCCGCACTCGCAGTGCACCGTGGGCACGATCTTGGTGAGATCCTTGCTCTTTACCGGACATTCCACGGCGTATTTGCAATCGGGGGCGGGGCACCACTTGAGGTTTTCTTTATCGTCGACGTAGGTTCGTGTGAGGAGGGTGTGGTATCTGTGATTGTTAGCAGGCTTTGGGAAGGTGGAGCGGCATCGACGTACCTGTCTTGGAGATCTGCTGTAACGAGAAGGTCTAGCGATTTCGAGTCGACTATCCGGGTGCAGCCCTCTCCGGGGCAGCGTATCCGGGCAGCCTCTCCCTCATCTTGAATCTTGGTGCCGAGGTATTGCCTGTAGCAGTCCAAGCAGAACCTGTGCCCACACTTCATGGCAAACGTCCGCAGGTCCTTGTCATCGTCGCAGCAGATGTCGCAGACAAAACCTGGTATCTGCTCGACCTTGGGCGGATTGGTGGTGGAGTCCTGACCCAGGCCTGCTGTCTCGAGGACCTCATCCGTCTTCTCCATGTATTGGTCGATCAAACGTTCCTTGTTCCATCGCAGGTGGCGGAGGAGGATGGCAGCGGCCTCTGGTGGTTGGCCGAGGATGCTCGCAACCTCGTCGATCTGCTTGTCTTGCTGTGCTTGGATCTGGGCAGGATCAAAGACTTTGAAGTCTACTTCGAAGGCCTGCTTGGTGGGCTTGATGTCCTTGTCTTGCGTCTCAAAGCCGACGTCATCTTGCTCCATGTCAAAGTCCGAGTCTGTTGCACGTTAGCATGCAACTATAGTTGGAGCTCAAGGGAATGCGCACCCTCTTCCAGGCCCAGATCGCTGTCCTGGTCGTCGAAGTCGTCGCCGCTCATGGAGCTGTTGAAGTCGTCGTCGGAGTCCATTTTGTCGGCGTGAGTTGCGGGCGTGGCCGGCAGGCTAACAACAGGCGAGTTTGTCTTCTTATGGGGTGGTTCCTCTGCGGGGCTGAGGTAGTTGTCTGCCTCGTCGGCCTTCCGCTTGCGAAGGGTAGTTGGAGGCGTGATGATGGAGATGTCCCGCCTGATGACGGAACGCTAGCTGGACAGGCTGCGGCGGAAGAAAACGTGTGTACAAACGGACGATAAGGCCTGAGGCGCGCGTGCAGAGTGGCGATACAGGTGTGGGAGAAAACAAGGGTATTGGTCAGCTGAACAGAAGGGAAGGAGTCACAAGAGTTGGGGAGTCTGGCGTCCAGCAGTCGATTGATGGTCCTATGCGGGCACTCATCGGGTGGCCCTAGCGCCTTTGGGAGGCAACAGCCCAGGGGCGCGCCCGGAACTTGACCGCGCTCTCCACATTTCCGTCTGCCGCCTCACCCACCTAGCAGACCACCTAACGAACTTGGGTATACATTGTCAAACGCAGAGTTCAATACCTTGGCGCAAACCACTGCAATCGCCTTGAGGCAGCTGTCCTGCTCCGTAAGCACCACTGTCTGCTGCGGACAAGAATCGGCCATACATCGCCGCCTCTATAATAGTCTGGCCTATGTCCAGATGAAACCGGCCAACGACATAGACTTTGTTCAACTCATGCTAATTTTGCTTTTCCACACAGCATGCAACAGAAGCTCTCATCTTGTCATAGTACTTCGTTGTAGCACGCACTAATCCTCATCACTCTCGTCCTCGCTCTCGTCCTCACTCTCCATCTGCAAAAAGTCAATCAAACTCTTCGTCTTCTGCCTGACCTTCTCCATGTCCGCATTCTCCGTGCTCTTCTCGTCTTCCCACCACTGAATCATGCCATCCTCTTCTATCGAGTCTAGTTCGACCAGTTTAGTCGATGCACTCAGCAAGATGGCATCGCCGTTCTCCTTGTTGCACAAGTCGGCCTGAAGCAGCAGCATAAAGTCGATCTGATCCGTCTTGCTTTCAGCGTTCTTGTCAAAGATGGACCGATCGATGAGCTCCTTGTGTTGCCCAAAGACCTGCGCAACGGCACTCTTGATTGCCTCGCCCGACTTTGTAAGTTGGGTGACGCGCTTGACGAACGAGGAAACAACGGCACGTCTGACTTGGTGGTCAGAGGCGTTTGTGCTCATACGGAGTGCCGTCAGCTCCAGCTGGATGTTTGCCGATTCGTGGCCTTCGACAAGAGAATCGTAAATACTGGCAGAAGCGTCGTGATCAAAGTTTGCCGCATGTTGACTGTCTGCCGAGCCCACAGACAAGAAACTACTGGTCGCTGATCTGTCATGGCGTTCCATACCCATCATGTCTGCCTCGGAATCCGAGTTGATTGTGGATATCGATTCGTTTGAGAAGTTGTACACTAATCATGTTAGCACACACACACACGCGGGGTCGGTGGTCTTGGACTTACTGGGACCTCTGGTAGCGAGACCATCGACAAGCTCGTCCTCGTCATCTTCGTCAGAGTCATAGAACTCGAAGCCGTCGCCTTTCTCGCCAACAATCGCAGGATCTGAGTTGCCCCGGACAATTTCCTCCCCTTGTTCGCGTCTCCGCTTTGCTCTTGTAATTCTGTGATCTCCTCGTATTGTCATGCCTTCGCTGATGCTGACCCCATACGATATCAGAGCACCGGCTTCGATGGTGCACCTGCGACCTATGGCCACTTCGTTTGCGATGACTGCCTTGGTGACTGTGCTGCCGTCGGCTATGCTGGCATAGTCCCAAATGTATGCGCCGTCGATTTTAACATTTCGGCCAATTTGACAATGCCTTCCGATAATACTGTTGGTAATGACGCTCTTCTCGCCTATGCTGGTACCCCGTCCGATGACTGTCTTTCGTCCGATGATGCAATCGCGTGCGAGTATGACGCCCTCCTCCTTGTAGGTATTGCCCTTTTGTAACCGATATGACTGTCCCTGAACAAGATTGCTATCCGGGCACAACGGGTATGCCCAGCGTGATACAATGTCCTTGCTAACCGAATCGTATGCGTGGAGGTTTCGTACTCGTGCCGCGTAGTGGTCTGAGATGATGTGTGTGTGGAAGGTCTTGCCGTTGAGCTCGTAATCCTTGAGTACGCTGTGTAGGAAGCCCTTGCGAGGCGCTTGGAAATCGAAGTTGTCGCTCCATAGCGCGAGTACGTCGGGTGTGCAGATGTCGATGCCGCAGTCGATCAGGTCCTGGCGTACTTCGATCTCCTGGTGGGTGGAAAGCAGCTCGGGGTCGACGGAGAGGTAGTGCGTCTGGTCGCGGTTGGGCATTTGTTCAAAGTGCAAGCATCTGTCTTTCTGCGGGTCAATCACAAATACCGGACTTGTTCCCTGTGCCTTTGTCCGATGAGTCGCGCCTGCCTCGCGCAGCACCATGGTCATGATGGCGTTCTTGTCCTTGGCCCGCCTCGCTCTGTGCGCTGCAAGCGCAGACTCCAAGGGCAGATTGCTGACCACGTCGCCGTACACCAGGAGGAAGTCTCCCACGAGCAGACCCCGGCTGTCCAGGTCTCGCATCGCGTCACCGATCGAGTGTGACGTCGACTGGATGAGCTCCAGTCGCGAGAAGGGCGAAGACTTGGAAGACCATCTTGAGGCTTTTATGTACTCTTCAACCTGCTCTCTGTGTGCGCCGCAGTATACAAAGACTTCCTCGACGCCGGCGTTGGCGAGAAATTCGAACGTGTACTCGATGAGCGGGGTATTCGCGAGGGGTAGGAGACACTAGCAAGTGTCAGCGTGCAGCTGGCAATCTCTGGGGGCATGCGTACTCTTGGGTGCTCGAGTGTGAAGGGATTGAAGCGTGTCTCGAAGGGGTCCGCGAGTATCTACAATGTCAGCACAGTCGGCGGCCAAGTACATTGCGCAACCTACCACGGCCTGCAGCGGCTCGTCGCGCTCCTCCTCGCCCGACTTGCCCTTGTTCTGGCCTTTGTTGCCTTTTGGGGGCATGTTTGGACTTTGGTAGTGTGTTGCGCAAAAGGTGGAGGGGCGCGGTTGGAATTCTAGATTCGTACAAGTCGTGGTGGGGGTTTGGGCTACGACTCCCAAAAAAGCTTCCACGAACTTACAACTACCGCTGAGTCACAAGCCCCCTCGAACCAGGGACCACCACGCAAACCCAGATCTTCGGGTCCCGTCACGTCTCAGATCCTTTAGCGGGGTGGCTCTGCGGGTAAGCCGCTGCAACAGGGCGCATGATTCTCGAACATGCTCGTGCGCGGCCTTTTGGGCTGGCTATCAAGGTCTGGACCACCAGGGAGAACATTTACTCGGGAATGCTTATTGCGACGACACTTTCACATGGGAGGACTGCTGAGCACTGGGATTCTTGTGTCTGAGAAAAGAATTGATCAATTGTTTATCTAACACGTAGGGTATTTTCTAGCAAATGTCCAACCCGGACCTGGCACAATAGATGACCTTGGAACGCCGGAGACCCCAAAGGTCCTGGATACCCTCACAGACAGCTTCCCGAACTGTCCGATCCTTGCATTTATCTCTCCCGTAGATACAAGGGCCGACCACGACTATCGGCTCCAACATGGCGAAACATCTCTGTCCAGCAACGCGATTACGTGCTCCATGCCTGTCAACAGGAAGCCGGTGGCTGTACTCCTTCTTCTCGAATTATTAACATGAAAGTTCCCTCTTCACTGCCTCGCTAACCGACATATCAACGTGGGCGCGGTTGCATTCCTCCCATCTGCTGCTGCATCTGAGGTGGGTACATTTGTTGACGCTTGGCTGGGTTGTTCAGATCGTCACCTCCAGATATCTCCGAGACCTGACGACGGTGACCTGGCGGTAATTGTGCTTGTTGCTGTGGTTGCATTTGCATGTGTGGCGAGGTGTTATATCCCATGTTCCCATGCATGGGATTCACGCCGTAGGGAGTCGGGTGCTGCACTGGCTGGCCGCGCATTGCCTGTGCAAAATCGTCCGGAACTGTGGTACCAACTGGAGAAACGCCCGGCATTTGGTTTGGTGAGTTCCAGTTGCTGACAGTCTGGGGGGACTTGGCCGGAGAGTCCTCTTCCTTGAGAACCAACTGACGTGCGATTTGCACAGGTTGAGGTGCAACCATAGATCCGTCAGCTTGAGCTATTGGCTTCTTGAGGTGCACAAGGTGTTTTTCTAGCATGTGCAATAGACCTTCTTTGGTGAATGGCTTAGGGAGAACGTCGTTCATGCCTGGAGAGGTTAGCACTTGTTAGACATACAGATGAGCCGGTCTTACCATGTTGGAAATACATTGAGATGTCGTCGCTTCGGATGTTGGAAGTCATGGCAACGATAGGAGTAGTATCGAATTGTCGAATCAGATGGCAGGCTGACACACCGTCGAGGTTCGGCATGATGATATCCATCAAAACCAAATCATACTTGGATCCAGCGTTCATTTTGTTGACCGCCTCCAAACCGTCGAGCTTATTTCAGTCAGTATGGAGTCTGGATAGCACGGGAAGATGACTTACAGCACTATCAATGGAGCAATGGAAGGCGTACAAGAACTTGCTTCCGATTCGACGACAAGTGGGATCGTCTTCGACCAGCAAGATCTGGGGAGGTCTGATCCACCCTGGGTCTGGGATGGTATTCTTCTTTCTCGGTTCTGGAATTCTGGGCTCGCTGACCTCGGCCGCTTTCGGCGGAGCGGCATACGGGATGTTGTTGATATGCTCGCTGTACATGGGGTCGATGCCGTTATTGGAACCGACGGGATAAACAAGGTTGTCGAGGTTTTCTAGGCGCATTGAGTTGGTTGAGGTTGCAGATGGTGGACCGCGGCTCGTCGGTCGTGCTGCTGCTCGCGCGAAGTCGGGCGGTGGCGTTGTTAATGTCCCGTTCATGCGCATGGTGATCTCGTTCATTTGCTCCAAATTCCGGGGGTTCAGCATGGCGTCCGCGTTCGTCTCGCTGAGAAGCTTAGAAGCGTGCTGCAAGGGCGAAGCAGGGTTGTCGTCATCCGTGTTGGAAGGAGGCTCCATACTGCCGTTCTGCGAGTCGGCGCCGTTGGGGAAGATAAGTTTGCTGTTTCTCCTCTGTGTCGCGTCGACACCATGTAGGAAAGTCATGATCTGCTGCATAACATGCTCGTGGTTGACGACCGTTTTTTGTAGCCCAATGACCTCCTGTAGAAGCATGGAATGGTGGATGCTCAGTTCACTATAGCGGCTCTCCAGCGCATGCAGCTGAGCTTGTGTGGCCATCAATTGACCGCTAACCATGTCCATCTGTTGTGAGGGTGCGAACTCTTCGGCGGCGGCTTGGTTTGGTTTTCGCGGCGCAGGAGCCTTTCGACGGATGTTGTCGAGCGCATCTTTGTTGTTCATCTTGAAATCAGGGTGCTTGAACTCCCAGGCCTATTGGCTTGTTAGCTAACACAATCATGAAGATATGCAGGAATGCCACATACTCCTGGCCCATAGGGCGACTGCCCATTCTCTTCGTTGTTATGACGGACTTTGTGGAAATCGTATTTGTTCAGCTGGCGGACGAAACTAGCAAAGTTGCTGTGTTTGAAATGCTTGGGAAGTATGTGTTTTGTGAACTTCTCGTTCTGTCCGTTGGTTAGCAGGTGGATTCGATTGGTACGTATACGAGGCGCATACTTCTAGGACAACGAAGCTGTCGCCATCATTCCCCCATCGCACAACACTCTCGTCGCTCGGGTTTTCCAACATCCTAAACCATGTTTTAGTACGCCGTCACGTCGCGCATGGGCGCGTCTACCTACTTGTACAGCTTGCGCACAAAGTCGCTGGAGTTGTTGGACCCTCCCCCACCGGCTTGATTGGGATCCATGATGCAGGTGAATTGACGACTGTCGTGGGCGAAGAAGCCGTCGTTGGTAACCCGTGTTGATGCGCGACGGCACCGGATGAGTCTCGTCGATGCCGAAATGCGATAGCAAATTCCCCGTCACAGTCTTCAGTACCTGGAAGCGACTGCGATCGAAGCTACGGAAGACGGCGCGCGAGGTTCCGGCGGCGCGTTGTATGCTATGCGCTTAAAGTTTTGCTTAGCCGCAGGCGACCGGTGTTGGACGAGCGATGACGAAATTTCCCAAAACGGGCGCGCCTTGTTGCAGGCTGACGACGGAGTGCGATGGGCGAGATCTGGACCTTCAAGTGTAAGAGACAGGGAGAACATGGGCACATTGGCTCGTGGCTTCTGCGCGGGCACTTGGGAGCTAAACGGGCCTAAAGCAGGTTAACCTTGGGCTTGAGAGGAATGCAGTTGGCAATGCGCTAGCGGGCGTCGTGCCGAGGGAGACGAAGCAGGGGGGGAATTGACAGGACACGGGACACGGGGGTGAAGACGCCTGAGTCGTGGGTGAGGTCTGCACCGCACACACATACACACAGTCTCCCTCTTGACGGTGGTGCGATATTACACTGCTTTTTCCAGCGTATAGCACAGTTTTGATCATTCTTTCGCCCATGGTCCTTCTGGCCCATGTCTCCACTGATTACGCCGTTGACGAAACATCACCGGCTTGAGGCACGATCGGCATAGCACCGAATAGCTCACGCTAAAGCTGGTGTGGGTCGATAGGTTAACATCATTATCCGCAATTTGCTGGTGCAGGCAAGACTAGTCTGTACATTCGACAGCTAATTATGGACACGAGTATCAGTATGCACATATGTCGATATTACTGAGGTACTGCGACCGCGGAGGCGCCCATGTAGCATACTTTTGCATGAGGCAGATGCACACGTGCTGCGTAGAGGGAAGTGAGCTGGTGGGTGCGCTTGCCGTCTTCCGAGAGCAGTGACACCGGCAAAACGCGTCATACCCCCACTACCTTAGAAGCTCGTCACCGTCAAATGCACACGTGCTCTACACCCACACCACGCCCGACATACACACTTTCTCCTGCATACACCATGTTCGCTACCGCCCGTCGCCTGCCCCTAGTGCGTCCCGTCGCCAGTCGGCGTCTGTTTCACGCCTCTGCGCCTGCATTCGTCAATGTTGGAGACAAGCTGCCTGACGTTGAACTCGTCGAGGGTTCTCCAGGTAACAAGGTCAACCTAGCAAAGGAGTTGACCGGCAAAGGCGTCATTATCGGTAATTAACCTCTGGCGGCTCTCGTTGACAAAGTTGCGTCTGACAACTGCCAAAGGTGTTCCTGCAGCTTTCTCGCCCTCATGCTCCGAGAACCATATCCCCGGCTATATCAATTCTCCTAAGCTGAAGGATGCCGGCAAGGTGTTTGTTGTTTCAGTAAACGATCCTTTTGTGTAAGCAGACGCTTCTTGAAATCCGCTATATCCTCAACTGATCGGATGTAGCATGAAAGCATGGGGCAAGATGCTCGATCCTTCAGGCTCCAGCGGCGTAAGTGTTGCCTTGTTTGCCCTTTAGACATTGTGGTGTTGACATTGATAGATTCGCTTCTTGGGAGACCCCAGCCTTGGCTTTACAAAGGCGCTTGATCTCTCTTTTGATGGCGCCTCCATCTTCGGAGGTGATCGTTCGAAGCGATATGCTCTTGTGATTGACAACGGTACCGTCAAAGCAGCACACGTCGAGTCTGATAACACAGGCTTGAATGTTTCTGCAGCAGACAAGGTCTTGTAAATAGTTCTTGACAGGCTGCGTAAGAGACGAACAAATGTGCATCTAGAATTCACAGAATGGTCCACGATCGCCTAAAACGATAGCGGATTTCATCAACCTAAATGACAGAACCAATACAACATATCTGCATGTACGGAGTCGCTCGTCATCTTTATACATCTTGAACTACTATCATCGGTTGACCATGGTATTATGGACTTTTAACATACAATACTCCAATCACGATGCAACTACTAATAGTGCCTACGAATCATCCAGGCCATGCCAGCTTCTTGTAAAGTTTCCCAGTTCCATGTCCCTATGCCTTGGCTAAAGAAGAAAGACAATGAGTCTGTTAGAATGTTTGACTAGACTCACGAAGCGCGACTAACGCTACTTCTTACATAGAGATATTAGTTCTACAAGTCTTTTGAACGCCTTGGAAAAGGTAAATTGACGTTGTTGCCTACTAGGAGATACTGATTGAAATAGCACAATAACCGCTAAGCTTCAGCCACATTGCGCCATCATTCCGACCCAATCGCCACAATCCCTGTAGACGTTCTACACACACAGACCACGGTCTACTTCTTGCCAGCAAATGCGCAAGACCCGAGATCGCGCTTCTCAGCAGGAACATGCGGACTAATATCAAAGTCGAAGATGTCCATCGGCAAACCTATAGTCGTACACGCATTGGGGATATCGACTATACCAGCTACGTGACCTTGAACCGGGGCGCAAGACAGCAAGAGATAGATCTGGTAGTCGCTGTACCCTGTGATATTGTTAGGAAAGGATATCCGAGAGAAAAGAAACTTGATGAAACCTCGGGCCAGCGCCCCTTCGCCACTACACTCCTCAAACCAAAAAAAAAAACCAAGAGGCCAAGGAATCTAGAATTGGCAGAGACGAGCGCGAAAGTTCCGCGGCGGAACATAGGGAGAGGACACGTGCAAAAAACGCAGGAAGAAGAATTGCAAACTCACCAAATCGTCTCAAGTACTCAATTACCCTCAGGCAAGTCTGTCGGTACGCAACCGTCGCATCGAGATAGTGCTGTTTCCCTCGTTCATCCACACTGAAGCCCTCGAAGTAAATATACCTTCCAGGACCGAACTGCGGTTCGACGGGGCCTGGGATGTAGATTGGACTCTTCATATCGAGTTGCTTCATGCCGCCTTTCATGACGCTGAACTTGATTGTTATGACGCCTGCCATTTCGATTGCGCCGCAGAAGGATATCTCGCCGTCGCCCTAGCAGGTGGAAAGATGAATGTCAGTTACAAGGTCACGTATAGACTTCCTTGGAATGAGATGTAAAGACTTACCTGACTGAAATGTAAATCTCCCACACTAAACTTTGCACCCTTGACATGCACCGGCAAGAAAACTTTAGATCCCCTCGACAAGTTCTTGATATCGCAGTTACCCCCATGTTCAGGACGACCTGGAATAGTGCGCGCGCCTTCTTTGGCAATCTTCTCTTTTACAGAGCCTGTTGCAGAACCTGCGTGGGCGTTCTGAGGCTCAGGCGGTTTAGCCACATCGCGGTTCAGATGGCTGTGTGTAGAGATGAGTTCGGCTTCGCGGGTATTCCAAGTCTCCAGGACTTCGGCAGAGGGCGCGCAGCCTAGAACTGGAAAACGAGAAACGGACGAGGTCAGTGCTCTATTCGGCATTTTGTGTGTGTGTGTGTGTGTGAACAAGGATAACTTACTACCAGGGTGAATGAGGCCTGCAAATCTCACGCCAGGAATATGGCGAGAGCTACAGAAGATGCCTTCAAAGTCCCAGATGGCCTTTGCCCTGCCGATATATTAGTCCACCTCTGTGACCAGCACCTCTCTCACTATTTTTGCCCTCCCTCTAAGAAAAAACCAACAACACTTACGCCTCGGGGTAGAGTTCATCCAAGAATCCACCGCCATTGTCCTTTGCAAATACACCTGTAAACCCCCAAGGCTGGTCTTCTAACGGCTGCACATCTTGAATGTCAACAACGAGGACATCACCTGGCTCTGCGGTTTCAATATCGAAAGGTCCGGTTAGATAGTGAATCTTAGTAAGGTCGACATCCCGCACGTCGTCTGCAGAGTCATTGTTGCCGATTTGACCACCAGTCCAGTCTACACACTCGATCTTGACGGCTTCGCCGGGTTTGATAGTGGCGAACGAGGGGTTTTCGGGGTGCCAGCGGTTCTAAAGGAGAAAAAAAAAAGACATGTATTAGAGTAGCTTTGTAAACTGCAGAAAGATTTGACATACGTGCAGACACTCTTGCTCTGATGCTGGCTTGTCTAGTGACACTTTCGCTGCATAGCGGAGACCTTCTTTACCCATATTGAGGATCTGGGGTACACTGAACTGGAAAGCGAAAAGAAAGAAGGAGAGGGTATGCTGTATAGATCAGAGAACAGTAAGAAACGCGTCTAGTCGCGCGAGAGGGGAACGTCACGCATATGAAGACAACAGACGCGGGGAAAGAGTAACCTCAGCCTGTCAATTGTTATCTCGGATATAAGGATACGTGCCGAAGACAAGGCCGAATGCCATACCCACCAACTATTACTACAAGGTGGGTGATAAGCTCTACGATACGCGGCTGTTACGTTACGTATCATCGGACGGAGCTGTAAGCTACCTACCACAATGGGACGCGTTGACCCCACTGCGGGGTATAATCATAATAGTACCATCATCGTACAGCGGCCAGATAGCGTGACAACTAGATACACCTGATTGCCGACGGCGCACATACTAGCTGCGAACTATTTCCAAGGTGCGAGGACGTGTCTTCGTCATGTCGAACGGGAGGTCCCGGCTTGCGTGGAGCTAGTCGTTGAGGTTTTCAACGTCATCGCAACCTAGCTAAACGTCTTTCGTGGTGTTTGCCGTACTTCGGATTGGAACTGGGGTTTGTGCATTGCGAGATTGTACTCGTCCATGTGCTGCCATGGCAGATTTAGGAACTCGTGTTTGTTCTTCCAGCGCAATGACTCTTCCTTGAACTTCTCAGCTTCGGCCGGTGGCAGCGGCGGCTCTGTGATTTTGGTGATGAGGTATGCCGTCGACGCTTCGGCGAGGCCGTAAATGAGGACGCCTACAAGGGGTATCTTGACGAATACGTAGAAGCCTAGGCCGAAACCGAAGAGCACGCCAGCTCGATCTTTGAACCATAGTTTCTTCTGCTCTTGGTTGTACCGAACGCGTGCGAAGTAAGGTTCAAGCTATCTGAAGTTAGAAGTGAGACTTCAAGGTCTGTTGTCAAGGTACATACCAGCTCACGCATAAGCGTTCGTGACGAGAAGTAGGCCTGCAGAAAGCTGACCAGATATCTTCGGGGAAAGAGCAGTGACCCTGCAAAGATGGCCGCTGCTGGCTGCGTTCCCACCGATTTTTTGAATGTATAAAAACTGGCGGCGGGTAGCACAAAACGTCCCACGTATGGAACGTACGACAATGCCAATACTCCCAAGGAAATGGCAGCCTTCCTCCCTTGCTTGGTCGCGTATATTATGACAGCCTGTTTGATTGGCTTCTTCTCTTTGTCGACTTTGGGTGCGTGCTCAGGGTATTTCTCGAGGTTTGGATAGTACATGGCGCGCAGATTGTGGGGGTCTTCGGTCTTGTGCTTCTGCACGTAGGTCTCGTCCACCCAACGCAGGGAGTCCATGAACCTGAAGGTTGCTGTCAGCCAGCGCTGTAGATGAGCAACAGATATGCTTACATGCGGTCCAAAGTAGGAGTGACGTAGCGCATCATCGTCATGAGGAAGAAGGGTACCTGGAGTACGGTGTGCTCAAGGAAGTGGAGGCCATTCACGACGCTTTCGTCCATGTGGGTATGGTCCATGTTGACGAAGAGGGAGAGTATCCATAGTAGCACTCTTACGCCTTGGATCTGGGTATGTCAGTGGCCGTGTTTGCTTGCTGGGTGGAGGAGACGGAGCGTACGGGTATGGCGACGATGACACGGATAGCGATGCCTGCAGCTACAGCAATAGCAGCTTGGCGGTAGTGGTCCGAGGTGAAGAGACCTGGGTTCTGGAGAGCCCGATTGACTGTCGGGGCGTGTTAGAATGGAGCTGTCATGACGATACCGTGATGGGCAGGCCTTACCACCGACCAAAGTCAGCTGGGCTCCCCGCAGGATGGCATTAGGGTCGAAGTTGGATACATCGAACTGGGACAGGTCGATTTTGTCCATGTTTGCAAGGTGAGGGGACTACCAGGCAGCTTGGTGTTGCAATCAAGCCAGCAAAGCTAGAGCTTGACTCCACGTCGACGACTTGTGCGAACGCCTGCGAACTGGCGGAGCAATGACGTCGTGCTAGCAGTCGACGGACCCATCCAGGTGCGCGTGTCGCAAACAAAGAACGCGTCGTTGCAAGGTAGCGCCTGCCACGACGACAATGCTACTTGTACCAGCGCCTAGCATTCCATAGTCTGTAGGCTGCATCAAGGCATCTGGACGCGGGCGGGGTTCAGACGCTCCGCTGGTCAGCTTGAAACTGAATTCGTCGCTGTGGCCCAAGCGCGTATCCCATTCCGAAGCAAGGGACTTGGTTCGGCTTCAGCCTTCGATTACCCACCCAACTCAAAAGTAACTCTTGTAATACACCCCTCTGCAAGCGCCGGCCGCTGTCTTCTCTAGGGACTCTTTACCCTGACCTCACTGGGATAGCAATGTCCATATAGCACGCCCATTATGACGATGCCGGCTTCATCCCAGCATGCGCATCCTGAGCACGCGCCGTCGGCTCTCAACCCCAGCAACTCCAGGCGCAGCTTCACGCTCCCCGCGCGCGCGATACGGAGGACTGAGTCGGTGCCCGCGTCGAGGAACACGGCTGACGGCATAGAGACGTTGTTCGTGTGCTCCAACTCCAAGATCTTCTCCTTTACCACAGCCGGACCCGCTCGCCGGCTTTCGCCCTCCCGTTCAGGTGACACGTCGCATCCGATACCGTGGAAGACGCCTACAGAGCGCACACTCGCAGTCGGTATGTCATCCCACCTGTCACCCATGCTGAGGGCTGTCTAACGTATCACAGGGGCTCTTCGCATCTATCGCGTGACAGCCTCCAACGTCTCCTTCCTCAACAGTGGTAACCTCCTGCACACAATCTTCCCCCGGTCCCAGATATGGCTTGTCGACAATCAGTCCGTCTTTGTGCTACGTATACGGCAGGACTCTTACTATCGCATCGAGCTCCCCTATGAGACCGACGAGGACAAGGTCAACATCACGCACTTCAAGTCGGTATTGGCGCAGGTGATGCAGTACGAGAGGACACAGTGCCCGTTCGCGCGAGGATTTGACGTCGTCGCAGAGCTGGAGCGTCCAAAGAGCCCTCCACGTAAGACGATCAAGAGGAAGCCGTCGGGACAGGCAAAGAAGTGGGTCATGGATAAGACCTGGGTACCACAACAGCATGGCTCAAGGCCTTCTACGTCTGGCACTGATCGCTCAGAGACTGGTACTGCCTCTTCATACGACGAAGACGACCGGTCGAGCGTCTGTACCGACAGTAGCGAAATAGTATCCGCGGCCCCTGACGTCCCCTTAGCGACAACTACACCCAGACCCCTCGTGTCAAAAGCGCCCCCGCGCCGCCTGTCAGTGGGAGAACGGGTCAGCATGTTTCAAGGGCTGCGCTCAGCAACTGCGCCTATCAAGATGCCCAGGAGAGAATCCGTGTCTGCCATGGAGCGCATAGTCGAGTCTCCTCTCTCTCCTCCGGCGAAGCAGTCTAGCGAAGCCGATAAACCCATCCTTGAACGTCAAATCTCAGATGCCCCCAGTCTGACCTCGAGTGTAGACTCGTTCTACTCTCTGAATACTGCCACACCTTCTCCAAAGTTCCTCGATGCGGACGATGATGCCATAAACCCATGGGCGAACACCTTCTCTAAGCAAGATGACGAGCCGAGGGGACGTTCAACACATCGACGCCAGGTATCAGAGGCTACCGTTCGTGGTCCGTCCACCGAATGTACCAATCCATCCGCACCTGTGACGCCTACAGTCCCATACTATTCCTCCACAACCCCCTCGATCGATGTACGGCCTTCTTCTGCGCCGTCTACACCACCGCTTGTAAGCGATTCCGATGACGACAGTCTTGGGCGTGCGAGCATAGATATTCCTACGCCGCCTGACGCAATCCGTATGAGGAAGCTTACAGGGGCTTCGCAGAGGCGCGCCTTTTCTCCTATGCCTCCAGCCCAAAACCTCTTCTGTCCACCGAAGCACAGCCCTCGCAAGGACTTCACAAATGCCCTGGTACGCAAGACATGCGAGCTTGTTCTCGGGCCACCTGCACACTTGGTTTCGGTCATGCTTCGCATCGCTACAAGCATCTCGAATGGTTTTGGCTTCAACACGTACCGTGTGCGCCGCGCAGAAAAGATCCCATGCGCCTGGGAGTCAGATGACGAAACTGACTGGGCTGAAGAAGACGACTTCGGCATCCCTCTCAACAACATGGGAACTCCGGCGCTACGTCGACAGACCTTCTCTGGTGAAGTCGACTGATGGACCTGAGATAGACCACGTGCAGATGGTGCTTTTTCTTATGTGCATATTCACTGATGATACCAAGCGTTTGCATTTCATTTTGCATCTAGAAGGCGAAAGGCATGCTACTTTGTAGTCGTATCTGTACTACGTTGATGTTTTTATTAGAATAAAGGATTGTAATGTGGCGGTACGTAGGGTGGCAGAATAGTATAGTTTCGAGACGCAGTCTTCGCATGTATGAGGATAGCAGTTTACACACCGTCTTTGGCTGGGCGAACAGCATCACTGTGGAGCTGAGACCATAACACCATCATACCCTTGCTATGCTGAAGCTTGCATGGTGGTCGAGACCTGTCAGCTTGCGCTTCAAGCACAGTGTGGTGACACTACGTAACATGCTCTGTTGCTCCGTCAGACCCGGAAGTAGCTCATAGAGATGACCTCAACTGGGCTCAACTTGCACCTCGCTGCCATCCGTCATGGCGAGCGATGCATGTGGTATGACATGACCCCTGACGTTGAAGACGGTTGACTACCAAGAATCTCGATCCCAAGGTACACTCCTAGGGAAGGCGTTGCCGGGCCTGGTTCCTAGCGCCCGACTTGCCGGCCTTGGATCGATGACGAGTTTCGTCAGGTACGAGAGATTTCAATGCTTACCCTCCTCAACTCCACAGCTCCATCAGCCCATCAGCGCCAACCCACTCTCGTGCGCATCTCGAATTACTTGCATGTCCTCACCTGAGGAAAGCTGTTGGGACTTGCGCGTGATCGCCCGTCCCGTGGGGCATTTAAAATGAGGATGCAGGGTTATGGGTCCTAGCCACGCTGGCAAACCTTCGATCGCGTCCAGCCAGACTTACCGCAACTTGCAGCGCCAGCGTCTTGTCCAATGACGTCTAGCGCTGGCTCGCCTGTTCCGCCTGTAAACAAGGACTTGACCGACTAATGGATTTAGTAGAGGAGGCGGGTGATCCCACCTTTCCTGCTTAATATTCCCATGGAACCCTCAGCTTCGTGTCAGGATTAGACACCCGTCTCGCTTGAGTACGCCCACCCACCTACATATCCCTCTTCGCTTCGCACTGCCGTCGCGTTTATTATGAAAAGGAAGATGGCAGAAGACGACCTCGACGTCTTGTTTGAAGAGACATTAACGCTATGCGAAACACCTCCGGTTCCGCGACGCCATCCAAACCGCGTCGTCAAACAGTACAACAAATCGCTCCCCACAACGCCAGCACACAAGTCCGAGATGGAGATGAAAGGACCGGCCATGTTCCACTTTGGAGGACAGACTGAACTGTCCCCCAAGCCGCTCTTCAACAGAAGCAACTCGCTGCCCTCGAAATCAACACGGCCATCGCTACCGTCTCGCCCATCCGAACCCTTCCAATTCAACCCCGACGATATTGTCAAGAGTCCGACACCGTTGTTCGGCAGGAGGAATACGCTCCCATCCAAAGTGCGTCGTGCTGTCGCCGCCGAAAGAAAGCCATCACCGCTTTCGCGCAGAGAGGACGCGCCACCCTCCGCACCGACCCACACCTCCCCCAAGGAACCCACGTCACCAGCACTGGCACGAAAGGATCCCAACACCAAGATCACTCCCAACCCCAAAAGCAACTCCAGCAAGGCGCCCTTTGCAACTCCACAGAGGTACCCAGGTGTTCGTGTTGTCGACATCAAAAGGCCATCGCCCCTTTCTGGCAAGGGCAGTGTGCGACGACCCGGTCCTACCCGCTTCACTCCTGCGGACCCCGTATCGCCGATAGTCCTGTCACCTGTCATCTCCAACAGCAACAGCTCAGTAGCTTCGTCGCCATCGCCATCTGTCTTCTCCGACTCGGCCTCTTTCTGTGCATCGAGCCCCTCAACACCCGCCACGTCACCACCCGGTTCGCCAACAACACACGCACGCTCGCTAAGTTATTTCGCGCCTTCTCATTGGACTATCAAGCCCTCGCCTTCGCCGATCTATGTCCCTAGACAAAAGTTGAGGAGGAAGGACAGCCCTCGCATGGAGACTCTGCGCACTCTTCGAGCCAAGGAGTCAGATGCAATGTTGCAAAAGGAATACGACCAACATTGGGAACAATACCGCAACAAACTATCCGTAAGTCATCGTCGCGCACTACTGCCTACTTCGTCCGCTAACGTACTCAGTTAATGACCGGCGGACTATTCTCTGCTGAGCGACTTTAACGACTACGAATAACGATTTTAACGACTTGAACATGAAGGCATCCACGGCGTCACCGGGCATTTGATCATAATACCCAGGGTTTGAATATTTGGGCGCAATTCGACGCATTTGGGTAACCGATCTGCTTTACACGGTCGCTTGCATTCAGCATATTGGTACACACATGTAATCTAATAGAGCACAGGGCCTCTCAGCCCTGGTTTGCATTTCCAACACATTCATCGACGTCTCAGAGCGATCGAGGTGCGCACATGTCGTTATTGCGGAGCCTCAGCGCGGCTTTCGTTCATGCAGAGCTTACATCACCCCCGCCTGGCAGCTGACCTTTGAAAGTCACAGCTACGCCGATCAGCCCCATCACGCAGCGCCAGTGATTGGTTGACGCTTCTGACACATTACAGCCTTAGCTGCCTACTTTTCCCGCTGCACCCGCCACATGATACCTATCTCGCTAGGTTGATTCTACTCCTTGTCGCCGATGCTGTTATCGAAATTCAGGGTCGAAATGTTCGAATGTACATTGTGCTATATCCAGACCGCCTGCGCCGCATATCCGTAGTGGCGCAGCGCGTAGCCTTATTCTGTACAAAGGTGGGCCTGACCTAGCCACACAAGGTAAGCAGGCGCGTAAGATGGCCCCCGAAACCCATACGCTTCGAGTATCTTCATGTACGCATTGACGCCGTACAGCACATAGTACTGTAGTATGTGTGGGGTGTGGCACAAGACTTATAGGACGCTTGGTCCCGGCTTCTAGGGTTTGGTGGTATTTCGAGATTCCGCCTTGTCTGGCGCGTCATTTGTTTCATACGACATATAGAATTTGGCCCGTAGCGCAGCCTTGTAGGCAACCTTTCCACTCTGCATACGTCTTGCACACCTGACTCACTTCGTGTCGTCGCCACTGGAATACTATCAACCTAGGAGAGGCCGCCTCGTGGCAGTTGATGCTTATGAGTCGGAGGTAGATTTAGAAGTTCGACTCGGTTACACCCTCGATACAACCTACACTCGCAAACAAACATCCTACGATCCGCCACGACGCATACGTATACTTCCCAATCGACACCTAGAACTCACCCGAACACACGACCCGCCCGTTTGGGCGCCTAAACACCATGGATTTTTCGAACCCCGAAAGAAATCCAAATGCGCCGTTACGCCTGCTATCGTTGGACGGAGGGGGTGTACGAGGACTATCGTCGTTGCTGGTACTTGAGAACCTAATGGAGAATATAGCTTTGGAGGAGAAGAGACTAGGAAGGAGAGCAATGAACGACCACGAACCGCTCAAACCATGTGACTACTTCGATCTTATTGGCGGAACGTCGACGGGTGGAATCATAGCTATCATGCTTTCGCGGTTACGACTCAACTGCAAAGACTGTATTGCGGTGTACAGTAAACTAGCCGAGCAGATATTCAAGCACGACAGATCGCTCAAGGCCTTTGGCATGAAGATCCCAACAGGAGCCAGTCGCTTCTCAGGCACCGTCCTTGCAAACGCCATCAAGACTGCACTGAAAGATCTAGGTTTCGATCCAAACGAACTCATGTGGGACGAAGCACTGTTTGAAGAGGTGGACGAAGCGAATGATTTACCCAGGGACAGCATCTGGGCAGACGCAGCACCAGCCCCCCTCATCACAGAGAGCCCAGTAGCCACACTCAAGAACTCAGAATGCTCGCTAGCCTCCGGACCCCCCGATAGCATGGATAGCACCATAGCTCCGTCAACATTGTACAGCGACAGTCCATTTGGTCCTAGAAAACCGATGCGAAGCGCAACCTGGAAACTGCACCACCGGCAATCTGTCCACAGAAAAGCAAACGCAAAAGGCTGCCGCGGTTTTGTCCTCACGTCTCTCAAGAATGCTCTAGGTCTCCCCAGAATTCTCTCAACATACGACCCCAACGACCGAACGACCCGTATCTGGGAAGCCCTTCGCGCCACCTCTGCAGCACCAACCTTCTTCGAGGAAATGCAATTCGGCACACCAAAAGTCACCTATCTAGATGGTGGCGTAGGCTTCAACAACCCCTGCGCAGAAGTCGACTATGCAGCAAAAGCCCTTTGGGAAGGCCGCTCAATCGGCGTCATAGTCTCCGTAGGAACAGGTCTACAATCCATACCCAGCGTAAAGAAAATGGCATCCTGGCTGCCCTTCGGCCTCGGAACAGACATTTCCATTGCAAGCGCCCTTACCGGAATGGCCACATCTACCGCCCGCGTCGACAACGAAATGAAGCGCATGTACAACAACAGCGACACAAAGTACTTCCGCTTCGACGTTGATCGCGGGCTCGCAGACGTCAGTCTAGAGCAGTGGATGAAGGAAGATGAAATGGCGTCCCTAACCGAACTCTACATGAACGATGGCGAGCAAATCCGGTCGGCCAAGGACTTTGGTCAACGCATGGCGAAACTCTCGGCGCTCCCGCCCAGATTCGAAATCAGCGCTAGTCACTTCCGGCTTGGAATGACGGGACGTGGTTTAATGGATTCGTCGTTTCAACTCGCGCAGGTGGATTTTAAAACGGGGATGCCACTTGGTGTAAGCCCGCATCTAGAAGACCTACCGAAGATGTCACAATACCGTGATTTATCGCCGAGTGGGGAAAGCGGTCTTGCGATTGATAATGAGACGGGGAGGTTGAAGCGGGTTTACCCTGTTGCCGAGGATCTGGATCACGATGGGCGACGCGAGGAAGCGGCAGTGTATCAGTGTATCAAGGCTGATAATGTTTGCCTCCGGACGATCAAGACGGGGATTCCGCAGGGGAAATACAAGGTCCAGTTCCTCGTCTCGTTTCACAGCAGTTCGTATACACCGCCTCGGGATCTCGTCTTTAGCGTTGGGAAACCGTTTGATCCGAATACGTTCTCGCAACGGTATGTTGATGTCAAGATTACGCCGGATGTAGGCAGTGTGTTGTTGCATCCGGATGCTGTGAGGGTAAGGGTGGGGTCGAAGCGGTATGAAGAGTTCAAGGGGAAAGGGTGGGTGGAGATTGAGGGGGATATCGAGGTTAGTGTAGGGTTGGATGGGGCGCTGGGGTTTATCGTTAGTAAGAGGTTTGAAGAGGGCGTCTTTGTTGATGGCTGGAGTTTTGGCGGCGTGAGGTTGGAGCCTGTTTTTGGGAGTGCGCCGGTGCGGATAGATAGTCCGCGGATCTTGACATGAGGTGCATGGTGATTGACAGAGACAAGGAATCACGTATTCTAGGAACTTGATGTGATCATATTCCAGAGCCTAGCAGAATTAATAATGAGAGACCGATTCAATCAACGAAAACCTCAATATCTTGATACTACTTTGCTGTAGCTATAGATACAGTAATCTGCATCGGGATGACGACAAGGATGAAGATCCAGGCAAACAAAACGACGCGACTTGCCCTGGTTGACCCGATGTACAAAGCGGCGATCAACACGGTGGGTAATGGAAGTAGGGCGATGGTACCGGTGTCGTCCGGTATCCAAACAAACACATTGATCATCATCGCCACAACGCATACGATCATCGCAATGATGCTCAACTTATGGCTCTTCATCCAAGCTGTGGCATTCCACTTCTCGCCGCTCTCCCCGTTGGGAAGTAATGGAGTAGTGTATGAGATGGATCCTCCACGTAGGTCTTTCGTAATGCGTCGTCGTAGCTTTGCTTCGGTCAATGCAGACACATCATCGCCTTCTTCTTTTGTAGGTTCGTTCATTTGCTCTCGCATCGCGGCTGCAAGTTCAAAGACAGCTTTGTTTTCTCCTGCGACGTCTTCTCTGCCCCGCCCTCGTTTCTTCATAACCATGCAGGCTCTGATCCACATGGTGAAAAGTCCAAGAGTCCAAACTATGTGGAAGATCACCATAATGAATAGTTGGATGTATGAGAATCCCCATTTGTAGTCCTATACGGTTCAGCTAGAGAATGAAGACCCGAGTGACAACAGACATACCAGTGCAGCCTGACACTTTCCATTCCCTTGTAGGTAATTGAAATCGTACGTCTTGTTATCGTATGCCCATAGCATTTGCGATGGGTCGTTAGTGACTCTAAACAAGCGGTCTTCGTAAGAAGCATAAGGATAGTCTTCATACTCCGTGGTCCTAACCAGAGATGGCGCTGAGATGTTAAGTGTAGGCGGCGGCAGAAGTTGTCCTCCAAAGGTAGAATTTATCTTGTCTCCTCTGTTGAAGCCATATTCTGCAGCATCTGCGTGGAAATCAGCAATGGCCACTTGATTCTATATGATGTAGCTTACACCTAGATACGTTGCGCTGCAACTCACAGGTCGTACTTCTAAACTCCCTGTCGATACTCGAACTCCGATTGTAATGGCACGTGCCGAACCTCCCATCAAGCAAGCCGAGCGACGGAATCACTGGTTCAAACCTGTTTAGGTCTGTGTAAGACAGGTCAGACTAGATAACGCCACTTAATGTTCCGCTCAGCTCACTTACACTGGTAATTACTCTTTTCAGGATCTTTATCTAGTGCAATATGATCGTCTTCTAAACCGATCCGCGAACCGTCATGGATGACAAAGTATGCGAAGCTGAATGCGTTGAATGGAACGTATTCACCCCCTGTTGTTTGGATAAAAGCATCAACGTTCGCGCTATAACCCGTCATTGCACTGGCGATGGTCGGGTACACGAAGGTGAAAGTCATGGTGCATACCATGAAGACCATGGCTATCTTCGAATGTAGCCCGTGACGTCTCACGAAATCACGGATCATACACAGAGTAGAAACGAGAAGGCCGCCGTTCGGGAGAAAGATCGTTCGATATGTCCCAAACGTGACAGGCGTGACTTCCATGGATGTTGTAACATACTGGGCGAAGACGCGCCAGGAGATATACGCGACGAGAGCTTGCCCACCGCGACCGACTAGCTTTGTAAAAGTCAGCTTTCTCACATGTCTGGAAAAAAGAGTAAAGACAGGCTACAGTGTGCCTCAACTCACGATGTCCCAGGCAATGTCTATAGTTTTCACCTCTGTGAAGTTCATATGCCCAAATCCCAATGTAATCTGGAAGAAGCCAGATTTGCTGAAGAATCGAAACTTTGATGGGTCCAGCGCAAAAGAATCGTCGGGTAAACAAGCTGGTTGAGATCCAGAATCAACGCTGGAAGTTGGCGCTATTAGTACAGCAAAGGCAAACAACAAGAGTGCAAGCCATGCTGCGAGAAGTATCCAAAGTGCACAGCGCCGCCATCTTTTACGGATGTCCTTGGCCGCTTGTCGATGCGGTTCGCGCCAGAATGTTGTAAAGTGTGAGGGTGCTGTGCTGAAAGTGGATGAGAACTGGGATAGTTTCGGTATCATCGTGAGAGCGGAAGAGTGAACACGCAACTTTCGCAAACCATCACGCACCCGGTTGTGCATGCGATACAAGCAGGAAGCCGTTAGCAACGAGGAAAGCAGGAACACGATAGAGATACGTGAAAGACTGCACGCCACCCTCAAGCCAGTAAAAGGCGGGGATACCGGGCGTAAATCGCGAATTCGCTTTTGTGCTGGCTGTAGCACCGCCCCCTCGAATTGGGGGCCAGTTTCGAAGTTTACAGCATACTAGCTACCACCCAACGTCGCCGATCGAGTGGCGTAAATATGCAAGGCCACCAGTTTATGGATTACAGCCAAGGAAGCAGATCTGCTTGAATTTTGTGGATGAGTTTCCGCATCGTGGTAATGGTGGGTGATGTTGGCGTTGTTGTAGTGGCGGTCCTACAAGCTGTGCATCGCGTATGGTAGGCATCAGTCTTAGCTCGTCCCAGTTTCCCGTGGTGCAAGCCTTGCAGATAGTACTCAGCCTTGCAAGAGATGGTGACAATAAGGCGGCTTGCCTTGTTGCAGGGTGGTTGGGCGTCCGGCGTCAACCTGCGGACCGTATCGCGACGCGTAGATAAACTTGGCGCGACCCTGGAGGAAGGGAAGGGAGCTGACATGACGCGGTGGCGCTAACGCCACCATCCTCTCCATCGTCCGTTTCTCTTCCAAGTAACAAGGCACATGCGCGAAACACCATAGTACAGACATCTATAATCGTGTAAGCATGTTGAAGTTATGTTCCATCACCTACCTGCATTAATAACACGTATCGGCGGTTCTCGAAGGATGGTAGAGCGATGAGCGTCTTTCTCGAGCGAGCTGAGCAGCATCGCAAAGCGCGCGCTAACATGATACAAAGGAGGTTCGCTTCTCTCCGTATATGGCTATGTAAACAATAGACCAGAAGTATTCGACATATTTAAGACACAGATAAACGTAACACGTACCTGGTACCTCTAGGATAGGTTTTCTTCACTTCTGATCTTGTTCGAGCTTTGAGTTGTTGTTTTGCTCTCGTCTGATTACCTTTCTCTGTTCGCACTCTCTTCAGAGAAGAAGAAAGGTGACACTCACTAAAGCTAACGGATATCAACGACGGCATGGCAGACTGGGCGCGCAAAGAGTTCAGGAGTCGAATAAAGGCGTAAGTCTATCTCCTAGTAGCGATCGCTGCTTCCCGCTAACACATACTGTCAGTCTATCTTTGTCGGGCGAATACTCAGATCTAATCATCACCTGCGGACCAGATACTTACAAAGTGCATAAAGCTATCGTATGCTCTCAGTCATCTTTCTTCAGCAAGGCCGAGAAGTTCCCCGTATGCAAGGTACGTCAGCTTGCAAGTATCAGCGCTAGGAATGATAAGATTTCCTGTGCGCTCCAAGTTGCATTGCTAGGTGACAGAATTGCGCGTGAATCACGGCTACCCCTGGTGTCAGTATGCACATTCGCTGACTGGATTGGATACAGGAAGCCACAGAGGGCGGAATACATTTACCCGAGGACGATCCGCAAGCTGTGAAGCTCTTGATCCAGTTCTTCTACGAGAGCGAATACGATCCGCAGATCCCTAGTCTTGATCGTTATGATCTCAATGAGGCAGGCAAGCCAAAACTGACGGTGCTAAGAAGACACGATTACCACTACAGCTTCCCTCACACATGCTGCAAGCCTCATTGCCTAGACTCCGGCTATAAAGTATGTCATCATCATCATTGTACACCAACAAGTTGCGGAGACAAGTGCGTCAACTTCGTCTGCAAAGTCTGCACGAGGCCCCTACCACCTGACAGCGATGCCGACCAGCTTCTTCTTCATGCGATGATGTATGAGCTTGCGGATAAATACGACGTCACCGGACTAAGATACCTGGCCCAGGAGAAGTTCTCTCGCTCATGTGCGGCCTTCTGGGACACTGAGCAGTTCGCCATAGCAGCTGAGCACGCGCTCATCTCAACACCTGAGAGTGATACTGGCTTGCGAAAAGTGCTTTGTCAGACGATAAGATCACACATCAAACTGCTCAACGTACCAAGTATCGTCACTTTGCTCCACAAGCATCCTGATCTTATGTACAGTGTTCTCAGAAAGCAGGCTGAAGAGCTCGGGGGCTTGGAGCCCAAGGCCAAGACTGCATCTTGAATCGCTTTGCGATAGGTCGCTCTGGAGGTATACGTGGTAAGTTATGTTGCAAGATTCATGAACAACTGCCTGTGTATAGACTTAGGATACATTCAAATGGTGTAAAATAGTCTAAACAAGCGGCAGATGCTGTGCCCCAATTCTTGCTTTCCGTATACTATCTGACAGCCAATCCCCCTCCATGGTGTGAGATCCGCAGAGCTCGCCAGAAGTCTAGATCAACCCCAAGTCCTTCGCGCGTATCTTGAGCACGCCCATAGCCAGGCCATTGAACTCGTTGAGTAGCGCCTCCACCGCCGGTGAATTAAGCATCTTCATGTGGTCTGCGATGGTTTTGATGACGATGTCTCGGAGGCCTTTGTCGCTCTCTGGTGTTGTGGAGAAAGCATAATGAGCGGCAGGGGCAAACTGCTGACTCTCCCAGTACTTCTCACATGCGAGAGAGAACTTGGAAAGAGCGAGCTGTTTGAGTCCAAGTACGTCGTACTTGTCGCCGATTTCGTACATCTTCGCACTGAGAAGGAGTTGCGATGCGTCTGCGCCCTTTGGCGGAGGAATCCAGTCAGGGCAGCACTGAGTGCACACGAAATTGACACAGCAGTTCTGGGAGCAGCATTGGTGATGTTGGCAAACCCAAGCATAATCGTCGTCAAAGCAGTAAGGTTGGCAAGTGTGCGGAAAGGAGTAGTGACAGGGGCTCAAGATGTTGCCGCGTACCACTGGCCGGGTCGAGTGTGCCATATTGACGAGCTTGATGTCAACAAGCTTGACGTCGTATTCGCCTTCGTACAGGTACTGCAAAAGTAGCTTCACGATCTCTGGCTCGTCTTCTGAGAGATCGGCCTTGGCAGTCGCAGCTTCCTATTGAATGATTATTATATCACGGTCCTCAAGCTACGTGTAGCTTACTTGTCCAGCAGTGAATCTCTCCGCGCCCTTAAAGAACCCCGACCGAGTACAAACCACACTCTTGTGAACGTTGTAGGTGTCGGTTCCACAGGTGATGACAAAGTCAGAGTAATCGCCAGATTCGAGCAAACTGTGAGGATGTTAGTATTTGAATGGATGAATGGTATGATGGTATTACCTCTTGAACGTGCCCAAGAGCTCTTCGCGCGCCTGTTCTTCCGCCATGTTGTCGTTGATCGAGGAACGATATATCACTGGCTGTGGCGAGTGTTGTTTTGACGAAATATATGCGTACAAATATGGAATAGACGAGAAGAAAGCACGGACGTGAGCATTGGGTGAGGTCAGAAGTGAAGGTGAGTTGCGCGACACGAACCTTCTTAAGCCGTTTCCCAGCTACACTGACACATCCTCTTTTCCAACTCCAACGTTGTATCGGGAACACCTACTGCGATGGCTACCCCAGTGCCGAACGCTCATGTGGTGATGATGAAGGAGTAAGTACAAGCTCATTACCAAAATGTACCCCACAAGTATACACAGCTCTTTTGCTGCTAGGGTCGTAGCGTAGAAGTCCGTGTATATCTTGAGGGTATGTTTTAGTAATTAGCAGTACATTTCAGTGAGAACAAGCTTCGTACTAACCAACACATAGGTTGTTAGCATCAGGCAATTACTCTGACTTCACAATCACATGCGGAAGTGACACATACCGCGTTCACAAGAACATCGTCTGCGAGCGTTCTAGCTTTTTTAAGCGCGCCGAGAGGTTTCCGCGGCCTATTGGCGAAGTACGTCTACTACAAACTCTGCAGACGCGTATCATATCAGTGCTAACGTGATGACAGGAAGCAAGTGAAAGCAAAGTCGACCTATCTGAAGACGAGCCGGAAATCGTACGACTGCTCGTTCAGTACCTCTATGAAAACGATTACGAAGCGGATTCCGACGAGAAATGCGAGCAGAGACGGAAGCAGAAACAGGCTGCCATAGCCCTGCGATCGAAACGCAGCCCCGGTGGCTGTGGCTTCCTCTTGAAATTTCCCCATCAATGTGGTCAGGGTTGTCATTATTCTAGCGTTTGGGTCTGCCCGCATCATCGCTGCGATAACTGCATTTCAAAGTGCAACTTCACATGCAGTACCTGCTCTCCGATCATGGAAGGAGAGAAGATCGACCCGAAATTGTTGCTCCTTCACCCCAAGATGTACGCAATTGGCGACAAATACGATGTGGCAGGTCTCAAGGAGCTAGCACGCACAAAGTTCTCTCCAGTCTGCATGTCATTGTGGAATGAGGAAGGCTTCGCGCAAGTAGTAGAACACGTTCTCAGCACTACACCAGACAGCGACATTGGTCTGCGAGACATGATCTCTAAGACAATGGTGTCGCACGTCGAGCTGCTCAACAAGCCCGCTGTCGCAAAGGCGTTGAACAAGCACACCAGCTTCATGTTCAAGGTCCTCCGACACATAGCTGAAGACAAAGCAGGCTTTGCACTGGCGCACATCAAGCTTTCGTAAGGCGACGTCAGGGCAGAGTTCACAAGATAGGAGGAGCAAACATTGGCGGAGGAAAGTTAGATCCATTCCAGATATCTAATCTACCTCACATTGCGTTCCATGTCAAGAATGATTCCATAACGTACAGTCCATCAACTTGAGCCCAATGAGATAGGAGAAATATGCTCCTTGTAAAGAACCCAACGCCAGTACCGTACCCATCCCATTCCATATAGCAGTAGACCCTCTTGGGTTCATATTAACGATCATTACATGTCACATTTACTGGCTAGCGACGCGCTCCTTGACCTTCTCAAACATGGACTCCATCTCCTCAGCGATGAAGTCCTCGATCTCGGCCTCAAGGTGCTGGAGCTTGCCTCCGACGCGATGGGCGTTGCGGCCAGCAGACTCCTTAGCCTTCTCGAAGTCATCCTCAATCTCGGAGAGAGAGGGGATGGTGATGCGGAACTCGGACTCCTCCTCGTTCTTCTCAGCAGCCTTCTTGACAGTGTAGCCACCCTTCTCAACGATCTCAGTGTAGTTGGAAGAGCCACCACCGTTCCAGGCGAGGATGTTCTTGGTGTTGCTTGGGACGTCAGAGAGAGCACCGACGGTAGCGACGGAGATAAGGTTAGCCTTGAGCTTCTTGGGGGTGATGTCGGCGACAGCGTAGGCAGAGTCCTTGGCAGGCTGGAGAGACAGCATGTAGGCAAGGAGACCAGCAATGTGAGGAGAGGCCATGGAGGTACCAGAGATGGTGTTGGTGGCGTGCTCAGAGCCGATCCAGGTGGAAAGGATGTTGAGACCAGGGGCGAAGATGTCGTTGCACTTTCCGTAGTTGGAGAAGTACGCACGCTCGTCAAGGAGGGTGGAGGCACCGACGGTGACGGCGTTCTCAGCAGCAGCTGGGGAGTAGTTGCAGGAGTCGGCGTTGTCGTTACCGGCAGCAACGGCAAAGTGGATACCAGCGTCAACAGCGGCGTTGACAGCGAGGTCGAGGGTGGTGGACTTGCCACCTCCCAAGCTCATGTTGGCAGCGCTACCCTTGAAGCCCTTCTTCTTACCGTCCTTGGCGGCCTGGACAGTCTCAGAGTGCGCCTTAGCAGCGTACTCGACGCCCTTGACGACGTCGGACATGGTGCCAGAGCCGTTGGAGCGGAGCACCTTGACGGCGTAGACGTGCGCCTTCTTGGCAACACCGTACTTCTTACCAGCAACAGTGCCGGAGCAGTGGGTGCCGTGGCCGTTGCCATCCTCGTCAGCATCGCCGTTGGGGATGGTCTTGCCCCACTTGGCACGACCCTCAAAGTCAACGTGCTTGGTGTTTGTGCCAGTGTCGATGACGTAAACGTCGACGCCCTCACCACCGTCGGCGGCGTAAAGGTACTTGTTCCAGGTGCCGAAGCTCAGGGAGTCGCGGTGCGAGATACGAGCGAGACCCCATGGGGAGTTCTTCTCAATCTCTGGTTCGTCGTGGCCGAGAGTGTGGACCTCTGAGTCGCGCTCGATGTAGTCGACCTATCATGTTGTTAGCGCCAAGTCTTATGCAGGTACAAAGTACCTAGATGGCGTCACGTGTGGTTGCGATGGCGTGCGGAGCCGGAGCTGCCTGCGGAGATAAGGCCGCCAGTGTTTCGAGGCCACGCAGCTCGTGGTAACCTGAATTGCAGCGAATGCCTTTTGGGATAGATGGAGCTGGAGATGAAACTTACATCGGGGTGGTTCCTGATGGCCTCGATGGTCTCGTCATCGAAGTGACCAGAGTAGCCCTTCATGCCGGCCATCTCGTAGACGTGCTTGAGACCATCAAAGACCTCAGTGGTAACAGGGAATTGCGATGAGCGCTTTCGCAGCTCCATGCGCTCCTCATTGTTCTTGGAGTGGACGCTCTGGACCCAGTCGTGGTGCTTGGAGGCATCCTTGACGTGCTTCTTGAAGACGACCATGTAGCTGTTGGGCACCTCCTTGGCCGATGTCGATGACAAGACTGGGGCTGAGCCCTTGTGGATGGTCTCTGCCTGGAAGGTAGGTGACGCAGCGGCCAAAGCCGGTAGCGCGGCGATCAGGCTGTACTTCATGATTGCGGTAGCTCGCACAGCGAGAACTAGAAAGACAAGCGTAAAAGGGAGATGAAAGAAGCTTGATAGATGAAGGACGGGGGGATGAGAGGGAGGTGTGTGTTGTGGAGGAGAGATGGGGATGCAGCTGGGGTAGCTATGGCGATGGGAGCTTCTTATCAGGACCGAGGTGCATGGCCCGGGCGCGCTAGGTGGATGACGCATGACCTATCCGCGCCCGCGCGAGTGAGGCTGGGGTGAGCTAGTGCACGCGCCATGAGTATCAGATGAATGATACATGGTTGGTATCAGGGCGTCCGTGGCAACGATATTCGAACGAGGAACGCGCCCCGTAGCTGTTGGGCTTGGTTGGATGAGTTGGCTTGGACATGCATCCGTCTGATGTTGGACGGGACGCAGGCTACGACACGCTCGAACAGCCACTCTCCAGGGTCAGCCACAATGCGTCCTCACGTGAGGCAATAGTCAGAAGCTCACCAAGCGGCCCGCGTGAGACACGGAGCGCTGTCTATCATAACTGCATTGGTTGTCTAGACAGACTACGTGCACTGTTCCTAAATAGCGCATTCTTTATCAGTGTACCTTGCTTGCGACGACGCGACGTTGCTCGGCGGCTGCCTGAGCTCTGGAGCGACAGCAGGGATCAGCTTCGATGACCGAGTTAGCAGCAACCACCACGAACGCGGCGCCCGCCCGCCGTAATTAGCCCTCGATATACGCCAACCCACGACAAAAAGACCCCGCTCTACTCGTCGGCGCATTCGAGCTTCGTGTGCGGGTTTGGGGCTCTGGAGATATGAAGGTGCTATCCACGCAGCCATCTTCCCCGCCGAATTTCCGCAGCAGCGGCCTTGACTGAACATGGCGACTTCCCGGCCTCACAGGTCCTCCACAGCCGCCTCAAGACTCCCGCCCATGAACAACCAGATAGCCGAACTCCGAAGCCTAGCGGACGAATTGATCAGAGCGTCCGAAGCCACTCCCCCGACCTCCGAAGTCCTCCACAACCAGAGCAACGCGCTCCGCCGCATGCGCCAGCTGCTGATCGAATCAAACGACCAAACCCATACCAAAGATGCCTTCAGACATGTCCGAGGCTTCGAGACGCTCCTCATCACCCTGCGCTCGCTCTCTGGCTTCTACAAGCCCGCCGAGCTGCCTGTCCCCGACCGCATCGACTTCTTCGAGGTGATCAAGGGAACGCTGGATGTCCTGTCAGACGCGCTGAACGAGCATGCCGGTAACAGGCGCTTCTTTGCAAAGCGCGTCGAGCACGGCGGCTGGAGTGCTTTGGAACAAGCCTTGGGCAGCACAGGAATTTTCGGCGGGCAGTCACAGAGCAAGCGCGACGATGCTGGTCAGGAGCAGCTGTTCGGCACCCTGTTTGCTTTTGCACTGGGCGAAGAGGCCATGACACGCATATTCAGAGACATTGATAAGAAGCTCGATATCACACAGTCAAAGTCGGAGGAAGATGCAGGCCCCGATGGCGACTCACAGGCTACAGAAATTGTAGTCTCTAGCCCGCGGTCCATGTACAGTGACACCGACATCGATCTCGACCCCCTGCGCAGCCAGGTCCGTGCTATATTCAGCGGCAACGAGATACTGCAGAACCCAGACATCATCCCAACCGTATTCCACTTTTGGCAGGGTTTGTCTGGTGAAGATGTTCCAGGCACACGGTCCAAGGCTCTCTCTGTTTCGGTGTTGCTTGCCATCCTTGAGATCGTTTCCATCTCTTCCTTTAACAAAGCTGCTCTACATGTCACTGGCGTCCTGAGTATAGTCTTGCCTCTTCTTTTTGAGAACAAGTGCGCTCCCGTAGAAGCTGGCCTATTACTAGAGCTGGCCGATGGCTTAGTGCAGTACGGTATAAACAAGCTCGACGATGCATACTATCTCTTCCGCAAAGCAGCGTCTTCGGAATCAGCTGCCAAGTTCCTCCTACGCGGTATGCACTCGTCTCGCGACCCGCCTTTCATACAGTTCGATCTCTCTCTGCATGGCTTCAGTGCGATTGAACTTCCAGATATCGGTCGTCCATTTCCGCCCATGTCTACGGGAGGCGGATACACGTTCGCGGCCTGGATACGAGTCGATAGATTCGATACCAACTGTCATACTACACTCTTTGGCGCTTACGATGACACGCAAACGTGTTTTCTAATGGCATATCTGGAGAGAGATACTCGTTGCTTCATCCTGCAGACCTATATGGGTCATTCTACTGGTGTCGTACCTAGTGTCCGGTTTAAGAAAGCACCTCGTTTTGAAGCGGGCCGGTGGTATCACATCGCTATTGTCCACAAAAGAACAAAGGCTATTGGTATGGGTGCTGCCAAAGCATCACTTTTCGTAGATGGTGAGTTCACCGAGACTATGAAGGCACACTATCCTTCACATCCTCCGGTGCTAGATAGCAGCCAGGAGAGCTTTGCCTCCATGTCTTCCAGCGTGTCGAAGCACCACATACTCGCATTCCTGGGGACACCACGGAACTTGGCGCCCCGACTGGGCAGAAACGTCATCTCTTCTAAGCTCTCAGTTGCTTCGTTCCACCTCTTCTCTGAACCCCTGTCGGATGAGCTGATCGCCGTATATCACAAACTTGGTCCGCGTTACTGTGGAAATTTCCAAGATAGACTTGGGTCGTTCCAGACCTATCGCACGTCTGCTGAGCTTCATGTTCACAACGAGATACTACATCCCGGGAGGGAGGAGCGATCCGACATCGTAGCAGCTATCCGGGCGAATGCAAGTCATCTAATGCCAGAATCCAAGATTCTGCTGAGCTTTTCCCCTAGTTCCGTCATGGATGACGATGACAGAAATGCCATCGATGAATCTCAGCTAATCCGATCCCTCTCACGAGAGTCAGCTAAAACTCTTCACAAGTATACCAGACTGCATAGCACTCCAATCATCATCAATGCTGCCGTGCCTTCGGTCAACGACGCATTGTCTCAGCCGAGAGGATTTGGACGATTATCGGGTGACCCTGTCGTTGTCGTTCCACAATCGCTCGACGACGCCATCTGGCGAATCGGCGGATGTGTGGCGGTTGGGTTGAAGTTGGTACAGTCAGCTCAGACTCTGGACAGTATGCTTCGTTCTGTCAACATCTTACTCGAAGCTGTTGGAGGCAATTGGCGCAACTGTGAGGCCATGGAGCAACGCAACGGATTTGCTGTTCTGGCCGAGGTCATCCGCCAGAAGATTGGATTTGCCATGGGGGGATTGGTGGGCCGCAACCCGTCTTCGCTGGATGTGACACCGGAAGACTGCGAAAGTTTTGTTATGCAGCTGCTGCGAATCGTCCTTCGATTCGTCGGCTATGATGAAAACGAGCCGACCGAGTCGCTCATCATCAACCCTCTCGCATATAGGGTGCTCTTAGTTGATCTTGAGATCTGGCGTAGAGCTACTTCACTGGAAACCCAGAAGCTATATTACTTGCAATTCGCGCACTTTGCCAAGGGCAGTAAGCATCATCACTACAACGCTAAGCGGTTTCATAGGATACGTACGTATAGCTGCATGATGCGCCGACTCTAGCTAACATACCAAAGGAGTTGTCAAACGTCTTACGGATGCTCTCAAAGGAGAGAATTTCACACCACAGACATTCAAGCTATTCCTTGGTGCGTTTAAAGCCTTGCTCGTCATCAACTTCAACGGAGAGAATGCGAGATCGCTTTCTCTTTTCGTTACGTATGCGCTGCATGACAGCCGCGCATCATATGCCAAACGGGGGTTGCGGCCAAAAGCGAGTGTCGTCCGCCTTCGCAAGAACACGCCGACGCTGACACCAGAATCGACTCCGCGGTCGAATAGTCCAGCGTCAATTGGCGCCAGCTCACCACCGCTATCTCTGCCAGAACTAGGCATTGCTATCCTCAATCTTCTGGCAGAGCTTCTTTGTGACCCTCAGAATCCACAGGAAATCATCCGTTTTGCAAAGAATGTTACCGGAAAGTGGCTGCTGTACCTCCTCGCTGAGCCGGAGCAACGAGTCGTTGTTCTTGGCGCAAAGATCTTAGCTCGATTGCTTGTCGTAAATGGCTCGCACTACGTCAAGAAGTTTGCGGATAAGACTGGAGGCTTCATCCTGATGAAGAATAGACTGCGTCATTGGTGGAATACCCCAGGTATTTGGACTATCTGTTTTGCGATACTCTTCGGTCGAGATGTTGCATCCATTGACTTTGAGCGCGATTTCGACGTCTTCAATCTAGTTGACATCTTCATTGCGCACTCACCACAGTCTCAGCTGAGGATCTGGTACCCTGAAGTGTTCCCAGTAATTACTGCAATGCTGGAAACAGGCCTGAGAGCGATTGTCCGGGACCGAGACCTCACCCGAGCGGATGATGGCCCACCTAAGCAAGAGAATGGCGAGGGCACAGTCACACGGGGTCGTCGCAGAACAATGTCGCTGAATGCTAAACAACCGAAAGTTGGTATGTATCGCTCACCTAGTGTATTGTATCAATACTGACCACACTAGACACCCGAGCTCCCCAGACAGATCGCCTAAACGATTTTGCTGTTGTTCTTAACTCTGCTATCCAATTCTTGTCCGAGCTGCATTCGCGATCGGAAGGTTTCCGCGACTACACCAACTCGTCCAACTACGTCCAGGAGTTACTCTTCGTCCTCTATCCAGTGATTGTCACATCTGATAACGTTAGCGCTGAAACTGAATTACTTTCGAGAGGGTCCGCGTTGACATTCGAGGGCCAAGATGTGGTGATACGGCCGCTTTCTCGAGCCAATGGGCATGAAACGCCGGTGGTTCGTACGACTAATGTCGATGTATCGCCTTCGCCTTCGTCCCGCCGTGTGTTGCCTTTCCGCAGAGCCTCGTCTTTCGTACTAGTCTCCGCGGATAAGAAGAAGGTCGCGCAGCAGCGTTCGCTCAACCCGATACTATCTCCCAAATACGCTGCTCCGCTTGCGCTCAAAGTTGGTAGCTCGGTGGTGGAGGCTACACTGGAGGTTGTTCTAGATGTATTCAAGGACCAGATCTTTACGAGGAAAGAATTCCCTGGACTCGGTTTGTTCATGAAAACACCACCTGGGTTCCAAGAACATCAAGCGTATTTTGAGTCATACATCCTTCGACAGACGCTCTCGTCCGTAAAGAACGCGCTTCAGTTTGACCAGCAGTTACTGCACGAACCGCGTGTGCTCACCAATTTGGCGCGCTTCGTGACTCATGTGTCCGAAGCGGTCTTTGAGGGCTGGTTTCTTGATGGTGCGGAGCCCTTGCTCGACTTCTCTGGGTTCCTTCTGGAATACTTGGAACGTCCAGACATTGCGACAATCAAGTCTGTCAGACTCTGCACGCAAGCCATCCAATCAATTCGCAACACCTTCCTGAGAGTCGCTCTACTCCGTTTGGCAGAATCAGATGAGACTGAAGGCGGAGAGACTACAACAGCAGTGATCGAGAAGATGATGTACTGGCAACCCATCATCCTCTCTTCTGTCAATAACGAAACGTTTTCGCTGAAGATGATTTGCTACCTTCTTTACACGCAGCTGTCATCGGAACACACGGCCGTGCGTCTTGCGGCTGCGAACTTCTGGCGATCCCTCATGGTGCAGAAGCCTCACGAGACATCTATGATATTGGCTGATGCCATTCATGGAGACACAAAGGACCTCTACGATGGCTTCCAAAAGCTGGTCGAGCTAGACAACGAAACGTTCCTCGAATGGCTCGACAAGAACAAGACAGAGATGGATAAGTTTTTCTACGGCTCCATGACCAAATCGTGGGAAGACTTTGCCCACAGCCAGAACAAGAAGACCGAAGAGACATCCCAAAGGCGCATCGCAAAGCGCAAGGAAAAACTGAAGCAGTGGCAATCTGATGAACTTGCTGCTGACAACGTCTGGAATCACCACGAGAACTCAACAAACCACTGGAGATCCAATATACATGCTTCTGAACGTATCAAGCATCAGCGCGTTCTCCAAGACCAGCAGGATAATGCTACCTACATGGCGACCGTACTGGCGAAGCTCGATCACCAACTCAAAGGTCCATGCGGCTTGTTCGAAGAGAGTCCACCTGCCAGATGGCGGCTTGACGAAACGGAAGGTCGTGATCGAAAACGTCTGCGTATCATCGTCGATAATACTACCAGAGAGCAATCCTACCAACCCAAACGGAAGGACACAGACCCAAGAGAAAGGCCAAAACTAGACACTACAGTGCCAGCGATCTCGGCGAAAGAAGCTGTTGGCGTTACACCTGTCAAAGGACGATCCGCTAGGTCTTCCTCCGCCGTAAGCGGCGCATCGGGTGATCCCACAGAGGAACCGGAGTCTGCCAGCGACGATGACTTCGAGATGGTCGAGGCCATGTACGAGGATGAGGATGGCTTCGAAGACAAGAACCGTAAGGTCATGCGCAGTCTGAATCGCGGCGACCAGGTGCAGTATGTCTGCAACATTTCACGGGTAGTCGGACTGGAGGCGATCGAAGGCCTTCTCATTGTCGGAAAAGACTGTCTCTACTTGCTTGACGATTTCTTCCAGCGGTCTGACGGTGAGATTGTACGCGTATGGCAGGCGCCGCCCGACGAGCGTGACCCTTACGTGCAAGTCATCGCTGGAAAGGAGGCTGTTACCACTCGTCGACCACCACCAAGGAGCCAGGAAGATGCAGTGAGAAACTGGAAGTGGACTGAGGTCATCAGCATCTCGAAGCGACGCTTCCTCCACCGCGATGTCGGAATCGAGATATTCTTCGACGATGGCCGTAGCTATCTTCTAACCGCTGTCTCTGCTCAGGCGCGAAACGACATACACTCCAGAGTTCTACAACGAGCTTCTCATGTTGCCAATCCAGAGAAGTTTGCCAATTCTGAGATCTCTTGGCGCCTTGACTCCTTGCGCAACCCGGAAGAAGCACCGCAGACTTTTGGGTCACGTTTCGCATCAGCTTTCGGCTCTGCTTCCGCTCACCCAGCGACTAAGAAGTGGCTGAAAGGAGAGATGTCCAACTTCCATTACCTCATGTTTGTCAATACGCTCGCCGGAAGGACATTCAACGACCTTACACAATACCCAGTCTTCCCCTGGGTGTTGTCAAATTATCATAGTGAAGAGCTGGACCTCAGCGATCCAAGCAACTTCCGAGATCTCCGGAAACCTATCGGTATTCAAGACCCGAAGCAAGAGCACCTCATTAGAGAAAGATTCAGTTCTTTTGCCGAAATGGGAGATGCTAGTCATGCCTTCCACTATGGCACCCATTACTCGTCTGCCATGACTGTGGCATCGTATCTTATGCGCCTTCAACCATTTAGTGCTGCTTTCTTCCTCATTCAGGGTGGTACGTGGGATCATGCTGACCGTATGTTCTACTCAATCCAGAATGTTTGGGAGTCGGTATCAGCAAAGAACATGGCCGATGTACGCGAGCTTACGCCAGAGTTCTACTTCCTCCCCGATTTCCTGACCAATGTCAATGGGTACAATTTCGGTCTGCGATCCGACGGCTCGACCATCGACAACGTCAAATTACCCCCGTGGGCCAAGGGCGACCCTGCCATTTTCATCGCCAAGCAACGCGAGGCGCTGGAAAGCCCTTATGTCAGCCAGAACCTGCATCACTGGATTGATCTGATCTTCGGTTACAAGCAGCGAGGCGAAGCGGCGATTGAGGCTGCCAACGTCTTCCATTACATGACATATCAAGGTGCAATCGATCTCGATACTATTGTGGACGAGAAGGAGCGCGCGCAAAAGATCAGTGTCATCAACAACTTCGGACAGACACCTCCACAGGTCTTCCAACGACCACATCCGCAGAAGGAGAATATCACAAGACCTACTAAGCTCGATACGGCGGCTGAGAGCTTGCATCGCGTACCCGGCACGTTACTTGAGTCGAATGATCGTATCTCATCCCTCAATTACATCAGCAAGAGCGACAAGCTCCTATGCTCTGCACCATTCCGGCATAACATCCCCCCGCACCATGATCGTTACATGGAGTGGGGTTTCACAGACGGCAGCGTGCGCTTCTACGACTCACACTCCAAGAAGCTCATTGGACTATTCGAGCATCTACACTCCGGCCAGCTGACAACCTCCCTATTCATCGACGGCAGCACGCTTATCACAGCCGGAACCGATTGCACTCTGGCAATTTGGAATATGAATAAAGGTGACCGAGGCCACATCGACCTCCAAAACGCAACCACATTGTTCGGCCACAAATCCTCCGTCATCACACTCGCCGCAAGTCGCGCCTTTTCCGCTTTCCTCTCTGCATCACTCGACGGGCGGGTCTTCCTTTGGGATCTAAATCGCAATGAATTCGTCCGGGAACTGGATCTCGGTCCACGACAGAAACGTAACCCAGTGCCGATTCAAGCAGCCAGGATAAACAGCGTCACAGGACACATTGTGCTCGCATGCGGCAGCCGACTCATCGTCACCACACTCAACGGCGCAGTGCTACTAGACGAAGACATCTGCGACAGCGAAGACGACGCAGATAGCATAACCGCCGTTGCCGTCTACGAAGGCACGGGCAACGAGTGGTGCGAACGCGAGCTCATCTTTACCGGGCACAGGAGAGGCATCGTTAAGATTTTCCACCTTATGCCCACGCCACCGACTATTTACACGCCCCCCGGGTCAATGACGGCGACGACGCCTAGCAAGTGGTCTTTGAACCTTGTCAATGTGCTTAATCATGGTGATCCGACGGTGCCGTTGGCTGCGGCGCCGATTACGTGTATACTGCCCATGGCGAATCATGTTTATACGGGGGATGAGGAGGGGAGAGTTGTAAGTGATTTTTTTGTTTTTCTTTTCGTTCATGATGATGCAGGTGCTAATCTGATGTTGTAGTATGAATGGGATTGCGTGCATCGGCACTACTGAATATAAGCAGCACGTTGGGGTGAGGTTGGTGCGCTTTTTGACATGGGGAATGGTGTTTTGGGCGCGGCTTTCTTCTTGCATTGGGGTAGATAGTTGGGTGTGTAGCATTGTGGGGAGCGAATAGATATGGTTTTGGCATTTTGACCCTGCTCGTTCAAAGATGGATATAGTTTTTTCACTTCTTACTAAGTTGTCTTGTTGGGAGGAAAGTTACACAAAGCACGAGTTACAAATAAGTTTAAGTCGCAAAAAATATCTTTACTGGGAGCAAAAGAAAAGAGATTCAAATAAACGCAACAGCAGGTATCTACTGATCATTCTTTGCCTAAATACTGATCCGCTAGTAGACTACTTGCATATGGCTGGGCGGACGGTAAGCCTTGGTATCCTTTGTGGTCACCACACCAACCGGTGAACTAGCTGTTCTTGCTACCACGTAGCACGAAGAACCGGTGAAATAACGCCTGGCAGTGATCCAATAGTCTCTGACGGCTAAGCGTTCTACTGGTTCAAGTATAGAACCTGGATACCGATCGCTCCTCATCGAGCAAGAGGTGTGTCGCCACCAATATGATAGGCGCCATAATTGCCTCATGCAGACAACTACGAACCGAAACGGGTTCTTGGTGCCCATACGTCCGTGTCTTAAACATTTGAACTGCCCACAGTCTCTAATGCGTACACTTAGGTATTGTGTAAGCCGCAGAGCACCTTCCCTCTTCATTCGAAGATCCCTTGCTCAGCCTCCCCAACTACTCTATCGTGTTTGGACTATCACAGCACCTGGGCGTTCATATTGGACAGCTTTGCTTCTTTCTACGTCATCTTCTAGACGCCAGAAGCAGGTTTCCAATCTAATGCTATTCGGATCCTCGTTAGATGACATTCATCAACGGTGAGGTCAAATTGCTACACTGTAGCCTAGTGTTTCGATAGGATCAGAGCAGACAGGGGCGCGTGGGCTTGTGCGACTCGACAATCTCGTATAATCTTACAGCCGGCCAGTTACAACATCACGCCCGATAACTGATTTTCTCGCCCCCACACTGCGTTGGATGTCGGAATCTTGGTCAAAGGAGAAGTTTGACAAGAACAGGTAGTACAAATTCTTCCTGCATTTTTGCGTGGCACGATCAAAGCATTGTACACTTTCAACATGGCTTCAAACGATCCGTCTCCAACTGGCCGTACGTCAAACGACCCTTCTGGGGACTACGAAGATGGCGACTCTATGGTAGATTCAATCAAGGACCAAGACGAAGACAAGGAGCATGATGTGGATTTGAGTTCGCCACAAGATTCAAGTTTGCGGCGTAGTATCAATAAGATCTGTTCGGGACTTTATGATATAAAGAACGTGGTGAAGGAGAAAGCTGGTCTGCACACGGATACGCTCTGCGCAACCTGCAAGAAGATACCATTCGCGGAGTGCCTACCAGGCGATGCCGAGGAAGATAATGAAGAAACCGACCGCAGTAGTCGAGCACAAGATCCGCTTATATCCTACATAAGCCTGTCACGGATTCTAGAAAATCGCAACTTTTGCAAGTTTTGTAACCTCCTTTTCAAGGCCGTTTGCGAGCCAGAATACGATTTGCTGGAGGCACAACATATCGGAAAGTATCTGCCAGAGAGCTTCAAGTACAAAAGATTCGCAGATTGGATCGAGGAAAACTCATACTGGAAACGAAATTTGGTGGGGGGTGCTGGGATGTGGCCGTTTGGATACGCTGCAGGCGAACAAGCTGCCAGCTCGACGCTACAACAAGCAAAGACACTGTTTCTAGAGGCGGAAGATCGCGACATTAACACCAAGAGCCTCAATATGAACGACCTTAGGGATATGTATAATTCTAGAGACACGGTAGCCGATACAATGGTTGCAGCTAACACAAGTCTCGCAATCATTAATCTCGTCACGAACCAGAAAAGCGAGGGGTTGCAGAAGGGATTGGGAAGCGCTCAGTTTGCGATGGGGCAACTAGCCCTATTACGGAGTAAAAAGAGAAAGCGGCTGCCCTGCATTTTCATGATCAGAGCGTATCGAAAACACGAGGAGAAAAGAGGAGCCATGAGTGTACGTGTATATGGGCACGGGGGAGCACCTCTCGCACCCTTGAAGGAAATATGTCATTTCAGCCTGCGTTTCGAAACTTCCAGCAGCCCACGATTGGTCAAGCAGCAGATTTGGTATAGCCAGAAGATCGGTCCTCGAATCGATGTCGCATTCTTCAAGCACTGCGTTAAGGCATGCACGTCGAGGCACGATTGTGGAGAATTGTTGAGTGATTCAGTGAATGAGGCTACATCAACTCCAGAGTTGGAAGAGGCCGCCATATTTCGACTTGTTGATGTGAGAAAGATGTGTATCACGGAGATGAACTTCTGTAATATGATCCGCTCACGCTCCCGCCGAAGATACGTAGCTTTGAGTTACAGATGGGGGATTCTACCACTACTGGAGGGCTGGAAAGAGTACAAAGACGATGCAGGGCGACCTTACTACCACAATGAGGAAACGACTGACGTAACATGGACTCGGCCAACCTCATCTATACGCCTCACTTCGACTAACAAATTCGCGTTGTCAAAAGAGCATAGTCTCGAGGCCGAAGGTGTTCATATCCCAAAGACCATCAAAGACGCCATCGAGGTCGTCCAAGCCATCGGCGAAGAATACATGTGGGTCGATCAGCTCTGCGTCCCTCAAGAAGGTGATGAGCACGTTATGCACGCCAACATCCAACGCATGGGTCACGTATACAACCGTGCCCTCTTTACCATTGTTGCTGGAGACAGCTCGCACGCTGATGAAGGGTTGAGAGGACTCCATGGTCATCCCAGCCGTGGCAAACAGGTCTTTGAAGATGACATCATTAAGAGTACCCGGATGGTGCTGCCCACGCGCATGGAATTGAAATACGGAGCTTGGGAAGAGCGGGCATGGTGTCTTCAAGAGAAGTTACTTTCTAGAAGGATACTTATCTTCGCAGGTGGATTTGCAGTGTGGCATTGCCGGGGAGGAACGTGGAGGGAGGATGTTAATGCGTTGGACGGAGATAAATCGTTGATTTCGTTTCCATGGCTTAGACTCACGCCCTTGCCGCAACCTAGCCATGATATCCCGCCAGCAATGCAGATTGTACGAGAGGATGGGAGTGTGAGACTGATGAGACTGCCGTCGATGCACCAGTATATCGATGCAGTAGAAGATCTGGGTAGAAGGACGATAGGGAAGAGTTGTGATATTCTTAGTGCGTTCAATGGTCTTGCAAACGTTCTTTGTGGCCCAGGGTTTCTCAACTCTCCTTTCCGAAACGGATTACCATGTCACTTCCTGGATGTCGCACTCTTATGGCAATCAGATGAGCCTATGCGTCGCCGCCAAGATGACTTCAACAGAAAATGTCCGCCAAGCTGGACGTGGGCGGGCTGGGAAGCTGCACGAGCACTATTTGTATCTGGCAGTAAGGGTGCGCAAATTCGTTTTGACCAGCCCTTCGACGTCTTGGTCTTGGACTCCGGCATCGTTCGACGGTACCGCAGATGCGGCGAAGAACGCATTCGTCCCCGCAAAGGCACATTCTACGGTATCCAGGAAAAGCGTCATGGTCTCTCCCTGCAAGAACTGGGGCTCTTCGGCATGCCCAACATGAGTGCTAGAGGATTCCGAGACTGGGACTCGGCGGACGCCAGACCAGCACCAAAACCGAGACTAAGCATATCACTGCACGAGTTGACAGAGCAACATCTTATCGTGAATACGGAGCTAATGAACCTAACGTTGGATAGCGATTGCTGGAAAGTTCGGACATCGACGAAACGCGCTGGTGATGAGCACTGCATCATCGAGTTTCACGACACTAGACCCACCGAAATAACATCGAAAGCGGAGGGTGTAGCCCAACCAGATCTGCAGATCAAAACTGTCGTGTCTCGAGAGCACTGGGTCAATACCTCAACGCATCGTAGAGCCGGCACCGTAAAGTTTGACACCGGATTTGATGAACATCGCGCAAATTCCGTGACCGCGATCCTGCTGTCAGAAGCGCAGTACCTGGGTAACGAGAGAAGGCCAGACGTTCTAGGCTATCCACTCTACAATATCCTTGTGGTAAAGACGGTAAGAGTAGAAGGTGGTGTAAAGTTTATGGAGCGCATAGGTCTTGGGAGGATATACAAATATGCGTGGAGAGGAGCAGGGGCAAGAAAAGAAGTGGTTGTGTTAGAGTAACGCAAATGATTGTTGGTTGAGCTTGGGTATGCAACTATGCATGCTACTAGTGTAAGCGCCTTCGAGGAAGTGTCTGGTTTTGGGAAGCTAGTTCGTAAGCATGGAGAGAGACAGTTTCATTCGAGAGAAGAGAAGAGAAGAGAATAGAAAGTGGGCAAACCTTTCTCAAACCACACTGTTGAGGCTGACTACCTACCTACATACTGAAGTTGCGCGACGTGCCTGCTTTGAAAGAGTACTCGGTTCAAAAAGACAAAAACATACAACGGCAGAGATTGGCTAGTAGTCACCCACCTAACTACTAATCCGCCAGTACACTGCTTGTATATAGCTGAGCAGACAAGAAGCCTAGCATTCTCCTAGTCGTTTGACCACAAGATTCCTCAATTTTACCTTATTGAGACGTGTCGTTACAAAAAACAGAAGAAAGCAACATATTGGGGCGCGTGACGAATGTATGGAGGCCATTAGCAGGGGTTCGATCTAGTAGGGGTAAGCGTTGCGTACGCTCACTATTGGTAAGTACTGAAAGGGACAACAAAAATGGAGAAGCAGGTAATAGAGATCCGTTCTTGTCCAACCAATTTACATGCAAAGCCCAAGCACAGGCGGAGAGCTTCACTATACCAAGTTCTGCATGCGCGTCCCATGGTTCCGCAACCTCCCAAAAGCACCCTCGTCAAGTCAAATCGCTTCAAACTCCACGAACGCTGCCAAATCGCGCATCTCCAACAAAACCAAAAAGGACGCAGCCCGAGCCCAACCATGACTCCAAGTGGCCCCAAGCTACCAAAGAACCAGAGGGGCAAGGCAGAGTATAAAAGACTTGCGGACGCCCCCCAGGTTAGTCTCCAAGGACACTTCACTTCGTAGGTGTTCTGTTGAGCTACGCAGAGTTAGCAAAGCTATGCGGGACGACTTTTAGGTCAGACAGGGTTATCGTCATCGGCCGGAGCCTCAGAATGCTCTGAGTGTGTCTTCATTCCACCCGCCTTTGAAAAGTCCGGACGCTGTGGCCCATGTCGATTCAGATACAAGTGCGACATGTATGTAGTATGCTCGTAGTGGCAGACATAGCAGCGTGCGAGTGATATTCGTTAAGGATGACCGGTATGGTGGGATTGGATTGGAGGCGCGTACGCTGATGTGCTTTTCCAATGTTCCGAGTGCTGAAACCTCAAGTCAGTGTGGGTGCTGGATCTTTGGTAATAGGAAGTGGAAATGAAGTTGAGGGAGGAACGTGTAGCGACGGAGTTGCGGTAGAGTGGAGATGGGTCAGAGGTGAACTTATAGTTATCGGCCTCTTCACCCTCCTTGGTTGTCGGGTCCGGCTTGAGATGTTCAAGGAAGTCGCTCGCTTGCTCAGTGCCGGGCTCGCAGACTAGGAAGTATTGCAACATAGCATCGTGCAGCATAGTGAAGCAGGTGAGCTTCTTCTGGATGCGAGCTTGATATTGCCATGGTAGTGCTTGGTTGACTCCAAGAGTGGAGTGCTTGAGTCGAGGCAGTGGCCTATGAGTGTGTTGTTGCATTGGAATCGTAGACCATCGAAGCTGGGAGCCGTGAACTCGGTGGACTCGCATGTAAGGTGCATCGGCTATGTCAAAGACTGAAAGCTCATGTGGCTAATAGGAGACTGTACAAGGGACCGAAGTGGTTGCATGTGAAAAGAGTTGAGTATAGAAGAGATGGACAGTGGAGCGAAACGCAGCTTTAAATAATGCAGAATAAACACACGACCAGTTCTTCCTTTCCTCTCCTCAAACGGTCGTCCTTCCAGTTCTGATTGTTCCAGGCACAGCCTTACCTTCCGGGAGAGAGTGCAGTCGCAAGTTGTTGTACGTAGTAGTGGTGGCCAGCCTAGACTGCCTAAGTGGCATGAGCATCAGACGTCAGATTTTTCTTAAATAGTAAGAGCGCATAATTGCGTTGACAAGTAGGATACGTGCATAGCTCGATAGCGCTTGCGCTACAACTGACGTTACAAAGAATTGCCTTACGTCCAAAATTCAAGCTTTCAGCTGCTCAGTTATGTAGCGCAAATGTAACGCACATCAGTTGTCAAGAGCCTACTAACAGGACTGGTTATCGTGACAGTCATCGCTTGGATGTCTCAGAACTGTGACAAAGTGGAAGGTATCTACAACAGGGCTCTGCTTGGCAGTCCTCTACTGGAAGTGTCTCTCCACGTCCAGCCACGACTACAACAAAACTTGCTAGTATGGAGATACCCAGGCAGTGGTTAGAAGAGGCGGATTGATAGCACGTTGGAGTTCAATATATGATCACAGGCCAGACTCATGCTTTCAGTTTGGTATCTATGCTATGAAGCTTAGCTGCCTAAGGGACAGGTTGGCCGAGAACAGAAAGACCCGCAACGGTGATCTCAAAACGGGGCCAGAGCAGACGACGACCTAGGCAGGACAACTAATCTTCAGTGTCCTGTGGTAGGATGTGCGAGAAAGATTGTGACCTGATCTCATAAACTGCATAATGCACATCACAGTGGCAGGCAGCAACGCACATTGGGGCGTGTGTCGGTACTGTGATGCCGATACACTAGCACAAGATATGATTTGTGTGGAGTTTGTCTTCATGCATGCTGTTCGAGAGATGCCTGTAGTATATCAGTGTTGATGACAGTTGACGTGGTGAGCTGTGAATGAGATGCGAAGTAAGGGTCCAGGACCGATAAGGCAGCAAGACGAAAGTAGGGGAATGTTTGCAGTTTTGAGATTAGCTCTTAAGCATGAAGTGGGGTATATTGACTGGTAGTACTTATCACTGATCATGATCTGAGCGCTGATGTATACTAGTCTTATGACGATGCTTATCTGGCGGGTGCTTGGCGATGCTTGTTTGCCTTGGGTGGTAATGCGTGTACGCGCATTACACTCTCTTGACGGGATGACTATACGTGGCGGTTGATCCTTGTCGCTAGATAATGTTGCTGATGCATCTGTTGCTGGGTAGCTGCTTGATCAGGTGTGCTTCGGTTAAGTCTGGACAATGCTTTGCGCTTCAGCTAATAGTCGACGGGGATTGCTTGTGGTGGGGCTATTAGGCTACTATGACAGCGATTTGTAAGTCCTCTGAGAATTAATTCGTCCACTCTTCGACGTGATGTATTCCTTGGAGGTGAGATGTGAGGGTACGAAAAAGGGATTGCTTTGAGAGGTTACAAGGTCCTGCGGTGCTGATCAGGTTTAGTGCCGGATCAGCGACGGCGACAAGTTCTTGGTATTGTGCGGATACTACACTCCAGTTGAGCCGCAAACATGCAAAGGGTCGCGTGCAGCTATCTGGGCTGATAGAAATAACACCACACATGTTCTGCTTTAAGAACTGGCGTTGGTCGATTGCGGGGTTTCAGGGAAAGGGTACACCAGGACTAGCCACGGAATCAGCTAGCTCATGGGGGAGGAGATCCGCACCTTTCCGGACGCAGCATAACCCCACTATTAGGCCGCGTGCTTTGAGCCAATACTGACCGATTAGCACGTCATTTTTCGCCTTAAGTCTGGGTCGTCGTCACGCCGCGCTCGCTCTTTCGCAAACCCAAAGACAACGCGACATCCCGAGCGACAAACCGAACGATACATGGAGTCGCCGGAAACGCCCGCTGTGCCTGAGACTGCTGCTAAGAAGCGCAGAAGACCAGTCAATGGTATGCGATATGGCCCCTCGAAATGGCCACAGGTGTGCTAACAGTGTTCGTACAGCCTGCGCTACTTGCCGTGCGAGAAAGGTAACGCTTCGTTGTTTCTTAGGAAGTTCTGTTGGATTTTTGGTTTCCAGGATACGACAGAGCAAACTTTATGAAAACACCAGTGCATTGTTATGGTGGTCGAATTGCCGGCGTTGCGGTCTTCGGATACCCGGGAACCCAAGAAAGCAGGGTCCACAGAGCTGACGATCTCCAGGTCAAGTGCGATGAGCGACCGAATGGCTGTGTAAATTGTGAACGACTCCAGCTAGACTGCGTGCAGAATGGCGGGGTTTCAGCTGCTGCGAAGAGACCAAGTACATCGTACGAACCAGTCGTAGGAATCAAGCGGAAACGGACATTTCGATCTTGTATCCCTTGTCGAGACTCCAAAGTCAAATGCTCTGGCGAACGACCAAATTGCACGAGGTGTCAACAGCGCCGAACTTCATGTGTTTACGATGCCGAACAAGTCGAGCCAGCTTGGGTGCAGAGCATTGCGACTCCAGCTTCAGAAACGCATGCCGATTCGATGATAATACCCCCTCATACTCCCCAAGATTCTCGAGCACCTTCCAGGGGATATGGTCCGCTATCCAACAGCGAGCCTGTTGTACCGGGGTGTCCACCAGGCCTGCTATGGTATGCTTGATGAATTCACTCAATTGTATTGAACTGATAAAGACCTATAGGTTGTTCTCACCACAGCTACCACCAAGAATCAAGCTCCATGCGTTGTTGGATGCGTACTTCAACAACGTTCACCCCATTCGCGTTTTCGCGTTCGAACACAAGCCGTCGTTCATTCGGATGCTAGATGAAGGTCAGCTCGTGGATGCATCTGATCAAGCCCTCCTACACATTATGTGTGCGTTAGGTGCTCGGTTCTATGCACTCGACTATAGTGAGTCGTTCTCGCCCTTGACAAAAGATCTGATCCAGTCAGCGGGAAGCCAGTGGGCGAAGTCTGCGGAGGAGATGTTCTTCGCTGATTACAGCACCATCTCCATCACAAAGCTCAAGGTCTTGGTCTTGCTTCATGATCAAGAAGCCCGTAATGGCAACTATGCGGGCTCTTTCCTTCTTACCGGCCTTGTCATACGCATGGCGCACGCTCTGCAACTCAATAATGAGGTATCACCAGACGTCCTTTGTAAAGAGTTAGGAGGAAGTCCAAACGAGGTATCTGTAAGGGAATCTCGGAGAAGGCTCATGTGGGCATGTTATATGATCGATGTCTGGGCTGGTAGTGGCGTCGACCACCTCACTATACTCAATGAAAGAGACCTCAAGATCCAGCTTCCTTGCAACGAGCGTCAATTCTCACTACAGATACCGTGTGTCACGGAGCGGCTTGAGAGAGGTACGCTACTGGAATTGATGCTTCCAGAAGACATACCAGAGAAACCTTCGGACAACCTGGGTATGGCTGCGTACTACGTACGTATCGTGAGCATTTGGCGGCGGGTCCTACGGTGAGCGGGAAAAGTGTTCTTTCCGGCCTCTTACGCTAACCTGTGGCAGATTCGTAAAGCACATGGATGAAGAGCAACCGCCTTGGCTTCCTGGGTCCGGATTTGCCGTTCTTATCGAAGATATACAATCATGGAAGCAAAGTCTGCCGTCCTGGTTAGACTTTTCCGCGGACAACATCTACATCCGACGTGAGACTCATCAGCTAGGTGCACTCCTCCTCATCCACTGCATGTATCATCACGTTATGTGCGACGTACATCGGATCGCTCTGCCTGATCTGTTCAAGAACCAAGAGCCATTCGTTTTCCCCACTGATCGGCAGGCATTCGTCAGTCATCTCCAAGATGTCTGCTTTGAGCATGCGCAGCGTATGTCGGTGTTGGTCTCACATATACTGCAGCACGGCGTCAAACACTTCGCGGACTCTATTCTACCATCGTTCGTCTACAACAGCAGTCGCATCATGCTCTACTATATCGCTAGGATCTTGGATGTATCGAAGCCCGATGCAGGAACTGTCATTAGTCGCACAGTCGAGCTAGTGCAGTACAATAACCAGGCGCTGCGGGAAATGGCGTTCATGTACCCGCTTGCTGAGTCGTTATGTATCACATCCGAGCGCTGGCTAGAGACTGTACGCGACAGTCTGGCTCGTGGCCACTCTGCTGACTACATCGCGCCTCAGGATCCATCCGAGAACGAAGCGAGACGCATTGTCGGCGCTCCCGCACCAACAACAGGTACCCCAAGGCAACGAAACGCGGCCAGCTCGGTCATCCCTCCAGTCGAAGAGATACTCTCGGCAACCTCACCTTCAACGCTCAGGACGGCCACTACCCGCTATCCCTTTTCGGCGCCGGCTACTGACCATGGTTCATCTGTAGTCACTTCAGGTCAGGTCATGACTTCAGCGACTGAGAACGCGGTAGGGACTGTATATTCTTCTCCCAATGCGCCTGCCGCTTTCGAGCAGCCCATGTTCAACCTCGACGACCTACAGAACTTCTTTGGGTGGGAGGCAAGTGATGATGAGAATGCACAGTCGACCGGATTTGAGGGATTTGGTCCTCTAGGTTGGGCGAATAACTTCTCTATTATGTGAGTGAGAACCTCGAAGCGAACTTGCTAGGCGCTTGTACGTAGCTCTTGCTTGGCTTCTCACTTCCTAGGCTGGACAAGGTTTGCCTTGGGCCTCAACCTATAATTAATATGCTTTCTCGCCCAGATCAATACCAACTTCTCTTACGCTGGCCCTTTCTTCGAATCATTTTGCATTGATGCACATGATGTTGGCAATGAACACCTCACTTCCCTTCCCTTTGAGATTGGTCAGGCCATACGAGAATTGCTTGAAGCAGGAATTTACCTCCAGTTTACTCTCACTCTCTGTACCGGCCTACAAACCTTTTAAATCGAAGTGAAAGATTTATTGAACAGATTGCATAGAAAAATAATATTCCTTGCAACTAGCATAGTGCAAGGCTCTACGGATCTACATCCCATTCTTCGACAAATATGTCATCAGCTGTGGACTGATCCCAGTCGAAATCTAACGTGTCCGCGCGTTTTGGCGAATCGTCAACAACGTCTTCATGTTGCGCACTGGTCGCAAACATATTTAAGCTGGTCCAGTATGTAAACCTCTTTCCTCCGTCTTCTGATATTGCTTCGATCATGGTAACTTGCTTGAGCCGTTGTAAGGTTGGAAACTCAGCGTGGAACCAGAGGCCATTCTGGTTAACGTCGTTTACCGTCGCGGCGTCGAGCCCAATGCTTTTGTCCATGACAGTCGCAAAAACATGGCACATCGAGGCGAAGGCTTTCGACATGTGAGTGTAATATTGCGTCTGCTTTTTCTTGTCTTGCATGATGCATCGTAGGGGGTTGGTGTTTGTTATTCTTTTGCTATAGTACTGCCTGGGCCAGACATCCTGTATCCAGTCAGAAAGAATCCTGTACGCACAGTAAATACACGAGTACCCATATCGTTGTCAAAGGAGGCCCTTCTTCTTTAGGTCTCGACTTCGCATAGCGGCGCGCTACCTTGCTTAAGCCGCGTGTGTAAAAGAGGCATGACATTGGCTCAGGCCGCTCTATCGCATTCTCGATGAACCATTCGACAGTGTACTTTGACGGGAGGTCGCATTCAGTTCTACCCCTAACCTCCAGTCTGTTTCGGTGGCATGGGGGCGTATCGCATCGCTCTTCTATTTCCACTGGAACGGCTTCAGTAACAAGAAGAAGATGGCAGAGCGTTACGAAGAGGTCGATGAGCTTCATGGCGAAAGTGGAGCGTGCAGCAGTCGTTTCGACGGAAGGTTCTCCATGCGATAAGCCAAGTGGGGCTGTCGAATCTTTATCTCCAACATGGGCGTAAGGCCCCCAAAATGGCTGTGACAGAGGCTGTGTTTGAAACGGATAGTGCGGAGATTCTCATCTTGGCGTCAACGGTAAGCGTCAACAAAGCTATGTACCGTTATGTGCAAGCATGAATATGTGTCGCGCCTCAGGCATTCCAACGGCTATTCTTCGTGTCCGTGGTGCTTCACTAGGCGTGGTCACTGCACGTATTGTCGCGGTGGTCAGAGCACACGCACACATCGTTCCCAGCTATGGAATGTGCCAAGAGCATCATCTCACCCACGAACGGCTAACTCGGACATAACACTGCAAACTGGTGGCAAACCGAGAAATGTAGTTGGGAGTTGGGAGTGATTTACTGTGTACACAGCCCTGCCCAGGGATGATGACCTTCGGAAACTCCAGCCCCGCGATTAAACTAGTCCTAACCAAGCATTAGGCACGCTTCGCCTTATCAGGCCACCAATCAACTCCTTCAACGCTCTTCCGCAATGTCTAAGTTTAGCGCCAGGGTTATGGCCTCGTCTCAGTACCATGGGTGAAGAGAGCGTGATTTCTATGCTTTTCTGTGCGCAAGCAGAAAAGGCCCAGATGAGCTTCACAAATGCGACCGCGATTGCTAAGGGAAAGCCTGCCCGCCACCTACTCCAATGGTTAGTATTGGCTGGCCCATGTTATTCAGAATACATCCTTCAGGAATACACAATTCTTGTTCCTGTGCGGTAAAGTACTACACGAGCGTTGCAACATACACAGTCATAATTCCACGTTCAATCGCTCTAGGCCACGACCAATTCTTCTTCTCTAAAACATCTCAAACGCTACTAACCCCGGAGTTTCCTGAAATGCATCTTTGCACTACTAAATGAGTAGTCTTTTGCTTGCTTCTCCCCAATCCAGTGTCCCGCTATTCTTCGGCGAACAGTTCTATCCCGTAGAGACAGACCTGCCATGTCGTCGAGCTCATTCTCACTTAATTTCCATGGTTGGCCTCCCACGGCTACAGCTGTCCATTCATACTGTGGGGCGTGTCCGAACAACTCAATTCCGAGTTCCGTCGCTCGCGCATAGTCTTCAGGATCAAATCCGTACCTCTCTTCGGTATTGTAAGTATCCCAATAGACACTGATAGCGCGTAGCTTTGGAAGATGCGTGGCAAGATCAGTGGCCGGATCATATATCATTTCTCGCACATAGTCCATTGCAAACCGTCCGGAGTGAACGGTCGTCAGCGATCTCAGCGATTTTGGAAAAGATGAGTATACCAGGCCATTGGTACGTACGATACAATCTGTCGGTAGCGCAACTTCAGGGAGTATCAACTTCTGTAAGTTGTCGAAACTGAGAAATCTCGGTGAGAGCCGCAACGTCTCGCGGTACACAATACCATGCCATGAGGCTGGCAACTCCAGCTCAGTAAGCCTCGAGTAGCTCTTATGGAACACTTGAGCCAGATACTTGTGTTCCCTCAATAGCCGCGTTGAAGGGTCGCCACTCCAATGTATTCTGTCATTAACCTTTGGGCTCATTGGTCCTTGCCGTGGATCTGCATCCCCGAAGAGCATCGGAAAGTGGAATGTGTGGCTACCGCCGAGCAGCAGCGCTTTGAGGTTTGGTAGTATCAGCAGGAGCAAGGCGAGAAATGCGTTGTTGTGACCTGCTCGTAGCGCGTCTTTCCATACCCATTTATTGTTATTGCTAACGCCGTCGGCCTCTCTGATAGCATCAAGACAGTCCGTTCGGAAGGAGGTATCGGTCTCGATACTGAATTGTCTGGCCGGCATCTTCGAGTAGTCTCGTCCATCTTCACGTGTCATCTCTCCAGTGTAAACCAAGTGCTGAATAAGGCGTTCACGTTGGTTTCTCTCAGGCATCCGCATGCACCTATCATTATCGCCAACATAGTGCTCCCAAGAAGCTTCATGACAGGGGTAGTTCGTGATCTCGAGAGACTCGATCTTATCGGCCCACTGTGCGGCTGGGAACTCTCGGAGCGTTCGAAACAAGGCATGTACGTTCGGAAGCGGAACGTAGAGCGCCTTTTGCTCCTGCAAAATACTTCGCACGATTCTGGGAAAGCGAGTATTCACGGTGGCGAGAGGTAACAAATACCAGTAGGCGCATTGGTTAAAGCGAGGTTCGAGTAAGAGATGTTTAGCTATCAGAAGAAGTAGCTCGTCGGGTAGGTTGAGAATACTGCCGTTCGGTGTGCTGTTGGCAAGAGGAAGAGACATGACTGGCAGTTCAGATAATCCAGTCGCGTTACAAAGCTAGTATGGCTAGATAAGAATTGTTTATGATAAGCTTAGTAGTATGTAGTATAAAAAAGTAGTCGGTAACTTGAGAAGTGTAGGATCAGATTGTCGGATCGTGCCTAAGTAAGGAAGGACAGTGAATGTTCACACATACGTTGCTCAGCAAACGTGCGTCGTTTGCCTTTTGAAAATGTGGATCTCGAGTAGATCAAGTAATTTAAATATTCACATGATTGTTTTCAACAATTGATCAAAGTCGTGGTAAGGCAGCCACAGATTTGAAGCTGGGCAAGTTTTTGAGCGTGAAAACGAGAAAGGAAAGGCGAGGCTATACTCGGGTAGGGCTATGTAGGCGTGTGATCAATCGATCAAATGGATTTGCAGCAACTGCCTTCCGCTCTTGTTATATCAAACGAGTGGCACCATCAGCACCATATACATTTGCCGTGGCATGAATTTTGGCGGCAGGAAACTTGCGGGAATTATCCGGTATGTCGCTTCCATCGATCATGGTGCTATCTCCCGGGCAGCGTTGGTCAGACAGTCTTTTTGATGGCGTCATTGGGCATAATGAGAATATCGCAACGGTGACAATATCCAGGACTTGAGCGAGCCTTCGTTACGATAGATGACGGGAGAGAAGAAGAGCCCGAGGGTGTATAGTGGAGATTATAACTAGAAGAGTCTATCAGTAGAGACAAAGCACGGTAGAGGCAATGAGCCTACTGGACGAGTTCGATCTTGATGCACTTCTGAGATGCTCTTATGATATACCGGCAGACTGGTCGAACTGCTCATACGAACCTATACTGTACACTGTGGACGGTGAATGACTGAAGTGTTCCGATGGCAATATGCAAGATTCGTTTCCAGAGTGAATTTTGGTTGTGACACCTCAGTAGGCAACCTTGGTATAGCTCGTAACCCGGACTGCCGCGTAGCGGATGAAAATTCACGACTAGCCTCTACATGTTTCAACTAGAAAACCCTTGCGTGAAGTATTTGATGGATTTCCTTCCTCAAAAGCCGGTATTGCTGCCGCAAGGGTATTGGCACGCCATGCCCTAGCATGTACGGCATCGGACCGTTCGATGTTTGATTTGATTCTGCGTGCAGCCCTGCTTCGGAAGCACGTTGCAGAAAAGGAGTTGTTAATTCGGGCCGACTCGAGTGTTGAGGTGATCGCTCCCTAACGGTTTTCTCCGCAGGTCAAAATACCCGTCGATGCAAATGACGGTCTGCAGACACTTAGTTGCCAAATTCTATCGCCCCAGCTGATACAGTGACGACGCAATCACGTACATGAGCGTGGGATAGAACGCGACACAATGCATGTATATTTCACAGTCGCTATGAAAATAAGACTGCGTCCAGCAAAGAGATGCGTATAGCTCGACACCGATGTATCGTAGCCTTGGAGATAGATGTGGAGAAGGCACGTGGTGTGCGGACGCGTCGGAAATTAACCAGAGGCTTGATTTGTTCCAACAGCGTCAATCCTCCACCAGTTCGGTAAAGCTAGGATAACGGCTGCCATCAGTTCAGGACAGAGAACGCCAAGACCATGCGTCATCGTGGTAGGTCTGGCGCGCGTCGTCATTCGAGGCAAGCACGCTAAGCTTCATCAGCCAACGCTATGCTTCTTTCGACTTCGGGCCAAGCCAGGGTCCAACGTGCCGCCGCGTTGGCTTTCGACATTGGGATTGATTATTACACCACCCAGCAATCCTTGACTCAGGGATACACATGTTGTACTGGCAGTTGTCAAAGGTACCCGGGTCATTGAAGTCGTTTCATTGTAGCTTGCTCATACTGTCACAGACACTCACGGCCCGATGAGCAACGCGGAAAAGGAGTGCTGCTAACCGTGCCCCACAGACAACTGACAAGAAACGAAGACCCGCGCAGAGATTGACCAATGCATCAAGGCCCTCTGCGCGATCATCGGCTGTACCTGGATTCCTCGTGGCTAATGCAAACTAATCAGGCACTGTTGAAGATATCCACGGGAATCCACTTGGAAGCCGCGAGTCCCGCGCTCAGGCACCGCTGTCTCTGATGCCGATCCCAATCGTCAACAACAGAATAGCCTGAAACGGTGAGCTCAAACTTGAAGACTCTGTATAGCCACAGGAAGCCATGGAGATTATTTTCCAACATCGATGCTTTGTTCTGCTTGATACGCCTGGGTAATAGCTCTCAGCACATGTCCTTTCGCAAAAAGAAGAAAAGGGTTAGACCGGCTCAGAAACACTCTTCAGCACACAAGATGATATCCGTGCCAGGTCTCAAGATACGGTGAGGTTATCCTCATTACTCCAGCTGAATTCATCCAAACCTGGCATTGCATCTGTGCTGGCAGATCCACCTTCAAGGGACTACAACCACCGATCTGCACCAGAGATGCCGCTTTGCAATGGCTGAGCGCATGGGCCACGACGGTAGATCGACTACACAAGACCTGTAACCAGACTTCGCGCTGTTGATCACCATCCTACTGGTCTTCTCAATGCAGCCAACGGCCATTTACCGGACATTACTACACTGCCACAAGTGTACATCAAGTGGCGTCAGGAGAGAGGTAATGGAACGATGAGTATATAAGTACTGTCGGTGTTACCATGGAAAGAGACATCATCCATCCAGAGCCTCAGCCTCATCCAACTCTTACGACACTCGTTTTACATACCAACTAATATACACTCTTTCCGAGAACTTTTAATTCTTTCAAGATGCGTTTCAACTACTTCCTCGCCGCTGCCGCTGTTGCGAACGCCGCCGTCATTCCCCAAGTCCCCCAGACCAAGGACACTGTCAAGGATGTCACCTCTGGTGTCAAGTCAACCGTCGACGGCGTCACTCTCCCCAAGGTCAACGCCCACGTAGGCCGCCGTGCCCAAGCAAACGTCGGCGCTAAGGTCGCTGGTGTTGAGCCCAAGGTCGGTGTCACTCTAGGACGACGAGTAAACACAGGCGCCAAGGTCAACCTCGAGGGCGTTACATACGACAACGTTAACGTCACCGTTGACAAGGGCATCAACCCCAAGGTCGGCGCCAGCGTAGGCCGCCGCGCCGATGCCAGCGTTGATGCTAAGGTCAACGCTTTGGGTCCCTTCACTGCTGATGCTGCTGCCGGTGCCTCTCTCAACAAGCGACTCGACGCAGAACTTGAGGCAGCAATTGACGCTAAGCTCGAGGCTCTCGGTGTCTCTGCCGATGCCTCCGTCGAAGTCAAGCTCCAGGCTCTTGGCCTCTCCGTCGATGCCTCAGTTGAGGCCAAGCTTAACGCTCTCGGTCTTTCTGTTGATGCCGATGTTGATGCTAAGGTCAACGCGCGCCAAACGATCCCTAACGTCAACGTCCCCAAGGTCGACGGACTTGTTGGCGATGTCACTTCCGGTGCCACCAACGGTGTCAAGTCCACTGTCGACGTAAGTTTTATATCTATCTCACCCATTTCATCCCTCTAACAATTCTGACAGGATGTCAAGGACATTGATGTCGATGCTGAGGTCGACCTTGACAGGCGCCAGCTCCCCAGTGTTGACGGCCTCGTTGGTAACGTCAAGGATGGTGTCAACGGCGTCAAGGACGGTGTCACCTCTACTGTCAACGACGTCAAGAACATCGATGCCCACGCGGATGCTCTGGACAAGTCCGTCGACGCTGCTCTGACCAGGCGCCAGCTCCCTGACGTCAACGGTCTCGTTGGCGGTGTTGAGGGTGCCGTTCCTGGCGTCAAGGCTGTCGAGGATGCCGCTACCCCTATTGTCAACGATGTCAAGGACAACGTCGTTGGTGGTGTTACTGGTGTTGTCTCCCCTATCGTCAACGATGTCAAGGACGGTGTCACCTCTGCTGTCACTCCCATTGTCAACGGCGTCACCGGTGCTGTTGACCCTATCGTCAAGCCCGTCAAGGACGCTGCTACTGGTGCCGTTAAGGGTGTCGAGGGTGCCGTCGCCCCTGTTGTCAGCAACGTTCAGGGCGCTGTTGACCCCGTTGTTAACGGCGCTAAGGGTGCCGTTGAGCCTGCCGTCAAGAACGTCACCGACGGTGCTCTCCCTGTTGTCAACAACCTCAAGGATGGCGTCACCTCTGGTGTCGGCTCTACCGGCCTCTAAGCAACAATGACGACCATGCCACGCGATCTTACCAGCGTCCATAGCTAGACTGTTACCTGTATATCTTAATCTATATTATACCCTCATCGAAATATTACATTATATTGCTAGTATAGAGTTACTCCACCTGTGTCTCCGACAATGCATTGCCTTGTCCTACTGTCCGTTTGATGGCTTGTTTCATTTCGATGCATGGTGTTGTGCCATAACCAAGGTCTACGTATGTGATCTATAATCGACAGGCCACTTACGATTTCTGCATCGCTCACATTCTATAAAGGGAAGGAGCTCTTAAGTAACTTATCGCAAGTGAAGGTGAGTCGGTGAAGGTGAAACGGCGTATGACAGCGTATCAAGTAGTTTTAGCTTGGCAACAAGTGAGAGATCCTTGGGGTCGTCTTCGTAGGCATCAATACAAAACCCACTCGCTTTAGACCTCTCTTCCTCACTTTGACTCCATCTTCTTCTTCGACAGCAATATCCCTACCCTGAGACTTGACAGTATGGATTCCTCGAGCGACACAGACAAGCGGCCGATGTTCAACTTTGAGAAGTGAGTCACAACGAATTTCCAGGGAAAACATACTAAAGCTCCCGCTTCCAGGTACTCGAACTCCAAAGTGCTATCTGATGTTACGATCCGATACGGCGCTTCGGGCGAGCTCAAGTTCGAAGCTCATAGACTGCTGCTGAGCGCACAGTCCCGTTGGTTCGAGGCAGCTTTTACAGGAGGGTTTGCAGTAAGTCCCATATCCCACTTTGCAGTATATACGTTTAACGAAGTACACAGGAGAGCCATGCCAGAGAGATCACTTTGGTTGGAGATGATCCCGATGCTCTCAAAACTATGCTCGGCTTCGCGTATGATCAACAGATACGTAGATGGGAGAGACCGCCGAATGGTACTACCGTCAACATCAAGCGCCTCCTCGAGCTTTATCGTGTGGGCGACAAGTACCAATTCCACACTCTCTTGGTCCCAGTTGCCTCACGGCTCGACAGTTGCATGTATGACTGGTTACGCATGTCTGCAGAACCATTTGACAAAGACAGTATTGCGCGTTCCGAGTTTTGCAGCTTCGTCAGAGACATCTACGAACTCGTCGGTCCAGAACATCGACCCAGCCATCCGTTGGTACAGATCTTACTGGAACTAGCAACAGATTGGCCGAACACAAGCGTTCTGAAGAACACAGGAGATAATCTACCCCTGATAGTAACGGCGTCACAGAAAGTAGCAGAGTTTGGACGAGACATATTTCTTCACTTGATGAACAGAACTGGACTCGCGGAAGCAATTCATGATGGCGAGGCTATCAAGTCTGAGTTGTTCATAGGAGTCCGGCTCAAATGTTGGGCTTGTTGCGTCGTCTCGTGGATAGTGATGATGGACGTTGAAGAAAAGCTGCACAGGGTATGCAGACATTGTGGAAATGCTCTCTAGTATAGATAGTTTTGCTGTCACTACGCCAAAGAGAGAAACTGAGTATCTTATTTGAGCAGAGTACTCCTTCCTACTATAACAAAGCATGTTAGAGCTATATAGACATATATAGAATCTGAAAGTCTACAACACTATTAATCTTAACAATACCTTTTTTTGTGAGCTGGTGTAAGCTGCAAAGTAGAGCTTACTATCTCTACCTGTTCGGTTTTCTCTTGTATAGGGTGCTGCTGTTCTTGTGAGGTACAGATGGCATCATGTAGCTAAGCCCATTTGAGCAAGCCTCGGTAGTGGAGTCTCCGACGCTAGGTCAACCCTGAGATTTGGCTGCCCGTTTCAACATTTCCCCTCGAATTGCGATCAATGAACTTGCGATTCCACCAGCATACCATTTTCACGACGTTACGACCCCTTGACGAACATTTCGTATCCTCCGCTCTCTTTTCTGCCTTGTTGAACTGCTGCTAGAGCTGCTCCTGCTGGTCCCGATATAGCTCGGAACTACCTGCGATATCCCAATAACGACAACAAACACACTCCCTGCAACCGTCAAACCTCACCGCCACTCGACTTGAGCCACGAGACTCACTCAGCTCACACAACATATACTCGCACTCGCTCCTTATATCGAAGCTCCCCACCCTCCTTATCCACCTACAATGCCCGAGACAACCAAAGTCGTGCCCCTCACCTGCCACGGTCACTCACGACCTGTGCCGCACATCCACTTCTCGTCCCTTGTAGACGAAGATCAATACTACATTATATCAGCATGCAAGGATAACAATCCCATGCTCCGCGACGGAGTGACGGGAGACTGGATTGGCACCTTCCTCGGTCACAAAGGCGCAGTGTGGCAAGCGAGGCTATCTTCTGATGCCTCGTTGGCAGCTACTGCCTCTGCAGATTTCTCTGCGTACGTGTTATGACTTCGCGAAATCCGGAAGCGTTCTAACGGTTTACAGAAAGGTCTGGGACACTCACACTGGCGAAGCCCTACACACTCTCTCACACAACCACATCGTTCGCGCAGTCGCATTCCCCAACCAGCCCCATCCCCAGATTCTCGCGACAGGTGGCATGGAGAAGAAGCTGCGCATTTACGACCTTTCGCGCAGCGACGCGACGAGCTTCGAGATCGGCGCAGGTGTCCACACTGGAACCATCAAGTCGATTGTATGGACATCTGACCCGAATGTCATAATAACAGCAGCCGAAGATAAGAAGGTGCGGTGGTGGGATTTGCGCCAAGAGGCTACAATTGGCGAGCATGCCGTGGAAGGCACTGTTGGCTCCTGCGAGTTGGATAACACCTCCTCGGACGGCATCTTGAGCGTAGCCGCTGGAAACAGCGCGTACTTCTTCAACAGCCAGTCGCCCGGCTCACTCATCAAGAGCATCAAGACACCGTACGAGATTGCCAGTGTGGCCCTGCACAACGGAGAGCGCAAATTCGTTACTGGTGGTAGCAACCAGAACGACACTTGGGTCAGAGTTTGGGACTTTGACGAAGAGAAGGAGCTCGAGACCAACAAGGGCCATCACGGACCTATTTGGTCGGCAAGCTTCTCGCCTGACGGAAAGCTCTATGCTACAGGCAGTGAGGACGGAACTGTGAAGCTATGGAAGTTCACGTCTGGACCTTACGGTCTGTGGAAGTAGGATTTCTACACGATACCGATGCTGGCTATGACCATCCATGGAGAAATTGGCAAGGCGCAGTAGTCCGACACCCGAACTAGAGTAAATAAGACACGTGTAAAATCTGCTACCTGGATAAACAATAATATTCTATCTCATCGAGCTTAACATGCGCTGCGCAGATGAGGAGAACCACAATTGGCGCACGTCACAAACAACCATCAGGTTAAGCTTTGCTATCTCGGACTACTCCAGCCAGGGTAACTGTACCCGGGAATTGCCCGATTCGACGTGCCGAAGGATCGACAAACCCAATAGCATGCGGCAACATCAGCAACCTGCATGATACTACGGCCGCCCTAGGTAGCGATATGCAACGCTCAACAAGCCGATAAGAACACCTTGGCATGATAGACGATAACTACCTTCACGGCCGTTGCCAAGGGTGGGAGATGGTGGGAACACATAAGTACAGATGCACCATACACCCCGCTGCCTGTGTTACCGTCCAAACGTTGCGACTTGCGAAACTACCGTTGCCAGGGTCTTCGGCTATCTTGCTTTTACCCAACCCTAGTCAACCACTGTATCCGGACTTGGTCGTCAACATTCAGTTTGTCATCTGTGGACGGACAAGATGGGCGAGAAAGAGCATGATATCTCGCCAGCGCGAGAGGCCAGCATTGACGAGGGGCAACTCGCTGCTGAGAAGCAGATGCGCGACATCGGCGCAGATCTATACCTCGAAGTACAACAATACTCGAGAGAGGAGCTAGAAGCAGAGCGAAAGGTCGTACTTCGGAAGATCGATTGGGTCATTATGCCAATGGTAGGTAGACGCCAACCACTCTTAACAATGCGTTACTAAATAGAAAGATAGATCTGCATGACATACATGATCCAATTCCTCGATAAACTGTCCCTAAACTACGCAAATGCCTACACTCTAACACCTGACCTCGGCCTCGAAGGCGACCGCTACGGTTGGGTCGCCGCCATCTTCAATTTCGGCTACCTCTTCTGGGCGCTCCCAGCAAACTACCTCATTCAGCGACTCCCCGTTTCGAAATACACCGGCTCCATGATCCTCCTCTGGTCCATCCTCCTCTGCTGCCACGTCGCGGCCAAAAACTACGCTGGGATGCTCGCCCTGCGTTTCTTACTGGGTATGTTCGAAGCGAGTATCAGTCCAGCTATCATGAACATTGTCAGCATGTTCTACCGGCGCGACGAACAACCAGTACGCATGTGCGTTTTCCTTGCTTTCAACGGCATGGCGACAATGGTTGGCGCCTTGCTTGGCTACGGCCTTGGTCACGCACACTCGTCGCATATCAAGACCTGGCAGCTCATCTTCCTCGTCATTGGGCTGTTGAACTTCGTCTGGGCGTGGGTGTTCCTCTGGGTCATGCCTGATAGTCCTTCCACTGCGAAATTCTTATCGCACAAGCAGAGAATCGTGGCGATTGACCGGATTGCAAGCAACATGATTGGTGTCAAGACGAAACAGTTCCAGAAGGCGCAGGCGGTGGAAGCTGTTCTTGATTTCAAGGTCCTTTGCATCAGTTTGATTGGACTCTGCTGCGGCGTGATCAACGGCGGTGTGTCAAACTTCTCATCTTCACTCATTCGCGGATTTGGGTTCAGTGGGATTTATGCTACATTACTGCAGCTTCCGACGGGTGCGATTGAGTTTGTGGTTGTCCCGCTTTGTGGGCTTGCAGCTGGGTACTTTAGGGATACGCGTTGTCTCATCCTGGCCGTGGTTTGTTTGCCGCCGTTGGCTGGACTTCTGGGCATTCGACTCACGCCCTTGTCACAACGCTGGAGTCTGGTTGGGTGCACATGGTTGCAGTACATCGTCGGTGCTCCGGTCATTCTGTCGTGGAATCTGCTGACGACAAACATCGCCGGACATACGAAGCGCAGTACGGCGAACGGGCTGTGGTTTGTTTTCTACGCTGGGGGAAACATAGCGGGTGCGAACATTTTCTTTTCAAGAGAGGCGCCGAGGTACTTTTCAGCCTTGACAGGACTTATTGTCTGTTACTGCGCTATGGTGGTTATAGCCGGTGTGCTGGCTTTGTGGATGAGCTGGGAGAATAAGAGGAGGGATAAGAAGTTTGGTCAAGGAGAAGATGAGCAAGCCATTAGGGATGGATTTAGCGATTTGACGGATAAGCAGGCCAAGCACTTTAGATATGCGTTGTAAAAAGGATAGGTCGAGATGATCAAAACATAACTCTGCCGCGTACATTACAGTACATCTACAGTCTAAGATTCGGAGACTTCGATCGGATTTTCTAGCCACAACTCAGTTGAGCCTACAGGTTTTGTCCGGGTGCTTCCTAGGTATACGGGCCGCTTACTAATAGAAGTCTTGGAAGTTACTGAAACTGAACAAAGGCCTCTGTCGGATCGTTGATACTTCTATAGTATCCATCACTCTAGACTCGTCCGAGTCTAGTCTGCTTGCCCAGAGAAGGTTCCTTGTTAAACATTTTGGCTTGGCTAGAGTCATAGGTGCTAGGTGCCAATAGTGAGCTAGCGATTCAGATACGATTTGTAAGCCGGAGTGAGAGAGATGTCAGTGAGTAGGTATCAAGCTCAAGGTTTCCGTGGTACCCGCAGGTCTTGCGTGGCGTCGACAAGCATGAGAAATTCACAGCTGCAGTCTGGGGCTATACGCAAACATATAAGGCTGCGAATATCCAGAGACATCTGGGAATATCGAACCATCACAACTCGTTTGCTCAACCGATACCCCGAAAAATGGCTCAACCTAGGAGAATTCTTATCGTCGGTGGAACGGGAATGATCGGAGGATACGCTGCCCTTCACCTTCACTCTCATGGCTACGCCGTTACGCTTGCTGGTCGCCACCCCGTAAAAGAAGTCCCGATTCTTAAAGACCTCCCCTTCATCAAGATCAACTATGTTTCTGGAGAGTATACGCCAGACGTATTCTCAAGCTTCGATAGCATCGTCTTCTCAGCTGGTGCCGATGTACGACACGTCCCTCAAAACAGTTTTGCGGACGAGTATTATCTTCAATCGTCCGAGGCCATAGTGGAATTTGCTCGATCAGCCCGGGACGCCGGCGTTGCGAGATTCGTGCACATCGGCAGTTTCTATCCGCACATTGCACCTCAGCTGGTCGATACAGTCCCCTATATACGGTCACGAAAGCTTGCTGCTGACGGAATCACTTCACTAGCGACGACTCAATTCCATGCGTGCAGTCTGGATGCTCCTTTTGTCGTCGGGGTCGTGCCAGGCATGAAAGTCCCAATGTTTGTGGCATATACTCAGTTTGCGGAGGGCAAGCTTGGTATCCCTCCATCGGCACCTACTGGAAATACGAACTTCGTTTCCGTCGAGTCTTTGGCCATAGCAATCACCGCCGCACTAGAACAGAGTGAGTCTGTGTCTAGTAGAGCCATCCTCATCGGGGGCGAGAACCTCACGTTTTCGGAGTATTTTGGTCTGTTCTTCTCTGCCGTGGGCAATCACATAGCGATACCTGCCTCAAATCAGGAACACCCTCTGATGCCAGATTCGTCGCTTTGGGCCGGACGTAGCATTGAAGCTTATGAGCCAGATGCTTCAGATGAAGCTCTGCTTGGTAACTATCGTCGCGAAAGCATTCGAGATACTGTCCAGCGGATAGTGAAGGAATACCGGTCATTGCAGTTAGTGTGACAATGAGAAAAGATCGTGCGGCGACTCGTGGCTTGCATGTCCAGCCTTAGCCCTTCAGCCTTGCTCCAGCTGCTCTTCCGCCCTAGAGATTGCAGTGCAACTTCCGAACCACCGCTACCAATATTCTCCTACAGCAGCGGTGCATTAGTGCCTCGCGCATCCCTGCATATAAAACGAGGCATTGGCCCAGAACATCTGGGCTAAGCCAGATTCATAGCTTGTGCAAGCACACGCAACGACCGCTCCTCCACGCTAAAGATTGCAGTGCAAATAGAAGAATCCAAACTTGTTCAGAACATTTAGCGACTGCATAACCACGCTAAAGATTGCAGTGCAACAAGCAACCACGACGTGCACGAATGATTGGCCCAACGTGCAGTCTGCCCATTAAACGTATACTTCTTCGCTTACATACTCAGCCCTGTCCCTTCAGCCCTGCTCCAGTTGCTCTTCTGCACTAAGAATTGCAGTGCAGTGCCCAGACAGAGTGGTCCAGAGTGGCCACCTAGCCTAAACGAGTCGGTGCTGCAGATTGGTCAGAACATTTAGGCATGTTCAGCCTCAGGCACACCTACATATTAGCTCAGCACATGGCATGACAGCTCAGTCACGCTAAAGATTGCATTGCAAACCGGAAACAAACACACTGATATCTGCTATTCGTTTTGCTGATGAAGTGGATAAGTGACTGAATAACTCGCGATGCTGGTTGGTTTCCACATGTTGATCAGGATCTTGTCACTCATATTATTCGATTTGAACTACAGGTGCATCTAGTATTTCCCACTCTCCTTAACCAACCCATTCTTCTCATTCTCAGCCTTGGGTTTCAACGCCCACTCGGGCGCCTCATCAATCTCATCCTCCTCTGCCTTATCCCCCTCCTCCTTGGTCTTGTGCACACTACTAGGCAAATGCTCCGCAGGCGCATACACGGTAATCAACTCCAGCGGCTGATCCCCCTTTGTAACAAACTGATGCTGCGTGCCAGCCGGCACAACAACGACATCACCCGCCTTGACCTCCTGATCCTTACCATTCACCGTCGCAAGCCCCTTTCCCGAGGTAAACAAGAGGATCTGGTCGACGGTGTGGACTTCGTCGCCAATCTCGCCGTTGACGGGTACTTCCATGGCGACGATTTGCGAGTAGAGACCCGTGTGCAGGACAGTTCGGAAGTCGCCAAACGACCGCTTTTCAGACATGAGGCCGGGGAAATGCACCATTTCATGTTTTGGGGGCGCGTTTTCCCGGTTTCCGACTTTCTTGAAGGCTTCCATCTTGGGGGCTGGGGCGTAGAGTCTTGGGGTGGAGGTAGACAAGGATTTGGTGATGGTGGGTGTTGTAGTTCGCTTTGTGAGTGTGGATGTGGATAGGCGGAGAAGCCGGGATGTGGTGTTGAGCATTGAAGTTGTTTGTGTGGTGTATGTGTTTTGATGGCAAGTTATATGGTTGTTATATGGTATGTCGTTCAATACTGCATCACACATCGCGTCAGCGCGCGTTAGGGATGGAGGTCTAGACTCCATGGTATGCATGACGTCACTATAACGTTCCTTTTGCGATGTACGGGCACATTGCCCCGTTCGGTGCGCTAGGTAGTTTGAGTATGTGCTAATTGGTGGTCTGCCATGTATCAAGTCATGGTGCGTGTTTTGAGTGGTGTCGTACCTGATTATGTGATGGTTATGCGATGCGAGCTGGAATCAGGGTGCTAAGTAAACTAACGGAACACGTCCCGCTACATGCTGCACGCGGTAAGACCTGTAGGTCACTACTGTGGTAATATTGAGAGGAGAACGATATTTTGATTATAGTTGCAATGCTCAGATATATGAACAGGCGGGAAGTGATACTATCTCCAAGCCTATTATAACCTAGGACCTGGTTTGTGGGACTTGTTGGTACATGGCTACATCATGCCATCCAAGGAGCGCTATAGAATAAGTCGGTTTGCTCTCAGAATCCTAGTATTGAGCGCGGTGTTCTTGCAAGGTCTTGCTAATACCGAAGTCCAGCGAGCCTGGTGTTAACATGGCTGTTGCTGGCGGGCTCGCCCACCTTTGCTTTCGTTTGTGGAGAAGCAGAAGAGTCGCGTTACAGTATCGCGATTGCCATTTAAAAAATACCAAATAGGTCTCTCATTAGACGCGATTGCGGCCAGCGACTTCTTCCTCTTCGAGCTCTCGCTCAACCTCCTCCTCTTCAGTAGGTTTGGGGCTCTTGACATCCTTGGCAGGAACGTCCCCGCCACTCATTTGCCATTCCATAAGCTTGTTGAATGCGCCCTCTGGGTTTGAGCTGAGCTGCTCGTAGGTGCCTTCTTCGGCTACTCTACCGTCAGCATCGATGCAGATGATACGGTCAGAACGCTTGATTGTCGACAGGCGATGTGCGATGCTAATAGTTGTATTGTTCTCCTGGAGGAGTTTGTTGAGTGCTTGGTTGACAAGAGTCTCCGACTCCGCATCGAGAGCACTTGTTGCCTCGTCGAGGATGAGGATGTCGGGCTTCTTGATGAGTGCTCGTGCAATAGCGATACGTTGTTTCTGGCCTCCTGAAAGCTGAGTACCTCTGGCGCCAGCGTGTGTTTCAAGGCCGTCGGGCTGTACAGATTAGCAGGAATCTTACATAGGGAGGTTCATACTTACGAAATCGCTGATGAACTGGCAGTTGGCCTTTCGTGCAGCGGCCACAATTTCAGCGCGAGTGGCATTGGGCACACCATATGCGATGTTCTCGGCGATGGTACCAGAGAAGAGCACGGGCTCCTGACCAACGTAACCAATCTTTCTTCTCAACTGCTTCGCGTTAAGAGTGGTAATGTCTCGACCGTCGATAGTGATAGTTCCAGTGTTGGGGACATAGAAGCGCAGGAGGAGACTAGCGACTGTAGACTTGCCAGCTCCGCTAGGCGCAACGATGGCCACATTTGTTCCTTGTTCAATCTTGAAGCTGAGGTCCTTGAAAATAGTGACTGCTGGCCTAGTGGGATAGCTAAAGGAAACATTCCTGAACTCGATGGGACCGCGCGCTGACTTGACTGGCAGACCCTTGGTGGGGGATATTGTCGGGTTGCGATCTTGAAGCTCAAAGAGACGGCTGGCAGCTCCAACACCCTTCATCATCTCACCGTAGAAACCAGAAAGACCGACCATACTGGAACCGGCGTAGACAGTGTACATCAAGAACGAGGAGAGTTCGCCGATAGAAATGACTCCGTTCTTGACCATGTTGCTGCCAACATAAAGAATGGAGATGATAGTCAAATTACCCATCAATCCAGTGCTTCCGTAGAAAGTTGCGGCGACCACGGCTTCCTTCTTTCCTAGAGCGAATATCCTCTTGATTTGTCGATTGTAGCGTGATGCTTCTTGGACTTCTCCAGCGAAGGCTTGACTTGTTCTAACGTTACCCAACCGCTCTTCAGCAATCTTAGTCAAAGTTCCCAAGTTCTTCTGAATCTTGCGACTCAGATTCCGTAGCGAGCGACCAGAGAAGAAGGCGACGAGAGCGACGGGTGGGGCAATCAGAGCGAGAATACCAGTAAGCTTCAGACTGACGAAACCCATCATGGCAAAACCAGCTGCACCGCTGACGAGCGCACGCAGACCGTCAGACAAGTTCTGCGTGATGCTCTTTCCAACGATGATGGTATCTGAGCCGAGACGGGAGATGAGATCTCCAACCCTGTTGGCGTCGAAGAACTCTGCGTTTTGCACGAATGTCTTGCGGTAAAGCTGGGATCGCAGGCGAGCCACGATGCGTTCTCCAACGATTCGCAGAATAATGATACGCCCAAAGTTGAATGCCGCGCCAGTTGTCAAGACACCCGCCAGTGCGAAGTAGAAGACGGAGGGAGACATGCCAAAGAGTAAGCCATCGGTGTTCTCGGTCGAAGTTGCAGCGTCCAAGATCTTGCCGATTGAGAAAGGTACAGATAGAGAGATGCCAGATCCCACGAGCAGGAATACGAATGCCCAAGAGAGTACGCCAAGCTCCGGTCGGGCAATCTTGATCAATCTCCAGATTTCTTTCATGCCACCGGGTGTGCTTCCAGAACCAGAACCATCCTTGCTGAGCTTGGCGCTCAAGTTGACCTGCTTCGCCTGCGCCGCCTTCTCAGACTTTGCAAAGCCTTGTTCCTCGTTCTCCAGTTCGCCATCATGCTCTTCAACATCCACGATGCCCTTTTCTTTAATCTCCTCCCTGTATGACTTGCGTTGCCTTGCAGGCTTTGTACCGCTCGACGCTTCCGCTAGTAATCGCGACGTAGTGAACATGCGAGCTGGGCTTGGTACGCCATTGTGACGTGTGGTGCCCGTGGTTGCGAATCGGGATATCGACGATGGGGGGAAGAGACATGGCGCGGCGCTGTTCAGCGACGTCCTAGGTATTGAAGCGGTTGAAATTGGCTTGGTAGCGAATGACGTTGATTTTTGGCGTGTTGCTGTCGTCGAGATGCGCGACTGTATTTGTGAGAAGAGGGCGCCGTTGCCTGGGCCGTGCCAGGCCTTCGCCGAGAAAACCAGCGGGCCGCGCATGGCGTGGAATGGGTAGACTGGACGGCTACCGGAGTGTGAGAGCGGATTGGGGCGTTATTGAGACATTCCACATGGCGATACACGGGCGAACATGGGAGTGGACGACTTCGGAGATGTCAATCAAAAGTTCGGCGCCGCCCTGATGACGACAGGACTCGCCAAGTGCCGCGGCTCGATCTCCGATGTGACCCTGAACTTTGAGCCAGGGCACACAACTCCAACCCTCTTACTTTGGGTACGCAGTATCAACGATCAAAGTACTGTAGATATTCACGAGGGCTGGTTCTACTTTTTGTTTGCGACTCTACGACGTCATCATCACGGCATGCTACAGCTGCAGGCTCCTGCTATGCGGGCACCATCAATCCACGATAGTCTGACAACTATAGAGCCCTGAGAAAAAAAGACATTGTGATGTCAAGATCAATGTCACGCTCAGACAAAAACGGCGAGTGTGATCGAACAAGAACTTGAGCACCAGCGCTCGGCCTTGCAGCCTATCCATAGTATGACTGGAAAGAGCAAGTGACAACTGAGTCATCTTCACTCACCGTGAGGCGTTCCGTGCACCACAGGATAATACGTAGCAACTCTCAAGGAATATCGTTCCTCGTCTATCCTCTGAGGACTACGATAACGCGCCTGCACAACTAGGCTACCATCATCAGCCATGACATCTCTACCCCCATCTCTGATACATCTAGACGGCACAACTCTCGAAGGTGGCGGCCAACTCCTCCGAGTAGCCCTTGGTCTTTCGAGCCTTACCAGAAAGCCGATACACATTACCCAGATCCGAGGCAAGCGCTCTGGTGGCGGAGGACTGAAAGCTCAGCACCTGACTAGTGTCGAGTGGCTAGGCCTAGCCAGCGAGGCGAAGACCACTGGTGCAGAGCTCAAGAGCAAGGAGATTGTATTCACTCCAGGAGCTGCTCTTCAAGCCAATAATTTGTTGAACGCTGGGGAGGTGCGGATCCGACAGACGACTCCTGGAAGCGTCAATCTGGTATTGCAAGCTATCCTACCATATATCCTCTTCTCTGGCGTCGAACATCCAATCCGAGTCCGCATAGAGGGAGGAACCAATGTGTCAAGTGCACCCTCAATCGACTACATAACTCAAGTTCTTATCCCAATGCTTCAGTTGATTGGCATACCACATATCACCACCGCTATCCACTCGCGCGGCTGGTCACAAGGCAGGGCAGCCATCGGCAGCGTCACATACACCATCACACCTCTGCAGGCCAGACTACCAGGATTCCAGCTAACCGAGAGAGGAGACATTGTCAGCATAACTGCAACGATCATAGCACCGCGGGATACCGAACAACAGTTCCGCGAGGAGTTAGACGACATGTTTGAGCGACGAATACTCCGCTGCCTTGGCAGTAACGCCGGTAATGCAGAAATAAGTACTACCATCACATTCGAGCATTCACATCACGAGAAGAGATATTATCTTCTCCTTGTAGCGACAACATCTACTGGCATGAGAATTGGTCGCGATTGGCTCTATGATCGCGGTTTCAAGTCCGGCCTTCTCGAGCGCATCGTTCCCGGTATGGTGAAGAAAGTGTCTGATGATTTGATGGCAGAGATTGAGCATGGGGGGTGTGTCGATGAGTATCTGAGGGATCAGCTGGTTGTGTTTCAGGCGCTCGCTCAAGGGGAGAGTCGGGTTTATGGAGGAAAGAAGAAAGATGGGGGGTTTCTGGAGCCGAGTCTACATGCGAAGACTGCTATGTGGGTGGCGAAAGAGATTCTTGGAGTAGACTTCGATGGAGAGAGTGTATGCGAGGGTGTGGGGTATGCAGCGAGTGTTGTGAATGAGGTGGGAGAAGATATGGCAAAGAGTTTGGAGGGGCTAGCTGTTTCCTTGTAAGACAATATCAATAAGACAATTGTGTATTGAAGTATTACCCTACATCCCACAAGATTTCATCAACGTGTCCCAAGGGTGCCTGGATCTGACTGTCGAGAATAGTTTTTTACTAGCATCTCCGCGTTGACACTATCGCCATTGCAGACCTAGTGATAGAATTTATAAGGAGCAAGTTCAAACAAAGCCCGTTTATACTCTGCGCTAGATAAATTTCCCTTCTATCGATTGTTAGTTCCGCGGAAGATAACGATAATACTTCATCATATTAGAAGCCCAAGTCTGCGACGCTTTCTCAGGCTCAGGAGTATGGTCCTCCTTGCTGGCTGCAGTGGCTTTGTCCGCCTCGCTAGTATGAACCTTCGAGGGACCATGGGTACCAGGTGCAGCTTCAGAATACACGGGGCGCGGAGCGCTATCTGAGAATTGGTTAGTTGTGCACTTAGACGGATTAGGAGTACGAGGCGATTGATGACTTACTCTTGGTATTGATAAGGTCGGTGTATGAGCTGAGGCTATCGGTTTCGTGCATGATTTCGGTGGTACGGTGGATAGACATGATTCAGAAGGGTACAATAAACGTGTTGAACAAGGGTAGTTGAGAAATATGGTTGAGACTTCGTTATGCTCTTGGAAATTGAACAGGATAAACGATCTAGAAAGAGGTTGAGGGGAACATGTACAGCTACATATAGTGAAGCCAAGTGCGTGTTTGGGGACAGACTTCTACTGCGATACAATACAGTGTAACTCGACAGCGTTGTGCCTGCACTTCATTGCCAGCACGTCCATCATATCAATAGAGGTTGCGGGAAAGAGGCGGAATCCCATGACAAAAGTCTCACTCCTGATAATTTATCAATCACCCAATGTGCTTCCATTCACGCACCTGCCGAACTAGCTTACGCAGCCAAAGCTCTGGTCTGGTACTCCTGTATCGGCTATGAATGGTTTTGCGAAGACTTTAGAGAGAAGAAAATGTCTACCACTTTGGACTTGTCTGCATACTTACGTGGCACCAGCTATTATGCAGCCAGCGAGGCATACGCAAACCCAAAGCATATACAGACCATCCGGAATCTTGTAATCACCGCTTGAAATGCGACATCGACACAAACCATGGTGCGTATTCCCTTTTGCAGAGATAAAACCATGGAGTTGATGAAGACCAGTACATGTAGGCTTGGAAGTTCGGAAAGTGGGGGAAAGAATGTAGACAGCAGCCACTACTCTTTGTTCTTTCCTCAATAGTTTAACAATATATGTCCTAGCTAGAGTGGGTCGGCTGTCGGCGGGTGAGTTGACCGTATTACCAGAATGCGATGTATGGTCTTCCGTCATGTTGCAGTGAGAGTTAGTCATGATTACCATAAGCGGTAACAGGCTGTCTGAGTGATCTCACAACCTCCACATTGTCGTGGCGAATTTAATGCCCGAATCCAGGGTCGTGGCAGCTGCGACACAGATCCTCGACTCGTGTGGGGCCGCTAACAGAGCGTTCTCAACGTTCTTCCACGACAGCGGAACACGACAACAACGCGGACCCTGCGTGTGTTCGCGGAAGTAAAAGGCGGCACGTCAGCCTTGCTGTGGCGTAGTGTGGCATGTTGAGAAACAGTTTTGAGTTTGTCTTTGCCAGGCATATCCTTACATGCAGTAGAGTGAGGTTCTGATAGGGTAAATTCTCCCGTAAAAGCCGGTGGCGTTGCATCGACGTAATAGTGCTGCAGTACCAGATCGCGATAATTTGGCGAGGGTGCTGAATGCGATCAAGATGAGGGGAAACATGGTAGAGTTAGTCTCTTCACAGAGAAGCGCGGCCAGAGTCACGATGGATATCTGGCGTATCTGGCGGGGTCGGGCCCAGAGCCGAAATGTGGTTATCAGATGCGATTACTGCCGAGAGACCGAGGGTCGGGCGGCGTGACAGTGGCATGTTACAGAGATTGCGCGATTATGTGGTGAGAAGGTCTGCGCTTCAGCTCGTAGTACTTGCGGCCAACAGTATATTGCGTTGATGAGTACCATGATCAGGAGATATAGCTGGTGCCGTGGGCGCAGCCAAGATAGACGGAAGACGGCCGAATCAAAGCCTCTTTTCGGATAAAGCAGGACGAGACAGGTGGGAATACGAGCGGCTTCGGCGATGGGCGTGGACAAGCGTCATTCGGCAGAAGTGGGCATTCGGGATGCTCATCTCAGGCTTGAAGGCGTCGTGGATCGGCAGTGGAAAAGCGTCCGGGCTCAGTCGAACATTTGTTCACCACCAGTCCTCTCCTCATGCTCATACCCTCTACCACGGCTAGAACCCGCCTAATACGATTCTATATACAGTCACCATCCATCGTGTCACCAGTCTCGGGCATTAGCAAGCGGCTGTCACTCGGTCGTGTTCGTTTGTCAGCCAGTCGAGGTGAGTGATGGCCACGATCTGATAACGAAATTCGGTGCATCACCAAAGCATCAGATAACCACGCATCCCCCACATGCTCGTTGTCGCACACCTCCGTCCTCCGCGGCTCAACAAGCAAATGGCAGATGCACACCCACATCGCGCTTTCTTGATGCATTGAACACCCCATAGTAATACCAGGTCAGCTCTTGCTAACCATGGTTTGCGCTAGCAGTCCCCTTTGTCGCGTCCTCAGCACGCTCGCCGCTTCTCCTCCACCTCACTCCACCACGCAGACACATGGCAGCCACGACAGCGACAATGCCCAGCCCTATACCACACACATCGACCTCGCACCCTGAAGACCCCATTCCCGCTGAGCCCAAAGACATACCCCAGCTCTCAGTGCAGCCGTCGCAATCACAGCCGGAGCAGACGTCGCCCAAATCATCAGCCGAGTCGACGCTGTGGACCAACAGCAGCGATGACTCCGAGGCCCCGATGACGCCCATGACTGAGCCCGACCAGGGCGTCGAGGAGGTAGTCGACAAGCTACAGGCGCTGCCTACCTCGGCTGTCAATTTCTCGGAGCAGTCGCGACCCCGGCGAGCATCCACCACTCTCATCTCAGACAACCCAAACGACATTCGACGGATACTGGGTGAGGGCGAGACAGCCACCAAGCTCATTAGCCAGTGCTGTGGCGGAGGATGCTGCCTTCTCAAGACACTGGCCCCGGACTCGTCGTCGCCCAATTTCATACCTGTCGTCGTCCCCGACAACCATGCCTTTAGGAGCCTCAATCTCCAACTAGGTCCTCTCGCCCTCGACAGCGAGCTAACCGATACGATTCCGCTGCCTCCAGTCAACATGTCTTTCGAGCCCCTGCCTTCCAAGGACACAAAATATGTCTCAGAGGTGCACAAGATGCCGCCAAAGTACGTCCAACCACACCCGCCTTACGAGGTCTACTCGGCGCCGCTATACCACGCACGAGAGTTGACCAAGCCGGGCGCCGAGAAGAGAACAATTCACTTCGACATTGATGTCACCGACTACCCCGACGAGGGAGGCGTCGATTTCAAGGTTGGTGGTGCCGTCGGCATCTGCCCGCCCAACTCGCAGGAAATGGTCGACGAGCTGTTCGATCTCCTCTGCATTCCCAAGTTTGTCCGCGACAAGCCAGTCACACTCAAGACCCAGACCGGAAGGTGGCCGACCATCTGGGGCGAAGACCAATCCCGCGAGCTTGTCACAACCCGACGCGAACTCTTGACCTGGTGTGCCGACATCCAGTCACACCCACCGACCAAGAACCTCCTCCGCGTGCTCGCTGAATATGCCGACGCCCCGAACGAAAAGAAGATTTTGACATATCTTTGCTCGGCCCAAGGACAAGCAGCCTTCTGCGACTTGCGCACAACTTCTCATTTCACAGTCTCACAGATGCTCAGCGCATTCCCTTCGTCGAAGCCGCCGCTCCCACACCTCCTTTCCGTCCTCACCCAACTCATGCCTCGATTCTACTCCCTCTCGAACGATCCCCATATCTCGTCAGCTCGCCCCGGCCTTCCTGGCACCCGTCGCCTGATCGAGATGGCCGTTACAATTCACGAAACACCCGATTGGCATGCGGAGGGTGCTACACGTACTGGTGTAGGCAGTGGCTTCATGGAACGCCTCGCACACTCGTTCATCTCAACAGAGAGCGAGGGTGTCGATCTCCGCAGCATTCTCGACCTTCGCGTACCCATGTTCCGCGGCCTTATGGCCAACCCGCTCTCCAAGCAATTCGGTGGCGAAGGCCCGATGGTGCTCATTGGAGCGGGAGTAGGCATGGCTCCGTTCCGAGGCTTCATCCTGAATCGACTCAAGAACGCCAACTGTGCCAACAAGATCTGGCTCATCCAAGGAGTCCGAGACTCTATGCTTGATGAGCTCTACTCTGGTGAGCTTGGCGATCACGAGCGCGAAATCAAGAAGGTTGTGCAGAGCCGAAAGGTGAAGGTTGGAGGCTCCAACGAGGTCAAATACGTTCAGGACGAGGTCCGCGTACAGGCTGATATTGTCTGGTTCGTCATCAATGCTCTTGACGGACGCATCTTTGTCTGTGGCTCTAGTAAGGGCATGGGTGAGGGTGTTGAAGAGTCTTTGATTGATGTGGCCATGCAAAAGGGCCGTTTGAGCGAAGCGCAGGCCAAGGAATTTTGGGCCAGAAAGAGGGAGGATGGGCAGTATATCGCTGTGAGTGCATTTCTAGCACCCGATTGACACATATACTGACAAGACCACAGGAAACATGGTGAAGACGCCACTATCTCCGCATTACATTGTAAATAAGAGAGTTACGATTTCCATACTTCACGACCGCGTCTCTCCAAATTCTCGACACTGCGTACCTACCGCTAGCAGCATATTCGCCATGGCGTTTCAGATTACAAAAAAAGGAGTCAATTTGGGAATCCATATGGGCGGCAAACAATATAGTAGGAACAAAGCAAAGTATGTTCAATTGTGGTTGGGCTGTTCTCAAGGCTTATTGGCCGCTTTTTTTCTAGGGTTTGGACGGGACGTTCATCATTATCGTCATCATCATATTAGAAGGACATGCGCGCAAGAGCATGGCGTTTGTTTACGGGAAAGGGATAGGGATAGTGATATTTGCTTTTCGTTGTCGTTATGGGAAGGATGAGATGGTGTTGGGTGTGCGTTGTTGATGGTGATAGCACAGAGAGAGATAATTGAAGACATTGTTTTATACTGAGATTTGGAGTGTGGTATTGTTCGATGGTGAGCTTTGTGCGGTCGTCGAGAAAGTGGGTCAATCTCCTACACGTGTAACATTAATGCCTGTCAATGTTCAGTGGAGTTCGCGAAGTGGTCTACTATCGTCTTTCGATCCTAACACAACCGAAAGATCAAGCATACTGTGTATAATTCACGAAGTCGGGGTATGTCTCACATGGGTCTTGTACAGCCAGAGCTTACCTATCTCGCGAAATGCCAAAGTGTAAACACTCCACAGCACGTGATCAGGAAGTGTCTCTCACCTTCCTCGTACGTAGATGTAAACACTCGAGCAACGCTAGCTAGATATGGTCTTTTAGTAGCAATAGCAAACGCACTGTACCTTCTTCTTTCTCTCACCTTCCTCAATAACAGAACCACACTCTCAACACTTGATTTTGAGCGAGAACACTCTCAACCATGGCAGTCCTCCTCGGACTTCCAAACGAAGCTCTTCTTCGTATCTTCCACTACCTTCCAAAGAGCGTCAAGCACCCCAAGCCTCAAGCCGACATACTGAGCTTAAGCTTGACATGCAAACGACTGGCACCACTCGTCCGCGAGGTCCTCTGTACGGCGCCGATCCTTGCTCTAGGTAATATCCATATGTTCCTCGACATGCTCTTCAAGTATCCAGACCTACAACCAAAGATCCGAAGCCTTACAGTCGAGGCGGAGGAGCTTTCCGAGATGTGGACAGTACTAGACGGCTCCATTCCAGCTCGGGACGCAGAATTGCTTTCAAGATGTGTCAGCCATGTTCAGAATCTAGACCTTGATAGAGAGATGAAACAAGGATGGATTGCAATCCTCAGCCATGAGTGCGAATGGCCTGGCGACCTGCTTAGCCTCGTCTTGACCCTGCTACCGAATCTCTCTTCACTGTACCTTGGAGGCACACCACTTTATCACCTCACAATTCTCGAGCCAGTCTTGGAAGGTGTAGCAGACCCATGGCCTTTGAATAATCATTGGAACTGCATTCGAATTCCAACCCAGATCAGCGCCAAACTTACTTCCCTCGAACTACCTAAGGACTTCTACCTCCCAGCAGGGGTGTCGCAGTTCGTATCCCCAGAACTACGTACCTATTTCCCCGAGCTGCGACATCTCATACTTCCATCTATCGCCGTCAAGGACACGGAACCTAAAGACATAATTCCACCTAAAGTAGAAACACTGGTCTTGATCGACTGCCGTGATCATGTGCACGACTGGGTCGGCAAAGTAGCACCAGCGGAAGGAACTCCTCTCCCGGAATTGCGCAGTTTGAGTCTGTACTGGGGATGCGCTGGATGGGTGTTTCCACCGCCCTATGATAACATGAGGAGGCTGGGTATAACATGTAAGTCAATCCCTCATTCTTCTCATGTGATTTACAGCACTGTTGCTCATATGATGTTTTTGCTGACTTCAGATGTCCTCGATGACGATTTAGTCTACGAACATGTTCCAGAAGGGCCTAGTTGGCCTTTATCTGAGTTGAACCACCCATGGTTGTACACTCGGGCTGAGCTTGATGCTTTCAGCTCGGGGAGACATAAGGAGGCAATGGAGAAGTGGACAGAGGTAGGGTTAGATGCGGGAGACTGGGAAGCGGGAGACTGGGAGGTGGATGAGTCGGAAGGAGAAGAGTGATAAGATGCGGCAGATTGGACAGAGTGAGATTGCTAAAAGGATTATCTGGAGGGAAGTGGAAGGTGTGCAAGCCCTCAAAAGATTAGGCTAGATCTGCACCCGCACTTGCTGTGAGGCGACCGAATACGCTATGTCGCAAGGCTGTCTTCTTGTTCAACAAAATAACAAAATACTTTCATAGTTGTAAACATCTGCTCTAATCCCATTGCCTGTACTAGTACATTCAGGAAGCGCCACGTTGCACATCACTACCCAACGCCAGGCCAACCTGCATACAGTCAGTAAAAGCGCCCTGGTATCATCATCGGCATTTCTGTGGAAAAACTTACTCCAGACGGTCAGCCCCTCATTAACTTTGGCCACATTGACTCTATCCCCCACCCTCCACACCTCCTCCGTCTTCTTTCCATTACTCCCCCAGAACCCATACCGTCCGAAAACCGGACTCCACTTCGCCCCAATATCAACCCTTCGATCCTTTTGCAACCTCTTCAGCACCTCACCCGCCGGCCCTTCTCCCGGCTTACCCGTCTTGTGGTCAATATTAATGCTCTTGCACCTCACACAGTTATGCGGGAGGATAATCTCCGTTCTCCCATTAACCGTAAGCTTACCCCAATAGTCTTCTTGATACGGATCATAAGCACCTTCGACGACGACGTTTGGACGGAACTTCTCAATATCCATATCCATACCCTCTGGAAGCCGGGACGACACATCCTCAAGACTAGTCTGCGAAGTGAAAAGATAAGGTGCACAATCCGCAAAAGTAATCTTCCAGCTCTCCTCCCCAGACTTATGCAAACCCATTACTTTTTCCACATAGGACTTTGTAAACGGGACATGTTTGCTCAGGAACCGGGTCAGCGGATCTGGTTCCAGCGGCTGCATGTCCTGGAACTTTACGTCGCGGAGATTGGCACCTAGGTAGACGAAGATGACGGGGTACCCGAAGCAGGAAGTGAACCAGTCGTTGTATCTTTGTGGCATGCGATGGGCGGTTGTCGGGGCTGAGTGCATGTTGATATCGATGGAATCCAGTTTTTCCGTGTCTGGCTCCAGAGGTATGTCGATTGATGTTTCTTTCGACGCATCTCCGCACGCAATGTATTTGACGGTGATGGTGTCGTTTTTCATCTCTTGGAGGAATTGCGTCATTTCGGGGTAGCTTGATACGGCCATGTTTTTGTAGCCGTCTTTGGTTTCCTGGAGGAGCATGAAGGAACCTGTGGAGGTGTTAGCGGTTTTTCTTGTTGTTATTCATTCCATCCCGCATGAATGGTGGTGTGTTGTACGGTCGTGTTTGAATCCATGGGCTGTGGCAATGGCTTCTGTGACTTTAATCGCTCGTAGCGATTTGATGGGGTAGATGTACATCTGAGAATCGCCATCATCAGTACTTCTCTTCACTTGCATCATCAATGTAAACATACCGCGGAAATCTTCATAGCCGTCAACCGGTGTATCAACGGACTAAGGAAGTTGAGCAATTGATACAGGCCAAACGGCACAACGCAAAGTGCCGTGATGAGCCATATCGGCGACACCTTCTCAATGTTGAACTCGTGCTCTTCCTCCATACGGGCAAACCAGACCAATATTCTATGATGGAAAGAATTGAGAATGGCAGATGGTCTTTGAGACGACATTGCGGGTCGCGTCGACATGCATTGAGGCCCACCCCACGTGCACGCCTTACCAAGGCGCTAAGACATGTCGACTACCTCGGCCGTCATCTGTCGATCCTTCAATGACATGTTACAACAGTACGGACATATGTTTTCACGCCTTACCATGGTAATTGCATAATCACTGCAGCTCAACGGTTTTGACTGAGAGTTACATTGCAGAGTCTACGGCGCAAAACGATACCCAAGACACATCTTTGACGACCGCGTGACTGAGATACTTCTCCTTCAATCCCCCCAGCCTACCAACCTTCAACCTCACGCTCAAACCCTCTTTCCAAACACCCTAAATCGCTTCACACCACCATCCGGGATGATGACCAATTTCGCATGCGTGTACCCCCTCCCCTTGACCTCCTTGAGCTCAGCCTTGTACTCCTTCTCCACATCCGGCCCGGACCTCTGCGGCTCCAGCACCTCAACCCATCCCCCGTCATCACTCGCGGGCTCCTTATCAAAGCTACCAGCAAAGACCTGTACCTTCTGTGGGAAGTTGCCTCTAAAGTGCGCAGTATCAATGACAATGTGATCGATTTCACCCTTTGCGCCTAAGCGCACGATTGTCCAGTCGACATGCTCGCCGCGCGTACGCTTCGTTTCCCACCCATCGCCCATGTCCTTTCCACGACCGGACAGAAGTAAGTTGTCTTTTGTGCCAAAATGTTGGTCCGAACATGACGTTGCGACGCCGCCCATGACTGTGGCCGAGAGTTCAAAGATGGCGTCGGAGGACTCTGGGAAGACTGGTACGGCTACACCGTAAAGCCGGAAGCGCGCGATGCCGCCGTCAGGGTACATGAGCAGCCTAACGTGCGTGTACGCCTTGTCTGTGATGCTGTCTAGTTTCCAGCCATGCCGTTGGCTAGGTCCGCACTCTTGCTTCGATAGTATGGTTTCCCAGCCTGCATAGCTGGCCTTTTTCACTTCCTCTTCCTCCTTCTCGTCTGTGATGAATGCACCTTCGACAGCGATTTCGGGGGCGTGGTTCCCATTGAATGCAAAAGTGTCGATTTCTACACCGGCTACTTTTCCACTGGCGGTACCTAGCCGCAGGACGACCCAGTCGAAGGGTTCGGTATTGTGACGCCGGGTCTCCCAGCCATCATACCATGCTCCCGAGTGGACGAAAACACCGGGTTTGCGAATTGGTGGTGTCGGCGTGATAAGGTTCTCGGCTGCGGCGAACCATTCGTCGCTAAAGGAAAGGACTTTTGAACCAAGAGGCGCGGATATGAGATCTTTGAGGGGTATCAACTCCTGTGTGGGAAAGTATGGAAAGAATGAGGTTCGTACCGGTGTATTGTGATTTGAAGGTCGCGTCGATCTCGTCAGCTGGAATCGACCGCGCGTTGTTTGTAGCTACGTTCTTGACGTCTTCTGGTAGGATGTTGCGGATCTCCATGATGTATGAAATATTGTGTAATTGATAGAGGCTGGGTAAGTTTATGCAAGAGAACAAAAAGCAAAGATAATGTTTGGGGATCTCGCTGAGGTACTACCAAGTTATGGCGGGGCATCACTGGTGGGGTAGCTAGTTACCCTGCATGCCCTACCAACAGACTGCTGCTATCGGAATCCGCCGAGCGGATATTGAAGGGGCCGATCGCGGAGTAGTATTGATAACCTAGATACCTGCCTTACTCGATATAAATGACAGTCATGCCAATCCATTGCCTATAGAATGTTTAGGCTTTCTCGCTGCAAATTGTGCCGATGCTACAATAAATTTGCTGTTAGCCCGACGGGCCGCACGATGGTGCAACCCGACATACTGATATGTGACTCGATAGGTTGTAGTAATGGTAAACAGATCTATGCATACCCTGATACTATGGTAACATCCAAGTTATGCGCTATCACAAGCCTCGACCACCCTAACTGAATCTGCAAAGCTTCCACGGTTACAGCCGAGCCAGTTTCTATATCATCAGATCGGACTGTGTGCCGAAGCGTAGTCGACACAGAACTTTTACTTGGTCCATCTGTCGAATCACATGCCGGGAATGTTTCCAGTCCACGAATGGCAACGCGACGATAAACTCAGCGGTCAGCAACAAGGCCTCGTAGAGCGAAATTTGAAAGAATTTGATCTTCGTCTTAGCCAGGCAGTGTGAAAGTGGCTATCCAAAGTCTCAATTAGCAAGGTTCTCAATTCTACCAGTCTTCGTCTTCACCCATAGCTTGGGTCGTTCCAATTCGACTCCGAGTAGTAAGATCCACCATTTTTGTTATTGCCCCCATTCAAATCCAGCTTAGCCATAAACTCTGGTGGAACGGTGGGAATGTATTTCCGCTCACGCTCTTTGTTGACACCTCCAAATCCGGCACCGTAGGTGATGAGCATATCTGTTGATGTTGGCAGCGAAAATGGCAGCATGTACGAAGGGTCCAAAAGAAGCTCATCGGGTGCTTCGTCTTTTTCGTCCTCTTCCGACATTCGTGAAGGCGCGGGTGATGGCTCGGGAGGCTTTTCAGAGGTACCTCTGACTGGTGTGGATGGGGGTTCGGGCTGTGACGGTGGATTGGGAGACCTTGCGCGCGCAGCTTTACGATCTGCAGCTGCTTTCTGCAAATGTACAATGTACTTGGAAGCGCTTTTAGGGAGGGTCTTTTCACCCACCTCGGGTCGGTAGTATTTTGCGGTGTGTAGTAGTTGTTGTGGTGACAGGCGTGTCAATTGTTGTAATGTTCCCACAAGTGACTCTAGGTCTTCTCCAAGTGAGGAAAAGCATTGTAACCATTGAAGAAGTTGCACAAGAGGCTCGAGATGACGTTTAGCGGCGTCCGCAGTGTTCTCCCCGGTGGAGGTCATGGAACCGTTCTCGTAGTGTTCTGGTTGCCGATTGTTAGAACGCGCCCAGTCTTCGAGCGTCGAGACGTTCATGCGTATCTGCATTGCTTTCGTTCGCGCGAGGTACTTTCGATTGGACATTATGCGGTTGAAGACTTCGGCAGAGAGCCAGTAGATCAGCTGCGATAGTACCTGCGCAGCGATTACAGAGTGTACGTCGTACAGGTCGAGGACAAATAGGGTTGATGAGAGTAAAGAGGTAATGTTCCGGGGTGATGGCTGTGCTCTGCGCTTGGGAGATGGCGGTCGGAAACGTTTCTCGAGAGGTTCTACCGGCTTCGCTTTAGGCTTGGAACGAAATATTTTCCATTCGTGCTGGAACTGTACATCTTCGAATCCAGGCATCGGCTCATGGTCGAGCATAGCTTGATCTAAGTTCTTATCCATCCTGCGCTCAGCATCACGGATAATCAAGATGAAAATCTCATTGATAAGTTCTGCCATCTGCAATTGGAACTCTGTAGTCGCACTCATGAGTCCACCATCTTTCTTGAGGTAATGCAACAGAAGTGTCGCATTAGACATCCAAAAGGCCAGCACAGTCATGTCCCATTGATGTTTCTCTACAACGTCGTTGATCTTGTTCATGGCGGATACCAGCAAAGTCTCCAAGAGTTCTGGATTTGCATGGTAATGCGCATAGCGTGCGCTCAGGAAGAGTATGTTTGCGGGTACTGGTTTTTGCGAAGGAGAGCGTTGCGGCGTCATATTCGTAATGATGATATCCAGTATCCGCTCGAGCTCGTTCTCTTGGAATACAAACATCTGGTCGTTGAGACATCTATCCCAAATGAACTCTTGGGCTTCTTCTTCTGGTTCTTCAGGTGACTACAGCTATTAGCGAACATCCACGGAGTGGCTGAGATTCGTACCTCGGGCTGTTCGTCCAGACCCAAATTACCAATGTCAACCTCGAGATTGAAGGCACTTTCCATCATCATCCGCCGCTTCATATCGTTTTCCTGCATCTCCTGCTCAAAGCGATCCTGAGAGAAGCCCGAGCTGTAGAAGTCGTCACCGACGCCTACATTACCAATGGCATACCCGCTCTCATGCAGATAGTCGGAGAGCTCAGTGTTGGGCTCGACAAAGTCGAATGCGGTCCGTCCTCCGGAAGACTTGACGTCTGTCGATGCGCCGTGGTCGAGTAGGAGCTTAACGATATCCTTGTGTCGGTTCGTCATGGCCCACATGAGCGGCGTCCAACGGTTCTTGTCTTGCAAATCAACACTGGCGCCCTGCTCGAGCAGTGTAGCTGCCACATGTTCGTGTCCAAAGCAACTTGCGTAGACCAATGGCGGCGTGCCCTCGGCGTCGACGCCGTTGATGTTGATGTATTCTCGGGCCTTGCCGTCCAGCAGTCGTTTAACCCGCTCGAGCTCACCGTTGGATGCTGCTAGTGTAAACAAGCCTTGTAGTGCTTCTCTCTTTTCCTCGTGTGACAGCTTCTCATCGGCAACGACCTTTGCTTCGTCGCCTGCATTCTCGTTCTTCAAGCGGGCTTGGTGCGCCAACATCTGCACCAGGCGGCTGTCGCTGTCCTCGAGCTGTTGCATGTCTTCGTCGCCAAACGTCGGGTCGTCGAGCGACAAGTTGAAGTCGAGCGGACGGGCGGGCATGGGCGTGGTGAGGAATTGCGACTGGCCTGTGTGAAGTCAGTCCCCGTGGCGCGTCGGTCTTTCCCTACCCGTTGCTTTCACCTACCCTGCCATGCATCATACATCTCGGTTTCCTCGTTCATGATGGTCACCGGGCGCCTGTCATTGAGGGAAGTGGGCAGATCCGAAGGCAGCTGTCGCGGCCGCTGCGGCTCTCCCAGGTCGCCCGAATAGGCATGCTCGTGATCGGGAGAGTCCATTGTGTGACATTGAAATGGTGGGTGTGCAAGGGTGTCTTGAGGGCGGCCGACTACCTCTTGCTCGGATGCATGTGTCAAACGTCGAGGGATGCCGTGTCAAATGTCGAGGGATGCCCGGTCCGTCTGTAGTGGGGCAGCTTCAGTGCAGCAGTCGCAGACAGGCAGGGCGTGGTAAAGGAGCGGGAGCCAGTCGCTGTGGATATTGCGACAAGGCGTCTTCTGCGTGCGCCAGGGGCGTAGTATAGTAATAATGCTGTGTAGGTATGCCTGCTAAGAAGCCGAGATAGTCGTAACCACGATGATGTCGCTACCAATGGGTGACGCGCCAGGCCGATCTACCGCTACGCCAAATCAAGTTGTCCCAGCGTGCGCGGGGCCAACTCCGCATGTCAGCCACACATGGGACTCTTGATATTAGCTATGGGCACATATGTGAGCCTGGTTGCGAAACATGGCTGGTTAGTGGCGGTGGCTGTTGCTTTTGTGTGAAGCGTGTCGAGTGCAAAGCTTCCTTATGGAGTGCCCATGTCGATGATGACGTCTAAGAACAAGCGCGAAGTCTGAGCGCATCCATGGATGGCTCCTGTCCATCTGCTGTGGCTGAGGTGCCATCAGTAAGCACTCCTCATGCGCGTCGACTGCTTGTAGAAGACTGGTATTCGTTGCCTGCGAATCTGCCCACCACGCCTCTCCCGCCGATCCGACGCTCTCCACGACCGCGCTCCTACTACCATGGCAGTCGCGCCCACGCTCGTGTTGTGATGGACAGATGGAATGACTTGCGACTTGGCCCTGTACATTGATACCCGACCTATTCTACCCAGAGCATGTCTTAGATGCTTAGCCGCCGCCAACATCGGGAAGACAGCATGACTACAACCGAGGACAGCGGGCGGACGCAGCGCTTTGCACACATCTTTGCGCGCCTGCAGGAGCTCCAGAATTATGGCTGGGACCCGGCCATTGAGCCCTTCCACTCTGTAAGACACCCGTATCTTGTCTCTTGGTCGAATCAGTGCCTAACGTCAACCAGTCGTACGACAACTACCATTTCTTTGGCTACGAAAAGACTGCGCCCAAGCAGGAACGCCCGCAATCGAGGGGACGAAGCACCGTAGCCTCCCCCACCCTGTCGCATTCACCCGACTCTGCCACCCGAAGCCGGCCGACTGTGACGCGCACCCACCGCAGCTCAGGCTCCGATGCGAGCGTCCAAACACACCGCACCAATACCACAGTCAAGGGCGTAGCGCGAGAAGGCCGACCCGTCGTATGCCGTGTCTCAGCACAGACTCTGCGACTCGAGCGCGAGTTCCAGCTCGCCAAACTCGTCGTCAAGGAATCAGATCCAGAATGCCGGCACTTTGTTCGCCCTATAGAGTTCGTCCGCCTCTCGACCAAAGCTGGTGAGGAGCCGCTCGTCGCCAGCATATTCGAAGCCCCTGGGCCCAACTACCTCCACGACTTGGTCAACTTTGGTCCCAACTTTTGGAAGGTCACCAGCAATGCACAGAGCCATCAACCAAACCCCTCCATTCCCAACCGTGGCGTGCCCCTCCTTACCTTTCTCGATTTCGCCGTTGGATCAGTCGAGTGTCTGGAGATTCTGCACCATGGTCACGAAATTGTCCATGGCGAAATACGCGGTGATGCCTTTCACTTCGCCGAGAACGGCATTGTCAAGATGATCAATTTCGGCTCTGGCGCGAGGTCCTTTGAGAATGGACTGACCAGCGCAGGCTGGAGTACTTTGTCCAAGGAGACTGGCATCGAGTTGAAGTTGGCCTTCATATCTCCTGAGCAAACCGGCCGTATGCCTGCTGAGCCCGACACACGGACCGACATCTACAGTCTTGGTATCCTTTTCTACACAATGCTAGGTGGTCAGGCGCCCTTTGAAGGCGCTACAGCTCTCGATGTCATGCAGAATGTCATCAGCAAGCGGATCCCACCAATCTCCTCTAGACGTCTAGACGTCCCAGAGGCGCTCTCAGAAGTCATACAGCGCATGACTCAGCGTAACATCGAGGATAGATACCATTCCACGTCGGGGCTCAAACACGATCTTGCCCGCATCCGTGAGTTACTATGTGAAGGCGATGTCGAAGGACTGAAGGCCTTCCGTGTAGGCTCCAAGGACATCAGTTGCTTCTTCAATCTACCTCTCAAGCTGATTGGACGTGAGAAGGAGAAAAAGACTATAGTAGATGTCTTGGAGCGGGTGTCAAGGCACCGCCGAAGTAGCATCAAAACTCTTCAAAGCTTGAGTTCAGGCTCTTCCTTTTCAGATCAACGACGAGACTTGAGCTTTGACGATGTTGTTTCAGAGAGCACCAGCTCGAGAGGCTCAGATAGCAGGCTCAACAGCGTTTCCGCAGATACTCCCGTCTTTATGGGAGATGCTCGGTCAATACAACACGATTCACAGGACAGTGTAGCACAGTCAGAAGTCTCTACAGCTGAAGGAAGCGTGGATGGCCGACCTCAACTGCAATCTGCAAATCGAGGGCGATCTAACAATAGCATTGAAAGCTCCGCCCTTCACTCTCGCTCTTATCAGTCCAACGACGGCCTGCGTACCCTAGCCAGCACACGGAAATTAAGACGCAAGGCTCGATGTGAGGTAAGTCGACACGTCACAGCCCAACTCATGGATGAGGTACGCTAATCTCAAGATACAGGTGATAGTGATAGCTGGTACCACAGGATTAGGCAAGTCTCGTCTTGTGCAAAGTGTACAGAGCACAGCGAGGAGTACCGGCTATTTCGCCATGGCCAAATTTGACCCTGCAAAGAAAGCACCCTTTGATCCCATCCTAAGATTGATGTCCTCCTTCTTCCGACAAATATGGTAAGCCTCTTACTCACTGTTCTCTCCAACATGAACTACGCTGACACTGTATAGTATGTCCACTTATTCTGAGACACAACTCTTTCCTTCAGAGCAACCACTAACTACCAATTTCTACTCTAGTCAGCGAGGCCGATGTTATGACAGAGTTTCATCAGAGGCTGCGCCATTATCTTAGGAACAGCGGAGTTTGGACGGTGCTGCGAACTTACCTGGACCTTCCTGAATGGCTCTTGAACACAAACGGCACAACAAAAAGTGCGCAGCAAAAGGACCTGGATACAACCAAAGACATGGATCGACGGGCATCATCTCCTGCCGTTCATTGTGGATCAGCTGGACATACTGCTGAAGCCTGGCTGCGAAGTGGAGGTGCTTCCAAATCCTCTAGATTCATGAATGTCTTTATAGACGTTTTACGACTCCTTGCCGTACACAAGCTTTGTACATGGAGCTTAGAGGATGTTCAGTATGCTGATCCAGAGAGTGCTGAGCTGATCCATCACATCGTGCAGGCTAGAATTCCACTTGTTCTTATGCTTACGTACACCAACGAAGAGACCTTGCCCCGGGAACTCATCCCATTACTACGCCACGCCACCAAGGTACAGCTTCTACCGTTTTCAGAGGCGCAGACTGCGGACTATGTAGCCGAAACGCTCCATCGAGATCATCAATACATCCTCCCTCTGGTAGCGGTAGTCCAGGAAAAGTCTCGAGGCAACCTGTTTTACATACGCGAGATACTTGACACTTGCTATCGCAAACGATGCGTGTACTACGAGTGGCGGGAGAATAACTGGGTTTTTGACCTCGACAAGGTTTTCGCAGTGTTCGAGAGCCCGGAGTACGGTTCATCCGTGACGACTGATTTCATATCAAAGCGATTGACAGAGCTACCATCAGCAAGCAGGAAACTCCTAGCATGGGCTTCTCTTCTGGGCGGCACATTCTCGTTTGAGCTCTTGCAGAAGCTACTCGACCCGGCGAACAAGCCCGCTGATACCGGGAGACTGCCTCTTTTCGACGAAAATGAGTGTGCCGTCACAGCCCTCGATGCAGCGCTCAAAGCCTACGTACTCATGCCCGCTGACCAGGACGCTCGATTTAGATTCAGCCACGATCGATACCTCACAGCAGCTGTCAACTCTCTTGACAGCGATTGGGACACGCAGCTGATGCACTTCACAATCGCTAAAATGATAACTGCTGGCGAGGAATACAACGACGACTCAACGATCGGATCCAAGGCATTATACATGCAGAGCCGTCATATCTGTCTTGCTGCAGAACTCATAAAAGCCAAAGAGACATACCGGGCTCCATTTCGAGATATGCTGTACCAAGCGGGAGAAACTGCATGCGAGTCTGGTGCAAGATCAACTGGCATCTACTACTTTGCTCACAGCCTAATGCTCTTACAAGACGATCCATGGGACGACAATCAGCCAGATGTCTCGTATCAAGAGACTTTGCAGCTCTTCGTAAGATCAGCAGAGTGCTATTGGCATCAAGGCATGTTTGATGAGGCGCTTAGCTTGATCAGGACGACTTTTCAGCACGCGCGGGATCCTTGCGATATGGCTAGTTCGTTTATTCTGCAGTCCAGAGTGTTTGCCATTCGTGGTGATAGTTTTGGTGCATTCCAGGCTCTCAAAGATTGCCTTTCCTTGTTAGGATCCCCTATACCTCCGACAACGTGGGAAGCGTGCGACACCGAATTTCAACAAATATATGGCAAGCTTCAGAATATCGACAAAGAAGAGTTGCTTAAACGTCGGGCGTCGCCAGATGACCGCGTCTTGATGACGATTGGGCCTGTGTTCATCGAGCTCCTTAGTGCGGCGTTCTGGTCAAACAGCCTTTTATTCTATCAATCGACGCTGAAGCTCATTTCAATACATCTCGAAAAAGGTACCATGTCACAGGTAGCCCTAGCTTATGTGCACCTGGGGACTGTTGCAGGCGGCCGCTTCAACATGATGCAGTTCGCTGTGGATACGGGTGCCATCGCGAAGCGGATCTTCCAGATGTTCCCCGATGACTATTACACCCTGGGTAGGGGCCAAACTTTGCAGCCAATGTTTCTGGGTCATTTGGAAGCGCCTGTGGGTGATCTGATACCGAGCTTGGAAGGAGCCCTGCAAGCGTCTCTTACCGCAGGTGATAGGATCCTTACACTTCTGAACCTCGGAGTACAAGCCCACTTTAGGGTCATGGCATCACACGACGCCGTAGAACTAGAGGCCTGGGTTGAGGAAACTCCACTGGACATGCGAAATTGGCAAAAAGACATGCGAGGAGGCGTTTTCCTAATGGCTGCTCGGCAATACGCGAAAGCGCTCCAGGGAAAGACCGACACAGGTAGCCCTTCGCTGCTCCTCTCAGACGACGACCACAACGAGGCCGAGTATATCGACTTTCTTGAACAAACGGCTAGCAATCCGAAGCGTCCGAAGTCTATATATCTTGCTACCAAGCTTCCGTTGCTGGTGCTCTATGGTCACAATCGGGAAGCGGTTGCGCTTGGGGAGATGTTGCTTCCAATGCTGAGCAGTCTTTGGTCTGAAAGACTGAACTATTCGGTCAGGTATTACCTATCGCTAGCATACATGGTTCTTCTTCGAGACGAACCTGAGCATAGCCGGAGAGGCGGGATGATCCAACACGTTCAAGGTACCCTGAAGCTGCTTGAAGCATGTTGCACTGTAACTGATGCCAACTACCGGGGTTGGATACATCTTCTTACTGCCGTTCTTGCAGATATCAACGGCGATCCTCAGTCGACGTTGGAGAACTACGAAGCAGCCATGGACCATAACGAACGTTACGATTTCATCCTAGACGAAGCTTTCGCCCTGGAGCTATACACTGGATGGTTAGTGAATAAGAAGGCCTACAGGGCGGCTCGGCATGCGCTCAAGGACTGCCTTTCGACGTATCGGAGGATGTCCGCGTATGGAAAAGCAAATCACTTTGCTAGCCGTTATGAGTGGCTAGTTCACAGCGGCCGATCATTTACGACAGCGGACCAAGCCGTACAGACCTCGGTCGTGGACACGGGTAACACAGCCTTCAGGCTTGAGCAGAACGACCACGACCATTTCCTGGGACCAGAAACCGCGGTCGATCGAACCCAAGACTGGATCGTACCGGAAACGCGGCGCCAGGAATCTGCCCCAGCTCTCCACAATGGACTTTCGGCTGTGGGCCTTGACATGCTGGATCTATCATCAATCCTGGAGTCGAGTCAAGTTCTTTCCAGCGAACTTGTTGTCGATAAACTGATGGCAAAGATGAGTTCAATTCTCCTCGAATCTACGGGCGGTACTTTGTGCGGCTTAGTGATTGAAGACTCGCAAATCGAGTGGTCGATTGCGTGTGTCGCTACCAACGAGCCTGACAACGACAGCGGGTTCTCTTCTGGCGTCACATCCTTCCCTGCAAGTCAACCTTTGGATACTGTGGACGATGTTGTCGCTCGACAGGTGACACTATACACGCTTCGCTTCCGAGAGACAGTCTTCGTCCAGAACCTATACGAAGACGATCGGTTTTCTAATGTCTCAGACGCCTATCTACAGCGCAATCCAGAGGGGAAAGCAGTCATATGCATCCCGATTCTCCATAGCGACCATTTGCTGGGCTCGATCTACGTGGAAGGTCCGCCGAATTCATTCACTGAACGCAACACCCAGGTTCTCCGATTGCTTGTAAACCAGATATCCATCTCCTTGGCTAACGCACTGCTCTTCAAGGAAGTGGAAAGAGTCTCTGCCAGCAACGAAGCAATGCTCGAAATGCAGAAACGTGCTTTGTCGCAAGCGCGAGCGGCGGAGATCAAGGCGAAAGAGGCTGAGGCCATCGCTGTGCGCAATATGAAGTTGAAAGAAGAGGCTGCAAAGGCAAAGAGCCTTTTCCTGGCTAACGTATCCCACGAGTTGCGCACCCCCCTGAACGGCGTGATCGGTATGTCTGAGCTGTTGAAGGCTTCACCACTCAACTCCGAACAGTCCGGATACGCCGATTCGATTCGCGTTTGCGCCGATACACTACTTTCCATTATCAACGACCTACTAGACTATTCTAAGCTCGAGGCCGGCAAGATGAATGTTTTGGAGATGCCGATATCACTGTCTGAGACGATTGCCGAGGTCGTACGCGCTCTTGCATACACGAACGCCGAGCGAGGTCTCAAGACCATTGAGCAGCTGCATTTAGATCCCGAGATGCTTGTTATGGGCGATCCTGTCCGACTGCACCAGATTCTCATGAATCTGCTGTCTAACAGCTACAAGTTCACGCCACGGGGATCAGTCACTGTCCGCGCTGTTGTAGATCAAGAAACAGACGACTGGGTAGACGTGACATGCAGCGTCATAGACACTGGCATCGGTATCCCAGACGAGCAAAAGCAGAAGCTCTTCCTCCCTTTCTCGCAAATAGAGTCGAGCTCCGCAAGGAGCTATGGTGGTACTGGTCTGGGTCTCAGCATCTGCAAAGCTCTTATTGAAAATGTCATGCATGGTACCGTACGTCTCGACAGTCAGCCAGGCCAGGGTACAACAGTCACCTTCTCGTTGCGGTTCAAGAAAGTACCGAAAGCGCAAGCAGGTAACCAACCGCAAAGAACGCGAGAGCCAGATCCCATGGCGAGATTCTCAAGCCAGGGTAACAACGGTCATGAGCAGTCATCCGGTACTTGCATCGATCTTTCAACCATACCTAGGCGAGACCTTCGAGTGTGCATTGCAGAAGACAATTTGATCAATCAGCGCATTGCAATCAGTTTCGTGCAAAAGCTTGGCTTCAAGTGCGACGCCTATCTCGATGGCTTCAAGACGATTGACGCGCTAGAACGCGCTTCAGAGAATGGTCGGCCCTTCCACTTGGTGCTCATGGACGTGCAAATGCCGCATTGTGACGGTTACGAAGGTAAAGCCAAGCCCTCATGCCTATGAGCATCCAGATTGCTGACACAAATGCAGCCACAAAACTTATCCGCAAGCATCCTAATCCCGAGATTCGCAATGTCCTTATCATTGCCATGACCGCTTCCGCTATTCAAGGAGATCGGGAGAAATGTTTGGACTCCGGTAAGCTTCTAATTAATTTTCCCGTTGAAAAAAGAGAAAAATGCTAACTGTTGAATAGGAATGAATAATTATCTCGCTAAGCCGGTGCGCGCGCAGACACTCAAGGCATTGTTGGACTCCTACCTGAACAAAAACAACGAGGTAGAAGAGATTCCTAATCTAGCGATCGAAGCGAAAAAGCTGGTCAAAGAGGCATTGAACGAGGCGGAAGCGCTGCCTGATGTCACAAGTGGGAACAGAGATTTGGAGAAACAGGAGGACCGCAACGGAGGCGCAAGTGTTGTGGGAGAGACGAAGAATGGAATTACGGCAGCAGAGAGGGAGGGGAAGAAAATTGAACGACCGAGCAGTGTGAGGATGAGCACTACACAGCACATATTACCTAACGGTAGGACAGAACCCGTGCCACCTTCTGAGTAGAGGTGCACTGATTTGAGGGATTGAGGAGTTGAGGGGGGGGGCAGATGTCATTGTTCATTTACGGATGGCTTTCTTCCGCTCGCTTTGTCATCGGTGCATTGCATGGCGTTCGTTCTGCGCTCACGAAGGTGTCAGGAAGGACGAAATGGCGTTTCTATTCCGTCGCAATATCCTCGCAGATAGTGTCTCATCTCTGCCGAAGGTAGAAATCTGAATGACTCCGTCTTCACTGTGATCATTGGTGTCTTGAGTCGTCTGTTTGGCTACTGGTGACTATGACTATGCAGAATCCTACCACACAAAGCAATCATACGCCAGGATGTCACTCTGCGCATCCTGTATAACTCACAGTCAAGATGCCGACATCCTTGACGCGTAAGCCCGCCCGCATCACCTACCTCACGGCGCCATTGCACTCGCCGGAAGGTCGGCAAAACCTGGACTGGGCGCCAGACTCATCCCTCTCCACGCCGCGAGCGTGTCGCCAGCCCCACTTTTATTACCGCCGACGCAGCAAAATACCGCAGGCCCTAGGCTTCTTCATGAGCCACAGTGGCTCAACAAAGCAGTGGCTCACGGTGGCACAGTCGCCAATCAGTCGATCTTGGAGTCAAAGTTCCGTAACACGACTTTAACATTGCACGGCGGGATGGTGATGAATTAATCTCACGAGTAGATCTGCATGTCAGAAAGGGCTTGCGTCACCCCTCTCTACCCCCTCGGCTAACGGCATGTGCGTCAACTGGGCTGCTGGGTTAGCCGGCTTTCGTTGTTGGCAGAGGGTTGAGTTTCTGGTTTCTTTCTTACTTGGTCCTCCTCCTAGGCCTCTCCCATGATTCACTTCCTCTTAAAAATACACCTTTCACGCTGTACTAGGGCCTAGTTACCTATCAGAATCAGGATATTGATCTTACTTGTACCATTCCTGATACCAACTAATCACTACTTTGAACACAAAAGTCCAAGCTGAGCTACATAATGGACGACACCATGTCCCAACGACAATCTCTAGAACATAAACGGCACCATCACTTTGGCCGCCACCGCAGCGGGAGCTACCTCTCCAGACGCTCCTCCTCCTACTCTGCTACACTCGACACAACATCATCCAACGCACCACCCCGCATCTTCGAAGGCACAGACGCCGTTCACCAGAACCGCAAAGTCGCACTCCAACGCGTCATAGACACTCACCATGCCCTTGAACTTAAACATGGTGATGCCGCACAAACACCAACGAGCACCAGTAGCGACCGCCCCACATCGTCTTCTTCTTCCATGTCCTCGGATCCTTTTACTATAGACTTTGCCGACATGTCGTTTCCCGACGCCGAAGTCCGCGCTTTTCGCTACTTGCAAAGGAGGTGGGATGCCAACACGTACTGCACGCCCGACGCGGAGTTTGCAACTGCGATTGCAGGGCGGAAAGAAAAGTTTGAGGAGACGGCGATCAAACATTTCTTCAGCCGTGTCGCGCTGTGGAATGCAAGTGCAGAGGAGAAGCAAGAAGCGGGTATGACGCGCAGTGTCTTCTTCTTCCGTAACAGGCGGCGGAGGAGGTCGAGGGCAAAGAGCGATGTTAGTCGCATGCTGGGCATACCGGAGAGGGATGACAAGGACAAGGAGGATGAGGCGTTGGAGGCGTTGAAGGAGGTTACTACGAGGGAGGGGCTGGCGCAGTTACTTTGGACGTTGGTGCATACTGATGAGGAGTTGGCGGGATTGAGAGAGGAGTGTATGGGCGCGTTGAAGGAGATGTATAGGGTGACTGTTACGGGGGTGGAAGGTGACGGGTCTTGAGATGGGGATGGGGATAGTTCGGCTTAAGGATATCTATCGTCTTCTGGGCATTTTGGACTTGTTTTTAGGATTGAACCCTACATTTCATGTTCTTCATGAATGCATAGAAAAGTTCGTTGTAATAAGATTGTAGCTTGAACTGAGGATTGAAGCATACATCATTGTCTGTATTCCCGGGCTGTTGGTGTGAGTCGCTCAAGTACTTTCTGGTCACACTTTTAACTTTAGCCTACTAACACGGGTTACTGCGTACATGTTTACAAAATAACTGTGGATTTCGGAGCAAGGGGACGGTGCTAGGCGGCAATTTGATATATGCTTCGTGATTTGAGTGTTGAAGAAGCAAATCTAGGGTGGATCGGAAGAGTCATTTTGATCCAGAAAGACACCATATTATGATGCTCATGGGTGCACTGAAGGACGATCTCGGTATGGATCATGGTCCTCGAATGCGATGCGTTGGCAAAGTGTGTAGTGACAACAGCGAGGGACTCGCGTCAATATCCCAGCAGACCTCCGCACAGATGACGTCACAGTCCCTGTCCGACACGTTAGTTCCGCTTCCGATCGGAACCAATTCCATCGTGCATCTGAAGCTCGGGTGAAACACACTTACAAACACGACTTCGTTCCACCCATCATGCCTTTCCTCGAACTCGGATACAAACGCCTCCACTACTCAGATCTGAAACCGCAAGATGGAAATGCTCGTGAGACATTCATCTTCATGCACGGGCTCGGCTCTTCGCAGAATTACTACTCTGCGGTAACTCAGAGCCTGGTTGCCAACGGGTTCCGTTGCATCACCTTTGACAATACGGGAGCAGGACGATCTACATACACGTTTGTCGAGCAGAGTATTGAGACTCTGGCAGAAGATACTATAGGGGTTTTGGACGCGTTGAAAGTTGAGAAGGCTGTGTTCGTCGGACACAGTATGGGAGGGTACGTCAGCATTAACAACCTACCCGGGCAGAAGCCTTGGAAGACTCGACGCGACGACACCAAGACAACTAACGGGCTTGTAGTATCGTGGGTGCACACCTCGCGGCTGAGCGAAGCGACCGCATCGTAGCAGCTGTGTTGATCGGCCCAGTCTATCCCAACCCAGCCTCAGCCCCTCGCTTCCAAGAACGGATAGAAAACGTGACAAAAAACGGTATGCAACCCATGGCCGACACCATCCCCCAAGCTGCAGTCGGAAAGAAGGCGTCTCCACTTGTCAAAGCAATGATCCGCGAGTTGCTGCTGGCACAGGATCCAGCGGGATACATATCCAACTGCCGAGTCATTGTCAATGCAAAGCCGCCCAGGTACAGCAAGATCAGCGTGCCTGTACTTATTCTCGCTGGTGACGAGGATATGAGTGCGCCGCTCGAAGGGTGTAAGAAGATGTTTGACGAGATGCAGCATGGTGAGAAGAAGTTGGAGGTCATGAAGGGGATTGGGCATTGGCACTGTCTTGAGGCGTTTGACGAGGTCGCGAAATTGATAGAGGGATTTTATCATGAGATACAGTAGATTATCCGTAATGGTTATTTCCGATAAACCGCGGAACGGGGTAGTGGAGAAGGTTCTGTATCCGTTCCATCGCACAGGCCCCGTTACCGTACCTGCGAACGAGTCAACAGGAGCAGAACACCTGCCATGTCATACCGCCATTTCTGAAATGTTTCGCGGGTGTGCGCAATGTGAACTGTGGGGGAGTGAAGAGGGGTTCATAGAGACACCACGTGCGAGCCGATCTTCTAGACGGCAACCCTAGCGATGACTAGCGTGGCGGAAGCAAAAGCTGCAGGCTGCAGATGCAGACTCATCTCCGCGTGCGAGTAGAGCGCAGTTGGTGGTGTTGTGCCGCCGCATGACATGGTCATTGGCGGCGTCCCTGGCCCGATCAGCTGCATTGGATGTGGCCTTGGCGCATGCCGCATTGGTTCCACTCTCCAAAGCGTTTGCAGCGGATACACTGTGTAAGCAGTAAGGCAGCGGGCCGAGCATCCACAGGACATTACAACAAACGCAGTCACACAGCCGCTTGATTCGTGTACTGTGAGGCGAGAAAAGCTGCTGGAAGATATTTCGGGCAGGCCACCCAGGGTTCTGCGCCTATACCCACCGCAGCGGGTTTGTGTAATGTGCCCTGCCGACGACGCGCCCCTCTCAGCAATACCCACGATGTCATGCGCGGCGCTTCATTTGGCATCCTTCCACCCCTCCAGGCTCGACGTTTCCGCGTGCACTTGCCCGAGTCGAGTGTGTGTGATCTTGGCCCGATGTCGCTGGCCTGCCGTTCTTTGATTTGATTCGGTCCTTCCCGCCGTCCGTGCAGCAGGTTCAAGGTTGTGCCGGATCGTCTTGTCGGTAGACGAGGCTGCCACTCGCGTCTATTCGACATGGCCTCGCGCCCTCCTTGCCTTATCACGAGCCAACACAACGATCAGCACGCTAGATTGAATGTGTGGCAGCCACATCGTCTCTGGCATGTGAAAGCCGACGACATCATAGTCTGGACACACACCCTCTCATCCACCTTTGGCACCTCCCATGTGTGCGACTCTTGCTGTGACATATTTAGTGCACTTGTCATGCTCCGTCTCGAACGCACGGAAGCTAACCAAGTCGTTCTCCAGTTTAATCGCACGACTAGTCTTTTCACGCTCCTAGCCCACTGCAGGCCCCGGAAATCGAATCCTGGGAGGCGGTGAACTCTCAACCTTTTTGCGTAGAGCCGCCCACGCGCTTAGCTCAGACTTCGTCAAAGATCGTGCATGCCGTGCGTCTTGCATGGCTGGCAGGGTCTGGGCCAACCAACGGCCAAGATCGACAATTGGGTCGTTTTGAATCTCTTCTTTATATACTAGTCCCTAGTTTCCCTCCTACTGACCGCGGTTGATTCAATAGTCCTCCAGGCGGGTCCCGCGGTTCGTCACTTGACCGACCCAACAACCACTGGCGTCGCATAGCCTGCCTGTGATTCCAATTTCCATTCTCCCATATCTCTGGCGTGTGTGCTCCTCGTAAGGAATCCAGATCCGTGAATTTCGGTGTGTTGGCACTGGCTGCTGGTATGGGCTTTTACCCCTTGAGCACAGAACCTTCCTATTTGGATACTGATATCCGATCTAGACGACTACCGAAATTATACACGAACTAAGGCCATATTAACGATTCAATTTTCCTAGAGACAACGATCTCACATTTACGTCACTGTCCTTTTTTCGATCTTTGATAGATCGGCGATGAATCGAACAGACAGTGTTGCGGGTTCCTATCTACCCAAGATACCCAGCCAGGAACCGTTACCAGATCCTACCACCATACGGCACCGCAACAAACCTCACAGAAGCAACGCCCAATCCTTGTCTTCCACTCAGGCTGCGAACATGGAACCGCGGCGACCAGTATCAGAGCAGCGCTCACGACCATTTCACCGGCAACAATCAACCACCTCATCATCAGAAAACTCAAAGAGTCGATCGCAAAGCCGTGGCCATGGCTCAAAACCCTCATCGAGGCGAACTTCTTGTACCATTGTGGATCCATCAAGACCGGCGCGTCACTATCGAATGAAGAGCCACCAAACACCTCCCACAGCAACCAGCCAAGACATTGACGACGTCCTCGCTTTACATTTTCGCAGCTGCAGCATCTTCACCAACCCATCCTACCACTCGAATTCCGGTCTACCCAGCCCAACGCTATCCCAAGGTGGCGACACAACCTTTGGCTTCCCCAGCGCAGCCACGCGTTTCAGTTCCGACAGTCTGCGCGTCGTCGAGGAAACACCCATGCACCGCCGCCAAAGCGAGGACACCATTGCAGAAGAAGAGACCAACACGACTATGCACTGGACCTCGCCATGTACGCGCAAACGCGAGTATGAAAGGATCGACAAGGCCAACAGCGGTCTTCGGGGTTTCTTCCGCAAGGTAACACCGCGATGTGTTTCAGGTCCGCAGGAAAAGTTTTACTCGGACAAGGACCAGTCGGATGCTGGTTCTGTGCGACGTTATCGCATGGAGGATCTGGATGACGATGCGCATGTGGATGAGAAGCATGATGCGAGACCCAGGACGAGTCCGATGCCTAGACCAGGGTCGAGACCGGGGATTGCGAAGAGGTGGACGTGTTTCTAGATGAGACGGAGAAGACAGAGAGAGAGAGAGCACATTACGCAGCGACGATTTTGGCATATTTTCCGCGGCATTGAAAAGAGGCGTTTGCTATAACGATACCCACGGCATGTTTTCTTGTTTTGCAGGTCTGTTATCGAGGAGAGGAGAGTTTGCATTATACCAACCGATACGTTCATAGAGTAGAAGTTCGTCCTTAATTTATAGTTTATTGCATCGATCAAAGAGTCCGCGCCAATTGAGTGAACTGAACGTTTTACCTGCGGTGCCCAAAGCACCATGACTTTCGTACTTATTTAAAGAACGAATATTTGACACGAGGACATGCTATGAATGCGGTGCAATGGGGATGGATTAAGTAATCTGCGTTGATATAACGTTATGTAGTAATTATAACTTGGACTCCTCCTTGACTGTGCCGATCTTGAGTTTGGGTGCGTATTTCTTCAATACGCTCTCGTTGTGGTACTGCATATCCGTTAGTGAATCCTTTCGTCACGTTTGATAACGAATCTTGCTCTGATCTAATCAAGGGTCCAGCTTGCGACCGAGTCTTTGGTAGCGAGAACCTTGGATGTCCGGCGGTACTGAGACCCAGGCGGGCCACAGAAGCAAGCCTTGCGGGAAGACGCGCGCGCGACATGTGTTCCCACTGTTCACTCCCCTCCCTGTACATCCTAGTCAAAACGTACCTTCCAGAACTGCTTACTAGCATCCTTTCCACCTACTCTCTTCAGAATCTTGGCGCCACCCGGGTGCTCGTCGACAAACGAATCCATCTTGTATACATCGCCATCGACTATTATGTACAGTCCCTTCTCAACGGTGTTGTGCTCGGCGACTTGCTTGGTGGTGAGAGACTCGGACATGGTGAGTTTCGTGGATGCGCAACGGCGACTGAGGTTCGTCGGCGTTTGAAAAGGCGGGAAGAATGTCGCGTCGGCGATCGCGTCGAGTCTAGGCGGACGATTTGTTGTGTTCGGAAGGTGGAAGAGCTGGTTGGCTCTGGGTACAAAAGTAAAGGAAATACGGAAGGGGAGGAACCTGGGGTTGTATGGGGTACGGTCTAGGGACGTAGCTCGGGTTGCGGCTCGGTCGTGGATGGCGACAAGTGTGGAGTGGAGGTATGCCGAGGTTGATGAGGCGCGCTAGGCCTGCGTGTGGTAAGCTGCGTTGCGGGGATCGTGATTGGTGTGCTGGAACGTCACTTGCTCTTGGTGAAATACTTCCCAGCATCTTTGGGCTGTCTTTTACTTCTACTGAGACTTCGCAGCGCCCAGTGTTCATGGCTTTCGCCGAGTGCGTCGCCAGAATCTACATCAGTAGTTGACGCAGTGTGTGTCGTTAGGTTTATTTCGCACATGCTACGCACCTTCAAAGTAGTCGTTATTCTCTGTGGAATTGTTTCTCTAAAAGCACTTGTTTTCGTCCCATCTCAAACCAGGAATCTAGTCAGATAGTTCGTCTCGCATCTGCGACCTCAACACTGTTCGTTTGCCGATGACTGTCTGGGCTCAGTCATTCGGCTCCTTGCATCACTTACCAGCTAACATTGATAAGGTACAGCAGATTATTGGAGCCTGTTGTCACTGCTTTCACTTTCTTTCTTACATCTAAATTGGTCCCTGGGTCAGTGCGACCGCTCTCGAAAATTGTGGCCCAAGCACGCTTGCGTCCAAAACTGGTCCTGGTCTGGTTCATCTTCTTCGACACCTCGACTCACTTCCTCAACCGCCTTACATGTTAACGGTATTTCTTCGACAAGTCAACTGCAGTATCTTTGCATCATCGCACTTCTCAATCACTTCGTCGGTTCTGTGCTGACAGAGCCTTCAACGCCTATATCAACAATATAAGATGGAGTCACGCCTTCTGCAACTGCCAGGCGAGCTTCGTAACAAGCTCGGTGTGGGCTGGCTTTGTCTCCATCCTCAACAAACGGAACGAGATGTCGAGAAACTTGCTCAAACTCAAGCTGCCGGCGCCAGCGGTGAAGAGCTCGAGGACGAGGCTCCGGCACGAAAACGTCGTAGGCTTACAAAGGCTGTTCGAACTACCAAAAAAACCGTTGTAGCTGCCGAAAAGATGAGACGCCCTGCGCAGGTCACAGTGAACGGACATGTCGTCGCTAACCAACTTCAATTCGTCAACAATCAACTTCGAAGCGAGACTAGGGCATTGGTTATTCGCTACAACGATATACACATCCTCGAAGAATATCGGCATCTCACAGAGTTCATCGATAGTGTCGTCGGTCATAAGAGACTATGGATTCAGAAAATCGTTAGGCGGGTGCAGTCGAAGAGGAAATCGAGAAGGCCCATCAAGGCCAAGTCCAACGAGGCAATGCATCCCCGATTTATGATCCATGACTACCTCCCAGAGGTAAGTTTAGACGGAAATGCATTCTTCATGGTTGCAGGAGTTATACATGAGTTCGGTCGCCAAGATCACTCGTTTTTGAGCCGGTTAACCCAAAACGTCAACTTTCAACAACTCGTGCGCAGTTCGACTGGCCTTCCCAAGCTATCGGCCTATACCAAGAAATTTCCCTGGGATAAAAAGTTCGACGAGGCTGCTACTCGACGTTATTGCGAGACGAATGACTTCGTACAACATTTTCTACTCCCAACTGCGCCAAATGGCATTGAAGGTCTAGTAGCCATAGCCAAAGAGTGGATCGAGAATGGGTATTAGGTCTTCAGAGGGGCGCACCATGTTTCGGCGAGCTATGATATGATGTGGAAGGTAGCGCAGTGTGTGGAACGCTCTGAGTCTCATAGCAGACAAGAGGAGATAAGACTGCTTCTTCGAGTATGCTATGTACCGAATACTAAATCTGGGCCAATATGTACATCTGGTCTGACCACACACCACACAACGTGATCTACATCTATGCTGCAGGACTAGCAACTGAAGTAGTGAGTGAACCGCTCTCAATGTACGTCCCAGAGAAGAACCAGTCCTCCGCACCTGTCCCATCGTTGCCCTGGCGGGGAAGACGAAGAACACCAAGATGCCAGTCGGCGCCGTTTGAAGAAGTGCTACTGGAGAACGGTCCAGCAGTCTTAACAAGCGTGTTGTTACCAGTCGAGTGCCAGAAGGTAACTTGGTTGGATGAAAAGTTGATCTCGTAAGCTACGTTGTGCCATTCATCGGCCTTGAGCTCGACCTTCCACTTGCTCTGGCCACCCACCATCCACTGCCTGGTTTGGAATTAGCATGGTTTTCGTACTGGGTTTCGTCGCGTGGTTGTCTTACAGGTTGGTGTTGCTAGTGCCAGACTCTCCGTTGACCCATCCGTACTTCAACTCTGTGAAATGGCTCTCGAAGAAACAGATCTGGTGTTCGTTTGTCGCACTCGGAACATTGGTAGTGGACCTCTTGATCGAGAAGTGGTAATATACGGTGCCTTTGTTGATAGCAGCTGTGGTCTGAGGAATGAGCTCCGTCCTCCACATGTCGCTGTTCCACTTGGCTGTGTTGTCGATCGTGATCTTGGCACCTTGCTTGCTGCCAGTGTCCCCAGGATTCTTGTAGTTTGGCGAGAGATTTACGTATTTGGTGGTAGCACCCGATCCGTGGATGTAGTATTGGTAATCTGGACGAGGAAGAGGCTTTGTCAGTGATGTTTGACGTGTAGCCTGAACGTAGTACTCACTGCCTACTTGGTTTGCCCAAGACCACTTGTCTAGATCAGAAGAAGATGTCATTTCGTTGAAGCGGCCATCCCAAAGGATCGTGCCTGTCTCTGGTCAGCGACATGTAACGTGCGTGGACGAAGCCAACGAACCCGCGGACACGGCGCTCACGAGCACATTGACAATAGCTGCCTTTCCAAACATGTTGGTAACTGGGAGCAAATGGATCGCTGCGTATGGATACGATGAAGATTGATGGTTGAGGCGTTGAAAGTTGAGGCATTCACGACGCTATATAAAGATCATCCCTAGTAAATGCTCAGAGTACCTCGACCCGAAGATGGAGGCAAGATGTCCGCTTCATGGTTAAGCGCTGCACATCAATATCCGGGAAACAACATAGGGCTTGCACTTTGCTCTGAAATCATACTGAACGTGGACTGCGTGACCACATAACTCAATCAATCTAATTGCACCCGCCGGTATCACATATAGCTGTGGATCTAGTGGCGGCCAACCGGTCCGGCACACATTGCGCCTTGTCTCACCGCGACGCGGGAAATGGCAACCCGGTTCTCGTCACTGCGACAGCGGCACATGGTTCGATGCCGGAGATCGAAGGCTTCGTAGAAATGAAGGGACGGCGGGTTTCTTGGTGGAGGAAAGACGATCTCGCAGGGTGTCGAAATTAAGCTACATTAAGCCGAGGCCTACCCCACAATTAGCGCAGGCTTGAAAGCTTAGGACAGCGGTCCTACCAGCTCGTCCTGTGGCAGAAGCTGGACAATAGTTGCTGGATGCGAATGTTTCACAAAGGGGCAGAAACAAGTGCGTTAGGGAACGGCGTTGGCTGCGGCGCGCAGTTACCGAACGCATGCTTCCTCAGTGCCGCCAGGAAACAGGCAATTACCGGCACGCCAGCCCCTACAGCATCTCTCGGTACAAGAAGCCTCGCAATCCTAAGTTTATTGTCTACCATGAACGCACACAACATGCTTCATGCCCCTCTTGTAAGCAAGACGCGAAGGGAATCTCTTTCTTTACGACGTCCGAACACTCTGTCTTCTCCGCCTCATTGCCTAACATTGCCACGCAGTCGTTCCAGCGTAGCTTGTACCATGAATTTGGACACAAAGTCACAGAAACTGTGGGGCGGTGAATCTAATGTATTCGCATCGCCAGCTGATGTAAAAAAATCCGATATTGCCCTATGTCCCAAAACTCACCGGACCGAAACAGTGGCACAGTACGATGAGTATAGAAAGCACATTACAAAGGGACGAACAGTAACATCTATGGATGATACTTATGTAACGCTAGCCCATCTTGTCGCTAGTACACACCTAGTTCATGCTAACCCCTATTTTGTCAACTGCGCCGCACAATGGTCAGAACACCCCACAAGGTATAGTAACGCGCTTGAGGGACGATATGACAAGAGACATCGCTCTCAATCGCAGGATAAATACTTCATCTTATTGTCATCGCTTGACCGCTGATCATGAACGTCGATCGATGCATCGCGTTACACAATGAGATTTTGCGCCACGGCTGGGTTGGCTCAGGTCGCAGCGTAGAGTCTCTCGAATCCGCCTGTCGGTCTTGGTTTGATACATTTGGAGATGCGGCTGAGACCGTTCGTGCTGACCTTGCACATGATCTTGTTCGCTTTCTTCAACATGCTCGAGTCATCTGTGATCCAGAGGCGAAAGTTGACCTGTTTTTCTTCTATTGGGTGCGAAATCTTGCTGACCCAGGGTTCATGTTTGAGCAGGAAGACGATTGGCCAGAAGAGGGTAGGTTCTTGGTACTTTACGCTATGAGCAACTTTACGGGTCACTTCTGTGGGCTAGTGTAAGTTCTACGAGACCACTATATATTCTTATACACAACGAGCTTACACGTCGCTATAGATATGACCAGGAAACACACCTGTGCATAATCAGTCCGACTATTTACGAAACAGACATAATCTTTGAACAGGAAGTTTGGTATCCGTTGGAAACTGCGTTGGAGTTTTGGTTGAGCCAAATTCGCAAGGGAAGAATTGCTACTCCGCCAAAAGTCCCGCATAAGAATTACGTCTACGAGCGCTTCGATCCCTGGGAGTTTATCCCATATAACGACACAATGCTGGAGGAGAACATCGACGCTTTCAATCGCCTTGTAGAGTCCATCGAAGCCCGCATGCCTCCAACGGCCTCCACCACAGAAGTTGCAGAGGCTGTACATGGACTAGTCGACAGCAGCGTACTTCAAGCTACAGAACTTCTCCAAAGATTCGCTTACGAATTTGTCCGTCGTACACGACGTCCACGCTTCCAAATGATCGCTCCCGGTCTCGAAGTGCTCACCGACTCTGCATTGTTTGACCAGGTAGGTTGTGACTGTGCCGAATGTATATGACAAATACACTGACTTCGTGCCTTCACGTCTGCAGCCGTTCCGCTCTTATGTTTCTTCCTCCACTTCTGAAATTCCTCCCATCCTGCTTTTCCGCTCCAAATCAGATTATACTGACGAGACAACGCTCAACATTCACACCGGTGAGCGCATAGCCCAGCTCTTTCCATTATTCAGCGACACCACAACATATCCCGCAGGCCTGTACTTGCGTCCGACTTCTGCGATGAAATCCGAGGATGAGTGTTTGTTTGTTTTGCCCTTTGGTATTGGGGCGAACGGGTATGCAAGGAAGAGTGATGGCAGCAGGTTTGGACGACGTAAGACTGGAGGAGATAGTAACGTGGATTTATATCGTCCAGGTCATCAGCCGCTCGAGAACCATCACGAGCAGAGTCTTGTCGACGTGCTGAAGAATTGGAGGGGTATGGTAGAGAGGGGCGATTGGCAGATTGATGAGAATGGGGTTGCAGGCGGAATGGATGTATGGAGAGAGGCAGATAGCGAAGAGAAGTGGGAGGGATATGTGATACCGAGGGCTGTGGAGGGAGTAGAGGGGTAGATGAATGAACAAAGAGTTGATTAGATCTTGCGCCAGTATGGAAAGCTGCAGTGCGAAAGTGGGTGACGGAGGGCCTACGAGTGGTGGAGGAGATGGTGAATTGCGCTAACCGCATGTGACGATAGTCTTGGCAGTCGCGCGGTCCTCAACGCGCCTGCGCCAAAGATTCCAGACATCAACCCCAGCTTTCCGCGCCCGCTACATCACGACCCAAAGCGCATCGATCGACGCGGCGCCTCTGTCGCATTACCCCAGCAATCATGTATGGCATGAATCAGGCCTACGGGCATGCTCCCGACCCGAGTGCGCAGGTGCCGAATCATCTGCTTGCCCATGTGCACCTGATATCCTCGTACCGCTTCCCTACTCTACCGGGTCTTCAAGCTCCTCAGGCCCTCGAGTACCTGATCAAAGGTCCGCAAATCGTGCGCGACACGTCGCCCGTCGCGTGGACCTTCCTTTCAGCACCCCCCCAAGATGGCACTGTCATCCTCACATGGCAGCCCCCGCGCATGGGCACCATGTTCGCCTCAGACGGCATGGTGTGGGCTGACGCCGAAACTGCATACGATATGAACGTACGCGGATATGTACGTATCTAGAGGACACGATGCCCGCTTCAATGACCTAACATATCATAGACTCTCCAGGTCCTTGTCCACAACAGTGGATACCACTACCCTCACGAACCATACGCCATGCATGCGCGCCATCGTTATCGAATTGCTGCAGGCCCGGGTACTATCGATCCCAATCTCTGGCTTGTGCACTACAAGCCGGCAGATCCACAGAGCAGAATGCCTGCCTCGCAAATACCCATTCCACGAGAAGTCCAGGCCCAGATACAGATGCGCGCTCAACTACAGCAAGCCGGGCCATTGATGCGCAAGGAGTTCATGTTGGTCGATCAAGCCAATTGGCCAAAAGTCGAATTCGGACAACAAGCCATGAGAGGCCCGCAGCCCTACTACAACCCCATGCAACCAGGCCGACCATATCCTGCGCAACCGCCGCCAGCCAAACGCCAGCGCTTGCCGACTCAGGCTCAACCTCGCCAACCCGCTGCAGGCACACTAGCACCAGACAACACACTCGAGGAGGAGGAGAATGCGACACAAGATGCCTTCGACTTCCTGACCCCGCGCGAGATCAGCTTGTCGCGTTACAAGCAGCATCACGAGTGGATGGAAGAGATCTTCTCGTCACCTTATGCCGTCGGGAAGATTGCACCTATCGATCTAGGACTGGGTCTCATGGGTGAGCTCGCCCCACTTACTGCAGGCATTCTGGACGTTCCAGGAGCTGAGAATGTGGAGCCGGGCAAAGAGAACTACCAGGTCAAGAACTACTATAAGCTGGATGCGGAACAACTCAAGGACTTTGAGAAGCGCGTAGCAGAGTATACAAAGAACGAGCAGGCCGAGATTGACAAGATGAAGGCCGACCACGCGAAGAAAGTGGCACAATTGAAGCGCACCAGAACGTACATCAAGGCCGAACGACGACTACGAGACCTTTCCCGCCCTACCGAGAGCGACGGCGAGGACGCAAACCCGGTCGAAGGAGTCGTTCAAGATTTGGAGAAGACGCTGGGAGTTACATTCGACGCGAAAAAGGCGGTCGTCTGTGTAGACAAGGGTGGATTCATTGAGCCGCAAGCACCCTCTCCTCCAAAGGCACAGATGAACGGCAACGGAGCCCAACAGGAAGCAAACGGAACATCGAATGGCATGAACAACCAAGGAACAATGGAGGAGAATTCTGCCGCGGGTCTTTTGGACCAGTATGGATCAGGGTCACTGAACGGCACACCCATCGGCAATATGTCACTACCTAGGTTATCACAGCCACCGAGCCAATCGCAGTCTGCCACCGGTACACCCAATGCGCCTCACGGCAACATGAACCAGACATCCACATTCGATCAGCAGGACACAAGTCTCGACGTAGGAGCCGACCTCCTGGATCTGGACGTAGAGATGTCTGGAATGACCGGCGCAGGGGAGAAGACTGATGACTGGACGATGAACGATCAATCTGGCAATGCACAACAGTCGGCCGGCAGCGTCCAACAACCCAACATGAACAACAACCAGCGCACAAACAACGTCGGCGGCATGTCCTCGTCCAACATCGAAGCCGACGCGGGTAGCATGTTCGACACAGCCGACTTTGGTAGTTTTGACAATATCGATAGTGCTGGAGATGCTTTGGCGGATTATGGGCACGACGACAACTTGGGCCTGGACCTTGTTGACGATTCGGCTTTTGGCGATGCATTCCATGCGACGGAAATGCATCATGACGAGGCTGGAGAAGGGGACCAGAATGCGTAGTATGCAGGTTTGGACCTGGATCTAGATGGCCTGGACTTGGATTGATTTGTCTCACACTCCAAAGTATTGGAATTTCTCATTCTTGGGGTGTGGGGAGGGAGGGGCTGTACTATTACGGTGTAGTTTTGTTTTTGGTATGACTGGGAGTCGAGGGCGTTACCATGTCAATGGTTTACGACGAGTATCTACTTTTTATCATCGTAAACTTACGTGTTCAGAGAGACTTGTCTCTTACAGTTTTTTTACAATTAGATTGTGGCGTCTGCCATGTTCCAATCTGAATGGGACGGTGTTGCAACTATGGTCGATTACTCAACAGTCGGGACTGTGAAAGTGTCTCGCAATAATGTCACATTGAGCTTACACCTAGCTTGATATACATCTTGTTTCTCTTAATGCTCATGCTCAGCTGCCTGACACAAGATCCGCTACTTCAATGAGAGCATTGCGCCCTTTCCAGTCGATATGCTGTGGGATCTTGATCATGAGAGCTCCTTTGCATCGTTGCCATTCCTAGTGTGGGTGAGTGCATACGACATGAATATCGCCTCGTCCAGCAGAAGTAGCTCACTTTAGCAGAGACCTTGCCGTCTGTGGGTGTCCACTATGCTGTTGACTTTAGATGACGTCAAAAAAATGGAGCTGCTGTCGCGCTGTCATGGTCAGGTCTTTGAGAGCTCATCATAAGCTGTTGTCTGACTTATTGGTTACTGTGGCTTAGGAGTCACGTCAATTCCCGACCAACGTTTACAGCATCACCCCTTTCGCATGTCGATGTAGACACGCGTAGATATTGGCTACATTTTGTTCATAATGCTGAGAGACATGGGCGTCAGCAGCTATATCCTCGTTCCATAGCAACACGGTAGGCGACCTTCGAAACTCGGCTTCTGTCCGCAATTACACTGTCTTCGGCTCCATGTGTCCAGAATTCCCCGGCTTCTCCGTAAAAGATACTTTGGTCTGCGGGATGATGCGCTATATGGTGGCAATGTAACGTCGCGATTCTCTTGGGAGACTATCCCTACAAGTGTGTACATTGTTTGTCCTCGGAGTGGCGGTGTTCAGTACCGATACGCTGCTTGTGTTCACGTGCAACATGTTTGTCTTCTTGAGCGGGAGCATGAAGATTCACGATGGACCTCTAGACGTTCGGGAGTGCGTGTCCAATTCGGAATTTGTGGGATACTCGGGTTTCCAGAACGCCATTGGTGAGAAAAAGGAGATGGAAAAAACAACCAAGATGCAGACAGTTCGCGTGGTAGCGTTGATGGTAGCGCTAGAAGACCGGATGCGAATGGGGAACTGCGCAGTACGGATGAGACTATTGTGGGAGCGTATCTGCAGGAGTTACATTAGTTGCTCGTTGATGTAAGGCCCTCCATTCCCCGGGGATCGCAACCATGCATCACGGCCTCTGCTAACCGGATTGTACCAGGCCAATGACAATGTTATTACTCCTGAGAACGCTCCGGGTTTCTAGATTGAGGCATCATGCGCGAAGGTAACGCCAGCGACTGCGAGCACGCTACCTAAAATCCTCAGTAGTGGGTTTGAGCAGCTGCCGCGTGCTACGATGGGCAAGGCGGGCGGAGTAAAATGACAATGGCGCTGAAGGCGTATCTCGAATCCTGAGTCAGGATTAGTAACCCTCGAGTTCGACGAGACGTGGTAGTGGAAATGTGTTCTTCCTGATTGCGTAGGTTCTTTCGAGAACCCTTGCCCAGATGGTTCTACCGTTCTACCCCAGACGCGCAACGACACCATATGCAATCAAGCATTGGCGACGTTCCGAATGCCACGGTGCACAAGACTTTTGTTACCGCCCATTTTGAAACGCCACTCTATCGCAAACTCATGATCTAGCAAATTACCATGAGTTTCGGCAACCCCTGACTTGGCTCAGGGGGCGCTGTCTCGGTTAAAGCGGCCCTCCACGTCAGCGTGCCAAGACCGCGAGACGTTCTTCCGCGTGCTTGATTCTACGAGGCGTAAGCTAGTGCGACGCCTGTATGCGGCGATGAATCGTCTTTTCGGTATCGTGATCCGACTACACGGGCGTAACGATTACGGCTATTCGTGATGCCCCGTATCATGGTTCGTGACTACAGGCTGATGCTGATGTTGTAGTTTTAGAGAGGAACTGGTTCCGAGGGACATTAAGATCCGCCAAGTCTAGCCGTAATGGCTGTGACACCACCACCCGAGGGTGCGGGGAATTTCAGTTTTAGGGAACCATGGTCAGGAGAGCGCTACGCGATGGAGTTGTGGTAAAGGCCAGAGGAGCAGCCTCGGAGTCTCTTAGCGCAGAATGCACCGTTTCTCTTGATGCTTCATCTGCCCGGGCACGCGACATAAGCACCAACCTCGTAGTGGCTCAGGAGTGATCTGCTTGGTAGAGTCCTGCCATTACATTCAAGCATTTCCTGGGGTGTTTTGCCGCGCCCGCAAACCACTGAAGGCATGGGCAGGGAGAGTGCTAAAGTGACCTTCCCGATAGCCTCTCTTGGCATTATCCAAGCGTCCGCCATCTGCCCAGTGAGCCGCGTCTATCTGCAGGGCGCGCGTTCCTGAAAAGATGTAGCCCCCACCGGTAGGGCCAGGGTCGTCAAGCCCATGGACTAAGTGCGGGTTTACATTTACACTTGCCTTCTGTCCTTCTGCTCCCCTCTTTGCCGTTGTCGACCTTGGCCTCTTTGCTGCAGGCGATTCATCATTACGAGCGCCGTCTTTCTTTGCTTTCTTGGTACCCGTCTTTGTCGGAATTCGGCACCATCGGAATACGAAGCCACCTGGGCACTGCATCAGCAAGCCATTCCAAGCCACGGCGATGCGCCTGGTCACACAACATAGTTCTTAGATCCTCACATTCCTTGAATAGTAGACTTTTCTTTGGCTTTTTGCACACTCCTTCCATATTCGCACAATGCCTCCTCGCGACGCCAACTGGATAGATGTAAGTCGTACTCGCTGCCACACCTGTGAGACTTGGGGCTGACAGTCTGTCCTACAGGGCCTGAGAGGTGTCGCCTCCTTCATGGTGGTATGCGGTCACCTATGTACTGCCTTTGTACCATGGCTACACCAGCCCGCCCAAGATGCCAAAACCGCGCCGCACCTCTTCCAACTACCCTTCTTCCGTCTCGCCGTCGGAGGCCGTAGCGCCGTAGCCTTATTCTTCCTCGTAACCGGATACGTCAACTCAATTGGACCTATTGGCAAGTCGCGTCAGGGAAACCATGATGCGGCCTTCCACGGCATTGCACGAAGTGCGCTCGCGCGCTCAGGAAGGCTGATTCTTCCCACCATGGCTGCGACAATCGTTACGTGGTTCATGGCGAATACGAACGCATACCATATGACCAAGCATGTCGATGCGCAGTGGATACGGCAGGGTTGGCACCGACAGGAGCCTACGTTGTGGATGGCCTTCAAGTCGCTCTTCAGGGCGCAAACTGAGACTTGGACAACTGGCTGGGACGAGTACGATGGCACACAATGGACACTGCATTTGTTCTTGGAGGGCGCGTTCTTGGTCTACACAACCATGCTTGCTACGATTCTGGTCCGACCAAAAGCACGTTTCATTGTGTATGGAGTTATGTACGCCTACTTCTGGCAGGTTGGCAAAGGTGTGTATATTCGGAACTGGTTGGAGAGCAGCGCAGTTGCTAACCATAGTAGACCTTACAGTTGGCTCCATCAAAGGCCTCAACATCGTCACAGGCATGTTCGTAGCCGAGTTACACAACCACTACAAAGACGCCGCTCCTTCTGTCCTACCCGCACCCATCCCCGCACTTATGATAATCTGTGGCATGTTCATGGCGGGATTCCCTCAAGATTCGGCCAACAACACACGCTGGTCGCACACAATGGCGACAATCATGCACAGTCTGACAGCCGATAAGACGGATATCCGACGATACTGGGACCACCTCGGCGCTGCCTTCGTCCTCCTCGGAATCTTCTTCTCGCGAAACGCCCGTAAACTCCTCACATCACCTGTTTTTAACTTCCTCGGTCGCGTCAGTTTCCCGGTGTACTTGCTGCACAACACATTCATCAAGTCTGTGCTTACCTGGATGATCTACCTACCTTCCGCAATGAACCCGCCCAAGAACGAAAAGGGAGAGCAACAGGACCTCCAGCGTGGATCGACGACACATATCCTCATTGCGATTGCGGTCTTCTACTACATCCTTTACCGGAGTGCAGCACTCTGGGTTAAGCACGTTGACCCAATATTCGCGACCATGGTCAACGCAGCCACGAAATGGGCATATGGCGAGCCACAACAAAAGGAAAGCCGCCCGATACTAGGGAATGGGAACACCACGACTGACAAGAGCGTCCTCCCTTCATAAAGCAGACACCCTGCTATTCTTTCTTCACTTCATTCTTGTTGACCACTTTCGGAGCTGGAGCCGTCTCCTCCTATCACTATATCCGATGTTTTTTCCCTTAGTTTCATATCATCTCATATGTCTCCAAATGCATCTTCCATATTGCATGTGTTGTGTTTTTTGAGCGAGCGACCATGGTATGCCATCTTGGACGTTTTGGAGTATAAAGAGGACATGCATGTCTTGTGAGAGGATTGGATTTTTTTAAAGGGTCGAGGAGTAAGACAAATACTTTCGTAGATGAAATGAACACATGAAATCTCATTTTTGGACTCGACACGCCACTCGAGGGCCTCTTCTTAAGATGTTCGAAATCGCTCGGTATTCGCCACATGATGGTTCTTCCTTATGCTTTTGGAATCAGAACCACGTAGTATCCGCCTCCTATCGTTAATGTCGAGTTGTTTGAATCGAAAGCAACCCAAGTCTCAGTCGAGCCATGTCCAAAATATATGGCAGCTTTGGTCCATAAAAACAACTCTGCGTTTTCCATCTTCTACATCACTGTGGAAGTGATTTGAAGAAGAAGAGAAGTGTCAGAGAGAAAGTTTATGTATACTTGGTAGTTGGCGCTAGTGCGTTTTTGTGTTGGCGCCGAAGGGGTTAGTTGGGGCGTGTCATGCTTCAACCCTTGGGAGACATACTTCGAGCGGAGAGGCATGGGGTTTGGCGACGACAAGGGGTGTGTAGGGTGATGGTAGATGTATCTGTGGTTCGACATACCAGATACGTCACCCTGTCTATTCCGCTGTCGCCTTGCTGATATTCTGTGAATACCTCTTTGGTACCTTATAAGAAGGCATTACTCTGAGCGACTTCTAGCTGTATGCGGTAAATCGAAGTCACATCCGAGTTCCACAGGTCGAGTCGTTGCGCTAAGAAGGTCTTCAAGTAGGCCAGATAAATGACCCATCGGCGCTTAAGTACCTGGAAAGCCATGTGTGGCGCGGTAACAGGACCATGGCACGGGGATGTGGCGTGGTAGTCGAACAGTATATATAGGCCATGTTAACTGTGCCTCTTCAGGGCGAGCAAAGACACGACCACAAAATAGACCAACAACAAGGTTTTGCCCTGGGGCAACTGTTTTGCGATGGGTCCAATAGAGTCAGAATAATGTCAAAGAGACACTGTCTGATTGAGGGCCTAAATGGGCTGTGCATCGCTTGGTCACCAATACCTTTTGCGCGATGAGGGAATTGATGCTCACCGGCGGACTGCAAAGAGATTTCACGCGACGATAGGGAATACGCGGGGTTTAACGATGGCTGCCAGCGATATAATGGCGCAGCCAAATACCTCACGAGCGATACATTGACCGGTGCGGACCGGAGTATAAACGTATGGAATGCGAAGACAACATGCGCCGAGGACATACGCCGAGTATGCAGTACCGCCGTGGCGCCTCGCTTGCAGTATAGACAGCTGGGCGGTTTACACAACGAAGCCGCACAAAAGACAGAAGGAACAGTCTGCGACTGCGCCGTGAAGAACAAATAGCATGCATCAACTCCCGACCGCGATGCCTCACAATGTTTCCGTGCCATCGCGCTTACACGTCGGAAATAACTCACATCGGAAAAGCACCAACTCACCAGCCTCGTTAAGGCCTTTCGAACCAACCCGTATTGGCCACATCCGCAGCCGAGCATTCGCCACAAAAATCCACCTACAGGGCTGAATCCTATCCCCGGAGGGACGCACACGTTGCCCGATCCATGAGGCGCGTGATATTGCCGAGATGGCTGAATTGGTTGGCTTATCGAACGGCCAAATCGCTGACGTCGGACATCTTGGGCATGCGCTCTGTATGGCCCGTTTACATATATCGAGTGTGCCTTGAGGGTGATTTGCACGTCACGAGTAGACCGGTAGGGTGTGTACTGGGCTTGGGTCCCGACTTAGCCGAGTGCGGGAGGCCTTGGACATGGTGTTTTGTGTGTGACGTGAGTTCTCGAATGATGTTGCGCAATAAACTTCAGAAATGCGCGCTGCGAATGTATGCGATCAATGGAGGTGAAATCACCTGTCGCTCGATATAGAGACGCCTGGAAAGCCTTGTATCAGGTAATAATGGAATGCGCATCCCTTCCTGTCAGCAACACTGTCTTTCTCGTTGCTTGTGGTGGTGAGATCAGAAGCGTGGCACAGCCCCAAGAAGTGGCCAGACACTAGCGTACAAGGGCCAGGGATCGAGCTAAGCTAGCTTCCCCGCTCACAAGATGCATGGTCCTGTGAATGTGCAGTTGCCGTGGTGCATATAAGCCAACTACACCCCGACGCCTGTAAACAATGTCACACACGCATTCCTCTACGATCGCCGAGTCTACATCTTCTTCATCGAGGCCTATTCTACACGATAACAATACAACTAACGAACATCGTGCTACCGCGACTATGAGCGACATCAACGGAAAGGCGCCTGTCAATGGCAGCAACGGGGCACAGCGTAATGATGAGCCGATTATCAAGGTTCAACCTCCCCGACGAGAGGATCTTCAGCCCAGCTATGCGAGGGTTATCCAGCCTGATGATGCCGATGCTGATACGAATGGATGGTACGGTGGTATGGTAAGTTGAGCAGACATCCTATATCATGTGTGCCATTCTCACACAAGTAGATCAACACGCTAGGTGGCTGCATCGGTACTCTTGGTGCCATCCCATGCTGCGTCGTATGCCCCAACCCCTACAAGCCGGTCAACCAAGGAAACGTCGGTCTTGTCACCAAATTCGGTCGATTCGCTCGCGCTGTCGATCCCGGTCTCGTTTACGTGAACCCGCTATCCGAGCAACTCGTGCAAGTCGACATCAAGATCCAGATCGTCGAAGTCCCCAAGCAAGTCTGCATGACAAAGGACAACGTCTCCTTGCAATTGACATCTGTCATCTACTACCGCATTACTTCGCCTCACAAGGCCGCTTTCTCCATTTCCAACATCCGCCAGGCGCTCGTTGAGCGTACGCAGACGACGCTTCGCCATGTTGTTGGTGCGCGTGTGCTCCAGGACGTGATTGAGCGTCGTGAGGAGATTGCCCAGTCGATCCGTGAGATCATCGAGGAGACGGCTCTCGGATGGGGTGTTGAGGTCGAGTCTATGCTTGTCAAGGACATCATCTTTAGCCAGGATCTTCAGGATTCGCTCTCCATGGCTGCGCAGAGCAAGCGTACCGGAGAAGCCAAGGTCATTGCTGCACGCGCCGAAGTCGAGGCCGCCAAGTTGATGCGTCAAGCTGCCGATATTCTATCCTCCGCTCCAGCTATGCAGATCAGATACCTCGAAGCCATGCAAGCCATGGCCAAGAGTGCAAACAGCAAAGTCATCTTCCTACCAGGTTAGTCTTTTTCTACTCATTATATATGAAACATTTACTGACTTGATAAAGCACAAAACCAAACTGTTCAAAGCGCCCTCGCTCAGGCCGACTCCTACGGCGAAGGCCCAAGTTCCCACGGCGCCAGCAACCCGATGGGTGTCCAGAGTTCCGCAGCACAGGAGTACGGCGGTAACAGCCATGGCTTCCAGAGCGCTATCAACTCGCATGTTATCGAGAACATGTAAAGCAACAGCTTGAAGACTCTGCATGATGCAGCTCGCCACGGCTCTTACGAAGAGCTTTCGAAGATGTGGTGAAGGCCTTCAGACTCCTGTATAGGGTTGTGTGTCTTTTTACCCGCTACCTCTTTGTATCTCTATTACTATTCTTGTTTTTGTTTTGGTATACGACTGCTACGGATGAGATGATGGACGAGTCTGGATTGACGCGAGGGAGTTTCTTTGGCTTTTGCAATTGTTTTGATACCCTCTTCCTGGTAGTTAGTCATTATCGGTTCACTCGCTTGTTGTTCTGATAGACAGTTTTATGATAATGATAATGCCACTATACAAATATTTGAACAATGTGTTATTTGATTCTTGGCAGTAGTGAGGTTGAGAATGGTGGCGGAACCGTTTTGTACCCTTTCAGGACACTTCGTCGTAGCATCTTACCTAGGTAGGTAACTGGATGATCGCCTACTTCTCTGCCAACGCCACATCAAGCTCTCACCGGTCAGCTTTTACATGCATGTCATGTAACCAATCCAGAGTCAGCACGTCGCTTGGCTTTGGCAGTAGGCACCTACGAGGCTGAATTGCTAAGCCCCGCTTTCCGCTTACATCTGCGAAGACTACCTGTCCTAGCATCAAATTAACGGTTTGTCCACCTTATTCCTCGTTTCACTCTTGCGGCTACCACTCTATCTCTTCGCTTGCGGATATCCCAACGTTGCTACCGATGGAAGCCCTCTCAGGGGCTGCCAGCGGCATCGCCGTGATTTCGCTGACAATACAACTCATCCAGTCCGTCGCGCTCATAAGAGAGTTCATAAAAGATGTCAAAGGCGCGTCGAAAGAGTTGCACCGACTCGTGGGCAAATTGGAGCTGCTTAACGCGTTGCTAGAGAATGTGCAAAATGTTCTGGAGCAACAGTCATCTCTCTCCGGAATGCACTTCCCAGCACCTTCGGTGACAATCTTCAAGTGTCTTCAAGGCTGCGAAGATTCTATACAGCCGCTTGTGGATATTGTAAAGAAACTCAGTCTGCCGCAATCTCAGTCCAGCTCGTCCACAGCTAGGCTCAAGAGCGAGATCAAACTTGGATTGAAGACAAAGGAAATCACAACCCTTGAGACTCGTATACAACACGACATCGATCTTCTTGATACTAGCCTTTCAGTAAATCAGAGCAGCATCGTGTAAGGCACCGATTTGAACTTTCCAAGCTTTGCGAACTAATCATGCGTTGATAGGATGAATCTCTTTCCCATATTGCTTCGAAACCAAGAAACGATGCTGAAGAGCAATAGCAGTCCTCCTGTAGCTTCTGTACAATGTTCAAATCTAGGACCTACTGCCAAAGCTCTAGATACCGTCTCTTCGTTTGCATCATCTCCTGTCCGATATTCACAACAAACAATACTGGTACGCTCGGTCTTTGAAAAACTTGGATTCTACCGTCGTAAAGTCATACGTTACCGGGACCAGAGAATTGAGGACTCGAGAGGCAACGTCAAAAGCTATAAGAGGGACATACTCTGGACAGCTAATGAAGTCTCTGCGATGTGGAGGTTCTTAGGCTTCGGCATGACTTTCACCCAGCAGCATCCGTACGGCAGTATCTTTCCTAGCCTCAGAACGTATCCTGTGATTGAGTTCGATGAAGAGATATTTGAGATTATCGAGGAAGGAAGCGTTGAACAGCTCCAGAGAAGAATCAGCTCTGGCACGCTTCATCCTTTCTCCCGAGGGACTACTGGAGATTACTCTTTGCTTCATGTGAGTCGCACTTGTAGACACTTGGAGGTAGTCATCTAACAGACAATAAAGCATGCTGCTGTATACCATAGACCGGACATGTGTCGACTAATCCTTGGATACGGCGTGAAGCCAGAAGTCACGTCAAACAATAGGTCACCTCTGTCATTGGCATTGCTTTGTTATTCTCTGCAGTCCTCTTTCGCCAATGCGATCGACACATATCGATGTTTTCTAGACGACGAGGATCTGGTTGACACACTCGAAAGATCAGATGGCTATCATTTGGGCAATGACCGCTCTTCTTCTTTCACAGTCGACGAGTTTCAATGGCTTTGGCAAAAGAATTTTGAGCTATCTGTCGGCGAAGGTCTTCGAAGTAATCAACGGGTGATGATCCGGCGGTTTTGGTCTATTGTTGGCAACATAGACTATCGCTTACATCACGAACTTCAGTTCCCCATTGTTCAGATGGACAAAGACATTCTCAGTGACATACAATATGGGCGTTGTGGAATATTTGGAGTTTTGTTCTCAGGATGCCAAACAGCCATGGAAAGCTACATCCTCGGTGCTGGGTTTTTGCAATGGCTTACCAGTCTGCAATTAGACCCTGAAATATGTGTCGCTAGTGAGCTAGCGAGTCTCGAGAAGTGTATACGTTTTGATAGAAAGAGGATTGTATTCGAACGTGACTGGGAGCAAAAATGGATTTTGGGTTTCGAACGGGTTTTTGATCACGAAGCACCTGGCTATAGCCTGCTCTTTGAGTACCCCACTTTGACTATCGAGGCCGACTGGACACCCACTTGGACATTGGGTTGGCCACCGGATTGGCCATTGGCTGAGTTGAAATATGTGTACGCACAGCACCTGGAGAACTGGGGCTGTCGTATCTCGCGTTTCAACCGTCGCACAGCTGCCAAAGAACGCAAAGAGCGCGCCCGTTTGGGCCAAAAACAACCACGAAGCCGAATGCCAGGAACATGGAACTGGTGAAGAGTTTGTAAGCTGTCAGCTTAGAAACTCAAAATAACATGAATTGTTTTAGTCGTTTTGAATACGCGAAGAATGTTCCTTGCATCGTGACGTCAACCACTAAGCTAAGTAGTGACGAGAAGTCTTCTCAGGTACTTTCTCATCTGTGGTGTGACGAACGTGTTCTGGGAGTATGCAGTTGACGTGCAGACTGTTATTGTTAGATAGTGGCTGATGGGCATGATCCCATCGCAACGTGCAATGGCAGTTTTACGCACTCGAGAACGCATCGACATGAACACGATTGTCACACATATCCAGCGTATGACGTTAGAATCGCCGCATCTAATAACTTGATCGCTTGACTTTTAGCTGCACGTAGCCGTGTGCTTTCTAGAGCATGACTTGCTAAGAAAGAAAAACGCTTTTCACTTGCACTCTAGCATTTTCACCTATTTTACTCACACTACCTAGGTACTAATCCGGGACATTCATCATCCTCCACCCCACTTCGCAACGTGCCTCTTTCCAGGTTGTTCACTAGCTCGAACTACTCCGTCTCTTCTGCTGCTGCGACATCAGAAGAAGATGTTGTAGGGCAAGTCACCCGAAACCTCGCCATCGAAAACACCTTCCTCTCTTCCCGCAAGCTTGCCTTCACGCTCAAACTCAACCTCACCTCCATCAGCGCTTCCCCTAGCAAATTTCTTCCAGGCCAAGGCCCAATATGTGCGGCTGCTGATACCCTGTCCAACCCAATACCCAAGAACGCATCATCTGGATCTGCCATGACAAGCTCTCGATGTCCCGTAGCGATGAGCTTCTGCGCAGGCATGGGTGCATGTTCTGATACTGTGAACTTCAGACGGGCTGCAACCCTGATAACTCGATATGCCACTGCCGCTATCGATTAGTCGCCTATACCAGACCTAGTGTTTCCACAACTCACATATCTTCACCCAATGCTGCGCCCAGGAGGCGTCGTTGGCCTTAATGTGCTTGCCTAGAGCCTTTTGTTCTTTAGGATCCGTCGCGTTCCTTACGGCTCTGAAAATCTCATAGTTGTCCCTGATGAAGAATCCTGCTTTGGCTGTTTGGAAATACTGCTCATTGCAATTGAACTTAATGTCGTGGAGTTCAATAGAGCTGAGGAATGCTTGGCTTAGGAAACCATTGCTCTCGTCGCTCTCGAAAAAGAAGACTGGTCCTTCGTCTGCTTCACATTCGAGCTCCATCTTCGGGTATACTGTGTTGATCCCTGGGGGAAACGGGCGAGTATGAGGCGAGATAGCGGAGAGAAGTCTGGAGATTACAAGACGAGTCGATTTATAGAGGCCATGGGCGCCTCGCCTCTAGCGCGCACGAATAGTGTCTACCTTCACCTGCTTCAGTATCAGGGGTGAGAGAATGACAGTCTTTCGCGACCAAGTGCGTGTGCACGATATAATAAAGTCTAACAAATGCAAATCCACCAATAATGTCAAACTCCATAACATATATACACCGAATGCAATATCGTACACCACCGCAGTGCCTCCACTCCAACCGCACCCCTCTCTCTACTCACTATACTTCTACTCCCCTCCTCACACCACTCTACTTCAAAATACTAGCCCCCCTTCTATCCTTCTTCAACGGACTAAACGTAAACGCCTCCTCACTCATCATATTGAACCCGCCACTAATCGGCCTGGACTGTTTTCCCATACCACCACTCTTACTCAACGCCCTCGCAGCAAAAAGGCCTTTACTAAGTCCCACCGGTTTCAAGCTGGGCACACCAGCATCCTCTGCATCGTCCCCTTCGCCCTCGGTATCGAAAAGTGTCTTGCCCGCCGTAGCGCCCAATTTCCGCTTCTTCTTCTTTTCGGCAGCCGGTTCTTCGGTAAAAGTGGCAAAGGACATGAGTGATTTGCGAGGCTTCATCATTTTGCTGTTGGATTTCTTCGAGGGCCCATCCGAGTCCTTGGTTGCTACTTTCTGTGGTGCTGCGTTTTCAGGCGCGTCTTCGGTTTCTTCGGATACTATTTCGAGAGCTGGGTTGACGGTGGCGGCGGCGGCATTCTTCTTATTGCGGGGTTTTGCATTCGCTTTGCTCGACGCGGATGGAGCCAGGGCTTTAGGCTTTGGTTGCTTGAGAGCTTTCTTGGGCGGTGCCGTTGGTGTGGCATGTTCTTGCATCGAATCCTCGACCTCTTGCTCAGCTTCGTCATCCTCTTCCTCCTCGACAATGGGACTACCAAGTGCAATGCTAGACGTCTTGTTCAAAAAGGGCGTGAGAGAGAATGTCGATGTGTCGCCAACAGCTGTGACAGAAGTGGCGCGCTTCGCCTTCTTCGCAGGAAATCCGTCACCAGGCGTACCTAGCATAGTCTCTGGTTCAGCCGTAGCAGCCATGCGCTTCCGAGCATTCTTCGCGGGCTTGGTGGCAGGAGGCGCCATGCTCTTGGTTGGTGGCGCAGTTTGTGCCCTATCTGCTCTCTCGAGTTCGGCCTCCTTCTCCTTGAGCTTCTCCTTTGTCGTTCGTAGCTTCTCACGGAAGGCACCAAGTTTGTCGTCAAGGACGGCGTTCTTGCCTTGGAGCTCAGCTAGAGTCTTGGTGTATTCCTTCTCTTGCTTCTTGCGCTCTCGCTTTTCCTCTTCTAGTTCTCGCCTTGTGGCTTCGGCTTGATCGTCTGGTTGTTGCGAGGACTGTGAAGCTTTCTTCGCTGTCTTCTCTGCCTTTTGACGCTCGCGCTTCTCTTGCTCTAGTTCCTGTCGAAGCTCTTCAATCTCCGCGTCGCGGGTGGCAGCATTTTTGCTGGCCTTTTCTGCTTGAATACGAGCAGCCTTTTCTTGTTCCAGTTCCTGGCGAAGTTGTTCAATCGCAGCATCTTGAGCCTCACTGTATTTAGCAGCCTTGCTGGCTTCCTTCTTAGACAGGCTCTCAACCTTGGCTTGCAGACTTTCGGTCGCCTGTTGTTGTGACTCCAGATCGGCCTGCACCTTCTCCATAGCCTTCTCTGCCTTTGTAAGTCCTGCCTCGGCCTTCATCCGGTCCTTCTTCTCGGTTGCAAGTTGGTTGCGCGCTTCCTCTAGCTCGTTTCGGAGGTCTTCGTCTTGCTCCATCTTCTTGCCCTGCTTGGCGATTGTCCGGGCGGAAGTCCGTTTCTCGTTCTCGAGCTCTACTTGCAGCGTCGCCATCTGGCGTTGCAACGCGAGTTTCTCGGCAAGGAGGCCAGTGTTGGATTCGACTTGGGCGCGTAGGTGTTCGACTTCAGGGCGTAATGATGAGATTTCGCGGGAGAGGGCGAGTTTGTCGGAGAGGATCTTGTTGGAGTCGGATGTGACGTTCTCCATAGCCTTGAGCTCGGCCTGATGGAGTGTAAGCAAGCAGTGCATTGATCGGCAAGCTGGACGTGCTTACCTTGAGATTGGCGACTTCCCGCGCCTGGGTGCGGATGGTGTTTTGCGCTGCCTCTGCCTCTGCTCGTTGCTCGTCCAACTGCGCAAGGGCCTCTTCGAGGGATGCCTCTAGCTCATCAGACCGTGCCTGCTCGTCTTCGAGTTGTTCGTGGAGATCGCTGTTGTCGTCTTGCAGGAGGCACTGGGCGACCCGCAACTTCCGGATTTCCTCGTCTTTGACTACCGCTTCGACCGAGTGCTTGCTCCGCTCGAGACTAAGTTCGAGAGTCGCGTTCCGCAGCGAGTTCTGGAGCTGAGAGGACACAAAGGGTTAGTGGAATGTCTAAGAAGAAACCAGCCGAACAGGGTCCAGCAGTCTTTTTACTTACATCTTTCATCTCGTAGTTGGTATCTATATCTGCCTCCATAGTCGCGACCATGGTATAATATCTGCTCAATGATGTGTCTGTATCTGTAGGTGTAGTGTGCATGTGCGATTGATCTGGTGGGGCCTTGGGAGGACGCGACTGAGTAAACAAACAGAGAGCAGACGCCTGTACCGAACTAGCAACACAACAGTGAAAGAATGACTCTGAATGAATACAAAACGACGCGATGGATCAAGGTTAACAAACCGAGTGCATTCTCCGAGACAAACGACTTGGAGGTTTGCAGTTCCGAGTGAAGGTCCACGCCCATGTCGCGATACCCCTGCGCCTTGGCATCCATTACGCACGCCGCCGCATCTCCGGGCGAGCGCTCAAGGCCACGTTCCCAAGCTCTGGAGCTTCCGTCCAACCCACCAAGTCTCCGCAACCCCAACCATCCCACCCGCTTCCCAACAACACAATGCGGTGGCTAAACCTCCTCACGGCCTCGCTGCTGCCCTTCACAGCTCTCGCAGCCAAGAAACCGACCGGCGACCGCTTCAATGACGCCCGCGCCAAATCGTTATCCATCGGCCACCCGCTCAAGCTCGACGATGCAAGCTATGCGCAATTGACAAAGTCTCCGCGTGACTACGGCGTTGCTATACTGCTGACCGCCTTGGAGCCGCGTTTCGGTTGCATGCTGTGTCGGGATTTCCAGCCAGAGTGGGATTTGCTGGGTAAGAGTTGGATGAAAGGTGACAAGGACGGTGCGACAAGACTTGTATTCGGAACCTTGGATTTCGTAGATGGCAAGAACGTTTTCCAGTCGGTAAGACAACCCTTTCTGCTTCCCATATATCTAAATGTAGAATGGACATACTAACTCTTCGAAGATGATGCTGCAAACCGCCCCCGTCCTCCTCTACTTCCACCCCACTGTCGGCACCCACGCAAAACCAGATGCCTCACCCGTTCGCTTCGACTTCACTGCCGGTCCCCAGACCGCAGAACAAATCCACGCCTGGATCTCACGACAAGTCCCTGCTGAACTGCCCAAGCCTGCTGTCTCGCGCCCCATCAACTGGATCAAGATCATCACCGTCACCACCGTTGTTCTGGGTGGCATCACCGCTGTCTCCGTTGCATGGCCTTACTTCGTTCCCCTGCTGCAGAACCGTAATCTCTGGGCTGCTGTCTCCCTTATTGCCGTCTTGCTCTTCACGTCTGGCCACATGTTCAACCACATTCGTAAGACGCCGTATGTTGTTGGTGATGGCAAGGGTGGTATGAACTATTTTGCTGGTGGCTTCAGCAACCAGTATGGTCTCGAGAGCCAGATTGTTGCTGCCATCTACGGTGTTCTCGCCTTCGCCGCTATTTCCCTTGCCATCAAGGTTCCTAGGATTAAGGATGCGCGCGCGCAGTCTTTTGCGGTGTTCTTGTGGACTGGCGTGCTGTTTGGTATGTACAGTTTCTTGCTAAGTGTCTTCAGGCTGAAGAACGGTGGATACCCATTCTATCTGCCTCCTTTCTAGATGAAAGGTGATGGGTGAAGAAGGAGAAGGGGTTGTAAGGATCTCTCGATCAGTAAGAGACCATGACACAGGGTTGGAAACTCCTACTGTTTACAAGGAGATATTACTCCAATGGTCTCAAAAGTCTGAGCTCACGGCTTGAGCTCGATGTACACTTTGTATGATAAAAAGTAAGCTGTGAAAGCGGGCGTTCATGAAGTAGATGTCAATTCAAACCCCGATATCATATATCTCACACCTCTGTACTTAAGCTGCTGTCGGATCCAACGATACAGTACCTTTAGACCACGGTGAAGGATGACTTTAACCATATTAGCTTGAAGTACAGGCCCCAAGCAGTGGATGGTAAAGAAGCATATCATCGAAGGAAATGATTGTGTATCACATCAAGAATTCTTGGATGCTACCAAGTCAAAGTTTATCTGAACATATGTTTGACGCCGCACCGCCTCACCAATCTAACATACTTCCACCACCTTTGGGCACTCGTCGACGCTAAAAATTGCAGTGCAACTAGCTAGTGTTTACATCCCAGCATACACAGCCACAATCCCAGCTTCTTTTCTACGCTCAAGATTGCAGTGCAACAGGATTAACACAGTGGTAATCACCACCTAGGTATGTCTGCACTACGATCCTTAGCGCAGACCCGTAGTCCAAATACCATACACGGCTACGCACGATACCACAGTCAGCCGTTCATACGCTGCCGGTACAACTTTTAGTCTGTAGTCTTCTCAGTATAGTCACTGCTATTCGGTGATATGTACTAAGTTGATGAGGCCACACATTTTCATCGAATTAGAGTCTCAGACAAAGTGGTAATAGTGGGAGACCTTGACACCATCTACTCCACTGATAATGCAGTAGCAAATCTTCACATGTGACACATTATCAAGGATCAGTATTCTAGGCTTCTCCATTGATCAACATGGCCTCCTGTTCGAACAATCTGGTGGGGAATTCAAAGGTCAGTCTTGATATCAGCTCCTCGTCCACGCTAAAGATTGCAATGCACTCTCATGGTATGGGGGGCATGACTGTTTTCGCCAATCACACGCATTTTCACTCATGCATATAGTCCAGGTCTACCTGCTCGTCCGCGCTAAAGATTGCAGTGCAGCTCAATCTTACTGCATTGCATAGCCACAATCTTGACTACTCGTTCGCGCTAGAAATTGCAGTGCATATCCATTTTCAACGGCCCACTATGGGCGCCGGCTAGCCCATGAGGGAATCTCAACACCAAACCCTGGAAGTACACATTTGATCGTAATCATACCAGTCACATTTGTACTACATCAGAAAATGCCATGACCGAGAACAAACCAGTAGCCCAATAACCATGACCCGCTATGAAAACATTTTGTGCCCAGAGAGAGATACCCATCATAAACCCCCACATACCCATTAACGCTCAACAGTCATACCGAAAGGAAAAGAAAGAAAGAAAACATGTAACACGCCTAAGCCATAGCCAGCGCATGCAAGTCAAAAACATCATTCCTCCAACCCCCCTCATCCCAATCATCAATCCTCTCCTCGGCCCTCCTCCCCTCCTCTTCCCAAAGCTTAACAACACTACCGGGCGCATACTTGCCCGCAAACACGCCCTTCTTGTTCGCCTCGACACCCACCCTCGTATACACATCCGGATCATCAGCCGGCGTGAGCCTCGTGATGACCGCCTTGACAAAAGTCTTGAGATCATCCGGATCAGAAATCCTCGTCGCCCTTAATCGCTCGCGCGCAAAGAGGAGCTCGCGGTTGGCAGCATGGATGCCATCTGCGATACCCTTGGCCATCTGCCTCTCCATGACTTTGCGGACAATGGGGCGGAGGAGGGGTTTGAACAGCCAGCCGAGGATGCTGAACTTGGATTTGCGCAGCTTGTACGTGAGCTTGTGGATATGTACACGTACGGCCTTGAGGGTGAGTATTTGTTCTAGCTTCTCCTTGCCGACTTCGACGTCGAGGTGGATGTCGATGCCGCGCTCGTCCAGCTGGAAGGATGCAATTCCCTCGTCGGCGAGACGGAGAAGACCAGAGTGTGCGCGGAGGAGGAAGCCGACTTCGTCAGCACGGAAAGAGAGACCGTCAATCTTGATGGTGAACTTGGATGTGGCCTTTGATGCGACGCGGAAGCGCGCCTTGCGCAATTCAAAGTCGTTGTAGGTTTCTACTTTGAAACGGAAAGGCAGGAAGGAGGTGTGGTTGACCGTCTTTCCGGGTTCGATGATCAAGTTCTCCAAGAGCATGTCGATTTCGGGTGTTGAGACCTCGAGGCGAGGAATAGGAATATATTGGATGGCCTGAACCGCCAGAGGAACGAACACATTGATGGCGTCCTGAACCAATTCGCTGTTGGTGGCTGAGTGCATGGGCGACAGGATGTTCCAGATCCTCATGGTTGTCTTGATCATCTTCGCAATGTCCTCGTCCTGTGTGACAGCCATAAAGGTTCGCTGAGCTTGCTCAAAGAACAAATCAACGTCCTGGCGAAGCGACGACTCGCTTCCAACACCCTTGGCCTTCTTCCTGAGCTCCTGGAACTTCTCGTCGACGTGGTCGAAGAAATCGGGGTCGGTAAGCAGCTTCTGGAGGGAATTGCCGACGTCGGTGAGTAAGTCCTCAAATTCGGGGTCCTTGCGAGAGTGATCCAAGACCTTGTGGAAGGCATCCTCGAGTTTCTTCCATTCTTGCTTATCGCCAAAGGAGCTTATGAAAGTCCAGAAATTCTTGACAGCTTTGTCCATTGCTGGGTTCGTGTCGACGTCCTCCTCGAGCGTGCCCATGGCGTCTTCAACCGTCCGAGAATATGCCATGGCGTAGCGCTTCAGCAGCTGTGCCAGTACAGATACGGAGTCGTTGTAGTCCCTCTTCTGCCTCAGGTTCGTGACCGTCTTCTTCAGACGGAACAAGAGCGATTCACCCTCGTCGCCCTGTAGCTTCTCTGCTAGGCTGACGTCTGCCCTGTGAGCAACCTTGGCCACACCATTTCCAACAACCTGAGCCACCTCAGTGACCTCACCACTCAGCTCCTCGGCGGAATGTGCGAGGTTCTCATCGGCACCTGGCTCTTTGAGGGCCTTGTACTCTGCTGGCGAGGGCTCGATCTTCTTTGCAGCTTTCTTCGCCACATTCGACAGTGTAAAGGCAGAGTCTCGGAAGACTTCGCGACCGACGACGTTGAGATCAGAGAGGAAAAGGCGGAAGTCTGAGTTGGTGAGGAGTAGAGACCCGACAGTCTGGAGGCTCTGGTATGCTGTGGACGCGTTAGCGGGTAATAGTCGGACACATGTGTATGCACGCACCTGCAGTAGCATCTGCCTTTGCCTTTGACCTTGTCGTCCGTCTCGCCATATCCCCGACATCAACAGAGATTCTAGCCTTGGAAAGGTACCAGAGAAAGTCCTGAATCTGATCTTCGCTGTTCTTGTGATTCATCGTGTCGATGAATTGATGAAGCCATTGTTTCGTGAACTTGACTAGCAGACGACCTGAATCGCTCAGATCGGGATTCTCTGGATTCAGGATATCTGCAGATAGCAAGCTGCGCAGATTGATGATGAGTTGTTCGTTGGATGGCATAAAACCCATAGTAAGCGCCCTCCACATCTGGTACGAGTGGAGCTTCTGATGCACCTCACGCTGAAGCGTTGTGTCATCGCGATACTATCCGTTACGGTTAGCAACCATCATTTTGTGGTTGAATGCGTGAACATACCTGTGGCAACAACGGCTGTTGGTCGTCGCGTTTGCGCGACCCGAAACATGATGAGAGTGACATTGCGATGATTTATGTCACTAATTCGCCGAGCAAAGAGAAATTGAGGTTGGTAAAACGTGGGGAGAGCTGGAGTATAGCTCGCATTGAAGCTATTGAAGCTGTCCAAGGTTCCAGGCTCCAACCACGCGTTGGTCAGGATGACGAGGGAAGCTACGACCCACGTCATGCCGCTCGTCGATCCGCGGCCCCACATATGCGCCAAGAACGAATGGCCGGGTGTCATGCCCCAACCTATGGTTCGCGCATCACTCTCGAAGCACGTGGTGTGTATGGACTCATGTTGTTTGCATCTGCATCGACTCTACAAGCATACAACATATCGATTTGCCATGATTGTGTTCATATTCGCATGCGAAGTTGGCTGGGTGCTCTGCGATGCCGAGGCAAGTCACTCCCTAGCTCCAGGATTCGTAGGTAGTCAAGAGAAGACGCAGAAAGGCAGTGATCAAAAGCCTCATGAGATGAATGGGTTGCGCTCCGTGTAGTAGGCTTGGCTGTTTCGATATTTCTCCAAGCACTCAGATTGTCGTGAACAGGTTATCAACACGCTCAGGAATCTATCGCAGCCACGCGGAGACGTCTCCGAATATCGCTGCGTCATAGTTGACATTTGACGCCAACTGAAGACCATCAGTGTGCTTTACCAAGGATCTAAGAATACACAAGCAGGTTTGCAGAAGAAGTCCAACGTAGGTAACTTCGACTGACTGCTGTTCGCTGGAATTAATTGTGGTGCTGTTACAATAGCTTTCTTAACGATCGAATGAGTGTTTACTCTTCCCGAATAGGCATGTCGAAGAGGAGATTTACAGGATGTCGATAGCTATAGGCGCGCTGGTGGGCCCAAAACTGAGGCTGTTACTGTTGTGTGCAAAGTCATTCGCTCTCATGGTCTTGGATATTTGGGTCTATTGATCGTGAAGGATGCAGCGAACACCGACTCCGATTCCGATGAGACATTATAGACCGAGAGTGCCACAGACTACGACCCACGCTAGTCTGCTCGGACCACAAAGCTTCATGCAAGCGTGCGCTTCCAGATCTGAGATGTACTGTACTGACTCGCCCGCCAAGGCGTCAGAGAGACGGTGAGACTTGACAGCTGCATGACAGTCGCAGCTTTGCGGTAAGGAGAGGCAATCAATTAATAATAGTGACTTGTTCAATGGTTGATGCTTGCGAATTAGCCATGGTGAGCGGAGACTTGAATGCGAAAGTCGGATGTGGGTAATAGCACGCAATAAAGTTCGTCGTCCGTAACCACCCGTGGTGCTGTGGATTGTGGAGTCGCGTGCCCCAATTCTCGGAAGATGGTAGGAACTGGGCGCGAAGCCCTAGGCGGCTGCCTTACCCAAGCCATCAAGCTTTCCCCACACCACGCGGGTGATCCACCAGCCACTGTAGTCGCATCTGCAGCTGCAGGTGTAGAGTCTGGGACCTCCGATATATGGAAGGAGTGGTCAAACGTGAACTGAATCAGATGGAATTATGTCGACACCCGGACCGGATCTCACGGCTACCTGTGGACAGTGAGTTATTTTAAACAGACAGTCCGACCTGTCACAGACATGGGGCGAGAGCAATCGGATGTTGCATGCGCTTCCCCTGGCACCATGCTACCAACGGTCCGTTAGCGAACAGTCAGGGGTGCACATTCCGCGTAAAAAAAAGTTGCCCTCAGCGGCTCCGTTGTGCGGTACAAAGACACACCGCTCATACTGATTAGCAATTCGTCGGGTCGCGGTGTACGTCCATGGAGCCGGTGCGGACCCGCGAGAGCAGACGGAGGTGTTGATCTGGCTAATGTCCACGGCGCTATTGACCTGAGTAACGCATCCAAGGTACCCTTCGTGTACAGTGCTGTGGCGAAAGGACACGAGACGACTCCCGTAAGATCAACACGATTAATAATTAAGCACGCTGTTGCAACGCGGCGCTGCGCATTGACTGTGACAGCGGGAATAAAATGCCTCGATGCCTGACAAGACGTGTGTTGGGCTATGCGAACCTTGGAAGGCCGTCGTTGAACAAAAGAAAACAGCGGTATGGTAGAGACAAATACCGTTGCTGCCACGCGTTCGGGCTACTTGCCAGCTCGGTCTGCAGTACCGGCAAAAACAAATCTGCACAGAACGGACGACGACTGAAGGCCATGGAAGAATCCTACGGCATTCCGTCAAGGCAATGGGCGTTCCGATTGCTCCCGAGTGATATGCACGTCCAGTCATGACCCCTGCTACCCGGTGGCTGTGGCTGTGACACGACGAGGATGGCATGCCCCGGATTTAGCAAGAAAATACTGAAGAATGTCGCGAGTGTGCTGTGTGAATGGTGTGATTGTAGAGACGAGTGTGTACAGAAGCGACAAAACCTTATCGTCGTGGTATGCGGAGTTGTCGTCGCCAAGAGAGATACTTGGGGAAGGGACTCGCGTAAAAGTCACCAACGGGCTGGTCCATGCTTCCTTTACAGGCACACTTTGACGGCGAGAACGGATCTCCTCACAGACTGACTGTTGCGGAACCTAGACCCATCCGATAGGCTGACTATTATGTAGCCCCCCATCCTCCGCGCCCCAGGCGGGCTGTCTTCCTAATTCCTTTTCAATTGCCGACGCGTCGTTTCAGCTCATTTCAATGCAGCGATTCAGGTCGCTTATAAAAGTTACGGCTCCCGCCCAAGGCCTCCGTTCTTCAATCCAAAAACCTCCCTTCGTTCGTTGTATGGCCACTGTAGCAACCGACAACATGCCTTCCGCCATTCGACCCAACATGGCCCGCCAATTGAGCACCACTTCCGGTGACTACGACCTGTCGTACACGCCCGATGTCCGCAAAACCCTGGGCACATACGGCCTCACTCCCCCTGCCGTTGAGAGCTACGACGTTCAGAGCGAGCGATGTGCGTAGATATGCCTGGAAAGAAGAAGTGAGCTTTGTTAACGTTCCTAGGCCTCAGACTCCTTGCCATGAAGCAGGCGCCCATCGAAAAATTCCAGTACCTCGTTCACCTCAAGGCCACCAACCCACATCTTTTCTACCGTCTCCTAGGAGAAAACATCAAGGTAAGAAACAACCAGAGGCATTTTGAGATTACGAACCTAACATAGTCAGGAACTCACCCCCCTCATCTACACCCCCACCGTCGGTGAAGCCTGCGTACGATGGCACGAAATCTGGACACAACCCGAGGGCATGTATCTCTCATGGAGCGACCGGGGCAACCTCCGCAAGATCCTCGACAACTGGCCACACCAGGTCGACATCACTGTCCTCACAGACGGATCCCGTATCCTGGGTCTTGGTGACCTTGGTGTCAACGGCATGGGTATTCCTGTTGGAAAGCTCGCTCTCTACACCGCCTGCGCTGGTATCAAGCCAGACAGCACCCTGCCCCTGACTCTCGATCTCGGAACCAGCAACAAGGCCCTCCGCGACGACCCTCTCTACATGGGCTCCAGGATGCCCAAGGTTACTCCCGAGCAGGAGAAGGAGTTCCTCGACGAGCTCATGGCTGCTCTTACCGACAAGTGGCCCAGGTACGTAACATCCACCTATTATCCTCTTCAGGAAACTGATCGTGTGACAGCATTGTTATCCAATTCGAGGACTTCAAGAACCCTTTCCCCGCCTTGGAGCGCTACCAAGACCAATACGCCATGTTCAACGACGACGTCCAGGGAACTGGTGCCGTTATTGTCGGTGGATTTATCAACGCTGTCAAGGCGTCCGGTGTCCCCGCAAAGGACCACAGGGCCATCTTCCTCGGCGCTGGAAGCGCTGGTGTCGGTGTTGCCAAGCAAATTGTCGAGTACTTCATGAAGGAGGGTCTGACAGAGGACGAGGCCAAGCGCAAGTTCTGGTTCGTCGACTCAAACGGCCTCGTCACCCTGGACCGCGGCGACAAGCTCGCAGAACACAAGGTCTTTTTCGCTCGCGACGACAACAACGGTCGTCAATACCAGTCACTCAGCCGCCTCATCGACTACGTACAGCCCACCATCCTGATGGGTCTGTCGACCATTGGCGGTGCTTTCAACAAGGACATCCTCGAGAAGATGGCCAAGATCAACAACCACCCCATCATCTTCCCTCTCTCCAACCCTTCAAGCAAATCTGAGTGCACATTCGAGGAGGCCGTCGTTGCCACCGAGGGACGCTGCCTCTTCGCTTCCGGCTCTCCCTTCCCCTCAATGGAGTTTGGAGGCAAGATGCTTACTCCCGGCCAAGGAAACAACATGTACGTCTTCCCTGGTATCGGACTGGGTGCCATCATCTCCAAGGCCGTCTCCGTCACACAAGACATGATCTACGCCTCTGCAGAGTCACTCTCGACTTCTCTCAACAAGCAAGAAGTCGCCGACGGCTGGCTGTACCCGGACATCCGCCGCATCCGCGAGGTTTCCGTCATTGTCACCCGTGGTGTTATCCGTGCGGCTCAGAAGAACGGTGTTGACCGTGCTACCGAGCTCCGCAGTCTCACTGACGAGCAACTCGACGCTTACATCAAGAAGAACATGTACGACCCTTACACTGAGCCCAAGTACTTCGACAAGAAGGTGTCGCAGCTTGTTGCGAGCGAGAAGCTGAACGGCACCACTGTTGGTGTGACTGAGGTCACCAACGGTGTTGCTCACTTGTAGAGCTCCTTCGATTCTTGGACATGCTTTTGGCGCTACGGTTCGTCTTTAATTGAAGATGCACCTTTCTTTGGTTCTTGTTTCGGTAACGGCCTTCATTTTAGACTGGGCACTGGGTCTCACCAAAATTACTTTTCCTTTTCTCTCGACTTGTGCTTGTGGGATGGCTGGATGGATACTCGATACCCTACTACACTTCATTCGTCTTCTCACGAGACTTGTAGTACACACTAGATACCTCCGACCTTGGTGCAAATGATTGCACTGTGGAATGAAAATGCAACATGTTATGGACAATCTTAAGATCAACCCCCCGTCTCCACTTTACAACAGTGATGCCAAATCATTGACGGGTGGAGTTTCCGTCTCACGTCACTATTACTATGTTCTCAACAACAGTACTTGTTGAGACTACCTTTTCACTGACGTTAAACAATATCATCTGCCATACTCAATTTCCGACGACGGCCCCCCTCATTCTCCGAAGACCTCAATGACTACTTCCACACATGAGTGCAGTAAGGACGATCAGCTTATCACAAAGGCTCTTATCTCGTATCACCTCGAGATAAAACGGGATCCCGAAATCTTCCACGCGTCCTTAACAACAGCGCCAGACTATAGTAGCACAGACCCCTCCCCATACTACACCAGCCACAATGCCATGCACGACCGCCCAGCCCAGCCCCTCCCCCCTCCCTTCCGCTCTCATCTGCGGGATGGCCCGCTGCTAGGCTGCCTTGACCCTAGGACCCACTTTCACCGGTTCTCAACAGTTTTACATGCAGCAATGGTTGGGACGAGCGCATGCGCATGAACCGGATCGACGAACGGGTAGGGCTGCAGGCGGTTTTTGACTCGTATGCTTTCTTTCTCCTTTGGGGCAGTTTTTCCTTTAGGGAGAGAAAGAAAAAAAGAATAACTTTTCTTCTTTACTTTTGTGGGGTCTGCGTTTGGTAATCTGGATCTGGTGTATGTGTGATGGTTGGTTTTGAGTGGAATGGGAGGTGGCTGACGGAACTGCTGTTGTGGTTTTATAGGGTGGATGGCTGCGCCTGATTGGGGTGATGCTGGGGATGTTAGAGAAGGCTTTTGTGGTGGTGAGGTGGAGAAGTTATGTGGGGTTGGCTTGGTGTGTTGATTAGGATAAGGTATGTTGTATGCAGCTAATTGATGATTTGCCGCAGCTTTGGGGATGTAAAGGATGGGATGGGCATATGCGCGACGGTGGTATGTCGTTTCGATCTTTTGAAGACTTTGTCGGTTTCGAGTGGAAAGCTCAACGAGAGCATGTTGAGATGCATGTTGGTTTCAATATTTGACTTGTATTCTTCAAGTACATTATTGATGCCTGCGGGTTATGAAAGCCGAAGACACGGCTAACCAAGATGCAGGTAACACTCCAAACATGCCGTAAACGTAGTCTGGACGTCAGACGCTGATATGCGCTGCAGAACCCCCCACAATGGACTCTTCCATGCACATGCGTTTGGTGCCACACTGCTGGCTAGAGACAGCCTCAGATTAGCTCAGCCTCCTTCAGGATGTCGTGCTCCTCGTCTTCTCCATAAGCTTCTGACTTGATACCTAGATCCTCCTGGTCCTCCTCGATCTCTGGAGTAGCTGCCTTCTTCTTGGGGCGACCACGACCCTTCTTAGGGGTGATCTCGGCGTCATTACCCTCATCATCAGCCTTGGGCTTGCGCTTACGAGGAGTGGCGGGCTTTTTGCTAAGAGCGCCCTCAGTGGCTGCTGTGATAGAAATTCCGGCTTTGAGGGCATCGATCTCAGCTTTGAGAGCATTCTTGACCTTCCAGATCTTCTGCTTGCAACCGCTTACGTTGCGACCAGCGGGGACAGGGGCGGACTGCAACACATTAGGAAGAGTTACTTTGTATCTTGGTGATATGTAAGGGAACACTTACGTTGAAATCGATTTGGATGTTGGCAGACTCTATAGCGCTGAGGAGGTAGACGAGCTGGTAACTATTAGCATTGCGGCTGTTTGAGGGTATCCCAATGAACATACGACTTCATGCTCAGTCCAACCTTGAACCTTGCCACTAGCGCCTTTGGGTGTGTTTTCGTCAGACATAGTGTGACCTTGTCGAAGAAAGTGTTGATTCAGTGGGAGTTTTCTGGTGTGGAAAGAAGAAGGGCTTTAGAAAGTGCAATGTGAGGATGAAAAGCAGAGGTAGAGGGAGAAAGCAGGGTGAGGGGACAATCGACGTTTGTGTCTAGAGTAGGGAATCTGCCAAGCGGTTGGAACTCAATCTCACTGTGAGTCCTCGAACGGCAGAGACGGCGCGTGGTCAATGGTGCAGAGTTCATGATACGTGGTGAAGGTGAGTACAGATTGCTAACGGAAACGTGGTAGCCATGCTCTGAAGATCAACGCCAAGTCATGTATACATTACCCTTCTATGCATATGATATGACCTTGGGGGTTGCCGTTCAATCTGTCACAGCATATTTATAGAAATGCATGCTACATTAGCCTACCAACATAAACCGACAATGCCATATCTGGATACTCAATGAAGGGAAACATGACAACTATACAACTCGTAGATAACTCTCACTAACGAATTTCTGACACTCGAGATAGCGCAATCTCTGCATTTAGTAGGGCCTACGTGTGTCAAAACTCACCTTCACCTGTTCACCATCAGTTCACCATCACAACAACGCTACCATATACGAACAAACATCCATCATCATATCCCCCGCTTCCGAAAACTTCGCAACTCTTTCGACGCACACCAGTCCGCCATCCCTTTGCCATCACATACCACGGCCATACACTAGGATCCAAACAAATTACCAACATCAACACAACCTTGAAACACTAGAGTCATCATGTCAGGCAACGAAGGCACGAAGACTGGTTCTGGTTGGACAGACAAGGAGCGTGTATATCTTCCCCAACCTCCCCTCCTCACCCCAAGCCTCCGCACAAAAAAAGACTGACAAGAAGAAAAACAAACAAACAGCTCACCTACCTCTTCGCTCTCATTGAGAATTCCAACGTCAAGTTCGACTACAACGTACGTAGCCAATGTCCCCATTTTCCCTCTTTCGCACATCCCACATACTCCCCCGTCTTGCAGTAAAATCCACCGACAACTAACATGAGAACTCCAGAACACTCCACGCCCCGCCGGCCGTTCCATCATCGCCTGCCAGCGCATGATAGACCGCCTCAAGAAGGCCGCACTCAAGGATGAGGTCGAAGCTCTCACGTCTGGTGATCCAGGTACCAACGACAGTACTGGTACCCCGAAGAAGACTCCGACTCCGCGTAAGCGCAAGGCCAAGGGCGATGCTGCTGCTGCTGCTGCTGCTGCTGCTGAGGGAGAAGCGGATGTCAAGACTCCGACTAAACGCGGTCGTAAGAAGAAGGAGCTTGGGAGGGATCTCACCGACGAAGAAATTGTTGATGGGGATCTTGTTGAGGGGGGGACGATTGGTGTTAAGCCTGAGCCAAAGGAAGAAGGGCAAGTCGGCGAAGATTTTTGATTCAAGCAGAGGGCTGGGTCTGATCGCGTAGTCGCATTCACAAGGATGTACTACTGATATCGTTGGATCCCGGGGGAGCTATTTCATATAGTCTGATCGGCGTTCGCGAGCGAAATGTCCTCTACTCTCAGACAGCGTGAACACAACGGGATGCAAAAAGGAATCACATCATGAGGAACATGTCGAAATATAAAAGAGGACACCACCTCAATAGTCATCAACGGAGCAAAAGAGAAGAGGAAAAAAAAACTTCGAATGGGTATCTAAACTATACATCGTTCAACATGCAACTTTCTCGGCCGTTTCAAAATCATGAGTTTCGCTTACACACATGAGGAGACTCTCTCTCTCTCTCTATCACCTCGAATAATCCGGTTTTGTAGCCTTGTTAACAATAGGCGGCGGCCCATCTGTATCCGGATACGGCAGCGGCGCTCCAGGCGGTGGTCTCGCAAAACTGCTTCCAGCCGGCGGACTGGTCCTCAACCCGCCAGAAGACAATGGCGGCGGCGGACCATAGCCGTCCTGCAAAGGCGTCTTTGGCGGCCTCGGCGGCGCATTGCTCAACCTATCGTCCCAACTCGTCGCACTACTCATCCAAGAAACCGGCCTTCCCGCTTGAAACTGCTCATCTGAGCGCCGACCCGGAGACACTAGTTCACCAGAGTGACGTGGCGGAAGGTCCGAGAAGCCATCTGTACTGGCCGACTGCGGATACTCATCGCTCGACACAACGAGGAATTTGTCGTTGTCACTCGGCCGTCTTGGTTCCGCCGCGGGTCGAAATGCAGGATGGATATTAGTGTAGTATTCTGGTGCAAGTTCCTCGGCTGGTAGTTCGACGGCCATGGGTGCAGGGTCTGGGACGGTAGGGAGGGGTTTATTAGGTGCCTGGGCGCCTGGAGAGAAAGGAGACTCGCCTTTGGCCGCGCGCTCCCAGCGGACTTTTGCGAAATGGATTCTGGCGATTTTGGCGGCAGAATCGAGGGTCATGGATTGGACGCTCTTCTCTGCAAGGTACATGCGCGTGTTTGTGCTGATTTCTGCGAGGGCGTTCCACTCATTCATTCCAAATTCCCCGACACCCACATTGACATTCAGGCGATAGTAATTTTCCGGATTGACATGTCGTTTCGCAAGGTTATCCTTCATTTCCTTGTGTGTCTTTTCGCAGTCTTCGATCTTTTGAATGAGCTTGCGGCGGGCCTCTGCAAAGTCACCGATGCCGCCTGACACAAAACCTTCCCACCACAGATGTTGTTGGGCGTTTGTGCCTTCGGGTCGCTTTCCCGTCCCTATGCTCACAAAGACGCCGACTTCGCGGCCGGGCCATTCGTTGCAGACGGCTTCGTCGAGGGCCATGGGGGCTGGGTTGTATTTGCCGGAACCTTCATCGAGGAAGACGGATTGGCCGACTTGGATAGGCTTGAATGCCAGGGCAGTCGCAGATGTGGCTCGGCCGGCTTGCCATATTGTGGCGTTGGGTTCAATGGCGGGTTCTTTGCGGGAATCGTAGGAGCGGAGCAGGATCTGGCCAGCGCCAGATTTCCTTGTGCCTTTGTACACGGCCGTGACGGCGCTGTCAAAGTTAGTAGACTGAAACAATGCTCATGTATGATTCACTCACGTCTTAGTGCGCTCTTCCCGGTTGTCGTATAGCAGGGCGTGAGGGTTCCCCCACTTCATGGCGGCTATGCGCATATTTACGGGCGTCATGCCAATCTGGCTGTAGTTGCTGGCATTACTAGCGCTCCTTTGCATACGGCCCGAAATAGCACTGCCCGGGGTCATGGGCGGTGCATCCTGCCCGTTGTGGTTGTCGTTGCCTTCGTCATCGTAGATGGTGTGTTCGCGCACACATTGCATGATAGCTTCCTCTAGCTTGGACGCCTTGAACAACGTAGATCGATATGGTATGCCGGCAAACGTCTTGTCTGTCTCGAAAACTCTTCTCGTCATGCGCACGTATACGTCTTTGCACGTCTCCACGTCCATTCTCAGTCTACCCAGCATTATGGCAATCAGGCCTCCGGTGCCAGTTCCTACAATGAGGTCGAAGTGTTCGCATGGCTTTGGTACTTCGTGCCGTTTTGGGGCTCGGCCTTCGGTCTCGACAAAAGTTCGGTGCATCAATTCTTGAAGGATTATCAGCATGGAGTACCCCCGCACGCCTCCGCCGTCTATCACATGGGTTAGCACCTGCCATACTGGAACCTTGCATCATAACCTACCTAGCGACAGAATGCGCAGCGGCGGCCCTTTGGTTGTGTCCTTCCGACGCACCCCGTTGAGTGCCATGTTTGGAATGATATGCGCTGGTTGTGTTGGGTATCACAGGTTCTAGGCGGTTCTGCCTGGCACGGCGCGTATACGTCTTCGCTGCCTTGTGTGAATAGAGTCAGGCTGTCGGATCCGTTGCTTCCCAGTATTTAAGGCCGCTGAGCTGGCGTGGGCTGATTGCGCGGCTGAGGATTTGTCTGTAATCGTCGTGTTGTTGGTGTACTAAGCAGTAAAGCGAGGCTGAGGAGTCCAAGCCTGGGCGCGCGCGCTCGAAAGCGCTCAAGAATGGAGTTGTGAGGTCGGCTGCTCGGTGCGCAAGCAGGAGGGCATAGGGTACAGTCACAGGAGAGACAGGCGTTGAGTAAGAAAGTTCACGTGGAGGAGTTGAGAAGATTCTTTGACTCTTGCCGGTCATGGCCAGCAGCCCAAGTTGGTTCACAGCGTCGTCACTCGTCATTCGTCACTCGCCAAGCACCAGCCATAAGCCGAACTGCACCGCCACCTCGGCTCCGCTCTCTAGCTCACCAAAACCTGGTTTATCCTGGCATGCCGCACGCCGTCAGAGCCCAAAGATCTTCCGTCTCTACCGGTTTTACGACAAAAGATCTTCATGCCCTTGCAGCGGCAATGCCATGGCCCGCCTGCTAGAAGGAACCCCCCTCCACAACGTCGACGCGAACGAGTGACTGTCCAATCGCCAACTCTGCGGCCCTGCTTCGGATGGCCATCCTTCCATGAGACGTCGCCTTCTCCGATCGAATAACGACGCCAACTACATTTTGATCGTGATGAGAGAAAATGCCTCGCTTTGTCATGATTGATCTATTATGCCCATTCGTTAGCATCTCGCCGAGTTGCTGCAACACCAACCTGGTACATCGAGTCCACCGTAGACCTGCAGGCTTACATGTCATGATATCGTACGATGCTTCGTGAGGCTGTCTATTCGGCTTCCACGTGACGTTGAAGGAAGCCAGCTGCCAAGGTAACCATGCAAGACCTCTACGCCACCAACATCCCACACAAGAGAAAAGCTGGACAGGTGCGGGTGCAATAGGCCCTACCTAGGTATCTTGCGGTCTGCATAAGCTTACAGCAGACTAACGACACTGTCGGCTTCTAGTTTTCTCATCTATGCATACATATGCTACTCTTGAAACACTTGGTTCAAGTAGGCAACAATGCCTGCACAGTGTCATGAGATGGATAAAAAGTCTCAATCATGACTTTGAGCTCACAGGCATGATAGCGTGCTCGATGATAGCATCCGTCGAGCTAGCAATCAACACAGAATGTGGGATTCACAAGTTTTTGTGGAGAGAGGTCGGGCCGCCTGTGTAACATGAACTGTCTTACTGAAATGGTAGTACAGGAGAATGCGCACTTTCCCAATTAGGCGGCGTGTAGCAAACAAACACCTCCCGGTCAAAACCGCAACTTCCTTGTTGTCCACACTCATAACACGTTCTTTCGACTTGGATTTTGAACCAAGTCAAGTCCAGCGTCACACCACAATGGCCAGTGACTCGCCCTTCTTGCGCCTGCTGCCAGCCGAGATCCGCAATGCCATCTACGAGCTCGCCCTCACTGCCCCGGAACCTCTACGTTGCTTCGACCCGGTCGTCTGGGACGATTACAACCCTAATAAGAAGAGACATTACCTCTACTTCCGTGTGACATCTACCAACTCGCTCGACGAACCTGCATTCGATGTAGACCCTGTCGAGTACAACCAGTTCAAGTATGTCAGCAAGGAATTGCACGCTGAGACCGTTGGCTTGGAACTTAAATACAACGACATCATGTTTCGTGTCTCCAAGAAGAGCGAGAACGCGACATCCTTCTTACTGCTGAATCGATGGCTGTCAACGATACCCGTCGCGAAAAGGTCGTGGATCAAGACTATCAACATCAGGATGGAGACTAAAGGCTGTCACCCACCCCACAAGATGCCGGAGGACGCGCATACCATTGCTCGCCTTACACGGCTATGCAACGATAACCCCTTGATGATAGTCAAGTATCACTTGCCTAAATGGCGCGTGATACTTGACCATCGATATTACATCGCGAATCTTCCAGGGACCTGTCCGATTCTGACTACTCCGACTGCTATCTGCTTTATCTCCGATGCTGCAGATGTCTACTCGTACATCCGCGGCGAAGGGGTTGAAAAGCTGTATCCTGGTCCCCCGTTCAAGGTCGGACCAATGTTATTTGCGAGGAGGTGGAGGGAGATTCCAGGTGTGGATCTGGCAGATCTGCAAGCTAAAAATCTGACGTACTTTCCTGATGTTCCTGAAGGCACGCATATACCCTTTATCAAGAAGGATCTTACATGGGCGGCGCACGGCGAGGTCGTTCCAGAGGCAGAGCAATGGATCGGCTACAAGTACGCGAAGGATTGGGTTGAGAATGGCATCTAGAGAAGGGGTCGAAGAGATGTAGGGAACATGGCCAACAATACCCGGAAATCTATTTTCCTCCTTCAGAATGCGGATACGGACATGTAACATTTCCATGAAAGGGACTGGTTCATTATCTCAAAGAAGGAGAACTAATGCGAGTAGTTTTCAAGCAAGGCTGACTGCGGCAATTCAACTCATTTGGACTATACCGTTGGTGTGCCAGTACACGGGGTTCTTTGGATGGATTTACTCGATACTCGACCATCGAAGTATTCAAGGACAGCTTCCTTCAACAGAAGGGTTTTGTATTTATTACTCTCTTTGCTTGTATCTACGGCACAGGGAACTTGAAAGCAGACATGTCCTACCAAAACTTCTTTGTCTTTCTTAACTACGACTGCTAAATGCAACCTCTTCACTATTTAGGAAGCACGTCTCTATACACCCTAACACTTGTACACGGGTGGGAACCAGAACAACGTACCAACGGACTAACACATATCCTTGATCGTCACAGCTTCTCCCATGTTCGCATTGTGATTCTTGATAATGCGATACATAGTCTATGACATGACAACTTGTCACATCATCTACGTGACGTCCATAGTCGCAACACCGCCTCCCACCCTCCAACCACTCTACTGCTTACCCGGCACCTCAACCAATCCTCTCTTCTCCTTGATCCTCCACTGAATCGCCTTGGCAAGGTAATACAGCACTTCCAACGTCGGCATACTAACCCCAGCATTCCTCCCCGCCCTCAACGGCTCCCCCAGCAAATTCTCATACTCGAGGAAATTGCCCTTTTCCAAATCCTGCTGCATACTAGGCTTCAACCAGCTCTCCAACGGATCAACATGGATCGTCTCCTCCACAACCCCTGGATCCAAGTCCACACCGCAGACCGCCTTGGCTGCGGCAACGATTTCGCGCATGGCTGGTCGCACGAGGCCGTCGAGCGCGCCGTCCGCTAGGCGTAGCCGTCCGTCGTCCAGGCCCGTAATGGCGCAGATTGGATTCAAACAGGCGTTGAAGACCAATTTCTTCCACCGGTCGTGCAGCACGTTGGGCGAGTAGGTGCACTTTGTTTTTCCGCCTGCCGAGTACATGTGCACGAATTCTTCGGCGCGTCGTTCGGGCACGGCGGGGTTGATGTTTGATGTGGGAAAGGCGCCGATTAACAGTTTATCGCCTTCATCTTGGACCTGAGAAAACAAAACAAAGGGTGCGCAGTCAGTAAATATAGACACATACAAACTTATCACCTTCTAGACTAATACAGAGAAAAGAGGAAACAGGGATAAATACTTACAATAGTACCAGGCATAGTTTCCGCACTACCAATCATGGAAATACCGCTCAGGATACAAACATTGGGATGAGGACGCAGAAACGGTTTCTCGATATTCAATCCATTCTGCAGGAGTATCAAGGTAGTCTTGCTCGCATTGCTGCCAGTGGGGAGAGCAGGGCTTATTAGGTCGACGGCCGTGGGAAGGATATCCGGCATGTTCTTGGTGCAAAGCATCACATAATCGAATGGCTGCTGCTCGATGCCCTCCCCAACGAGATCAGGGATACTGTTGCGGACTTTATTTCAAAAAAACATTGGTTTACATGTCAGCCTGCTGTTTTTCCCCAGACGCCACATTACACACACGCACATACAAGCCACACTCAGTTTGAGTATTGGCCCGCCCCTAAAGGTCGTCCAAGTGTACAAGAGTGAGATTGCCAAACATACCGACACTGGGTCTCCATCCCTTTAAGTTTCCATGATCACAGCTGGAGATTGTGTATCCGTGTCCCTTGACGACGTCGTAGTTGGAGCGTAGGACGAGGGTTACCGTTGCCAGACCACCGGCTTCGAGGTTGACGGCTGCGATTGCACCGACGGCGCCACCGCCAACGATTAACACGCTCTTCTTGTTGGAATCAGCCATTGTGTAGAGCTAGTCTAAGAGATGGTCAAACTCACGTTACATATACAAGTGGCGTCTATGGCGTTGACAAGATAGGGCGCGACTGACGCGTTAGTGGGGGTGGAGGGGCAACCACGACTTGGAAACATGATTCCGTCGGAATCGAGCCGCGTTGTTGTACCTGCTACATCTGGAAATCATCACTTGACAATCACGACTGGAATCAGAAAAGCAGCGTTGTTGCGGTCCCTTCAATCGAGCTCCATTTGATGCATATGTAGGTTACAGTCCGTAAATTCGTGGCTGGTGACCTTTTGTCGCCAAATCTTCCACCGCCTCACACGCCTTCATTTCTTTATCGCACTGATGGTTTGATGCATTGCTTGAGTCGAAGGTAGAGCCGTTCCATTCCATCCGCCCGAAGACTACGCCGAGAGCCCAGCAAAAGAGAGAGAAAGAAGATGCACGCTTAGAAGACGAGAGCGGCACCCTTGGTCTTCTTGTCACCACCAAGCTCGAAGTGCTTGCATCGCTTGAGGGCGAGCTGCGGTGCGTTAGTATTTGTGAGCTAGTGGAAGGTGAGTGCAGCATACCTGTGCCTTGGTCTTGCACTGTGTGCACTCTAGACGGAGAACGACCTTCTTGGTGGTCTTCGCCCTCTGTTTGGGTGTTAGTCGCCCGTTTCTTCATCCCGAATGCGTGCGATCATACCTTGTGGAAGACGGGCTTGGTCTGACCTCCGTAACCGGATTGCTTGCGGTCATAACGACGCTTACCCTGCGCGAACAGCGAAGCCTTGCCAGCCTTGTACTCTACACAGTCTCAGTATACGGGTGGTGCGAATGCGCGGACGTGCATCACGTACGGGTGACCTTGTGCTGGGTGTGCTTCTTGCAGTCCTTGCCCTTGCAGTAGGTTCGGCGGGTCTTGGGAACGTTGACCTGGGGGTGGAAGTCAGCGTCCGTGATCAATGCCTTGAAGCTCTCCGTTTCCTTTGCTAGCGACGAATGTGGGACGAGCGAGCGAAAAAGACGATGGCGAAGAATCGGTAACGCGAGGATGCGATCGTATAAGTCCCGGAAAGACAATGCCGCCATGAATTATACGAGCGCAATCCTGCGCCTTTGCGGATATTTCGTAGTGTGATGTAAGTTATATGAGCGCATGATGGTTGGCTGGTGGAGTCGCCGCCCCTTCTACTCCAAGGCCCTCGCGTCTCCCTCATACCAGCAACAAGAGACATTATCCAGCCCAGCCGTCTTAGCATCAGATGTCTCCCGCTGTATTCCGTTTTGATAAAGTGTCGTCGGTACAATGTCGTGGGGTCGAAGGTTTCGCCTCGCCATCGTCATCGATTCGTGAATTCGCTCGCTCGTCGCTCGTCGCACATGCCGTATCCTTCGCAATATTCCCAGCAGCAAAGATATCACTCACCATTTTGACGGATTTTGCTCTGTGGTTAGTATGAGCGAAAAGTTGGCGGTGTTGCTGGAGGTGTTGTGGTCGCTGCGCCGATATTGCTAGCGTTGTGTGGGCTTCGGCTATGTTAGTAAGCCGACGCCACACCACACCAGCCACAGCCAAGACAAGGGAGAGGCACATTGGGAACACCGGGTCCTTCGTCATCATGAGTTGATCGGGTAAGAATTCATTGTGGTATCATGCGTGCTAAGTAAAATGCAGATCGTTCGCCATATACCATGCCTGATCATGAACCCGGTAAAACAAATGGAAGCTCAAACGTGAAGACTAGTAAATCGGATGTCCCTCTTCCCACTTCTGAACCTCCTTTGTATCTCGAGATGCAGATGGAGGGCTGCTACCCATGCCAAGACTGAATCTGCTGCTCTCACCCTTCGCAGGTGTTCTTCCATCATCGATCCGCTTCACAGGACCGACCCATTCCCACATGCGAGCAACGTCGCCGCTAGCTGTTGTTCGGACACCTGCGCGGATGTTGCTGTTCTTCTCAACCTTTGCCTGTACCCTCGTCCACAGCTTCTGTCGTCGCTTTGCATTAAACTCTGTCCTCAAGACATCGTCCCGCAGCTGTGTCATACTGATGCCCTTCTCAGCGCCTGAGTCGTAGTAGCTCAACGCGGCTTGGTCCTGGAGTCTGTCATACGCGTCGCTTGCTAGCTGCTTGGCCCGAACTTCCATCGCCCGGTTACTAGTATATGCATACTTTCCGTATGAGCCAGTGGCAATGAGGAAGAGTATTGTTACAATTTGGAGAAGATGTCGTTCAAAGGATTGTCGGAGGGATCTTCGGACGCTGCAGGAGAGGGAGAGCTTGGCGAGGGAGGTGGATGCGAGACGCCGTGCGCCTGTTGTTCTGTGTTCAAGGAAGAGTAACTGATTAGTACAATTCCACGTCAGAAATGCTGTACAAGTGATGGGACTAGCAAGGAAAGTACTTACCCGTCGGTGCTTTCGATTATTTCTTCCCGCATAACCAGCTCAGGAAAAGCTCTGTCGAACAGCTCACTAAATTCCTGATCCGTCAAGCTCTTGCTTTTCTGAGATGCCATCTGTTGCTTCAAATCCACCTCGCTCACTTCAGGGCTTTCCACTAGGTTTCCTGCTGCATCAGGCTCTCCGCACTCGTATTGGGCCTTGCGTTGGCGAAGTATCTCAGTTGCCTTGTTCGCGATACCGTTCACTTTGCGAGTCTTCTCACTGTCCGGTTCGCAGGTCGGTGGTAAAGGAACCAAGCCACCGAGGGACAGCGGATGATCCTTCATGATGAAATCGGGATCGCACCTGAGAGTCAATCCGCGGAAGCACTGCGCGTGTGGCGGACAAGGCTCGCATTGTGGGAGGATTTGGTCCGCCCAGCTCGGTATCTCCACACCAGCAAGTCCGATGGCATCTCGTCCAACGCCGCAGAAGCCGACTTCGATCTTTTCCTGTCGCCATACGCCAGCGAAGGCGGCCGAAGCTGTGAGAAGAAGAGTGCCGGCCATTGCTTTGATTGTTCCCGTTTTTTTGCCTTTCTGCCTACGTCTCCGGGGAGGCAAAATGTCCACTTCACCAGCCCTTGCCCGCTCGCGCACTAAATCAAGCTGCTCCTCTGGCGTGAACTCTTCGCCGGCATCTGCGAGATCGTCCTCCTGCTGCTTCACACGCGGGTCTGCCACGTCGAATGTCCCCCGAGTGGGTACCATAACGCCGTCGTCTTGTTGCTCAGTCTTGGGTTGAAAGGTCCTCCGGCGATGCGCGTCGCTCTTGCGCCTCTCCTGAGCATATCCTGTAGTACGCCTACGACGGTCGCGTGATATCGTGTCTGGCACTGCAGGAGAGCTCCCACTCTGAAAAGGGTTCTCCTGGGTGAAGGGACTGGCAGCGTCGTGGCGATGCCACGCTTCCGGCTCGGGCGTGGGTTCCTTGGGCGCAGGAGTGGCGCTTTTGCGTATACGTCTAGTCGCGGGTCGCTCATCTACCTCAGGTTCAAGCGCTCTGCTGTGTTTAGCAGGAACAGCCCGCGAGGGTGTCTTGGCGCGTGGTGCCGGTACATCTGCTTCCTCTGTCGGTTCGCGGGTTGTTCGTCGGGTTGTGCGTCGCGTAGTCGCAGGTGTAGGTACTACAAGCGTCTCGTCTTCGGCATCGTCTGTCTCTACTGTGCTGGCTGAACTGGAGGGAACATCTACGATGCCCCGCGTCGATCGCTTTGTGCGTGCCTGCGCCCTTTGGACCTGTGCTTTCTGGGGGAGAACGAGGTCGACGAACATGCCAACCAGAGCGGGCTTCTTTGCCGAAGAAGGGTATTGAACGCCATGTCGGAGTAAGATGCTCCTCAGTTCCGGGACTGTTATCTTGTTTGGATCCACGCCATCTTCGTAATACCAATACTCTCCGCGCGCATCAGCCATGTCGGTGCCGTGGTGGGGCAGTTGAGGTGAGTCGACGATTCAGCGGGGGTTGCGACCGAGACAGTTGTAGGACGGAAGTGAGACAGGCGTGGGTTGGCTCGTGTGGTCGCGGTGATGAGTGATAGGTGGAGTTGGAAAGTCTGCGCAGCTTGTTTGTGATGTCACCGAGGCAACTGCGGGCCCGTGCGCCGGATGCGTCTGCTTTCATCTGAGCTCTTTCATTCACGCCCAGTCACACATCAATAATCACGATCGACATATGAAACACTAGAACCAAAAACTACAACGTCAAGGCCTCTGTGAGGGAGCCAGTTTTATTAATTCTGTTCTTCAAAGTTCCTCGCACGCCTGATCTGCCATACGGCACGATGCAGTATAGAGGCGTTCTTTACCAACGAAAGGGCAGAGGCAACATCGTCGTGGTCTTGAAAAGACCGGGGCTGAGAAGCGGAGATGGTCGCTGGCTGCACTGGACATATAGCGTATCTCCATATTTTACCATCTGTCATTGCACTTGATAAGATCTTCAGATCCCCTCTTCCACCCAGCGCCTGAACAATGCTGCCCATCGTTTGAACCTGAGCTCCCATTCGACTGGAGTCGGGCCCAAGACAAATGATCGCGGTGTTGTGACAATATCCGGGTTAGGAAAGAATCTGATTCTGTCCCAGTCTCTTCACTCTTAATGACGCTTCCCTCACAACCCGAAGAGCAGGGAGCTTTTCTGCTATACTCATTGTGCGTTCGTATGATTCCCTCATTACTAGTACTACTGCTGTTGTTGTTGGCCACATGTCCTCTAGAGCGTTGCCGCGTATGACGCTAGACAGCACGATGCCATGCGTGCCGATAGAGATGTCACTAACATCGTCGCCCAACTTATTGAGCAGGTTCGCCCTGCAGAAGTGGTGCATGATGTACTTCACTCGTAGCGATGGCTTGTTCATCAAGACTTTGGTTAAGTGGACCATCGTGCTCGCCATCTCTCTTAATTCTGACCAATTCGCGTGGTCCACAGCGGAAATTTGGTTGGAGAGTGTTAGACTCTTAATCCACGAAAGTCTCTTGAGACCGAGCGAGCGAGTCAGGCCAAGAAATATCATCTTTGCTTCTGATGGGTGTTTTTCGTCCAGTAAATCCCTAAGTGAGGACTCGGCTATATGGTCATTGATCTTCACAGGGTTGTCTTTGAATTCGAGCAGCCGAGTCTCTCTGTAAAGTTGGCGACAGGTCAGTTGCAACTGGTTGATGCGTCTATCGTTCAATGTCAGACTGAAATCGATATGACCCCGCGGACTAGTTGATAGTACAAGGGCATAGATGTGGTTGCGTATTTCTCTTGGTAAGCTTAGCAGGGGCAACGGGCTCAACGGTGCGGCTTCTAGAGACCTGATGGTCGTGAGAATTTGGTCATCGAGAGTATTGGGTTTAAGACTGCGTGTAATTGCGGTGTTGAGAGGGAATTTTTAGCAACTCAAGAGCCGCTCCCTGTCAGATAAGCTCGGGATCGAGGATACAGGAGCACATAATTTCGACGTAGTTGAATTGCGTGGTCGTACAGGCTTGTGAATGGCAGCGCAATTTCCCCATTACTTATCATGCGTTGAGGCGCTCGACTAGAGAGGCAAAGTGAGCTCAGTGGGGGTGATTGACCGTCGGACCATAAGTCACTTCCGTACCCCACTCGGCTACGCAAATATCAACCGCCGCTTAATATATATTTTACTTTTGTCTTGCTCTTCATCAGCGAATCAGAATGATTTAAAAATCGGGCTTGTGGTTTAGTGGTATAATACTCCCTTAGCATGGGAGTGGTCCAGGGTTCGATTCCCTGCAAGTCCATCTTTTTGCGTTTCTAGCCTGGTAGGACAGCTTATAGGCCACGCGAGATTCCAGGCACGGATCAGCGAAGTCCTGCAATCTTTTTTTGAAGGGCGCGCGAACACCAAGCTTGGCGATTATGCGCGAGCGAAATCGTTCGCAAAGATTGAACTTTGTGCATGCCGTAGCTGTCAACCTATTGATCGAAATCTTATACTACTAACTACTATATTCTGATCCTTTAGAGTGCTGTTGGTGTAAGCATGCAGTGTCAAAAAGGTCCACCTTCTGCGCCGCATGTCGAGTTGAACTCACACAAAGACATTTGCATCATGATAGGGAGGGGACGGACTTGCCGTTTTGAGAAGGCAACAACAGTAATAACAACCTACAGAACTACCAGTGATGATCTCGATACTCATGTGATACTTACATCTGGGTCGGCATCTTCATGCACAGGCACACCGGAAGGTTGATCAAGGATAAAGCTGGCCATGCCGCGATGCATCTCCGTTTTGTCACTCAATCGTGGCGTCACCGGCTCCGCATTGATCTCCAACAACACTAGACCCCACATGACCACATGCTGCAACGTGTGAAGACCGGTCTTTTGATCTCCTGATGCGGATTCCAAGGCGAGTTCCAAGACTGTCTCGCAGAGCAACATAAGCACTGCCTTCTTTGTCTTGCGTTCGAGCGATTCTTGTAAAGCCTCGATGGTGATATCGGTAGCCACATAAACGTCACGTTGAGATGATGTGTATCTGCCTATACTCGAACAAAGATATTGCCAGGCGGTGAGATAAGCTTTACGCTCACGGAAGGTCCTAATCGCTTCTTCTGTCGAGCTGCTGATGAGGTTATCGACATGTTTCAGTACCTCATCTTGGACTTCTGTACTAGGGCGCGGGTATACAGCCTTGGAAGCCCAATCAGTAGCCAGTCTAGTCAATCTCTCTTCAAATTCCCCGGCGCTGTCTGTCTTTCGCCGTTTTCGTGGCGGTACAAATTCCTGGCCGATAGCATATTGTGCCCACTCGTCACTATCTTCTTTGGCATATTCGAGTTTGAATTCATCGGCGATTGCGTCTTTTCCTTTTCTTATTTCTTCGCCATACATCCTATCGAGTCTGGACAGGTTATCGTCGCTGACTCTTCGCAGGACCTCAAGTGACATGCGTCTTTTGGGATTGTACCGTAGACAGCGCGAGATGACTTGGCACAGGCGCACACTGTATTCTGCGGGAATTTCTCCCAACGTTTGGGGGAAAATACTATCTCGGCTTCCAACATTTCCATCCCTCAGATTTTGAACATGGTTTGGGTTCTTGGATCGCTCTTGGACATTCTCGTAGAAGCTTTCCTCTTTGTGGGCCATCATTAGTGCCCACGCTGTCATAGCTAGACTCCAAATGTCCGACTTCTCCGAGATAAGCCACTCATTTGGTATCCAATGATCTTCGAACAATCCAGCACCGTCTCGTTCCTAATCGAGGTTAGCATCGCTTCGATAGTGCCAGCATCCCACTTACTGGAGGCATCAATCCCGGCGTGCCTTGGACCATCCTTTTTTGCTTCTCATATTCATCGTCTAGTTCAAAAGCGATGTCAAAATCAGATAAAACAACTCTTGGATAAGCGGGGTATTGAGTGTTGTTGGATCGAAGGAATATGTTGGCGGCTTTGATATCGGAATGAATGATTGGATGCCACACCACCGAGGTGGCATCCGAATCTGCGTCTTCTCCACAAGTACCCTGCTGCAGCGCTATCAGTGCCTCGGTCACCTGACTGAGTAGATACCAGATGAAATGCTCGGGTACAGGTTTCTTGGGAGTAGTGAGTTTATGCCCTTCGTAGACGCGTGCAAGAGTCCCAAGTTCGGCAAAAGACGAGTATATACTGAAGACAGTTGGCACTGATTTGTCATTGTTGCGACGATGGATTTTCTTAGTGCAAGGTCTTTCGCTGCTACCGCGGTATGGTATCATATGCGAACAATTGAGTTGGCTGATGCGCTGGTTCATAAGAATCTCGTGCTTCGCATCGCTGAACTCTTTCACATCCAGCGCCTCTAGACATTTAACTGTGATTTGCTAAGAACGATGAGTAAGGCTATCCAAATGCACCTACGCTGTAAGACTCACATCTTCGATTAACCCAGCATCAGTGGTTCGAACATAAAGGAAAACTGATTTGCGAGGCATCGTCCCCTTCTCATACCGCCGCTCATTCGCCGCGCTTTCATCAAGTCTAGTTTGATAGAGAGTCATCGCAAACTTCCAATTACCATCTTGATGGTTGTAGAAATCACGTCGCTGCCCCGCCGTAGGAGCCAAAAATTGTTTTCTTTCAGGACTGTTTCGAATATAGAATGGAGGCGAGCGCTCTCCACTTGAAGCTTCAGATATAGCTGTAGGCGTGTCTACACCATCTCCTTCCGGCGCGTCTCCAGTTGCACCTGACTCTTGCGATTGTTGTTGCGCTACCTGTGCGTGATCTACTGAAGTCAATGAAGCTTGCAGGGCCATTGGTGGAGCAATGGGTGGTGGAGTCGGGAGTGGTCTGACTGCTGTCGCCGCAGGTTGACCAGTGTATACCTTCGTTCTCCAATAGTTTTGCTTGTCTTTCCATTTATTCACAACCTTCCTTCCGCGGCTGCCTCGGGGAACTATGAAGATGAGCCACATACTCCGAATCTACTTTATGTTATATACATACATTCTTTGCCTCTCTTTCCGATAAGATGCCGCATCATCGCGAGAAATGCGTTCCTCGTCTGGTTGTCCAGGAAGCCATCGTAAAGGTTTGCATCAACGTCATCTATACTTTCATACGTGTCGATACTTCCAATATTGACAACGCGAGGAGCCAGGTTACCCGCCATGGTGGGTGAGTTGTCGTGATCGCTAGGTCGGGTTATGCGACGAGCTGCAAGATCAACTGCCTAACTCTACGAATATATAAACTCGCTGCGACATATGGCAAAGCAGCACCAACGCGTTTCGTATCGCTTTGTTGATCTCCTTTAGGTGTTGGTTAATAAAAAGACAATGGAAATGGAGATACCGAGATAGGAACGAACAATGTGGGGCGTGCTGAGCAAGGCGCTTTGTTGCAGCGGATTGAACTCGACTTCGAGCTAACCACTTTCCACAATATTCTGCAAGACCATGCGCTGTCCTCTAGATATCTGGACAGTACGTCGGAAAGTCACATAGCAGCAGCACATGGACGCACAACAGCAGCTCCACTGCTGTTGAACATAGACTAGCTTATCTCACTTCTCGGTTCATTAGATTATGATAAGCCCGCAATCGTATTCAGTTCTGACTAGCGAGTGTATTCTACCCCATATCTCTTATCGCATGACAAAGCCAACAGACAGTGGCAAGACTCCTTGTTCACATTCCGACCAATATGTCTTTGGATCACTACTGATCACACTCATACTGAGTACCGCAGTCGGTGCAATTACCGTTGTGGATTTCACAACAGATCGAGCTATGAGAAGGTTATTAGTAACATTTTGAATACCTAGAGGGCTACTTCAACCGCGGATTTGGAGCTAATCTCACCAATTGATCTGGCAACCGCTAAGGCAGCCCATACTGGTGCAGCCTCCACATCCTGAGTTACATGCCTGAAAGCAACCAGCACGCTTCTCGAGAGCACGACGATCCATCATTGCGTCTCTAGTCAAGAGAGATGTTATACCACGAGGCATGGCAGACATATCGCGAGGAAGGAGGTCGGCATTGATGAGTGGTCCGGGAGTAGCCGCCGCAGTAGTGGAGAGGATGAGACTGAGAGCAGCCGAAATGGTAGTGAGGTACTTCATATTGATAATGAAAGTCTGCTGATCGTGAAGTGAAGATGATGATGCGATTACTCGGAAGGTTTTGGTACTCCAAACGTGGCCAGCAACCACCTTTTTATATGATCCTCTTGTGACCAAGACCATACCTGCTCTGCCTAAGACGCACTTCTGATCACTACCAATGTCTGTCTGATAGCTTGGAAGCGTTGCTGATGAGCATGCTGATTTACTTGGTATTGTTGGCCAAGCCCCAGGGACAGCAAATGAACGCTTGGAGTTGGGTGACAGGATCGAAAGAGAATGCGAGATAGATTGCATGATTGTATATAATGAGCAATATGTTAGTGAGGAGCGCTTGGTATTCCGTTCCAAGTGAGACAGTTTCAGGCGTTCCAAGCGTTCGCCCTGCGATTGCTCTTACTGGAAATGAAGTTTTAGTCTAGCGAGGCAGTTCAGCTCTAACAATGATCGAGTGCATGGCGGGACGAGCCTTCCACTGCTATTTCAACTCAATCATACCGCTTTGAAGAATGGAGGCAAACTACGATGAGTCGGATGTGTGTATTCCAGGTCTAACCTGAGGGTGGCCTTGCCAAGCTGATTCTCAACGTAGACACGAACTTACGCCTTGCTAAGCTTATACGATCTAGCCAACGCTGAACGCTTGCTCATATTGAAAATCTTGGCAATGGCGTGGGATGATAGCACTACCAGTTAAGGGCCGTCAGGCTTGTCCGATCTCTCCTACGATATCGCACCCTTCTATGCGACATGGGGTACTCAGCAGCTGGGTCTAGTAGCAGGAGAGGATTCGTGATCGGAGGTTGGCTTAGACTTTTGGATCAATGTCGCGGCGACAGGCCGGTCCTGGATATGCGACGAGCTGGGCTGAAGGGTTGCGCAAGATTTGCAATTTCCTAAAGAATGAGAGGAGACTCGATGGTAGAATAGTCAAGATGTATATTGTCGTCGCCACTTATGACAGGTTTGCAGGCTCTAAACAACAATCATTTGCACACCGAAATGGGCCTGCATGATTACAATGACGAGCCGAACAAGGACAATGAGATGGTAATGTAACTGACAGGAATGAGTATACTTGGGAAGTAAGATGTCACTCGCAAGGAACTGTTGTCAGGGTAAGACGCTAATTTGGCATGCGAGGAGGTGAGAGGGGGTTTCCTCCGATGCGGGGTATTTGTCTAGCCCAGCGATGGTATCTTGGCGGGCGCGCTAACATGTGTCTCATCACAAATTATGCCTGAAGATCCTCCCCACATCCTAAGCATTCCTGAAACATGGTTATTACGGGTCAAGGTAGCAGTATGCGACCGTACAGATTATATCAAAACAGCTTCTCTATTGTGAACTAAGGCTGCTTCAGTACGAACGAACTGTTAAAACTACGAAGCTTGATGACCCTCATGTCTACGAGACGAACTACCGTTGAGCAAAGTCCGATACCCTAGACGACCTGGGTCTGCTGGATATGCGGCTCCTTCTCATCATCGCCAGAGCCGTGGAGGCGTTCCTTAGCGGCTTGCCTCGCGATAGCATCCATATCCACTGGAGCAACAGCGGCTGGACCATCGAAGATGCGGGCAATCTCCTCGAGTGTGGGACCCTTGGTCTCGGGGTAGACGAAGTAAACGAATACAAGCTCGACGGTGATCCAGAGAGTGTAGAAGAGGGCCAAATTCCAATGCTTAGGAAGGTTGTCCCACGCAACGGGGTTCGTCTGACCACCGACAGCGAGAATAGCTTGAACAGTAATGTTCATAACCATGAGACCTTTGGCACGAAGGGCGTAGGGGAGAATCTCCAGGGCGTATGCTACGAGTAGGCCAGACCAAGCAAAAGCATAGAAAACACCGAAGATCCACACGAATGGAATCTGAGCGTAGCCAGCTGCGGAATTGGTGTCGCCAGAGTTCTCATAGACTGCGCAGGTGACGGTCCAGCACACGAACGAAATGACCATACCGGTGGTGGCACCGAGAAAAAGTGGACGGCGACCAACCTTGTCGATCAAGGTGGCGGCGTAGACTGAAACGCAAAGAGCCAAGATACGCTCACCACCAGTAAGCTGAACAAGACGTTAGTACGGATTTCTGTACATCGTTTCAGGTAAACCTACACCCATCTTTTGGTTCTCGCTAGTGATTCCAGCGCCCTCGTAAACCAAGTTGATGTAGTTAGAGAAGAGCGCGTTGCCGGAGTATTGAGAGATGATACCGAGGGAGATAAGAATCGCCAACCTCCATCGGTTACCCTTTGTCTTGACGAAGTCTACGTAGCTAGAGTTCTTATTCGCATCGGCTTCCATACGGATGACCTCTCTCATCTCAATGTATTCGAACTGAACGGTTGCATTGTTCTTGTCGCCACCGGCATGGTAGTACGCGAGGGTGTCCAGAGCCTCCTCGTAGCGTTCCTTGGAGATCAACCAACGAGGACCTGGAGGGTTATATCAGCTTGAGTTCTCCGATCGTCCAATATGTGGGTCGAACTTACTCTCAGGAACCCACCAAAGAAAGCACAGTTGAAGGAATGAAGGAAGGGCTTGAAGAAGGGTGATAGATCTCCAAGACCAATCGTTGCTCGCTTGAGATGTACCCCATGCGATCCATGCGACGAAAAGCGCTCCCAGGTTCCACAAGCAGTTGTATACAGCAGTGAAGATACCGCGGTGCTGGGGATGGCAGATCTCGGTGAGGAGAATGGGCGAGCACATCTGGGCGAAAGAGTTACCGAACCCAAGGATAAACCGGCCACCCATGTAGATCTGCCAGTTCGTAGAGAAGGTTGAGACAAGAGCACCAGCAATCATGATGGAGCAACCGACGGCGATTGGGATCTTGCGACCGGTCCACTGGGTGAGGAACGGGACAAGGAAGAAACTAACGATCGAACCGATGTTGTACATGTTGTTCATCAGACCCAGTCGGTTACCGGAGGGCTCGTCAAAGTAAGTTTGCCAGTAGTTCATCTGTTGTGAAGAGTTCATCATCATGCTAGATAATTATCAGCCGAATCCAATGTGTTGCGAAAAGGAATACTCACCCGTCGTAACCAGTAGTTGCAGAGGCAATGCAAAGGACTGAAGAGTGCCAGAACAGCTTTCGCATGTTTGGATCCTTGTACCAGATGACCTTCTCAAACTCAGGCGCTTCCTCGCGAGCAACCGCACTGTTGCCTTTCGGCGCTCCCATGGACATGCCCACCATCTTGGATAAAGAGCGATGTGCGACAAGATAGCGTGAAGATTGGGTTGAGTTCAGAACCGGTAGGCTTTGCTACTGATGGGCGAAGTCCCTTGAGGATGCGACTTACGCTCGTTCAGCGTCCAATACTTATATTCGATCTACAATTACCACAAGAGACCCACACCCCGGATGAGCGACTCGCATGCTTACTCCACCGCGGGTTGACGGACATGGGTACCGCAATTTGCAGGAAGACAGCCTAACAGCAACGGAGGAAAGCACCAGTAAGGTGATACCAAGAGAACCCCACCGAGCGATCCGTTGGCACCAGGCCCGTAGCGCCGTAGGACTAGACTTACAAGACTAGAGAAGACCCGTCTTGTCATATCTAGGCACTGCTCGCTAATACCGATATCGAGGGTCCGATGCAATTTGTGGTATCCCCATGGGGTGTTCAGCTAGCTTCGAGAAGTCTGTGATTTAAACGCTAGAACATGGAACAACGATGGATGGCAGATCCAATAACAGGATGCAGTCTATCATTGGTGCTTGATAGCGCCTTGATATTGTTCGCAATAGTCAGTAAACGACGGAGGCATACATTGGAGGCATACATCGCGGGGCAAAGAAGCGGCAAGCGTAGGGAGACTTGCTTGCAAAGCCTGGTGGTTCTAGTGTATCACTTGGAGTTGATCAGATGATAGACGCCTTCATCACAAGATTTTGACGCCATCTGATTGGAAACGATCTTCGACGATGAGCCATGTGTTGCTTGGTGCTCTGTCTGCTCCGCGATGCCCAGCACCAAGGCCCCATACGCTTCCGGGCTTGATCGAAAGACCCCTCGAAGACTCTACACACGCCCTGTGAAGCTGTGACTCGTCCCGCGGATAATTTTACCTAGCATCCGGCACGTCTCTTGGAGTTCTGCACTGGAGTCTTGGAAAAGCCAACCATGGGTCCAGTTGTGGTAGGTCAAGCTCGTAATGCGATGCCATGACCTGCCAAGGTGGATAAATGGCCTTACGCACCGAACCTGACGTTCCGAGAGTCATTTTGTAGTGACGAAGTCGATAGTTGAGGTTCTGCATTGGCGGACGTCGAGAAAGCGCAAGTGACTACCAATATGTTCTCAGATAGGTTGTGAGGGTTGGACAAGTCGTCCCGCGGCAGAAGTCGCGTGTGCGACGCGAGGTGGCGGGAAGCTGATTAGGTGAATTTCGGAGCTATGCTGCAGGCCGCGTGCAGCCTTGGCATGCGCCCACGGGAGCCATCCGGAGTAATCAGCTACGGGGTCGGTGCTCGCACAGATACGACGGATACTTCAACTCCTTGGGTCCGTATCTACACAAACGAGTTCCAGGCGCCGAGCTGTTGGTGTCACTGCGATATTGTTCATGCGCAAGCGAACAGGCTAGTTGGGGCTTTCTTCCCATCGCAAAACGTCCCGCCTCGCCAACAGGTGGCTCGCAAAGTGGTACATGGAGTCGTGATCAATGGCGCTTTGGGACACAGAACCGACCTGGAAAGTCACCTTGGCGAAGACGCCCCCCGGTTGCCGGAACCGCGCTGCGCGTCTCAGTGCAGGTTGCCCATTTAACCGGCAAAAGGATATGGTGGTGGCGTTGTGGTGGAATACCGGTAAATGCCAAGATGCCATTCATTCCTGGGGCGGAGAGCGGAAATTCGGCACGTCGATGACTGAGACTTCGACATGAACTTCGCCGCAATGTGTTGAGGCTGATGGCAACTAGGTAGCAAATGAGTTTCTGCGTAGGACCGGACTGGATTCTGATTGCATTAACATTACTTACCCAAGTACATGAAGGAATATGCGTCGACACGCGCATGCTTCAACGTTGGCGGCATGCACTTCTGCAGTCAAGACTGAACCAAAAGCTGGAGAGACCTGTATTAAGGGGGATTCTTTCGATTATGGTAATAGTTCGAGCTGACACATCTTGAATAGGAGAAAGTAGAAAGACCTTGTTGCTTATATGGGGCTTCTTACATTGGCGAAAGCCATCTATTTTCTGAGGGAGGACACTTGTAAACTCCCACGGCGATACGATCAGAAAATTGAATCATGCTCTCGGCCGACCAATACGCCCACTCTGGACTGCGCGGCGATTATGACCTCTAAGACTGTCTCAACCCAGGTTGCTCTCGGCTTTAGACATGTCCACAAAGGGTGCGCAGCTACGCTCGAAACAAGCTTGTCGTAGAGAAGTGCGCCCCAACATAACAAATTGGGAGCTGTAACGTCGAATTCAAGCTACGCCAACTGGATTATACGTCTAGGAACGTAGTCATTGGGTATCTCCTCCAGGTGATCATGCCTGTCGTATGGAACGATACAGTACATATTTGCGAAGCTGATAACATTATGGCTGAACTACGACAGACCGCTCTTCTTCAACAACAGGCGACTGATGTGCCAAAGATCCACAATCTTTTCACTCCATCATGCATTTTCATATTGCAATCACTATACTACGCCTGATGATCTGCAGTGTCTTTACCAGTCGTACATCTGTCGAGTCCGCCTTCCCTTCCGAGTATAAACTACCTCGATGGCCTGTTTCGATACCTTGGCTGCGAACTTTTCTCTCAACATCGCGCCCAAGTCCGCTGCGACCGCCTCTGCCGTTAGTGAGAAGTATCCGGAATGCTCGATGATGATGGTTTCGAGCATGTCACAATCTAGTAGCCGCTCAAGCTTGTACTTAGAGAAGAGGTCGGCGGCTTTGTTTGGTTGGGTCGAACATTGCAGCCACATATCCGAGTCATCGTCCAAACGATAGTATGTGAGCTCTTCCTTATGGAAGCCAAGCTTGATGATACGCAGTCCTGTACACTGAACCGCTAGCTCAAGGTCGGCGTTCTCGGTAGTATCGCCTTTGTATCTGGAGAAGAATTCGAAGTCTAGTTGACGGACCTGTTCGAAGCATCCGTTTTCTGCCTCGAGGAAAGCGCGCAGAAACAGGTTGTCGTTATACGAACAAACGAGGATCTTGGAGGCAATGATGAAGTTCGCTACTGTTTCCTCGAACGTTTTCTTCGAGGTGAAGCACAAAACGGGCAAGAATCTGGGTTTCTTTGGGTCGTCTCCGCGCTTGACAGCGTCTCGCACCGCAACTTGGCCGATGAAAGGGAATGCCAGGGCCCAGATGAGAAAACGGATCTCCTTTGGTAGATCCATGAAGCGCGCAAAGCTGGGCCGTGGTTTCAAGCCATGCCGTGTAACGCCCGACCACGACTGGGCCGGCTCAGCAGCACTGTGATATCGTGAAGACAGTATCCTAGTAGACAAAGGAGGAAAATCGATGGATTTGAGCTCGAATGAGGCCGATGAATCGCGTCTGCGAGTCGGCTGCTGCTCTTCGGGTCTGCTAACGATGATCACCGGCATATCTCTGAATCACTAGTTACAGATGTCAGTATACTGTTCTCGGTAACTTTAATTCGATCGGCTTACGCTACGCTGGTCTTCCTCTCGTAAGATGGCTGTGTGCAACGGCTCTGTTGGTGGGATCAAGATCGACCGGAGAACTCAACACCGTGGTTGGTAAGAAACGATATTGAACCTGTAGGCGTTTATATACATGCATGGTAAGCGCGCTGAAGGCATCCACTGGTAGTGAAAGACCAAAAGGTATTCCGTGGTAGACAGCGTTGGAGTCATTGCTGCACGAGGCCATTCACGGACCACTTTTGGATCAGCGCATTGTGCCACGCGGGTGAATACCAAGCATTCTGCGATACTAGAAGGGGTTATTTAGAGGTGACTGCATCTTGCAGAGCTACGAGTATATTTGATCCTCCTGTATATTCAGGCGATTCGATCACCAAAGACGACGACGGTGGAGTGGTAGTTGTGAGTGGCTCGTCCTTGCTAGGCCATCGCAGGACCATGGAAAGTACGATTTTGGTCCGGCTACCAAGGAATTGTCATCTTTTCAACCAGAAGTGAGAAGCGAGTGACCAAGAGTATATGGAAGGTTTTCGCACACAACTTTGCTTTACCTTTACGTACCATGTAACTGGTTGCCTATGAAGCAAGCTTTTGTCTATGAGCTTGCAGTTGCTGGTCTCCACAAGACGCAACTTTGCGCATGAGACCTAACAAAAAAACACGTTCTTTCCATGGTCGACTGTCGTGCTCACGTGCGATTAAGTACAGAGACAACTAGATCTTGCGCGCATGTTCCTGCATCACTTTCCCATCCTCGATAACATAGTACTCTACACCTGCAGTAACACGCAAACTTTCTAGGTCAAACAGGTATTCCTCATCTTTCTTCACGACATCCAAGTAGAAAGGATCTTCGTAGGCTTTCTGAAAATCCTCGAAGTTTCGCACCCAAAAGTCCGCCATGCCATCGTATGAGAGTGTCGGCAGTTTTAAAAGCGCTTTATGTTTCGATGTAGTATGATACTTAGAAGAGTCAGCATCCATATGAAGAGAATTCGCATCGCTTCACGCAGGCAAGATTCTAGATTGGTAGAGGAAAGCTGACTTGGACGTATTTGACAATGCCGTGACGCTGTAGCCACGATGTGATAAGAGGGCCATGCTTATTTGCCCAATGGTCGTTAAATTCAGTTTCCGAAAGCTTGGGATTGCGATTCGCAAGGACAGTGACTCGAACCAATTCTTCTGTCGACATGGTTGCTATTGTTTGTAGATGTCGTGAATGTGGCTGGTGTGGCTAGAATGAAGATTGCCAGGGTCGATGACGCATCACTCTCTGCAGAAGCCCCAATCGGCGCCTCCTCACCCGCTCGCATACACTGCTCAACATGCTCTTCTCCAATGAGCTTTTGACCAGGCAATCTCTCATCTACCTGTCGCTGTACAACACGTCGCCAGTTTTGCTTTTACACTTTACGCGCAGCTTTAACGATGTTGGGAGCGATACGAGTGGTTCCCCACCCCTCCACAGATGATAAAGATGCTGCGATCAATCATCGGCCGCGAGTATTCTTAGCTTTGAGACAACACACAAACAGAATGACCTTCTGTCACTAAGCGAACGGAAGCGCCCGTGATGCGGCGATCAGTGACCCGAAGCCCCTCTTCTCTAGTGACGGCGTTGCTCGGTGAGGCCCCCGGAAGCTTTTACCCGGCTTCCGAATACATGAATAGCAACGTTACATCAACTACGCATATCAACACTCTATAAGCCTCAAAATCTGTTCTTTCCTGCTGAACCGCATCACTACCAGAAAGCGTGTAATTAAGATGACGTCCATTGATCAGCCACTGAACAGCAAAATACTGCTTATTACAGGAGGCGCATCGGGTATGTTTACCAGTATGGATGGATGGAGAATGTGCAGTTGATGTTTCCAGGAATCGGTCTCTGTGTGACGAAGCAAGCGCATGATCTCGGCGCGCGCGTTCTTGTTGCGGATCTCAGAACAACACCCGACTTCGATACCTTTGCCGCGAACAAGTCAAACATACTCTATGTGCAGTCTGACGTGACGCGATGGGCAGACTTCGACAAGATCTTTAACGCATGCGAAAAAGAATGGAACGACGTTCCTGATGGGTACGCCATCTGCGCGGGACTGTTCGATCCGCAGTTCTCCAACTTCTGGCAAGACCCAGAAGAGGAAGGGTACAAGCAGGTCGAGGTCAATGTGAATCACCCTATCAAGTTGACAAGGCTCGCTATCAGAAAAAGCTTAGGGAAGGGGAAGAGGGCCAGTGTTTGTATCATTGTAAGTAATGCCAGCATATCGACGTTTGCTCAAAAGAGCAGGGTATGATTGATCACAACATGTCTAACACGAAATCAGGCATCAGTTGCCGGCTTATCAGGCAACATGGCAGCACCACTCTATTGTGCAACAAAACACGCTGTGGTCGGATTTGTCAAGTCTATGGGAGCGACAGAAGTGCTCACTGGTGTGAAGATTACGACACTTTGTCCTGGCGCCGTCTATACGCCGATGATGGATGAGGCAAAGCGCAAACAATATTCCGTGACTACCGACACGGCATTGACGCCAGATGCATGTGCGAGTTCTCTGCTAGACCTACTACAGAAGAAGGAGTATCCGTGTGGAAGTGTACTTGAAATCACTCAGGTAGGGACGCGACTTATACCGGAGTGGGGTGTGGAGCCGCCGGCTGGTAAGGGTTCGGGGCAGGACCTAGATGAGAATTTCATGACGAACATGCTGCAGCCTATCAAAGAAAGGTTAGATGCGGAGAAGGCAAAGGCTTGAGGATATATATTTGGAAGGGTTTAGATGGATTACGTATAGGAAGAAACACCATTTATAAACCGTGGTAAGCTCTCAACCGAACTTTCGCTACCAAGTTGGAACAAGCCCACACAAGTGAGGTGTGTAAGGCGAGTATTGCGACCACCAGATGTCCTTCAGTCAATCAGATCATCCGAATAAGTACATCGGCTAGGATGTCCCGTTTCCACCCTTCATACCCTCAGCGCACTTGCCTTCTCACATCAGGCAGAACTGTCTAACACTTGGGCATTAACGGCTCGCAGTCTACCACCAGCTTGCTTTCAAGTTTTCCCTAATCTCTATCGTCAAGTCCTTTGCCAATTTCCTCCTTGGCCTTCTCCATCTCCAGAGCCTTATCCATCGCGCGAATCATATCGTCGAGAAAGGCACACGCAACGCCCTCTGGGCAATCTTCAACCATGGATCGCTTCTTTGCCTCGGGCTCCTCGGACTTTGCGAAATCATGTGTGTGCATCCATTTTTTGGGAATGGGAGCAGTGAGAACTTCATTTTCGGCTTCGGTGACGACCCTGGCGATGGGGCCGAGAGCCCCAAGACTGCTTGGGATGTAGGGGCGGGCGACAGGGAACATGGGAAGGGCGATGCCCAGAGAGATGGAAAGAGAGAGGACGAAGGCTTTGGCGTACATCTTGATGTTTGTGGTAGAGAAGCTTTTGCTTGATTTGATGTTTGGTATTGGTATTGTGGTAGTGGATGATAAGTCGTATTCTTGAGCTGTTCTGACTTGCAAGATACGAAATCTGTAGATGATGAGGATACAGAAAGAGGGTGATATGATGCAGGGCATTATATATGCTGAGAAAGTGCTCATATTTCAAGGGAAATTGGTACCGTAGTCAAGATGTGGATGAGACCCACGATGCTTGCACGATACAACACATCGCTGATCCAACTCACATGTGGCAGAAGCACCAAGATATCGATGTTATAAATGCACTCCGACTAACAGTTATAAGATATTCGCGTCATATTACTATCATGAGAACTTCTAACAGATTCTTGACCTATGTAGTCTTCCAATTTCTACGACTTCGCGCTCCCCCTGAATCTCTGCTTGAAGTATCCTTCAAATGATGTAGACAGAGTCTCTTCGAACATACTGTCGTTTGTCAGGCTCACCGGTTTCACAATATTGCCTTTACCATGCCTACCGTTCAACGAGTACCAAAAGCCCACTGGTGACGCGCTTTCGATGCGTTCATTAGGCGCCTTGTTTGGGTCGACCCAGACCTTATGCATCGCATCATCGCCCTGCATTTCTAGGCCGGCCAGTTTTCCAGTGTACATGCGCAGCAATCCAGTATTTCTAACACGCGATATCGTATTGCTGATATAGCTGAGGTATTGACCATCGCGCTTTTCGAACTTCAGTAGAGTAGCCACTAGGAAGTCCGCAGTCACCGAGGCGCATACTATTTGCTTCCACGTTTTGATCGCGAATAACATGGGTGACATCATCTTTCAAAAGGTTTGGGGTCGGTTCCAGGAACACACTATATTCTTGTGATCTTGGTTGTGGGTGTCGCTGCAGCCAATCATCATGAAGCTCATCTTGCCGGATTAGATGGCTGAGTGGATGGCGAACCATTGGCCATGATGTCGTATTTATGTGTATAGACGAAAGTACTGAGATAACAAGCAAATGCATTGGGCTCTCAAGCTTGAGGCTGAATGGATATGTTCCATACGGTCTTTGATTTGTGATGTATTTGGTGGAACCCAGACTCGGATAATTAGAAGCCCGTGTCCGCTATCGCGTCTTGGATTGTGGCTTGCGCTTCCAATTCAGAACCACTCAACGTGCTCACATACACATCCCGCATTCGAATTCTTTCCCTAGCTCCGAAAGGTCCGCCTCTTCCGCACCAAGGGTCTTGGTGATGACGTTGTCTGGTTGAGCAGGCTATGTGCCTGCTGGGAGAAATGTGATCGCATTGAGTTTCTGACCTCGTCGGTTGAAAGGCTTCAGTCCATGAAGAATGCGCTTGTCAATCTGCTGTGGTCAGTAGACTTATTGCTACGGGATGGATCGTACATGTGCACTCATGAGTTTGCGCTGAGAGCAATTGGCTTGAGCGGCGCAGCAAGCAAGGTCGCGGTTAGCTGCATGACTTCTAATTATGTAAAATTTTTAAGTGTTTCCAATTTCGCTAATCTTCTAACTACTTTCGTCTTTCCAATGCTTGAGGTGGCTTCTTTGGAGATGCCATCGGGTATGACGCAATCGTGACTCGCATCATTATGATGGCTATACAGGGGTGATGCAGAGCCCGCGAGCAATGAGGCTCCATTCTTACACCTCGAATACTTTCAATCCTTTGTTGGTAAACGTACAAAGAAGCTCAATGCGGCGTTTGTGGGTCATGGCCCTTGGTATCTCCGCCACTACCCATCAACCTAGCCACTCCCAGACCCTCATTGTACACTGAATACACTTTGCGCACGAATAACCCCAGTTCTCTGGAGAAACGATACCGGATCAAAAAAGCGCGATAACGGTATTTGTTGTTTCATACATCGACGGTACGTGAGTTCACTAGCCGTCTGCGAACACAATCCCACCGACACGACTGTTGAACTCTCTCTTCCACAAGGGCATCATTGATCGCGACAGTGGATGCTCGTCGTCATATCCAAACACCTCGAATACGACATCATGATTCGCAGCGATGGCGCTCGCACTGATTGACCCGTATTGTCGTATGATAGCCGTGCGCAAGTTGAGCAGCTTGTCCTTGCGCCGCACTACAATATTCTTGAATAGAGCCCTCAAGGACTCCTCAGATGGTTGTGGAAAGTTCGTGTTGACATGCAACTCCTCCATGCTGTCCGGAAGCATGTCGCCCATACACGGGATGTCAATGTGTCCCCACGTCCTTGAACCGTGCGGAACGTGCGCATCGCGGCCTTGTCGCTGTCCGCTTTCCAGAGGTGGACCACAGAAGCATTCAACATCGACCTCCAACTTCTTCAGCTTCGTGAAACGCAGAAAAGAGGAAAGACCATTCACAACCTCGCCATGCAGCTCATCGATGGTGATGGCAAGCTCAACAATGGTATCGCTATTGTAGTTTGCCAGCGCCTCAAGCATCTCGCCAGCATTCCAATCATGTTCAAGACCGTCCCATTTCGTTTGGTGGGAATATTTGAAGACTTCAAGAGCTGGTGTATTTTCTAGGAAGGCTGAAAGACCGGTAGCGTCCATACAGCAATACGCGAACTCAACGCGGGTCAGCGGGGATTTGGTAAGTGGATTCATCCAAGTGAAAGGCACACCTCCCCAATCCTCGTCGACAGCCACACAACTAACAGCATAAATATTTCTGATGCTTTTTAGTGCCATGAACGGCGCGATGCATTGTAAGCCAACTCTGACATCGTAGCCTTCCTCCACGAACGGTAAGATGGTTTCTAGTCGAGCCAAGGGCTTTGCGCGGTTCTCATTCCTATTGGACATGGCAACGAGTGATTGAACATTGGGGACCAGAGCTTCGGCACTTTCGCCTTCTCGAACCTCATGCCACCTATCAGGCAGTTGCAGTGTTTTCAGGTTGGGTAGAAGACTCAACAAAGCCACAGTCGCATATAGTTTGTCCATGTTCGATTGGTCGCCTGCACGGTCTTCTTCCAGGATGCGGCTCCACCAATCGTCCTCATCGGCATCGGCGTAATACTCGGCATGTCGCAGCAAGTCTTTGATACTTTGCATTGCTTGCTCATCTTCGCGGAAACTGGGTACACCGATATCGTCCGGCATCTCGTCGTCTGCACGGCGATCCCAGAGGGAGAGTGTTTCAATATACTCAGCAATGATAGGATCGCGGGCAATATCGTGTATAATTGACAATGTGTCGCCGCGACGAGTCCGAGTCATGTTAGTGGTGTGGTTCCAGGTCCTCCGTAAGGCATTGTGCTGACGAACTTGGTTTGCAGCCCGCCCATATACAGTCTTGCATGAGAGCACAAAACTTTCGAGACCACCAGGTGCGGTGCGATCAATGATCAAGTCGAGAATCTCTGGTGGAAGATCGAGGAGGCCCATGGTTGTATCCTTTGCGGCACCGCCGGCGCCGGGTTGACGAAAGATAAGAGGGGTAGCCGGGACTTTTGATAGGCAAACAAAAAAGCGACACACGTGTGGCTTTAGATGCGGATGTTGTAGTTGACGTATGCTACCGTGAGTCAGGCACACGCTGAACGGAAGCTACTGGGGTCGGCTCTCGAACAATTGCGCATGAACGAAATCTAGAATTGCAAGAGCTCAGGGTCTGGGTGATATTGAGAAGCGGCAAAGAAGGTTCGAAGGCATGTTAGAGAACGGCAGTCGTTCATTGGTCTCGGTGGCAAAGCCCTTCTTGTCGTTGTCTGAACTCTGTGGTGGGGTAAGCTAGATACCCTTTGAGGCTAGTCTGTGCAAAAAAAGACGACTACTTCTCCCAGCACATGGAACCTCGCTAAGATGATACTAGCATGGATTTTTGCGTTTGACATCACGTTGCACTGATATCGAGATATGCATGGTACGATTAGTAAGTGCAGCGGACCCGAATACTTGTCCCTCCCGTCTCTCGAAGAGCTCAGAAACGATAGCATACCTGGGAAGGATATGCGCGGAATGTTACGGAAGAGTTCAAGAAGAGAAATGTCAAAGCTGGGTCTCGCAAAAAGCTGCATACGGAGACCTCGAGCTGTTTCTTCCTTTATCAAGGTTTTGAGCATTGCTTTCGTGGGGTGCAAACTCCATACCGGTTCTTTTATCATGCCAGGGATGTGCATTGATATTCCACCGATCAGGACAGCCATTCTTAGTCCCGATGAACTCTTACAACTCGGAGCCTAGTCCTGAAAGCTAGTGTCCAATGCAGACAGGTAATTGAAGGCATGTCGACAATGCTTAGGCCAGAAAGGTTAGGTGTTCACTGACTTCAACGTCATGTGGCCTGTGGAACTAGGGCGCGGTATTTCGCTCTGCGAAAGCATGAAAGGGTTATCAACAGACTGAACAGGAACCGATCACCAGAGATATCGCCGATGTCGGCAACACCTCATGCACGAGGTATACGTCGAGAGAGTGAACGTCACTGCGTATAACGTACCATAGTAGAATTGCGACGACAGAAAATCTACAGATCGCTGCGCCAGCAACCCCTAAAAAAAATGACTTGCATATACGTGTCCCTAGCGGACACGGGTCATGTAAAGTGCACAAAATCGTACCGATATAGGAATGGTGCGGTCGGAACCGCGATGACGCTCCAGTCCAATCATCGCGCTCGTGATAGTTGGCTGTACAATAGGTAACGCAATATCACACGACAGGAACAAGATTTCGAACAAAGCTCGATAAATCGTACTTGAGCGCGTTTGATCAAACATTCCACAACCACTGCATGGAATGCGGGCGGCCGCTGTGCATACCCCGGTCAATCTAATCCTCGGGATATCCTCCGTCCATCTCGGTATCAGGATGCAGCACGGCCCAAAGTGCCAGATATACCCGATGACTTTTCCTACCCAATCTGCAATAAGATGGACATGGCAAGATCCAAACCCCTAGGTCTCTGGGTTGCGAAATAAGACTGGATTGCGCAATCATTACGGTACCATATATCAAAAAGCTTCTCAGCAGAATATGAAGGGACCTCGTGATACAATTGCATACTGAAGAGCGCAGCTACATCGGCAAATTTTCACTCCGATGCATAGTAAGTCAGAGTAATCATCCGGCTAAGCCTCATAGCACATCCTCAGAGGTTCGCATTCGAAAAACCGATCTCCTTGCAACTCCCTTTCCACTTCGTTTTACTCTTGTAGTCGACCATGTTTTATCTCGCGTTGTTTCCCATGTTCCTTCTACAGTTTTGTAGGTATGCAATGATTTGAGACTTCAGTCGGGCAATATAGCGTCGGGTAGTAAGACCGAGCTTGCGACCCTGTCGGTAAGTCGCGACGTGGCCTCGCCCCGCCACTGCTGAAGACGCCACTGTTCGGCCCTGGTCTACAGCATCATCATCGCGTCCTGCCAGCCTGAGCTTCTCGAAATCTTCCAATGGCTGCGGGTCTACATTGTGAAGCAAAACTGTAGCAGACTTGGGCGATGCCTCATCTACCCAAAAATCTTCCTCAGCGGTGCGTGGTAAAGGCCCGTGATAAGGATAAATATTGCAGCAGCCAGCGACGTCTGGGCGACTGGGCCGGCGGTGGCGCTTGAAAGTCCGCTCGATCTGCTCGCCAACAGACAAGGGCGTGTAGTATGAAGATGCTTCTGTGAGTTCTGTCGAAGACGGCAATGTTGACCGAGACTCATCGAGAGATGTTGCACCCGAGCGGGATTGAGGAAGCGACGGCTGTACGCCCGTGCAAGAGTTGAGGTTCGGCAAATGCGTCTCTTCGATGTCATTTGGTCGTAGATTGTGGTGCTCGCGCGACAACCTCCGTGGTCGAATGCCAGGCTTGCAGAGTACGCAAGGCTCGATACCATACGGCTCGCAGTAAGTACCGGATAGGGACATATGCTGGCTTTTCCCATGCTCAGTGCTGGAATCACCAAGTCCTGTAACCTGCTTCCTTGTGGGATATGTTCTGGTGTCGAAATGGCTCTACCAACGAAAAGGTGAGCATATCTCTGAGTCCTTGACATGTATTAACAACATCACCAGCCAAACGATCTTCCCATACCCCTTGTCTGCGTGGATAGTAGTCACCGTACGCCAAAGCGTCGTCATCATGCTCGTGTCCATGCGCGACAAACAGCTGCTCTTTCGCAGGTCGCTTCACGGAAGTCTCTGTCGATGATATGCGAGAAAATGCTGGGAAGGCATTGTGTGCGCCTTCGGAAGAATCCCTGGTATTCCTTGGGCTGTATTCAACTTCATCGCTGCTGTCATCGTCATGGATTACCCCTTCTTTATGGAAGGTGGGTTTCGGTGCGCGTCGATGGATGTCATATTGGAACTTGGTCTTCCCTGTTCGCTTCTCGTCGATGTATCCAGGAAACTCATCGACTGCCTTTTGTGGCCGACCACGCCTGTTCATACAAAACTTTTGAATCTCTGCAGGAGTAAAGAAGTCAGATGGTAACAATCGCCCGAATTCTCGGCCCAACTTTCCGACTGCTTTCTGTGACTCTTTGACTTGTTTGTCGCTGCCAAAGATGCGTGTGAAGGTTATACCAGCGATGATCCGATCTGCAAAGCCGAGATACACTTGAGTATCTATGAGACCTGGGCGATGTAAAGCTTCATTTAAAGAATCAGGAGCGTTCGTTGTCACGATGACGATATGGCCTTCTCGTGATCCAGGTCCATCTAACGTATTAAAAAGACCACTTAGAGTGACCTCTGTCCTTGAGGGTTGGGAAAGCGACGTATTCATCTTTTTTGGATCCGCCTTTTTAACTTTGACCTTACTAGGCTCCGTGTCCCAAGTGTCAGTAGATTCCGATTCCGAGCTCGTTTCATCGCCTTCGTCACCAACGTCAGTCTTCGGCACCATTGTGCGCTCACGTACAATACCTGCGGCATCAATATTTTCAGAGAAGCTGACGCAACGGGGTGGCAAGTTTTTGACTTTGTCCTGCAGGACCGTGTCGTCCATGCCAGCTAAATCGATGACACAAAGTGGAAAATTGTAGTGGCTCGCAATCGCCGTAGACAAATTTGTCTTACAAGTACCGGCTGGCCCATAAAACATGTAACCTCTTCGGTATAGTGTTCCATTTTGCCAATAGTAATCCTCTGTTCCCTCACCCAAGAAGACCTGAAGATCCGTCAAAAGCTCCTGTTTCTTCCGCGGATCCATATCGATCGTCTCCAATCTACGCTTCCTAGAAGTGTTATTCACAGTGTATCTAGCTGAGACGCGTATGATCTTTAACAACGTCATCTGGGCGTTAGTGATTTCGCGAACATCCCGTAGCAAGGCTTCGATAGGCTTCCTACTCTCCCACATACATCGTGACGTAAGCTTTTCTTCATAGTGCCTGGCGTCCGGTTTGTATAGCAAGAAGGGCACACCTCCATGGAAGAAAGTAGGGTAGCCTGCAGAAGCGATGAGCTAGTAGCTATTACTCTCATCAGTATCGGCAGTTTTTGTCTCGTTTGACAAATCTTTCCATTCCAAGTGTTCAAAACTAGGAAGCCAGGCAAACAGGTGATTGGAAGGCTACTTGTTGATCCATATCAAAAGGTCAGTGACAAGCGCATCCTGATGATCGAGCTCGACAGAATTCGTGAGATTTGAGCTCAGCCATTTGCATGTTGCGCTGCCATATTTGTGGGTGGGGACGCATAAAGCAATGGCCCAGACCAAGAACTTCAAGTCTAGGCCCGTGTTGCTATCGATCCACATTCGAATGACCTTGAATAGCGGCTTCTCCATGCTGCTCGCGATTGACGTATCCAAAACGGTCTCAAGGAAATTACTTTGTCGCTTCGCTATACGGCCCTTGGTTTGCCGCCACGAGTCCACTCGGCGATCGTCGTCGTGTGAGCTATAATCACTCATTGTTGGACTGGATGAAAGCGACTGAAGCCCGAGGCTAATGGACGTTACAGGGAGGGACGGGTAGAGAATGCCGTCTGGTTTAAAGGAGTGCTGTGATTTGAGCGATGGATTCCAGATTCTGTGATCGTGGTTTTGAAGCAGAGAGTCGCTGCAGTCAATATACGACCAAGGTGCTGTAGAAAATGTAGAAAAAGGAGAGTCTATCAAAGGTCAGTCGCGAAGGCTACAGTGTATCATGCTCTGTCTCCGCACGCTGCACAGAACCCTGCGTTGATAGTCGCGGAAATTTGGGCACATCCACCTGGAATCCATCGTCTATGCAGAGCAGCTTCTGCCCGCTCGGACTGCAAGTGACTGGATTTTGTAGACTAGATAGTCATCGCTAGCTCGTTCAGAGACAAACCATGACGAGTAAGTAATCAGTTCGAGTCGTCTGAACATGATCATATTTCTCAATAGAGAAAAAAAAATGGTGCTTCTAGTCGTGGGTAGATATCAGACAATAACCCAGAGCTGGATGGAGTTTCCAACGCGTGTCTAATGAGACGCGTGTGTAGCAAAGTCGAAAATAATGGTGCGATCGCAATTGCGGTATTTCGTGGAGGCATATTCGGGAAATACAGGTAATCATTAGATGATTGGCTCGCCTGAGTTCAAGAATATCGAGATGCAGGTTGTCAGCCGAGGCTGAGAGCCTTATGACGGCATCCACCGGACCAGTCTACTTGGCAGTCAGCTAGCTTCCAGCTGAGGCTGAACGCTTTATGGTGGTATCCTCCGCGACCGTCTACGTGGCAGTCAGTCAGTACTGAGACACTCTCGACAGCACGATATATCTATACCATCTACCACGTTCATGAGTCAGATCAGGACGTGATATCGCCATACGCTCTCTCTACTACCTCACAGTCCTGGAAAATCGCGGGCCTTATCTAGTCCCACGTATATCCTGGCCGGTCTTACAAGACAAGAATACACCATCTTTAAGACTATCTGGATCCTGAGAGTGACTCTTCATCAGCATGCTCTACGAGTACGAAACGTTACCGAGTGCTCGATCCATCCGGATCTTAACGCTTTGTCCCGCCGAACAGCATACCGATGCCATCGAATGTATGATCGAGACAATAGAGCTTGAAGAAGCCTCATACGATGCTCTATCTTACAGCTGGGGCATGAATGAAGACGGCGACTCTTCACAGGACTACGAAATATTCATTCACGGTAATCGGAAATGGGTTACTAGGAATCTATTCGAGGGATTAGAGAGAATCAGAGTCTGTGATAAACCTATACGTATCTGGATCGACGCCGTTTGCATCAATCAGCAAGATAATGTTGAGAGATCCGTCCAGGTCGCCATGATGGCAGATATCTATGCTCGAGCCGAGAAAGTCCTTGTCTGGCTTGGAAACGGTACTGAAGAGAAGGAAGAGCAAGTTACGCTGGATCTGTTCAAGCGTATGAAGAAGCGCACGGAACAGGTAGAGCCGTGGAAGGAACCAAACTTGCCAGATCGAAACTGCTTCGTTCTTCCTCTCCTTAGCGAGGACTCCTTGCTCTGTTCTGGCTGTGTAGCATACCAGCAGAGTGAATCTAGCGGTGGTGATCTCAATGAATATGACGCACATGTCAACTGGTTGAAAGGGTGTTTCAGATCCAATGATTTCCTTAAGCAAACCGCTGTAGATATGACCAATATGGCCATAAAATTCTTCTCCAGGCGGTACTGGAAGCGCCGGTGGATACTTCAGGAACTGTTTCTCTCCAATACACATTACTGGTACTGGGGCCAGCACGTTCTGGATACCTCAAAATTTCCTGAAAATTGGATCGCCGACCTTGTTGATGCAATCTGGCGAGTTGGGCATGGGCTTGAGGAAACATCAACGGATATTACTGGACTAGCCAGCGACGACTCCTTCGGCACCCGAACACTGGGGCTCTCAAAATTGTGCAACTCTCGAAACCACGACATCATGGAAGAATCAACTTGGGAATGGTTGTTGAGATTCTTTTACTCATCAGAGTGCTCTGAACCCAAAGACATGTATTATGCATTGGCGAGCATGGCCATACCCAAAATCCACATTGATTACTCGTTAACGATTGCCCAAGTCTTTCAGCAATTCGCCGAGACCATGCTGGACAATGGCGCATGGATATGGTTGTTCTATTGGGCTGCAGAAACCCCGAACAACCAGGAATCGTTAAGGATGCCATCGTGGGTTCCGGATCCACGCTTGGTACGTTATCATTTTGCAGCATACGACCTCAAACCTCCTATGGGTATACAGATATCTCAAAGGAACTCCTTAGTCTGCGACGTTCGCTGCCTAGGGGTCTTACGGACGCACGAAGAGGTCAATGTCGACCCTGACACCCAAAGGGGGATGCATGGTTTCCACGCTGTGTGGGATGATCTCTTCCGGCAGGTCTGCAGCTCACGTGAACCATCAGATGAGATCTCGGAGGTTATTTGGCCTGGTCCTCTAAAGCTTCGGATCCGCCTTGATAAGGCACATTCTGGTGATATACTTTGCTCGTGCTTAGAGAAGCTGACATGGAGCGATGTATGGATAATCCTGCGTCGCAAGGACGAGACGACTCAAACATACGAGCTTGTTGGGGCGCAAGAATCACTTTTTGCACTCTTAAAATCGATACCCGACGAACAGCATAAGCAAAGTTTTTCCAGATGCCCCAGAATCAAGGTGCGGATTGTTTGAACAAACCGCCTACCCGAGAGGACGACCTACCCTGGGCTGAACATGAAGAACGCGCTACTGTAGCGCGTTAGCGCACCCCACCAGCCATTCCACCTGGCACGAAACGCATTAGTCCAACAGCGCCAACATCGCCAATCGACAGCGACCCGCGATGAAGGCGATATTCCGAGTTGCGCATATCCTGCTGGTACTCTCACTTTCCTCCCTACTGATCTATAGCGTTTACTACGCGTTCGCTCTATTGCGGCAAGATCAGCAACAGCTTTCGAAGCTATCGCATCCCCAGGCGGTCAGCGACGAAGGCGGCGCCGAAGACGTCACCGACGACGATGGACTGCGGAAACCGTCACCACAGGAAATAGTACGTCTGTCCTAGTCACAAGGCAGTCTAAACACAAGAATATTGATCACATACAGGCTCATTCTATGAACACAATGTGGGATTACCTAGACGACTGGGACGAAGATCATTGCATCAACGTCTGTGAGGCATCGTGGATCGCCTGCCAATTGCGGAACTGCGGACATTTACCGTACGTCAGACAGCAAGAGCTTTGATTGTCCGCACTACATCGCAGAGTACATCAATAACGGCCGTGTGGGGTTGCGTGGAATCGGGAGATGGGTGTTTAATGCCGCGATGCCCCACTGTCATTGTCAATATGGTTAAGAGCTAGACTTGATTTATCAGATTACCAGCAGCACTCCAAATGCTACCATTCGTCCAAGATATCCAGGAACGCAGGAACCTCTTTCACGGAACCGGGTGAATAGCCCATGAACATCCTGAACCTCAGGAGGCTTAAAGGAGCGAGAAAACCCTCGCCGCGGTTCACTTCTACCAGTGGTCGGCAGTGCAATCACTCCAACCAACATGACCTTCCTAGTTCTCGCTCTCGCGACCATGGCCCCGTCTGCGATGGCCTTTGAGTGCACACGCGAACATCTGCAAAGTACAGCAGACTCGTACGTCGACCTAATGGCAACAGGCCAGCACGACCGATTCGAGAATCTCGCCTACTCAATGGAGTACTTTGAGAACAACCAGACGGCCTCGATCCTCGGCGGCGTACCAGCCCTCGGACTGACCATTGACTTCCACCGCTCAATCCTCGACACAACGCAATGCAAGACCATGACCGAGCTCATCATCACCGACCCCACACATCCATATGTCATTCACACCCAAATGACCCTAGATACCGAAGGCAACGTAAACCTCATCGACAGCATCGTCACCGGCCAAGGCGACTGGGCCTTCAACGCAACAGGCTACCAATACTGGAACAGCCAAGAATCCTGGCTTCCCATCCCGCCAGCCGCACGCGACACGTACAAGGTGGTCAAAGCAGCGGGGGAAGCCTATGCAGACCGCTGCAACGACATTACCGTGCAGGTCCCCTGGGGTGTACCCTGCACCCGCCTCGAAGGCGGTGCGTATACGGGTTACAAAAACCTTTCGGCAAACACGTGCGATCAGGTGCCGGCACATGTCCCCATGACAAATCGCAAGTATGTTGTGGATGAGGCGATGGGTGTTGTGGATGTTTTTATGGGTATATTCACACGGCGAGTGCGTGTTTTGTTGATGGTTGTGGGATGAATGGTACTGGTGTGTATTGCATCTGTGGAGCGTGTGATCGAGCGGTGCGCTGACATATTGGTAGATCCGGGGATTGGAGGGAGGTCGTTGCGTCGCCGGCAGATGAAATTTGAGTGATGGGGGGAGGAAATGGCGTTGTGGGCTTTTGTTGCGCCTGATTTCTGGGTCAGGTAGGACGGTGGAATAGGAAACGAGGCGGGCTCGGGGTCGAAGATTGTCTATTGAAAATGAATGGGGCGACTTGTAGGAAGATACTTTGAGGCTATATACAGGAGTTTTGTTAAGGGTATAATGGCACGAATTTCGCTGTATGTTTTTAGGGTAAGTTTGCCAGTTGGGGTATCACTTTAGGCAATACAAGCTTTTTATGCGTCCAAGACTCATAGTTACAACTAACAGTGAGATCCTCGGATAAGTGAAAACAGCATAACCTCTTCAATCACCCCTATCACGTAGCGCTCTACCACACGCGACAAAATGTCACAACTATCCACAGACTCTCGAGCCATTTCCTGAACCAACACCAATATGTACGGCAACTACTTCTTCCACGACACCAAGAACCAACATCCTTCACACCACGACCGAATTCCTCCTCGACCTACTATTCTCGCTCACCCAACCCACAGCCCTCTCAAACCCATTCTCCCCCCTCCGGAAATCCCTCACCGCCTGCTGCACCTCCTCCCTACTCGTAACCACAAACGGGCCGTACTGAACAATCGGCTGGTCCAGCGGCAAACCCGCAACCAGGATGAAGTTTGCAGCCACTTTTGCATCCGCGCTGACGCTGATGAATACGCTGTCCCCCTCTTGTTCAAAGACGGCCATGTGGAATTGTCCGATTGATCGCGACGGAGATTTGGCGTCGCTGCCGTTAGACACTTGAATAACGCCCTCGAGGACATAGGCAAAGGCGTTCCAAGTCCGCGGTAAAGACTGGTGCAAGGAACCGCCTGGTTGCACGGTGAAGTGCAGGTACCAAACTGGAGTGTAGGAGAGTTCCTTTTTGCTTTCGACACCAAATGCTAGGCCACTTATAACTTTTACATGGACTCTGTAAAGACGGGGGAAGAAACGGGCACCTCGTCAGTTATTGCACATCTTTAATCACTTCTCTCTCTCTCTCTCTCCTTACTTTCTGAACAGAATGTGGAAGAACTTACCTGCCGCCATCTTCCACCGCTTCAGGAATCTCCTTGGCCTTGAGATCTCGATACCTCGGCTCGCAGTACTTTAATTCTTTGGGCAAGTCAACCCACAACTGCATGCCTACATTGGGTTCCCCGTTGTCGTTGTGGATGGGTATCTCGCTGTGCATGATGCCCCTCCCCGCAGTCATGAATTGCAAGTCTCCAGCCTCGAGCGTGCCTCTGTTGCCCGCGAAGTCTTCGTGGTCGACGCCGCCGGAAATGATGTAGGAGATTGTTTCTTGGCCCTGCGGAAAGTAAGTGATGGATTGTTAGCAGTAACAACACGACGATGTATGTTGGCTTTGGGGAAAAAAGAAAGAAAAAAGAGGCAAGGCAAGTGCAAGGGTAAAAGAGATGGTATTGTTTACGCGATGGGGATGGTCGGGTGCACTGGCATCCCTGTCGTTTCCAAAGGTACTGTTGAAGTGATCTAGCATGATAAAAGGGCTCAGGTGAGGTAATCTGGATAGGCCGATTCCGCGGCGTACGCGCATTCCGACACCCTCTTCCACTTCGGCGGCGAGGAAAGATTTGGAGATTTTGCGTGGAGTGTTTGTGGTGTAGGTTTCATCCGGGATAACGGGTAGGCCGCGGAACATTGTCGTACTAGAGTTGCTGCTCATGTTTCTGGCAGAGCGATGGGTCCTGCTGGAGGATGGTGCCGTCTCTTTTTTGAAAGATTGTGCGATGCGTGAGAACATGAGGCTGTTGTTATGGAGGGTTGATGCGGTGATGCTGACCCAGTCGATGATATCTCAAACAGAGAGTACGATATCGACATTATGTATCCGAGTATCGTGGTCATGTTTGGGATGTTGGTAAGCAGAGCGGTGTTCGTAGTGCCGAATTGCACAGTCGTGGTTGATAGAGCAAGTACCAATCGTGTGTAATGCGCTCGGATGGTACAGCAGCCGTGTGACAAACAGCCTTGTAGAGGGCGGAATTATCAGCGCAAGTTCCGCGCGCTACCGGGACGAGACGCTCGTCAAGCCGAGAGAGTGCACAGGCTACGCATCTTGCAACAAGACGTTTGCAAACAGAATAGGAGAAGCGCGGCGACAGACAAGGTGTACGAACGCACATTGGGCAGATGTGAGGAAGACCATGTGCCAAGTGAATGCTGGGTCCGATTTACTATCACTACTTTGATCTCATGGATCATAAGTTTACTATATACCTGCAAGTGAGCATTACTACAATCATTTTCCCATACGTTACAAGGTTGGAGGCTCATGTCGCTTTACATCAAACGCATCATGCGGTACACGTCCGTCGCCATTGCAAATCCTCCGCTTTCATACTGAGTGTCGTCGCTTCCAATGCCGCTACTCGAACGCCAAGTGCTAGGGAAACGCCATATTATGGTACAGAGAAGAAGAGAAACAAGTAGATGCAGTGCAAGAAAACAGAGTACGGTAGAAGCAAGGGGGTATTCTGGGGGTATCCATGGTGCGACGGCTGAGAGAGGTCGCACGTAAGAATGTGGGTGTGTTGCGACGAGTTTGATCGGGGGAACGAGGCGCGACCGGAGAGCTATCGGCTAGTCTCTGCTCACCTGTACATGTTAGCACCTCTGTCTTCTCGTCTAATAGCATCCCAAGACTTACCGGTATCCCCGGCCTCCGCGGGTGCCTCTCCTCTCGCGGTAGTCCTCGTGTTCTTCAATGACCTCGACGACATCATCGCCCGGTACACGATGCCGTCCCTCGACGATGATGCTCCTCGCTCTTGGCGCCGATTGCCTCCTCTCCTCGACAATAATCTGCGACCGCCCACTATTCCGTCTTGGGCTCCTGCTAATCTCGCGCACTTCAGACCGGCGTCGCGAGCTGCGTCCGCCATGTGAATTGCGTCGCCTTTTCACTACAATCTCTTCCTCTCCCGCCATGGCCGTCGTCGTGCCCGTCCTATTGTTGGTGTTCATCAGCGACTGAATGAGCCAGCAGATGAGGAGGAAGCCGGCCACGCTGCCTAGGACTATGCCGACGACGGTGCCTGGCTCCGGGCCGGAGAGGTTGTAGTAGGTGGGTATTATGCCTTGCTGGGTGTATATGACGTTCTGTCGCTTGGCCATGGGCGCTGTCTTGGGCGCAGCGAAGACAATGGCTGGGACGTCTAGAGCAGGCTGTCGGGGCGCCATGTTCGCAATGGCACTGTAGTGGTCGCGTACGGCCGGCATGGCAAAGGCAGTCGGGTATGCGACACTGGCCGCGAGAATGCGCGCTCTGGCAGCGATGTGGTGGCGGTGGTGTTGAGGATTTGGCGTGTTTGGGTGGGCGTCGTCTGGGGGAACAGCAGTTCCTGGCCTGAGACCGACGATGCCGGCGCTAGTTGTGGGGGTGCAGGGCAGATCAATCTTGTGTGGGCGCGCAGCACAACACAAGACAATGCTGAGGGAGGGGAGATAGATCAGGAAATGCAATTGCAGGATGCCGAGAATCCGTCAAAGGTAAAAGAGGAAAAGGGAAAGCAGGGCACGCTTGCGTGAGATTTGACACAGCGGTGCGCTGGTTGACTACGACGCCATGATGCAATTATTCATCGCAATATGGGGGCTGGGGCCCAATAATAGGAGGCTGAACCCTCAACACCACTTCCCGCACCGCCCAACATCACGACGTGACATACCCGGCGGATCCCGCAGACACGGCTCTATTACTGATCAAAGCATATCCCAATCAGTACCATTGTCTTTCCTATCGCCATCGCCGTCGTCATGTCAGTAAAAGCCATCCGCAACGCTCCGCGGGAGGCGCAACGCCTGAACTTGGACATCATCTTGACCTCGCAGGAACAACCTTGCTTTGCACACTGGACAGGCCGGACCGCGTGTACTCTACCCGCCAATTCTTGTTTTCCTCTCTCGCTCGTTATTGCTTCTGGGGCCGCATCACCCTGCAGCAGATCCTGACTTTCCGCACATGCCTCCCGGCCAATTGCGACGGCTTTACGCGCCGAAGCCATACAGCGCTTGCAACGTTGTCGCGCCCTCACGTGAGGGCTTTGGTGGACGTTTCTGCCTTGGTGATTTTCTCAGTCGCTCGTCCACGCTAATAATTGCAGTGCATCTCTCCATAGTGGCGAAGTTCATACGCGAAATCTTTTGAGTGCTTGCATGGAGGCTGCGTCCACACTTATGTGGTGACTCTACCAGGCTGTGAGTATCAGTGGTGAACCTTAGATGGGGTAGAAGCTGCATTTCCACGACTCCAGTTTTAGGAGGCACGCTTTAGCCTCAAACACTCATTCATCTTGCGCATACATTGCGCCGGATATTCTGCGTTACGGCTCTACGCGCCGATGCCGTACAGCTTGTCGCGCCCTCACGTGGCCCACGTAGGCAGGCAGTCACAACCACAACACCACGAAACCCACGATAGCGGCTTCCAGCATATACCAATTCTTCCGTTCACAACGACGCTTTATCTTAATGGTCGAAAGCTTGCACTCGCGGTGCGCACCTTGTCTTCATGCAATATAGGACAAGATGCGCACTGCAAGCATAGGCAAAACAAGTGCAATCATAACATCTCGCTAGCATCTACCCTATAAACAGCTAACTGACCGGTACGCTACTTGAAGTTGGCTGAGCAGGCAGAGAGCCTTGCCACCGGCAGGATCGTTGATCGGCTTGCAAAGGTGGCTGCCATGCAGACCTGATTGGTGTCCGGCGCTGAATACTTCGTACAGTAAGACGACCAATCACCCATGCCGAACAAACCAGCCATAGGCGTCTCCTCCACCCACCTTATCTTATACGCGAGGCCAAGTCTCTATGAGGCGCTGCAAGTAATACGCCATGTGGTTAAATCGCCGGATCCGGGTCTCAGCTGATTTAATCTAGGGTCTGACATGCAGTTGTAAATACGGGGTGCGGCTTGCGCTGATCCAGCCGACTTAGTACTTGAGATTATGAGTCCTGTACGATGCCAAATATTCTCCTGATGCACTGTATGATCCTTTCAAATTGTGTTCACTGTCCCTACACATCGTCAGTATTCTAAGATGTCTGAATCATCCCTTCAACATACCAATGGTGCAACCAAACTTCTGCTAAGCGATGACCACCAAGCTGGTTCTCAAGAGAATGGGCATCCAGGTGTCGACACAGAGGGCACCGCCACTTCTCTAAGTAAGCTTGTGGTGACTCTTGATCAGCCACCTACAGATCTGAGATTGTCTACCGAGACAGCGGATGAGCTGACTCCCGTGGACGTTGAATCGCACGATCTTGACGATAGCGGCTACATATCGGACGAAAGTTGTAACTACGATTCTGCACAAGAGGACTTCGTGCCAGGAGAATTTGCACGAGAAGACCTTGCACGAGAAGACCTTGCACGAGAAGACATTGCACCGGTCATCGAACCAACCATCAAAATTCTGGACAGATATCATTTCCATGAGCAGCCATCGGAAGGAAACAGCGTTCATCTTATCGAAGTTTTGCAGGTCCTCCCAGACGACGGAGAAAATACTCTACCATATAGTCGTCGTATGCAGTTACCGTTCGGAACCTTTCCGGACAGAGCAGCAGCGAAGCCGAGCCGAGTTAGAATACGTTCTGCGCGTTTGACAGCACTTCTTGATCTCATTGCGGAGAAAAGTTGTGGAATGCACCGCACATGGGATTTGCGAAAGACGGAAAAATTGAAGGATGCTGCGAAACTTCCAGGAAGCACCTCAGTCGTTTATCTGTATCCATTCAAACTCTTCGTTCTGTTCGAGCAGGATATAAGGAAATTCGCGCAATGGTTGCGAGACGAACGACCCGAACATCCTGAGTTCAGCCAGTTTCCAGAGGTTTTCTGGACACCTGCCACACTGGAAGAGCTTCTCATATTGATCGATCTTTTCGATGTCCAGCTGTCGAGCGTCTTCCAGCGGCGCCGTAATCTCCTCGGGGAAGGAGGCTTTCAGGACAGCAGTAACGCTATGATAGAATTTGCAGATTTGTGGCTTCTGTATGAGCCCGGACAATTAGTCTATATGCGCCAGTCTGCTGATACTGTTCGACCACGAAGCCCACCACAGCTCTGGCAGGTCTTGCAATACTCGGGTGCTAGGAAAGTGTTGAACAGCGAGTCGAATATGAACTTGAATGATGCCTACAGTGACACTGCAGGAGCAGGGAGCAAGGACAAGATGAACCGATTCGTCCTCAAGGGCTTTACCTACGATACTGACGAACAATCCGGCACTTGTGTACCCATAGAACAAACGTTGAACATACCACATTGGAGTGGGTTCAGGGAAATTCGGAGTTTGTTTGCCTTTCCCGTGGCATTCTGCCGGCCCAACTTTGAATTTCCAGACGCATCGGGTGAAAAGTATCTGGAACGCCTCAGTTTGGAAGGTCAGCGGATGTGCGAACTAAAGCAGGGCATGATCAAAAGCTATAAAGGCCCTGGTATCGACGAGTATGGGACTCTATGGCAGGTAAGATCTATACTTGGGCAACGTTCTTGACAACAGGGCTGACTTGTAGATTGGAGTACGATTCTGAAGTCATAATCGATTCGGAACGAGCCCGCCAAGATGCTCCGGAGCTTTTCGGCAATGGCAGATTAGGCATATCTACTCTAGGCATGTTGTCACCCTTCTCAGAGGGAGCCTCAACCATTTCGCACAGCATATCTCTGGAGATTGGGGACACTAGGGAAGTGGAAGAGGACTACTGGATGACTTCAGGTGATTCAATGATTGACAACATACACGACGACATCACGATGGAATGGCAATACTTCAAGCATATTGGTGATACCAAAAAGCTAGCAACAGTAGCCCGGGAGCTCTCCAGTTTCGACGTCAAGAAGGACCTCAAATCGCTCGTGATACTCCCTAGACTTGTGTGTGGCTTTGTCCTATCGGCAAGAACTTGGGCCAATCTCGATATCGGAGGTCTGGACAATCACCGTTTCAAGAAAGAATTATGGGATGAAGTCATGCTTCAAGACGGGCATAAGCATTTGCTCCTTGCTGCAGTGCAGAAATCCGCAAAAATCGATACCACGAAGCGTCTACCTATTCATGGTAAAGGTCTGGGTACTCTTATTTTGCTCCAAGGACATCCAGGTACCGGAAAAACATTCACAGCTGAGGCATTGGCTGCCAGAACTGAGAGAGCCTTATACCCGATCACACCTGGAGAGCTCGGGAGTGAAGTTGCAGTTCTAGAAAGAAACCTAGATCGTATCTTTCAACGTGGAAGGAGGTGGGATTGTATTTTGCTGATGGACGAGGGTGACGTCTACCTGACTGCGAGATCTCGACAACCGGACGGTACGAACGATCGGAATAGAGTGGTCGGTGTGTTCTTGCGTCATCTCGAAGACTACCCTGGTATCATAATTATAACCACGAACTGGGCTGAGCAACTCGATAGAGCTGTCAGAGATCGAGTAACTTTGCCCTTGCCATATCGGCCTCTGAACCGAAACGCCATCACTGAAATCTGGAAACGCTACAGTCTCATGACAGATCAATTCCTTGGTGACAGACCTAAAGAACAGCGACCTCACGTTGAAATCGCGGAGAATACCAGGGAATGGGCGGTGAAACAGTACAACTTATCCACAAGCACAACGTCAGGCACGTCAAAAGACACAAAAGACACAAAAGAACCTTTGGGAGAAAGTCCATGGACAAGTGGCAGACAAATCCGAACAGCTTTTCGCTTGGCTATATTCATCGCGATGCAAGACAGAGTGCGCCAGAAGCACCATCACCTCGTGATCGAGGAGGGAAAGAAGCCGGAAAAAGACAGGGAAACGATTCTTGAGCCGAGACTGGCAGAAGGCGATTGGATTACAGTTGAAATAAGACACTTTGAACAGGTGTTTGAGCTGTTCGGTGCATTTGCCAAAGGACTTAAGGACGGAAAAAAACAGCCCGAACGTGATGAAAATATATCGTACGACCGCCAGGACCTCACTTAGCGCAACCCTCACAATCCAGCGTTCTTCAGCGCCATCATGTGGCAATCTCCATAGCTACGTCAATATATCATGCTGTTCATCACAATTACCTTCGTTGCTCACGACGTTGTTCAAATAACTCTGAGCGGACATTGCAATTTTGATCACCCGAATATCGATGCCGACTTGTTTAGTGGAACAAAAACAGTTTTGGAGATTGCACCTGCACGACCGATGACGGAACTCATGTTTACATATATAGAATTGAAACATGTCGCAACTAATCGAAAGCCCACTTCATGCCAAACTCAGCCTCAGAACACTCGGCTTCACGGTCGCCTCCAGCCGGTACCTCGTTACACAGAATATCATCTATTCCAAAATCCCATCCTTGGCGATCAGCCACGATTAAGAACAACTTGAAACCCAATCGATTGTTTTCCCTGTCATCTTTAACGACGTCATATAATGGCATGATCAACTGCCTGATATCGAGGCTACGTGCATTTGATCCGTCAATGAACAACACGACTTTGTGCGTGGACTGCAATTGCCGAAGGCGAGATACCAGCTGGCTTACGGCTTGTTCAGTTGTCGTAGCCAGGTTATTCGAAGCCGTCTCACTTGAAAGCTGCCTAAGCAGGTCTTGTGCTACTTGTAACACGTTGTATTTGGCTTGACAGAAGTGATATAGCTTAGTGATATCCGTTGATGCTGGCTCATCATAAGTGACAATACTAGCCATGAGGTAAGAAAGCACATCCTCATTGCGCTCGAACCATAAGGAATCGTACGCTACAAGGACGGCCGATGTTTTCGACGAAGCCCAGGATTCCAACTCAGAGGATTCTGTGAGAGCGACGATGCGGTTCCAGTCTTTGTTGGTGAAGTCATCGGAGTCGTCCTCTAGCTTCTTCAATCTGTATTTAGTACTGCCCACTAAGTAACCATCTAGATTGACAGAGCAAGATGAAAGGGGATGTTCCGATGGGTCATTTTCCGTCTTTATGATGGGTGTAGATGGAGACGACGAAGCAGTGCGACGCGAGTCTATCCGAGTCCCGATCGGATCAGGATTGGGAGGAGCTGGGATGGGTTCTCTAGGTATTGACGCCATTGCGTCGCACAACTTCTCATCTGGGCTTGGAGGAGTAGAACCATACTGTCGCATAAAATCAGGCCAAGATTTTGTTGCTTGCAAGATAACATTGATGATGGGCTTGATGAGACCTATCCGACGTCCGTCAGAATCTATTCACTGTCGCTCTTAAACTTCTTCCTTTTTCTTACTATGATTGTTAAAAGTGGCTCCGCCTTGAAGTCCTTGGATATAATTTCCATCACCATTGTTTATCTGACTGCTTGCATGGCCACTTGTTGCGACATTATGACCACTGCCGGTGTGTTGCTGATTCACACCCCCAGTTCCCTCATCAGGAAGGGATGGTTCCATGTCCACCATTTCCTGAATTGCCGCTTGAAGATCCTTCAGCTGATCCTCGGTCGCGTTGCTCATCAACTTCAACTTGACTAATGCATCGATGTTTTTCAACATCTCTGCCATGAGTTCCTCGACTTTCTTCCCTTTGCCGCCGACTATAGCTCGGGCAGCCTTCTTGTACCGGTCAAAGGATGTATCATTCTCCTCTCGTATGACCTCTTTGAAGAGATCACGGATGTTTTTAGCTTGGGTTTCGCATTGTTTCACGGCCTCATCCACTTCGCGATAGACGGAATCATCAAGCCTCTGCTTGCTCCTCAAGTTCTCTTCCGTGAGCTTCAGAAGAGTGACAGCGAGTGGGAATCTTCCATTGACTTGTTTGAAAGCCTTCGGTAGGCCTCTGGTGTCCTTGGCAGCATCGTAAACATTCTTAGCTTCTTTGACGATTGTAATCACGGACGATACAATGCCAAGAACGAGCCCGACTTCTGCTCCGGACATTGTACGATCAAACTTGCTATATAGACTTGTGAGTAATGACGTGACCGGACTTGGCATCAGGACTTACACAATGTACAATGCTTTCTTGAAGTAAACGTGGGGAGATTGAGGTTGAGATCCAAGGCTGATACTATAAGTGAGGTACAGTTTCTTATACATGCATTTTCCGCATCCAGCCTGATGATGAGCCTTACGTTGTGTGGCTGGCTGAATTGATGCTTTGGTCGCTGACTGCATTCCTGGAGACTGCTTGGAAAGGCGGGTCTAGCAACTATTGGCCTAGCAAACTGCAAGATTACCGTCTCGTTGCATGTCAGATTTAGATACCTACAGGTTGATAGGCTCGTTTCTGCGGGCAGAGTGCTTACTCTTAGAACGTGAGAAAGGCTGAAATGACAGATCCTGGTAGGGTGCATCGGAGCGCCATGTTCATGCACCACAGCTTTCTCGTATTGCATTAGAAATCTGGTGCGGAGGACTCGATGTTAAAGGCTTGCGAAGCCTGGCTAAACAAGACATGGTATAGATCTACGTTTGTCTACAACCCAAAGGAATTTGATTGGGAGGTAGAACGGCTTTCACACGACCTACGCGGCTCGCGCCGCCTGCGATGGCGGGGCAAAGGACGTGAACTGGGCTCTTAGAGAGGCCAACCATTTCCATCGCAGCAGTTTTATCTTGTTCTATGTATATGTCGGCATCACATCCACAAGCCCCTTCACTGCAGGCTTAGGCGAACCGGACTCCCTTGACTACCCCAGCTCTACGTGAAGAACTGCAGCCGCCGCGAAACCTGCGCGATATGCTTCAGATGCAGTGAATGTGACTACAAGCCTCGTATTCGGCTGGCGAATAGCTATTGGTGTTCGTTTTGGCCCGCAGCGGCAGCGAGGGGCGCGTCAACACGGTCGCGAGCCAAGCGACATGTCATCGGACGATCGTAAGTTCGTGGCAGAGGGGCTGGGCGGGACGATGTGCCAGACTTGGAAAGGCAAAGATTAGTGCTATTACGCGTCAGCGAGTTTTTCCAGTGCAGTGTGCTTGACGAGTGACAGATTTTGGTTGCTTGTAGGTGCTAAACCATCTGCCATAACGCACCAGGAACGCGGCCCGCGCGAGAAATGCCCCACCTCTCAGACACAGCCACCACTGGCTCCACCGCCTCGCCGAAGCCTGGTGCACCAAGGCGCAAACACCAGCTCCTGGCAAGCACTATTGAAACCTTCCTGATCCCCATCACTGCGAGTTTATGCAGAGGTCTTGTTGGTAAAGACTGGCATCTGAAATTGGCTGCTGCGCTCACTCACCCCTGTATAACCACATCCGGCGACGAGGTAGGCCAGAGTGTGTCCTGAATTAGTCCATCTACTGGGGATCAGCTTCTCCGTCTACCGACACTTCCTTTCTGAATCAATGCGACGCTTTATGCTGTCGTCTGCGCCTCAATGCGGAGATCTGATCGGTCAAGATGGACATCTGCGATTAGCCACTGGATTCACGCATCCCTGCGTGACATTAGCATAGCCTCACCCACAATGCAGCCTAGTGTCAGTAACTACAGCTTCTACCGGCAATCAGGTTCTACATCTCTCGTCGCTCTCCACCCCCATCCCCTGGAGATCTTTGACAAGCGTTCAACTCAACGTTATCGTCGTTGCTGTCCAAAAAATCATTCACGCCTCCTTGCGCACTTCATCCGCTCTCTACTCCAGAAAGCGATCTTCGAATTAGAACCACCGCAGACTCACTGCGCCGGCCCGTCTGTGTATGAGAACGAACATGGAAAGAGACTCGCATCGTACGTTCCGCGAGATCCATGGGAGTAAAGAGAACCTGGTCTCCAGCGTAAAAGATATCCTGGAAAAAGCTCTAGTGGAAGTTGTGGAGGATGATGCGCCTTTGAACCTACGGTTCATCACACCTTATCAAATAACCACCGGCTGGCCGACAGATGAGAACTGTTCCGACTATGCCCTTACCTTGCCAGGTGAACTCCCACCTGGTCAAGAGTACATATCTGTCTCGTACACCTGGGCCCATTCGCAAGAGATAGATGCATCGAAGCCTATATCAGATTATCGTATCAAGGATCGAGCCACTCCAGATGCGCCATTCAGATCAATCAACTGCCCCACTATGATATTCCACCGTGCATGGTGTTTCGCGCGAGCACACAAAATTCCCTACATCTGGATCGACCAAGAGTGCATATACCAGGGAAACGCAGAAGATAAGCAAAGGCACCTGCAGATCATGGACAAGATATACAAGAGAAGTAAATGGACCGTTGCCGTCTTGTCGACAGAACTCCCCGACACCATGCTCAGCGCCCTAGCGCTGATTCTGCAATACAGCCATCAGCGATTGTCATGCCCAAATTTTGGAGATTGGCCAGGTGGTATTGATATCCGGCCGCTTTACGATGAGTTCAAGAAGAACGCTGTCAAGATATTGTCCTCCCTATATTCCGATCGATGGTTCACACGCGCCTGGACATTCCAGGAAAGGCGTTGTGCTTCAGCATGCGTATTGCTAGCTCCAGTTGGGAACAAGAGCGATGCGGTCGCACAGTTGTCTTTAGACTGGATTGGAAGCGATGTCAGCTTCTCATTTCGCCATATATTCATATTAATGAATCCCCCCAATGTATGTACTCAGTATCATGCTGACAATGTGCATGAGGTTTTGGTGGAATCCTTCTATCACGGGGGGGACCTGTCAGGACGTTCAGCAAACTGGCTGCTATTTAGGGCGATGGAGAGATGTGACAGCCTGATCTGCTCAGATAGGCTCACAATATTTGCAAATGTTTGTAGCTTCCGCTACAAGCTGAACTCCACAGTATTGAACGACGCAAAGTACAGCTACAGTACTTGTATGCTTGCGCTTATAATGGCGAATGAAGTCGAGGATAAACTTACTGTTGATTCAACGGAGACTTCTAGGTCAGATGTGGATTTAGACCAGAATTTCGAATGGTATTTGGGCCGCAAGCAATGGTCTTTGGACGCCAAGCGAGCTAAATAGATACCTGACTAGTCTTTCTAGCAATAACTGCTTCTACTATATGTATTCTTTGTCGAGCGTAATTACGTTTCCCTCCATGACTTGTGGTACATCCCGCGGCCCATTACCTGATTCCAATGCCAAATACGATGTCTATCTCCGGGATTGTCATCGACTACAACACCTTACATGCAGGTACCCACCCTCGCCTCGAAGCATCTAGTAGCATACGCGACATTGTACATCAGAACCACGCAACTCTTGAAAGACAATTAATCTTGGTTTGGCGGACAAAGTGCTGCCCGTCACGAATGTGCTCTGGCTTGGGTCAGCTCGTGGACCTCACGGAGCTGCGACTAGGGTTATTCCGCGTCTTTGGCAGTGCGATCGAAGTCCTCTTGTTTAGTGATCGATTGTCCCTCTGGTTCTGACTTCACAACGTTCGAGTAAGATCCAATCAGGCTCTGCTCCTGCCGAGTGAAGAGCTCGTTATGGTCAAGATGGTGTAGGATTGCGGATCGAACGAAGCCAAGATTGGTTGGCTGCACGTTATCCCGCTTTGTCCGAGTGATGATTATCTCCAAAATCGCCTCGCTAGATAGATCCATACGCGCTAATCTCATCTCACGTGAATATCGTAAGCCAGCCAAGCGCGCAAGCGACGGCGCCGAGCCTTGTGCAACGGACAAGCATAGTGGCTATCTACCGTGGCTTCCAGTACCTCGTCGCAACTAAACCGCGAAGACCGACGTCGCCGCCTCGTGCAGTATCTCCGGTCGAAATGAAACCGAAAGGTGGGAGTGATACGTTCCCGTTCTGCTGGATACAGTCTTGACGAGTCGTGATTCGGATGTAAGCGTGCAGGCCAAGCCAGAATCTCCGAGTCTCGAACCCCACGAACCAGGGTGGCCTGATAGCTGGCACCAAAACCTTGATCTTGCATGATATAGCATCTGTGGATGTCTCTATCATTTGGTGTATAGCCGCCCAGATCCGGTTCTTCCAGAATGAGCAGACGAGCATATCGCCATGTCTCCATCTGACGCTAGCCTGGAACTCCACACTATCGATTTCAGTACCTGGACCTTTAGCAACAAGAGAGAAATCTACGACAGAGTCGTCGCTCAGGTCTGCGGTGCTGCGCGCCAGTATGGCTTCTTCCACGTTCACGGCCACGGCATCCCCGTTAGCCTACCACACGGTCTAGTAAGCGAATGACAGCGCCGTCGACCGAGACAGTCACTCTTTTATTGAGGTGACCGACAGAGGAGAAACCTGGGTTTGCTTCCTTTAGGGGTCATTCGTGTCCGGATCTCCGGAATTTCCTTCAATTATCAGCTTGGTTTTCGGTTGGCTGCTAATCCCGTCTGGGTGTGGCGTAGTTTGTACACCAATCAAGTTGCACATTAGGCGCAACCGACCCCATGGGGAGCCATCCCCGCATCTTGGCTCTCGTGGCGGTCTCGTGGCTGTCTTCGCCCTCGCTGGGCGTGACTATGTTACCTGCTTGTTCGATTGATTCCAAGAAATTTCGGGCCAGTGGTGGCCGAGGGTGCCAACATATAGAAACCTAATACTCACACCCCTTGTACGGATCAGCACTCTTCCTCTCCCTTCTTTCCTCCTCACCAACATCGCCTGGTGGACTCGCGCACCGCGAATCTTCTACCCATCGCATCAGTCCTCTGGTGTAGTTGACCGGACTACGGCCTCAGTTCCCTTTGGCTGAGATCGCAATGGCTACGGTGCAGGATTCCGCCAAGATGGAGTCGGTGCCACGGCCAGACTCTTTCGATGCGGGCGTTCACTCGACGCAGCAGCAGCTCGTCGAGGCTGCGGCCGCCGCCTCTGAGTCGGAGACCAAGCTGCCACGTGGGGAGCTCTTCAAGCGCTACCGGCCCGCCGCCATCTATTCCGGTCTCTTATCCATGGCTCTGGTCATGGAGGGGATGGATGTCGGTCTCATCAACAACTTCTTTGCCCATCCCGCCTACCGTCGGAGGTTCGGTAACACTTACAACGTCGACGGCGACCTGGTTGTGTCGACACAATGGCAAACGATCATCGGCGCCGGTAACAACGTTGGATCGATCATCGGTCTCCTGATCAATGGTTATCTACAGTCTCGCTACGGTTCTCGCAGGGTGTACTTGGTAGGTCTCCTCTTGACAATGATATCTGGAAACCCGCTGATCATCTTCTCCTTTAGGGCGCGATGGTCCTCATGGCAGCCACCATTTTCATTCTCTTCTTCTCAACAAGTGTAGAAATGCTTCTTGTCGGTAACATCTTGTGCGGTATCCCATGGGGTATCTTCCAAACCCTTACCACCGCCTACGCCGCTGAAATCGCTCCCACCGCCATGCGTGGCTACCTTACTGCCTGGGTATCCATGTGCTGGGGTGCTGGCTCGTTCTTGGCCGCAGGTGTGCTCAAAGGCACTATCACCATTGAAAGCGACGCCGGCTGGAAGATCCCCTACGGTCTCCAGTGGATGTGGATCCCACCTCTTTTCCTTGTCGCGTGGTTCGCCCCCGAGTCACCATGGTACCTGATTCGCCGTGGCAAGATTGAAGAATGCGAGAAGAGCCTGCGCCGTCTGGCCCGCCCAGGACACTACACCGAGCAATCGATGCGCGAGACTCTTGCCCTCATGAAGCACACCAATGAGATGGAAAAGATGGAAGCCGAGAACGCTAGCTATGCTGACTGTTTCCGCGGCGAGAACAAGCGCCGTACGCTCATTGTCTCCATGGCCTGGATCATCCAGATTTTCAATGGCCAGTCCATCACCAACTATGCGGCACAGATGCTTCGCGCTATCGGTATGAGCGCCACCAACGCCTTCAGCTACACTATGGGTATCCAGTCAGTCAACATCTTCGCCACCGCGATCGCTATCTGGATGATGGGCTGGGTTGGCCGCCGTACCTTCTACCTCTACGGCTCCGCGTCCATCGGCCTCTGCATGCTTATCGTTGGCATCATGGGTTTCGCCGTGGATTCCGCCACGGACGTTGCCATCCCCGTCGCCGTCTTCCTCATCTTCGTCCAGATCGCTTTCAAGATCTCTCTCGGCCCGACCACCTATGTCATTGTCGGTGAGATGGCCTCGTCCCGTGTTCGTGCTCAGACCATCGTCATCGGTCGTTCCCTCTACGTCTGTGGCCAGATTGCTGTGCAGCAGCTCAACCCTCGCATGCTCAACAACGATCCCACTGCATGGAACTGGGGCGCGAAGACTGGCATGTTCTACTTTGGCTTTTGCTTGATCTGGGTGATCTGGATCTTCTTCTTCCTTCCTGAGACCAAGGATAGATCCTTTGCTGAGATTGACTACCTCTTCAAGAAGAAGACGCCCGCCCGCAAGTTCCGCACTGCTGCCATCGACTGTAAGTTCCTGTGTCACCTTCCTTACCACTTTGGCTTCTCGATAACTAACTCGTTTTCTTAGTATTTGAGTTCACGCCAGAGGACAAGCTGCAAGAGGATATTGGTGAGAAGAGTGCGATACAGACTTCGCAGAGAGAAGTTGTGTAGCCAGCGCGACGCTAGCTGGCGCTCTTTGACATGATGGTCTATGAGTCGTATTTGTAGGGATACAATACCTGTGCAATGATATTATTAATTCGTTCGCTGTCAAACTGCGTCAAGGTATCGTGAATTAGGCCTCGGCTCGTAATCTGGTGATGTGATTAGCCTTGCGTGATGTAACGACTGGAATGACCTGGCCAGTCGTCAACGACACAGAGATTCATCGATTGGATAATCCATCCTAAGGCTTTCATACTCGAGACCAAACTTATGCTCAGCCTTGTCACATGCGAAGTGCGTGGAGAGTTCACGAATACGAACGAGAAAGAGAAACTCGCAATGTGGATATCTGGTTGGTGGAGATCTGCATGAAAATCATTCCGTCATCAGTCAGGTGATTGAACGCTAATCCCGAAACGCGTAAGACGCGTCGCCTACGCGGTTTCATCTGCCTTCTCGTCTACGTTCTGTCCCCCCGCTTAAGCGGTTTCATGTAGTCATCCCAGTTGACCCTCTCACGCACCTCAGGATGCTCCTCCAACCAATCCTCCACATCACCCTCATCAACTACCAGTCCTGGATGCTCCTTCATCGCATCTACAAGCACATCTCTAATTCCTGTGTCGTCGTCCGGCGTAGATGTGAAAGCCTCTTCCAACGCATCAGCTAGATCCAAGCCCTTGTACTGCCAATACACATGCAGAATGTCTACCACCCCCTGTCGTGCATAGACCTTCAGATCGTCCATGTCGAAGTAGTCGGCGACGGTGTAGACATGCACGTGAAGGAGAAGATGAGAAGCGGACAACGACTTGCCAGCACAAGGACATTTGCGCTTGAAGATCTGCGGGCCTTTATTAGGACCATGGAAGAGAGCGAAGGTGCTGTGGTTGCAGTAGTCTGTCGATGGTATTGGTGTGCCTTCGAGAAACTGGTAGGTTGATGTGTACATAAAGTCAAGGACATGCTTCATGGTGATGGCGTCGACGTCGGGGATTTCTACTTCCTTGTCGTTGCTCTCCTGGGATGAGTTAGCATCGTTCAGCCGTCGATTCGGTTGATCATATGTACGCTGCCGTGGAAACGAAACATGCGCGCAAAGTATGGTGAGGAGGCTTCGAGAACGCCTTTGTGCGTTGCGAATCGCTGGCCCTCGCAGATGACTGTGAAATCTGTTGTTTCGTAATTCAGTATGGGTGTGATTTCCTTTGTTTTTGGCTTGGAAGGCGTCGGCGGCGTATGCCCTGCATCGATGGTCTGAGTCGCTTTGACATGTGGTGTAGTAGGGACGACTTTGACGTCCCCAGGTGTTTGAGTGGCAGGCTCCATGTTCAGCGCAAGTTGGACCAGAATCGGCTGTTAGATAAAATCAGTATTGAGACTGGTAGATTGTGATTGTGAAGATCACGAGGACGGAAACAACCCTGGAAATTTGTCAAGATGTTATTCTGGTCGTGATAAGTGTTTGCGCTATTCACTGTCGCCTAAAGCGGAAGAGGAGTCGCTACCACGGCCGTCTTGGTTCTCAACTCCACGCGTTGATAGCGACGATATTTCCTTGGTGATCACTAGAGCGCCTGTGATGGGTTAAAAGTGGTCATATGTGTGGATAATCATGTAGGTAGAGATGACATGCCTAGGCAATCATGCGGTGATGAAAAGATCGTCCCGGTTCCGGTCAGCTTTGCAGGGATGAGGACCGTGTTGAGCGTCGATCCCGCACATACCGGTACATGCGTGATTGGTAGGGGTTGCAATGGCTCTGAAGCGTTATCACTGTTTCAAGTCAAGTGTTTCATATGAAGGAAACCACAGGGTACTATGTGAAGGAAGCGAATGTGCCGAATAATCGAGGCTTGACCCCAGACTACAGCCTGGCGATACGTAGACTAGCGCCAAATCCTGCACGACCAGATGGTTTATTGTTGATAGTATGTTATCATCGATGCAGCTCCAATACACAAGGGTTGTTTAGGAGAGCGTGAGTGGTGACGTCACTGCCTTGCGGACTTATAGCGGGGTTGAGGAATGTCTTGTACGAAGACTGGTAGCTCTACGATACGCACAGATACTACCAGCAGCGTGGTATCTCTCGTCATGTATGGCTTCCATGTGTTTTTACTGCTACAGCTTTCCTTCCTTCTCCCTTCCGCTTTTCACTCACGACTCTCCTTTGACACTCTCACTCACTAATTCACCCTCAAGCCTTCCAACATCATGAAAGAGCAGTGAGGAGAACAGATAGTGCGTAGGCGACTTGATCCTCACAACAGGAATGATAGAGCACATTCAATCCGTTCCTTGCTAAGAGATTCATTGTGTACCTAAAGAAGCTAGAGAGGCCACCATGTCGTCCACCAGAGCACAATGAATTGGCGAGCCCATTCGACTAACCCTCATTCATATAGTAACCAAACCACCCCCTAAATTCTCTCAGAAGCCCTCGATACCCGTCTACCATGCATCCTTTTCACACTTGACGCTCCGATAAAGCCTAGAAAGTCCATCCGCATAAGCATCCCCCTTGCGCGAATCAAGGAAATCGTACGCCTTATGCTCCCCACTCGCGCATCCAGAATCAGCATACCATTTACAATACACGCCAGCATACTGGATCATGGACGCCGGGCCCTGATCTGCAGGAGCAAAGCTGACGCATTGGTGCAGAGCGTTGACGGCGTTGTTGGTGCAGAAGGCGAAGTTGCGTTGGCGGCAGATGGATGTGGAGCCAGGGGAGGTGGACCAGTGATAGAAGGGGTTACCGCGCTTCGCCAGGTTGGAGGGAACGACGGTGGAGGAATCGATGGAGGCGTGTGTGTTGACTGCGCTGACGTCGGCTGTCGAGGTGGCACCGGTGCCGCCACACCATACTCCAGCTAGCTTCACTACACCCCATCCACTAAGCCGTGCATCTTGGGTTGGGTTCGACATGTAGCTAAAGTACAGGTCGCCGTCCATGCAGCCAGGCTTGGTGTAGTATTTGCAGAGTGAGCCCTTGGCTTGCGTGATGACCTTGGCTTGGTAGGCAAAAGGTCCTGGGAAGGCTACACATTGGTTGAGAGTGTGTAGAACGGTGCAGTGTGCTGGGTCAAGACTGGTCCCGTTACAAATATACAGGTCGGCGACTTTGAGGAATGAGGTGCTCAGTGCTGAGACTGAGTGGCCGACTGCCACTTGGATGTCACTTGCTTTGACTTGGGGGAGAAGTTCACTGCGGGTCTGAATGCTCGCGGGTGGGATGTCGATTGACTCCAAGACGGTACACTGTGCTGAGCTGATCTGCTGTACAAGTTCGGTAGGCTGTTTCAAGTCTTTCTCCTCTGGATTCATGGTATGGAAGACGGGAGCACCAGGACACGCGGACTTGCTGTAGAATAAACATTCAGAGCGACCGGACTGCTCAAGGAAGTGGATCGAATCGGGGTACATGGGTGTAGGAAAGTCGACGCAGCCGTTCAATGCGCTGACCACCTTGCGAATGTGTGTATTGCCTAGACCCTCTCCAACCCGAAGCTGACCCCATTCGAGAGTAGGCTCAGGAAAGCGGGCCTGAATACTCGCAGGCGCGACAGATTCGAAGATGGTACACTTTGCCGAGTTGATCTTCTGTGCAAAGTCGCTGCGAATCTTCCAATCCTTCTCCTCGTCATTGAGAGCATCGAGCATAAGAGGTTCAGCACACTCGGCCTCAGCGTAATACTTGCAGATCGTGAGACCAGATTGGTCGAGCGTGCGAGTTGAATTGGGGTACTGGCGCGTGGGGAAATTGACGCAACCGTTTAGTGCGTTGACCACCGCGCGGATCTGTTTATTATGAATATCTTCACCAATGTGAAGCTGACCCCGTTCGAGAGCAGGAAGCTTAGGAATTTGCGAATCTAGAGTGACTAACGACGAAGCCACGACGGACAACGGCGAGTTCACAACCGGGCCCTCGGTGATCACAGAAACATCGCGCTTCTCAAAAGAGTGCTTGCACATTGCGTATTCAATCTGCATGCCCACCTCCAGCTCAGTCGGGTACGACCACTTCGCTTTCCGAGTATCAAGGGTGCGCAAAACATCGCCATCCTGGCAGTCGCGCTGGTAGTAGTCGCAGACGTAGCCTTGCGGCTGCTCGATCCAAGTGACTTGCTTGATCGTTTTGTTGGGAAGCCGGTAGCATTGACCTAGAGCGCTTTCCTCAATAGATGAGACTCGAGTGTCTGCGTACATGTGCGTGGCGTACACGACGTCGGTGATACCTGAATCGTCGGCAGTATCTGGGTCTGTGGCGTATATAATGTCGGCGGCGGCGGCGAATGCATCTTCATCGCGCGCATACATGTCAATAGAGCCGTGAGGCATCTCCGTCTCATCAGGCATGTTCCAGATACCACACTTGACGTGTGTCATCTTCTTGCCAAGGTCCGACGCCATCGGTTCGTCCGAGTAAGCCGCGTCCTTGGGCCTGATCACGACAAGAGGCTTGCGACCAGCTCCGCAGCCGTTGTTCTCGTAAAAGGCACAGATGATGTCGTATCGCAAAGACGTGTATTTTACGTCGCGAGCGACGTGGTTGTTGAGCTTTTTACAACGGTTAGCAAGGCCCTCGTCAATATCCATGCTAGTAGTGCTACTGATGATCTGCGCGATGAGTGGCAGATCTGCCTTGGAGGCAGTGTGGACGGGAATCTTAGAGGACGTATCCTCGTCCCGTACACTGACTTTGGGGAAGCCATAGATTCCACACTTGACGTGTGTGATCTGGCTGCCAACGTCCGATGAGATGGCCTGATCGAGGTATCCGAACATATTGGGTTTGAGGGTGAGGACAGGAACGCCATCGCAGCTGGATGCGAAGAATTGACAGGCAGCAAAGTTATGCTGGGTCGTGTGTGTGACACGACGGCCGACGCGATCGCTGAGCCTGGTGCAGACGTACATGGAGTTCTCCTTGAGCTCGATACTGGTAATGTCGCTGGAGATCCTCGCAAGGAGATACTTCGTCTTGGTCGAGGTGGTGACTTCATTGGTATCCGCCCCGGTGGGCTGATCGATGGTCGTATTGAGAGACACATCTTCGTCGTGGGTCTCAGGCTTAAGCTCACCGGCATCCCTCTTCCACTCGCCCCTTCGACACAATGCGTACTTGAGGTTATTCCCAAACTCTGCGGGTGGCTCAAACCTATGGGGCTTATCAATGGTCCGGGTGATGTACCGTACATTGCCGCTGCACCCGTTGCTGTCGTCGTAGAACTTGCACATCAATCCCGCCTTCTGGACGATGATGGTGACATGATGCGCAACATTTGGAGAAAGCTGCACACACGTATCTATCCACCTGTTTGGAAAAGCGTTGCCGTAGGAATCCTCGGTGCAGATGTTCAGAAAGTGGTTCCTGGAGTCGGGGGTGATGCAATTGGAGACTGGAGAAACGAGTGCTCGGCTTTCGTCGGGCTGAACGAAAGAGTCAAGGTCAGGGGAGGATTCATCCTCACCTCTGGCCTCGATCTCAGCGGCATCTCCCATCTGTTTTTTCCTGCACATTACAAACTCAGCCCGCTTACCGAACGGGGCAGGGATGTCGGTATGGCGGTTAACGATCGCGATCATATACTCGCTATTACAGTGATTACTGCCATCGTAGAAATAGCAGATGATACCGTCTGATTGAGACGTAGTAGTGACTTCATGTTTAACATTGAGACTAAGGGCCGTGCAATGGTTCAGTAAGTTGAGACCCAGAAGGTTGGTGATGCCAGTGGTGTGGCTGCCGCAGACATGAAGAAGCCATTTTTCGGGGTCCAAGATACTGCATTGAGGGGGCGCACCAGGCACAAGCTCGGATTCGACTGTGGGGTGAGAGACGTCGGGGGCGAGCTGGATGGCGGAGGACTGTGGTGTGGGCGCAGCGATGGCAAGACCGACGAGGCCGAGCAAACCAGCGAGGAGATTATGGACTCGCATGACCACTACTGCGGGGATTATTGAATGGTTTCCTAGCTTATTGCGGACGGGCAAGTCACCTACGTTGTTCAATCAGTCGCCGGACCGACCGAAACAGCGGTGGACTGAGTTGGCTATAGTAGCAGCTCTAGAGCTACCGAATAGTCTTGATAGTGGCTTTCACAGCCAAGTTGAGGAAAGAAGTAGAGGAGAGAGAGACAGTAGGTGGAAGAGAAAGGAGCAGGAGAGGAAAATGAGGGAATTGATATAGAGCGACAGCGAGGCCAAAGAGGGCGGTCGATAGGCACGCTCTTACCACGTGAGTGACAAACGGAGTTTCGATCAGTAGGGGAAACAAGATGCGAGTGAAAAGTAAGAGGGGCAGTGAGAAGAGAATGCGTGATGGTCAGTTAGACCCATTCTTTCAACCATGGTATTGCGATGACCCATGACCGACAAGCCACTCTTAACTTCATACTAGTAGCCTGCGTTGGAGCACTGCTCATGGTTTGCGATATCGCAACAGGAACATAGTCTGTGAATGTACCCGACAAATCGAACTCTGAACGAGTGATGTGGAAAAGAACGCAGCAGACAGGAGACAGACAAGAGACGTCCAGCATCACCAAAGTAATGGAAGAAAGGACGATGAACTGATTTCCCTCCTTTCCCTCCTATATTCAAACACAGCCTGCGTCTGCGATATGCCAGATGCTATATAGAACGCCTCTGCGCTACAAGGCTCAGGGGAATCAGCAGAGGAGACATGAGAGAGAGAGAGAGGAACGTCCAACATTCTCCCCTCCGCCTCCCCAGTCCACCAAGCCCCACACATAGCCTCCCTTCTACGGATCAAGATCCCGATTAATATTATACTGTCGATAGCCAAATCCATCCATAGTGACCCAATGGCCCAGGGCCTCCATCTCAGCCCACACCTCAGGATACCTCATCTTAATCCACTCCTCGACCCTGCGCTGCCTCTCGATATTCGCCGTGCAATTGAACCAGCCACCCAGACTAATGTCGTCTTTCGTTAGCAAAAACTCATCCTCGAACCATCCCAAGAAAAATGCAGTTTGGGTGGGAAAAAGGGGAGAGAAAGAAAAAAGAAGAAAAAAAAAACTCACATATCCAAATCCGGTCTCCACCCCCAATCCTCCTCCACACTCTCAACCAACTGCAACGCCTCGTCATGATTATGATTCCTCGCCACAGCACACAAATACGCCGTCCAGATCCTCTTATCAATCTCAACATCCTGCTCCCTCAACCTCTTCCAAATCGCCCTCGCATGCTCACTTCCAGCGTGCGTCCCCTCGGTCGCTCTAAACGCAATTGCCAGACTATTATAACTCGGCCCTTCTCTCGATTCGCAAATCTCGCGCCAAAAGCCGAGTGCTTTCCGGTTCTCGCCCGTCGACGCATATGCCAGCATGAGGGCGTTGCGCAGCTGGGTATCCATTTCAACATTGAGGTCGAGTTTGAGTTGGTTGTGCGCGAGTTCGAGCGACTCGGCGTCCTGGCAGCGCGCGAAGCCGGTGAAGGCTGCAATGTAGACGTCGCGGGTTGCCGTGTGCGTTGGGGAAACGTGGTTGCGCATGTGGAAGAAGACGTGGCATGCCATGTCGGAACGGTTCCGACTGAAGAACTCGTTCATGATGGGAATGCGGACTTCTCGGGGTGTTTCGGGGAAGACGTTGCGTAGGATTTGGTATCCGTCCCAGGCATCTGCTGTGCTGGTTTCGCCGTCGTGGATGAAGACGCGAAGCGCGTCCTGGATGGTAGTCCGCTGTTCGGGGGAGTACTGGTGTGCGTGCACTTGGAGGAGGTCCATGGCGTCATGGATCTCCCCTCTTCGGAGATGGAGGAGGGTAAGTGCTGCGACAGTCTCTGGGTCAAAGTTGGCTTTGCGCTCGTGGAGGTCGTCGACCATGGCCATGAGCTCATCAAAGTGATGTTGTTTCGATACGCAGAGGACGCGGATCAGTTCGTTGATGACTGCAACACTGCGCTTGTCGCCAGAAAAGAAGCCTTGTAGGTTGAAGTAGGCAGCCCTAGCCCCATCGAGGTCTCCAACGGAGATGCGGTATTGCATCTGCATCATATAGGTGGTCTCGTCGGGGTGGATCCCGCGCTTTTCTCCTAGGACAATGTAGCGCTCGGCCATGTACGGGTCTTGTTTCGACATGCAATGCTCTACCAAGGCATTGATAGTTGTAGTGTCTGGCCGTATCACGGGGGTAGTCGGGTCCTTGCGCCGTGCTTCGTCATTCCGGCGTACTAGAACATCCATCATGCGAGCGATTTCGTCTGGGCCTTTGCCAATCGCGACGGACCAGAGGAAGATTGCGTCCCATGAATCTTTGGATGGCATGTCATCTTTGAGCATAGTTGCGATTACCTGCTGACCAAAGGTCAAATCGCCCTCTGCGGCACAAGCCTTGAGCAGTGCAGAGCTGGTGCTGCCCAATGGCTGCGTAGGCTCCTGGTTGAGTTTGGTGTAAACAGGCTGGGCATACCAGTATTTGGCCTTGTCCAGGTCTCTACGCTCAGCGTAGAATGATACAAGTTTGTTTTGAGCGGGTTTAGTCAAGGGAATCGAGGCTTCTTCGAAAGCATCAATAGTCTTGGATACCTCGTTCAAATCGCCCTCGCGGGTGACTCCTCCAAGTATGGTGTGCCAGGCAGCCAGTATGGTATGACGTATCCGAGAACTTGCAGTTGCGTCGTATTTGAACGCTTCCACCGCCATGTCTCTCGCTTCGGTAGTCGCGCCGAACAAAGACAACACTTGGATCTGTTTCCACTTGGTGTACATGTCGAGTGGGATGCCCATGTGTTCCACTTTCTTCTTCTTCTCATCCGCCCCTTTGTCCGACTGCTGCTCCATCAACTTGGCCATTTGATCGACGACAAGCCGGCCGAACATAATGTGCGCATTGCCCAAAACTTCGGGCCGCTTTGAAGTATCCAGCAGTTTCTCCATGACATTCTCAAGATCCTGCCTACTCAACCACGGCTGCCCGTCTTCTCTTGGGTTTCCCAGCAGATATTGAAAGGCTTGATGTGCGCTCGCTACGTGCCAGTCCTCGAAGGTGCCTTTTCTCTGCGCAAAGAAGTCTTTGATTGCATCCGCGACCTCGCTCGGTTTCGGCGGCCTGACGGAGTTCGCCTGCGCATATGACACCTCGGCCATTTTACTCAGTCCAGGCGGAGCCTCTGCAGGCTTGAGCTTTCGACGCTGTTTGAACAGATCTCCAAAGAAGGTCCGCCGCTGGGTTTGTGGGAGCGAGCGGGCGCCGTGCTGCGTGACTACGCGGGGTCGAAGGGCTCGGTAGCGACATCCTCGGTATAGCAGCGGCTCGTTGGCGATGATGTTGCGGAAAACGACGCGGGTCAAGTGCGATGGCATGGCGGCGAAGTTGGCCAGGTGGTGGACAAAAAGTGTGGTGACGTAGTTGTTTGGGTGCAATTGGCGCACCGAGAAAGATTGTATCTACACGAACAGGGTATCCATAGGCGGAGGAATAGTATTTACACGAAGAAGACGAGACGGAAGGAGAGCGCGGGGGGCAAGGTGCAAGTGAGGGGAGCATTGCGGGAAGCTCTTCTCTGCCGTGAAATCATATGGCGCTAAGAAAGTCCAACCTCCGACCACCGAGGCCGCTCCGCATCGCATCCCGAAAAGTCACCACGACGACGGCAAAGGCGACACACCACCTGCCAACATGTCCGTGATGCGATTACCACTTCGGCCCCTACCCTCGCCAGGCAGAACCTGCATGCGCTACTTCTCTTCGGCCTCGAAGAAGCAAGGTGAGCCGACAATCCCTCTATTCCACACACACACACACACAGACATGAATCTAACACCACCCACAGAAGACGTCCTCGACATCCTCAAAACCTCCACCGCCGGCCGCCACCCTTCCAACACCGGTGCCCCATTCCCTCCGAGTTCCCCATCCAAGTCCCCGTCCACGCCCCCTCCCACCTCCGCCTTGTCGCGCTTCGCCCGCGGCGCCGGTCTCGACAGCACCACGCCCTCGCGCGAGCTCGCCGAATCCGAACGCATAGCCCAGTACCAGCGCCAGATATACCGCAAATGGCAGCCCGGCGACGTGTACTCGCCGCACGACCTCAGCGGGACCGAGCAGAAGAAGTGGAAGTACGGGCGCAAGAAGCCGCAGCAAGATGCCTTTGATGTACTGGGCATCAATCCCGTCCTGGAGTACAAGAATTTTACCATGATGTCCGAGTACATGACGGAGATGGGCCGAATAAAGCATTCAAAGGATACGGGCTTACGGCCTAAGAATCAGAGGAAGATTGCCAAGGCGATACGGAGGGCGGTTGGGCTGGGGCTTATGCCTAGTGTGCATAGGCATCCGTTGGTGTTGAAGAAGAGTTCGCCAACCAGGTTCTTGTAAGAGAGGGGTTGATGTATGATAACAAAGGAAATCTCATAGGTATACATGGCAGCATCGCAGTATATCGTTCATCAGAGTTGTGGTACCACGTGCGTTACGAAGAACATGATCTCTTCGGGCTTGAAAAGGAGACGATATGCGCCAGAGACGAGGGAGACGTCCACTTCCTCGGTCCAATCGATAGGACCTGATACTTTGGCAAGAGGAATTAATTCTTCTTTACTTGCTAATCTAGCTAATAACCCGTCTGGTTCTTGCCTTGCTTCTCAATCCACATCTTGATCATCTTCTGCTGCGCACTCACAATCTCCATAGCATGATCGTCATCGTACAAATCATACCACCCGGGACTCTCATGCGGTGGGTCGCCCGCCCACACCATACCAAACTCATTCGCAAGCTGCGTCTCGGGTCTCCAGATACCGCCGTAAGCCCAGGGCGAGGTACCAATGTACGCGCCGCCATTACGAAATTCGTCCATGACGGCGCCAATAATGGTAGTAAAGTAAGCATCTTTATGCGTCGTCGAAGCCGTCGACAGATACGGATACTCTTTATCCTCATTCTCCCAATTATCCCTCGCCATGCCGAATTCCTCAAGGAAAACCGGTTTGCCAATGTCCTTGGCCCACTGGCTCGAATTCTTCATAAAGTCACGCGCAAAATCTTGTGCAGCGACGAGATTGGCGTCGGTGGCGTTGTACATGTCGTACACGCCCCAGTTCTGCACCCAGCAGTGCGTCGTGGCGTAGTCGACGGTGGAAAAGTTGTTCACCCGCTTGAAGTAGTATTCGCCTTGCTTGGCTTCGAGACCCACGCTGATGAGCTGCTTGGGGCCTAGAGACCGGATGTAGGCTGATATGCGGTCGACCCAGGGGAAGAGCAGGTCGTCGGGATTCGGCTCCAGGAAGATGTTGTATGGGCCTGTGTACCCCAGTTCATCACTCGGCTGGGGTTCGTTGGCGAGTTGCCAGGTCATGATGGTCGGATCTTCGGTATATAAACGCCCAGTAATGGTGTTGCGTCGGCTCATGACGGTTTTGATGTGGTCTTTGTACCACGTCTCGGCCTGTGTGTTGTTGTAGATCAAGTTGGCGAAGCGCGTAAAGTTACTGTATGGAGCCGCGTTCACGCCTTCTTCGGTGTAGTTCCCCCATCCCGTTCCAGGTGTTTCGCGCTGCGGTGGTGCGGTCAGGTTCCAGGACTCTGGGTAGGGAATCGCCGTGTTGTTGTTGGCCCAGGAGACGTATTGGGCAAAGCCGCCGCTCCATTGCCATTCGTTGTTCAACGTCATGGTGGCACGCATACCACGTTTTGACATCTCCGCCAGGCAGATGTCGAGGCCTGTGAAGACGTCTTCGTTGTACTGGCCCGGGGCGGACATGAGTGGCGGGTTCATTCTAAAGGGCTGTGGGGTTGGAGCGCCTTCTGACGCGGCCATGATACGCAGGTGGTTTATGCCTTTGGATGCCATTTGGTCGAGCTCTGTGACTAGGCGTGAGTAGTTGCCGCCTGCGGATGGACTTGCGGCGAGATTCATACAAGCCCAGTAGTTGATACCTTGATCATGGTCAGTCTGTGGCTTCAAAAGACCCGAAGACGATGTTACCAGTAAGATAGTATAACCCATCTCCATTGTATAATCGCAGTCCATCCACATAGACAAAGTCGTCGTCTGGAATTGCACTGTCATTACCTCCTTTCGGAAGCACAGAGCCCGCAGCCAGCGAGGCGAACAACACCTGGAGAGCTGCTTTCATCTCGAGAACTCAAAGATGCTAAGAATGCGGCTTGGACACAAGCATACAACAAAGGATTACATCGAAGCTTATATGCCCATCCGCGTAACCCGAGGCTCCGGTCCGACTATGCCAGTACCCGTGAATATCGCCTGCGGTTGACATCATGTGCGGAGGAAGAACGCCCCGACGATGCGGCCTTCTCCATTCGAGTGGAGATCATCGCTCTCTGCTGGAACGAGGTCCATAGGTAAGTTTTTCCGGAAATATGTAAACATACGTAGTGAAGGTAGGGATACTGCTTCCGGTGCGTGGATCCCCGTTGTAGTCTCGGAGTGTGGGTCTCCGTGATGCCTTGGGGATAGTGGGACGAGGAACGCGGATGCGGCTGGGGTTCGTGCAGGTGGCAGTTGCCAAGCTCCGAGTGCCGATGCAGACATGTGAGGGAGCGGTCCGTGCGCGTACGCATCTCGGTAGCTCAGCGAGGCAAGCTTCTTCATCGCGATCTTGGTCGCGGCCCAGGTCAACAGGCACACCACTAATCCACCAACATGGACATGGAAGACGAGGAAAACGACGAGATAGCAGCAGCTATGGGGTTTGCTTCGTTTGGCGGTACGAAGAAACGTAAATTCGACCACTCGCCCAAAGCCAAGCCCGATGCGAATGATGCGAGCGGTGCCAACTCGACTGCACTAGGCGTCCGAACGAAAAAAGTGGCGAGTGCAGAAGATGTCAAGAGTGAGAAACTGCAGGCCCAAAGTAATGCGCTGGGTAGACAAAAGAAGAATCAAACAACAGATGCAGGTCTTGCCAGCTTTCTGGCTCGTGGCCAGAATCTTCCTGAACACCCGCCTCCGACTGCAACTGCCCAAGCTCCGGCAGCTTCAGCCGATCAATCTGCCGGGGAGATGGTGTCTTTTGGCGGTCCTTCAATTTCTCGAACAGAGTTGAATTCGCTGCGCAACGGTGTCAGGACGGAGAATGGAGATACAGCGTACTTCCTGCCCAGCTTTGTTGAAGACCCTTGGGCGAAGTTGAGGAAAGGGGGGAGTTGATGAGTGAGTTTCTGATAGACCTGTATGAGTAGTGTTGGGTACTGACCGCGAAAGGTAGGCGGATGTGAACTGGAGTCTTCATGTTCAACTGCTTAGAAGACTGTCACAGTTGCGCGCTGTAATCGAACATCATCTGGCCCCTATGGACGTGCGCATGTACGGACTTTTGTCTTGCATCATCCTTGATACTTCGCGTCTCCAAGAAGCAGCAAAGGTTTCAACGGCCGATACGCCTTGTATGATTCAGCAATGCATTCACATAGTAACCGCGTGGAAGGACAGCGTCCAGGAGTGGACATTCGCGTCTGTAACGATTAACTGCTAGCATGAATACGAACGCGGAGCAAGTATATTTTGGATCGGAGTTTTCTAACGAACCTAGCGTAAGGCGTAGTTGACATGTGCGCTATCCCTTCTTTCGTTAGCATCAGAACAACTTAGCGTGTCCCTGGAAACCGACCTTCCTACCCCGCAAACTCTCTCTTCATGCTCGTAAAGTTCAAGGAATCGTCAACATGGATAGTGCAGCAGATTTGGATGCTTTCTTTGCCTTTCAGGATCATCAATTCGGCTCAGATCAAACCTTGGACGATGGCACTTTTGCCGGTTTGTCCGAAGCACTGGCAGCTTCTAACGCTGCATCCTCTCAGTATAACGAAAACTGGATGATGGATTCGTCGCTTTTGGATCTATCGAACAACTCTACTGCATCTTCGTCGCCCTTTCCTACGCCAAGCGCTTCAATCTCTAGACCAAAACTTGGCAGCCGCTTCTCTAGAGAAGTTATCCGTACGCTCAAAGATTGGCTTTCTGTTCATCACAAGCACCCTTACCCTACTGAGAGTGAGATGCTGGCACTCCAGGATCGTACGGGATTGAACAAGGCGCAGCTCACGAACTGGTTTGCGAATGCCCGTCGACGTGGCAAAGTACAGAGCGTTCGACCGACTTCGCCGCAAGTAAAGAACTCACCCACCTCTCCCATTGATATCATCCCGAGACCTGGCACACCTGCTATCAAGATGGCATCGAATCACAAAGATCCGATGCAGCGCTGGGTAGAGTCGCCACCAGAACATGAACCTGCGGCTGTTGGCGATATCGCTCGTGCCATGGCTTCCACTTCACGTGAGTCATCTTGTCAACCTTGGGACCACTGCGCTTTGTTCAGTGCAGTGAGAGTTCTTTACTAACTGTGCTCAGGTGAAGATGCTGGAGGTTTTGCATACCATCAGCCATGGCAGTCACCATATGCCATGTCCTCAGCAAGCAGTGCAAGAACGTCCCAATCGAGTGAATTTTCAGGCCATTGCTCATCAGGATCGCAAAACTCTCTTAAAATGCGTCGTGCTCCACGCAAGAAAAGGGTCGCCCGACGCCGACGTCTGGAACCAGAGATCACCCCACCTATCAGCATGCCGTACCAATGCACTTTCTGCACGGAAGTCTTCAAGACCAAATACGACTGGCAGCGTCACGAAAAGTCGCTCCATTTACCACTCGAGCGATGGATCTGCGCACTTCAGGGCCCTCGTACTACTAAGGAGTCGCTCGGAGAGCAGTGTTGTGTCTTTTGCAGCGAGGTTCGGCCTGATGACGCACATATTGAAGCGCACCACTACTCGGCATGCCAGGAGAGAAGTCTACAAGAGCGCACCTTTCACCGCAAAGATCACCTAGTCCAGCACCTCCGCTTAGTGCATGGCGTCGAGTTTTCGGATTGGTCCATGGCCCGCTGGATGCTGCCTATACCTGACGTCAGGTCAAGATGCGGATTCTGTGGCATCACAATGAGTACATGGTCGGAAAGAACCGATCATATCGCTGACCACTTCAAGTCTGGTGTGACAATGGCCAGTTGGCAAGGTGATTGGGGGTTCGACGCGTCTGTTGTACCATTAGTCGAGACCGCTATTCCTCCTGGTACGGTACTTCTCGGCTGGTCTTTGAATATTCTATCAAACTGACGTCGCACTAGATCTCATCGATTGGGAAAGAGGTACTCTTATTCCTATGAAAGGCAGCGATCCATCTTGGGGTACTCCGCCAAACGCATACGAGCTGCTCAAAGTTGAGATTGAGTTCTTCATCCAGCGCTATTTCGACAAGCACGGCCACCTACCGGACAACGATACTATGCAGCTCGAAGCTTGTCGCATCATCTTTGCGGCCGAGACTACTTCGGTCATGCCAGATCGTCTTAACGAGGTTTCATGGCTTCGAGACCTGATGATGTCTTCTCCTGAGTTGACCGAGCGCGCAAGGTTTCAGCCCGTCCGATCCTCCCGCGAGAGCAGGCATTTTCCGCTACGGATAAATGCCAAAGACCATCTATTCGAACAATGCCCTTTGGAGGCGCAACTCCGCAGCTTCGTCACCCAGCGTACTGCAGCGGGGGAGAGTCTTGACGACGTACAACTGTACAACGAAGCATGCCAGATCATTCGACGCATGGAACAAGAGACTAGCACACCATCCGATGTATTTGCGAATTGGATCGTCAAAGGCATCTACTCTGGCACAAATTGGATTCTGCCCTTCAAGCAACGCGCTGCCATCTACGATACCGTCACCATCACCGATTTCCCACCAATAGAAGCCGACTCGAGTCAGTTATTACTCGACTTCTCCTCCTGGCCAAACTCTCCTTACAAAGAAGCTTCAATCTCGGCTCTCGGCACCGCAAGTCCTTCCAAACAGACACACGACTTCTTCACCTCCTCCCTCCCCACTTTCCCAGAAGACACGCCTCCTCCTCCCATGCTGCCTGAATCGACGACGACGACTGCTACGCAGGTAGACATGTACGGTCGCTTGCGCTCTTTGCTACCTGATGATACCAATTTCTACCGCATCTTCGATAGCGATATGAGGCGGTGGGCGGCGTCGACGCTCTCGCCCAAGAATCCGAATTGTCATATTCCGAGCGATGAGGAGATTCAGCATCAGGCGAGGTGGATCATGTATGATGGGGATGATCCGTGGAATCAGACGCCGGCGGATTTTCCGAATTGGTTGTCGAGGTTTAAGAGGGAGGTGGGGATTGCGGGTGGTGGTGCTGGGGGTGGTGCTGGGGAGGCGGGGAAGTTGGGGGGTTTGGTGGGGTAGTGGGTGGGTTGCTGGAGTTGCGTTTACTTCGCAGGGAGCCTTTCGCCTTTGTAGTGTGGTATGTGCTCGTGCACAGTCATGTGGAATCAGGGCTAGCTCTCAGATGTCGTGTCGTCGAGACATACAATGATCACTCTTTGTCATAGAGATTCGAATTTGCTTTCTAGTCATAGAACTAAAGATTCAGTCAGAACCTCACTCGTTCAGACCGATTCCTAGTTGGGTTGATGGTGACCAATTCTCCAGAGCTTCTGCAAGCGCCAAATGGCCATTGATTCTAGCAGTCTCGATGACGGTTGCACCAAATTTGCGGCGCTCGCTTAAGAAGTACGGATAGAGTCGAATGTTCGCCGGGCTGCTGATATGTTCAATGCGCACACCGTTTTGCAGGAGAAAGTCGAGTAGTTTGGTATGGTTCCAGGCGGTGGCCACATGTAGGGTGAAAGGTGTGATAACGGCACCTTGCTCGACCAGGAATCTTACGCCTTCAATGCTCCATCGATGCTCATCCTGCTGAGCTGTCTCTTGACACGCCGTTTCAAGACTTGTATATTCCTCCTCTTGCGAACGTGGTTCGTTGACATCCACGCCGTGCTCTTCGACGAGAAATCTCATTATACGAACACTCTCTTCAGTTCCATACCTGCACCTGGTAGCCGCTGCTTGCAGTGCACTTGAGCCACCTGTCGCCGGACCTGGAAGATGAACATCGGAGCCCAGACGTACGAGTTCAATAACTAAATCAAAGGCATGCCACTGTGCAGCCCGTTGTAATGCAGTTTGTCCAGAACCTTCGGAGCCAGGTAGATCAAAGCGAGCTCCGTAGGTAACCAGCAGGTTTAACATGTCGACGTGTGTTACTTGATGCAGAGGGGCGGGGCCATTGGCGCAAGAATTGACGTCTAAGCCTAGCTCGAGAAGGCGACGTGCTATGGCTAGTTGATTCCGAGATACAGCTGTCTTCAAAGCAAAAAGGCCAGCAGATCCTTGTGCGTTCGCCCCATTTCTAATCAGAAAATCAAACATGTTGAGATTTCCTCGATAAGCCGCAGCCGACAGTGCGGTATGTCCAGACTCCTTGCTCCTTGGTTGATTGATGTCTGCACCCAGGTCGAGGAGCTTCTTGACAATCCCGAAATCTCCTGCATCGGCAGCACATACTAGAGAGCTGTGTCCATTCGCAGTTGCAACATCTTCGTTGACGTCAGCACCGTTCTCCAGTAACAGATCTACGATCCTTTCGTTTCCACGCTCGCACGCTGCTTGTAGTGCTGTTCTTCCAAAACTTTCGTCACCAGCAGCGTTTACATCTACACCCTGCGATATCAATAGCCTGATAATAGCTTCTTGGTTTCTGCTTTCTGGAGAATCGGTCTTGATAGAGCAGGCATTTTGCAAAGCCGTCCAACCTTGACAATCTCTTATATCTGGATCGATATCGGTTTTTAGCAGTATTTGTCGAACCCAATGAAAATCTCCTTGGCCAACTGCCTGAATCAAGGGAAGCCTTGAACTACCGAAGTCGTTGCCGAAATTAATGGACGGGACGAGGTACTCCGCAATCTCATGAACGCGTCGAATATATCCAGTCTCCATATCAGCATTGGGTAGTTTCTTAGGCCCACAGTCTACGGGTGGTGTAGCATTAGGTATTGTACGCGGAAGTGGATTATTCGGCCAACGAAGATTATGAGCAGCCGACCTCGGTACTCTTTCAAAGAGCTCTCGCACAGACCTTCTGAAGCCCATGTCACAATTTCCGCTGTCGTGGTCAGCTAAAGTCAGGCAGTCCAAAGTGGGTACCTACCATTTTCGGAATTGCCGACCAGGAGTTGCGAAGCCGCATCTTGGGCATGTCTCAAGAGTTTGAACGGAATTTATTAAGGAGGACTCTTGAGCACGGAAAGTCCTTACACGCAAGACGTTCATGAGCAGCTTAGCCCCAGGTTGAATAGCATCTGAAGGTTGATAATGGAGCCACCTCATCCTAGGAATGACATCGCGGCCATCAAAGACTGTTAGCTGACTTTGCTTGTCAACGAGCTCGAACTTGCCGTCCACTACTTCCCTCAATCCAGGGTGATCAGAGAACATGATTCTCATGGTGTCTTTCAACGTTTCTCTTGTACGACAAAGCGTACTTGGTAAAACTAATGGCCTACCCAACGCGTCTTCTACGTGGACATGCGAAGACATGACGTCGCCTTCCCATGGATATCCAAGCATCTTGGGCATCATATTCTGCGTGGTTTGGACCGTATCGTATATCGCTGCCACTGTGACGGAGATTCGATTGGCTTGTCCTCGAGACTCTTCCGCAAAGCTAGTTTCAGTCTGACTAAACATCCGAAAGTCAGCATCGGTGCTTCAGTGTCAGAGTATCCCTCACATGTTAATTGCGAGGAGGTAGCGATCGAAGGCTTCCATGTGCGTGCTTAATCTTCGCTCCAAGCGTCGGCTATCTTCTGCGCTATATAGAGACCATTTGATCTTCCGAAACGCAACTTTTGCTTTAGAGCCTTGGCCATTCAGCAAGCTTTGGGTGTACCTTCGAGAGTCCGCCTACACGCTTGGTGAGTTTTGTCGACAGAACAACGTGACTTCAGTATGACGGATCACATACAGCAAACTCGTTCAGTAGCTTGTAACAGCAGCCAGCATGGAACAGAATACCATTCATGAAAGCTTGGTCCACGCGCGAAGACGTCGTGATAGGTAAAGTTGATATGAAGTTGCCGATAAGGTTGAGAGACGTCTTCAGAGACTCAAGGAGTTCAATCAAGGAACGGTATTCTGCAGAAGCACCCCGACAGTCATTCAGAGCATTCGCGATGTCGTGAGCTAGCTTTCCTACGGCTATCAGATCTCCCACCGAAAACCCGAATCCTACTGCCATGCTGAAGTGCTTGGCCACTTAGCTGCTCATGGGTTTGCGATATGTTGATGCGTGCGAGGCTGAGCTACGTTGTCATCTGCGGAGCAGAGATATGGTACTGTACACTAGGCCGAGATACGTTTTATCCTCGAAGCTATGCTAAAGTATGTTATGAGTGTTGCGCAACGTGCTTGTGGTTATCAAGCTCGCAGAAAGATGGGCGCAAATGTGAACCGGAAACGAACGCTGTCGCATTTCTTGATACCAGGCAGCGCACTATATCGGTTAGAAAGTGGTGGCGCAGTCAGTCATGCACATAGCGCTTAGTCCTGCACCCTCATATGCTGCCCACTCCCCGCGCTGTGGATGTGGCCTCGTCTGTGTGGCCCATTGGTCCCCAAGCCACCACAATCATTCGTGGCTGTGAACGCGAATTCAGCTGGACATACCAGCTCCTATCTCGGTCTGGCTAAGGACGCGTGACATATCAACGCCACACAGTGAATCTCTGGTAGGCCGTGTCGACATCTTCATCATTCGTGCGAGTGGCACCGGTCACGACTAAAGTTAGACAATAGGAACAGGACGTGATGTTGCAGGCGACATGTAAAGCGCAAAGCGTAGATCGCAGCTTGGAGTAAGGGCGCGACAGGTGAGCGTGTCAGTGCGCGGTGGCGATCGTGTCTTGGTGCGGGGCAAGAGCGCCCCATACATATACACAGCATTCCACCTCATATTAAAATCTCCAAGGTTCGACCTTCTGCGAAAGCGCGGTAGCCTCGCCGTTGCTCTGCCTATGGCAGTTTGTCTCACGATCAGATGGCTATGGGCTTCACAAGTGTCTAATGCAGAAGGATTGAGAGCCAAGTAGGGTCGTTGCTGCACCTTGGTCTGATCGATAAATCGCGAAAAAGCATAGTGAAACAGCATGGAAAGGCTGTGCAGGCAGTGCCGCCTACCAATTGGACATAGGCGGCTTTCCGGTGAGCGCCGTTCTCTTTTCGCGAGCAAGGCGTACTGCCTTGACGCGCTAGCCCAGCACTCTGCACCATTTAATCTCCTCTTTGCCACCGACACAGGCGAAATCATATGGTGCTACCTTGTCGCACCTTGAATCCTTCTCTCTGCTGTCTATCCAACACCTTTCCCATTTAGATTGCAATCTTTAGAAGCATTACAATGGACAGTATCTACGAAGCGGTGCCATTAGATCGAGACATTTCTAGCACGAACATTCGAGTCATCGAAGATCTGGTCCGCGATGTAGAGGGGCGGATATCTTGCAAACTTCGGACGATATCTCTTGAGTGGAAGGACGATGAACGAAGGAGCCGAAGACCAGAAATCTACACAGCCCTGTCATACGCATGGGGACCACCAGACGCAGGAAAGTCAATTTGGATAGGTGACAAGTCCTTCAGGGTACGGAAAAATCTTTGGGACTTCCTCAACGAAGCTTGTACCCGCGGAACTTTTACGCGTAAAACGACGTTTACTAGCGAAGACTGGCGCAACGTCTTCCCAGGAATACACATACCCGAAAGATAAGTTTATCTCTGGGTTGATGCTATATGCATTGACCAGTCGCAAGTGGAGGAATGAAATCATCAAGTCGCAATGATGGGCAAGATATATTCGCAGGCATATGAAGTTCTCGTCTGGCTTGGTCGGTCGACTCTACTTACCGCCGAACTTCTATATAATATGCACGGCCTCGAGGTTGACGAGAACTACAGACTGGCTTGGAAAACAGAGATTGATAGTTTTGAGAAGGAGCGTATGCAATCCGACCTAGAATACCTTTGCAGATTCGAGTATTGGGAGCGACTCTGGGTCGTACAGGAGTACCTACTGGCAAAAGATGTGATAATATGGTGCGGCGCCGATTCATTCGACCCAGAAAAGATCAAGTGGCTGGTGTATGTGGAGTTCAAGGAACGTCACCTGGCAGAGAGTTGCGCCATACAACTATTGCAGGGAAGAAAAGTGCGAAACGTACATGCCGAACAGCTCTCCCTCAAACGACACCTCGATGACTTCGGTATACGGATGAAATGCGCTGACGTGCGGGATCGTGTATACGGACTGCTTGCGCTTATCAACAAGGAAGAGCGTAAAAAACTTGGAATCAGGCCAGATTATTCACTCTCTCCATTGGGCCTGTTTCTCAATCTAATTTCTGCACTAAGAGAATCAGGATCTTATGAACCAGATGAGCTCCTGGACTACGTTGAGACACTGCGTCTAGCGCTAGGCTTACCCTTGAGTGTTGTAGCGACGGTCATAAGGCAGGAGCTGGGAGATCATCTTTACAACGAGTGGTCCGCTAGGCGAAAACAATTCGCCTGATCGTACCATGGTTTGCGATTATCCCATTCACACAAATTTCGACATCGTGCGACGACCTGCGAATTTTCTTCACTCCAGTGCACAAATAACGATTACACCACAACCCAGTGACTAGCTTGAATATGCCCGCTACTAACGCGGCTAAGAGTCGCAAGAGGAAGCGCACAGGTGAGTCTCCCTTCTCGCACTACTGTCCAGTTACTAAGCATGTCAACCAGTTTCAAATCCAATTCCTGTCCAGCTTCAGAGTCAGCTGCTCACGTTGCCTGGCGAGATACGCAATGCGATCTATCAGTATGTACTGGGAAAGACAAGACCGCTGCATATAGTTGGACGCAGTGAAGATGAGTTGCCTACTACAGCTCAGATCAGGCGGTTTCATGCCGTCAAGGAACTGATGCACACTTGCCGGCAGCTCCGCCTCGAGACTAGGGGATATAACTGGATACACGTGTCTTGGAGCTGTGAAGTTATCTGCAGTCCACTCAATAAGTGGTTTGATCCAGTCCCTGTTTGCCCCAATCGTCTCCAGATTCAGCCATTGTGCGGAGGGCCAAGTCCCAAGAGTGCCTCTGAACATGCTCGCATCCTGGTCCGACTGTCCTCCAAACCTCCTCGCATGGCTGTTGATCGTCGCAAGGATGAACCAGACTACTACTCCATCGATAGCGATATGTTCGACGAGCACGTCAGGCTGTGTGAAGCACATCCCCACCTCGAGGTTATCGTGTTGTCGAATAGTCTAAGAATCACCCAAGGCTGCCGTGGTCTCCTTGTCGCTGGAGCTGCCATTCAGCTGATCTTACGAGGAAAGAGGGTGAGCTTTGACGTTGATGCCGCGTTCACCAGCGATGTCGACAAGGTCGCACAAGCGATGACGACCCGCAACGGTTTTGGGAGCTTTGAACAGGGCTTCCGCTATCCGGATAATCTAAAATATTTTCCACAGGATTCTTACAACGAGGCCGAACTAAGGTACTCGCAAACAGAAAAGAAGAGGGAATTTGAGAATTGGTTGGCGCAAATCAAGGAGTGGTACGCACACGGAATTTGACACATACGGGATGCGGATACTCCATCTGGTACACTATGGTTATGTCAGCACCTTGTTCATTGGGCCACGCTATATTTTGAGAGCAAAAGTTTAGAGCACCGTCTTCTCGAGACCCTTGGCTACCAAACCAGCACGTCAGCCATGTCCACGCCAACGACCGATAGTGATCTGCGGGTTCTTGACGACATGTTCACGAATGCTCCTCGTCAATCAAAGGCTGTTAAATAACTGAAAATTTGTTTGACAGTGTCCCATCCCGTGATGTCAGTATCCACATGTAGGGATTGAACGTGCACGCCGAGCCGTTTTACAAGCTCGGCCTGCCCGGGTTCAATGTTCAAAACAGGTGCGCATTGTTGGTCGACGGAGAGTTTGTGCATCAAGCGCGCCAGCTGAGTGAAGTTCTGTACGTCGATGCCATTGGGAAATACGAATCTGTCAAAGCCACGTTGAACGTCTCTATACAGGGTGTCATTTCACAAATAGGATGCTCGTCGACTGAAGGCACGCCGGTATCTCCATTTTGGTGTTTAGCGGCGCTTGGCGATAACTAATCCGCATTACCCCAGAGCCTCCTTCTCCACACCCCAATCCGCCCCATCCGATGAAGGAGGGCCAACACACCACCCACCAAAGCAGTGCTCGAAGGAAACAACGCATACAATCGTCAAGAAAGCATCGAATCGAGCTTCCGCCTTCACACCCGACTTTTCTGAATGATTACCGCCATCACAGCTCAAACGCGACATTCACCACAGCATCGCATTTCGCGGAGGTGGCCTAGACGCTTCCCAAAGCAGCATGCCATCCGACAAGCGGGAAGCCTTCGCGCACTGAACGACTCAAGCAAAACGTAAAAGAAGGCTCAAAGGAGTCGGTAATTTAGGCAATAGAAACGGCAGCCGGCTCGTTCATCACGGGACTACATCATTCATTGGTGGATCGGCGCCTTTTTGGAGTCGAGGCATCTCCACAGCCGGATGAAAGGCGTCCGAAGCAATTTGTATAAGAGGTCTCGCTCCCCACGGGGTGGCACGTCTGTTTGGCTCTTCCAGAACGTCGGCAGCATGGTGGCAGCAAGCTTGAGAGAAAATGCTCTCTGGGCTTGGTGCGCTGATTCCTATGGTTGACACAGGTACGTGGATTTACTTCTTTTGTCCCGACATGCTGCTTTTGTTCATTGCGACCAGCACCCCATATACGCATGACCCATGGGGAATCCCTCTACTATAACACGGAGTAAAAGCTAACCATTGCAGAGGTATCTGGAGACTCCATCAACATGTCTCCCCACATGCGCACCACAACTGTTATCCCACACATTGCCGTTCCCATCTACCGGTAACCCCTCGGTCTTCCGAACATCACCCGGTTTCACAATTTGGACAAAGCATCGTGATCTGGAAAACGGCACAGATTACATTGCTCATCTCGCGACAGTCTCGCTATGATCCACCAGGACCCTCTTTTCTCAAAAACTTCACGATTCTTGGCTCAGGATTTTCACGCTTTGTCGCGCGTAGCGGGCCGCTAGCGCTGCAACCTCGGAGTCGGAGATGAGTTTTTGTTGCGAGTCGGCCAAGACCGGCGTTTCCGGGCAAACTTGCCAAGTTGATACCATGGACACCGTCGAGGAATGCGAATGATTTTGCCAGCAAGGAAAGACCCCAGCGAGGCACATGTGGACATATGACGTCGTCAACCATGAGATACCGCGCTCCGCGAATTTTTGGATAGGTCCCGCAGGAACGGCCACCCCCATCTTTCGAATGCAGAAATTCAGGCGTACCAATCACCAGGGACTAGGAACAAATTGTGCAGCACCGGTCGGAGAATAACTTTGTCGCCCCGGCTTCCATCCAATGACGACCTTCAGGACTCAATACCCGGACTCAACGCTCCAAGCGACTTGAGGCTCTGCGGCATCTAGTGAGAACCGTCCCGTCCGTGCGTACACCTCTTGCATATGTTGGGTGACATGAAGCACTTGTCAGCCTCATCTGCACTATAGACGCGTCTATGCCCCTGCATGAGGAACATCCCGGGTAGCACCAAACGTTCTGATAGGCCAGTTAGGTGAAGTCCAGCGTTGGATACTTCGGATCGCGTAGCTCGCCGATACTCGCGCGTACCACGAACATCACGATACACGGTGGCCACGCGACGGCAAACGTTCGCCGCCGTTATTCTTGGAGATGCCTGGGCGAGATCACGCATGATATCTCACACGAACGAGTCTACAATTGTCCAGAACTGGAACCGTCGTGTACTTGCAATAGGTGCGGTGGGCCGATCATTGCACTATTACCGTCTGTGCTTATCGGCGTGTCCAACCATTCCGATACTGCGCGACTTTGAAGAAACTTCACAACCGGCAGCTCTCCGGCTCGAGCGTACTCGTGACAGGCTGCCCCATTGTCGGTTCCAGCTCCACGATGCGATGTCATCATACCTCCGTTGCCAGGGCGCTCGTGCGAGAGTGCCTCCTGTCGCCTCCATGCCTAGGGCGTTCTGGAAAAACTTAGTCGGATGGATATGCGGATGAGACTGACACTGGGGCTCCACCGTCAATAGACCCTACAAACCCGTCTCCGCATGCATTCTGCTATTTATACGGTGCAGCCTTCTCCTCAAAGTCCACACTGGTCTCCTCTTCTCCAGCTTCTCTCCAGCTCGGTTTCCTGAGAAGTCTACCCCGCGCTGCAGACCGGCTCATCTTTGACCGACACTTTATTATTTTCCATCAATTCCTAATTACAACGCGCCCAACATGACGGTCTTGTCGCGTTTTTACAAGAAGAAGGCGGTTGAGGAGGAGGTACACGAGAAGGGAACGCCAGCCACTGGTACTCCTGCGGAGACGCCTTCCAGGGGCAACTCTGCTGTGCAGGCCACCGACCTTGAGCCCAAGGGCCGCGTGCCTGCCGTTGCTATCATCCTCGGTGCCGTCGCCAGTATTGGTGGTTTCATGTTCGGATACGAGTCTGGACAGATTTCTGGTTTCCTTGAAATGGACGACTTCAAGCAACGCTTCGGTGAGAACGGCGAGTTCTCTGCTACCCGTTCTGGTGCTATTGTCGGTCTGCTAGCGTAAGTGATTACCTCCAAAAACAAGAAGCGCATCTAACAATCTATCAGCGTCGGTACTCTCTTTGGATGCTTGGGTTCAGCTCCTCTTGCTGACACCTTCGGTCGTCGTCTCACCATCTCCGGTTCCGCCTTCTTCTACATTGCTGGTGTCATCATCGAAATCACCAGCAAGGACGTCTGGGTTCAGTTCGCCATGGGTCGCTTCACTGCCGGTCTCGGTATCGGAGCCCTTTCCACCGTCGTCCCCATGTACCAGTCTGAATCGATCCCCAAGCGCATCCGTGGTGCCACCGTCTCCTCTTACCAACTGTTCATCACACTCGGTATCTGGACTGCGTACATGGTCAACTACGGTACATCGAAGGACTACACCAACAGCGCTCAATGGCGTATCCCCAACGGTCTGTCCGCACTTTGGGCCATCATTCTTGGTAGCACCATCCTGCTTCTGCCCGAGTCTCCCCGTTACGCATACCGCAAGGGCAAGGTCGATGATGCTCGCGCCAACATGGCCCGTCTTAACGGCGTTGACCCTCACAGTGCTTTTATCGACGCTGAAATCGCCGAGATCCAGGAGAAGCTCGAGGCTGAGGCTGCTGGTGGTGACCACCCATGGCACGAGATCTTCACCGGTCCCCGCATGTTGTACCGCACCCTGCTCGGTATGGTCCTTCAGGCTGGTCAGCAGTTGACTGGTGCGAACTACTTCTTCTACTACGGAACAACCATTTTCTCTGCCACCGGTCTCGAGAACTCCTACGTTACTTCGATCATTCTCGGTACCGTTAACGTCGTCGCCACCATCTTCGGTCTCTGGGTCGTTGAGAACGTTGGTCGCCGTAAGGCTATGATGGTCGGTGCTGCATGGATGGCAATGTGTCTGTTCATCTACTCCTTCGTTGGCCAGTACAGCCTCGACCACAACCAACCTCAGTCCACACCCGCTGCCGGAAACGTCATGATTGTCTTCACCTGCTTGTTCATTGCCGCTTTCGCCACTACCTGGGGACCCCTCGTCTGGGCTATCGTCGGAGAGTTGTACCCTGCCCGTTACCGCGCTACCTGCATGGGTCTCGCTACCGCATCCAACTGGCTCTTCAACTTCATCATCTCCTTCTGCTCCACCCTCATCACCGACGAGATCGACTACTTCTACGGTCTTGTTTTCGCCGTCTCCCTGGTTCTGCTCTTCTTCATCGTCTACTTCTTCATGATTGAGACCAAGGGCCGTTCGCTCGAAGAGATTGACACCATGTACATGATCCACGTCAACCCTATCACTTCCGCCAAGTGGGACCCATCGAGTCTGCAGAAGGACGGCCTCGTCGACACCGACAGGCTGCACATGGGTGCTGGTGGTCGTACCTTTAGCAAGGCTGAGCAGGCTGGTACCCACGGCGGTATCTTGGAGCCGGCTGAGCGCAACGAGAACCAGGTTTAAATGGCTGGTCGTTGTATGAATGAGGCTACGATGGAGAAAGGACTATATTCACGTTTGGATGTGGATTGTGACGGCCTAAAATTTATCAGTTGTAATTCAAAATGATTGTCCGTTCCATGGGACAATGCAAGAGTATGCTTATATAGTACATACTCAATACATTATCATCAAGCAATTTATCATCAGCTCCTATTCCGTGTGAATGTTTTCTTGCCCTGGAGGCATACGCTAATATTTCCCTATCAGAGGTATAATGCATACTCTAAGTATATCTTTACAATATGTTCCTCCTTACTCCATACAAGGCAAGTATCGACAGGTACAGAAATACTAAGCCCTGTTTTGCACTCTGCATTAGCTATCAACAAGAAAACGTACAAAGATCAGTAGCACTGTTGACCTGTAAATTCTTTAGTGCTGCCTTGAATTATGTTTGCTTAACTATGCGACTTAAAACCTGTACTACTCATCATGATCGACCCAGATAACCACAAAAAACTGCCTTGAAGGTACATGCTAGTGTTTTCCTGTCTGGGTTGTAGTGCACCAGCCAAGTGCATACCTTTAGGACATGTCTTCCTCACTGTACTCAGATACCCTCACGACACCACTTCTCAATCTCTTCCTGGAAGACTGTCACTTCACTTTCGCTCCACTTGCCCGGTGTGAATTTGGAGCGGAGTGGACAGTGGCTAAGGCCTGGTCCCGCACCAGGAAACACCTGAACCTGGTTGGGTATTTTGGGTAAGAAAAAATGCCCCTCCTCACAAAAGCCGTGTAATTTATTGTTGACGATGGGATGCTTGACATCTAAACCGTGCTTTGCATAGTACAACAAGGTGGCTTTATGAATGAACCAGTCGCCCCTGGAGGATTCATTGAGGTTGGAAAGATACAGGTGAAAGGTGATGTGAAGATGGGAGGCGCTCATCTGTAGCAGTTGACCAAAAGGCCACTCCGAATCACGTTCCTCGGAGCCAATGAAAAGATTATAGCTAGAACACAGAGTGACTTTCCGAATGCACTGCTGCTGGCCGACCGAGCATGTAGCAAGGAACGTAATAAAATCTTCGGTTTGCTCCCGAAATTCCGAGCGGATGGTAAGATCGTTCAGACCAAGACCTAAGCCTTTGGTTTCGTAGTATAGCTGACGACAAACGTATTTGAGGCAGTTGGATTCGGTGCTAGGATCAGTCGATCGGCATCCCTGAAACCCTTCTGGGTGTCGTCGTGCTCAACAAGAAGCAGACCCTGATCTTCAGTGAGAGCGTATTCGTATATCATATCGCGGAGCTCTCTGGGTAGGTCTAGTAGACGGCTTGAACTCGGTTGGCTAGACATCTTGAGTCTCGACAATGGAGTTAGGTTACGTGTGTGTGCGAGGAAGAAAGGTTCAAGATCGGAGAAGATTTTATATTCGATGGTTATCGTAGTGAAGAATACACGGTATACTTTCATCATGACATCTGACGTAGGATAAGGTAGAATAAGGGAAATGCTTTGTACGATGTTCGCCTACGCACTGTCATTCCACATGCTGATACTCAGCGACCTTCCGCCACGGAGTAAAGCGCTAATCTTTTCTTGCCCCCGACGAATCGGTGCATTGGAACAAGTAGCAGCCGGACAAATCCTAATGTATACAGTCGCTGAGTCTGAATTAAACTCATTTAAAGACTTCCACAAATAGCAAGTAGAAGCCTTGTATGAAAAGGCCGCGCAATTATCGATTCCATCGCACCTTTGACGGCACTCGTCGACTGAGATGTTGGGAATGTCAAGGATAGTTTGGGAGCCTGGAGCTGGTGACTGTTCGCAGCGGACAAAGTAGTTGTCTTGGCATTGCCCACCGTAGGAAGGACAGCTGTTTGCGAGACCTGCGGTGAACTTTGGACAGCCGGGGTACGCGACACAGGATGTCGTTGGCGCTGGAGTGGTGCAGACGGTAGAAGTAGATGTGCTGGTAGTGCTGGTGGAGGTAGGCACTGTAGATGTTGCCAATGTTGAAAACGGGGCGGTGGCTGCCAAGGCATTGGATACGCAATCACGGTTGTAGAATTTCAGGCCGGTATTTAGTTGAGGAGTAACGTTGGTACTGGTAATCGGTACCCTAGTAAGGTAGCACGTGTTCGAATAGACGATGAAGCTTCCACATACGCTCTGGGCCTGGCAGTCTGCTATGCATGAATCTAAAGTCGTGAAGGGGTTAGAAGAGATCACTTGGAGATCGACAGTGTCGTATCCTTCAATGCCACAGAACCCGGTCGGTGACGGAGTGGGGGTGGCGGAGGTTGAAGTTGACGTAGAGGTAGAGGTAGAGGTAGAGGTAGAGGTAGAGGTTGAGGTCGAGGTTGAGGTGGCTGCCGAAGCATCGGCTACGCAATCAAGATTGTAGAACGTTAGGCCGGTGCCTGGTCGAGCTTCAACGGTGGCGCTGGTTATCCGTACCGGACTGAGGTAGCACACAGTTGTGTAGACGATGAAGCTCAGACATGCGCTGTCTGCCCTACAGTCTGCCCTGCATGCATCTAAGCTCGTGAAAGGCTTGGTAGAGAGAATTCTGAACCCGATAATGTTCTGTCCTTCGACGCCACAGAATGCTTCGTCAGTTGGCGACGGAGAGGGGGTGGTAGAGGAGGTCGAAGTGACGGTGATTTCCGAGGACGTGCTGGAGGTGACCGGGGTGGGAATTGCCGTTGAGGAGTCACTGGACGAGGACTCGGTTGACGTAGTGCTGGTGGTCTGCTCACTGGTCGAAGTGCTGGAGACCACAGCCGGAGTAGAGGAAGAAGAACTACTAGAGCTGGAGCTGACGAGAGTCGAAGTGCTGGCAGTAGAGCTTGAAGAAACAGCATCGCATTTTCCAAACCCAGGTTGACAACCCGCACCACAGTAAGTACTTGAGCTTCCACAGTACGAGTACTGAGAGCAGCAGTTACCATACTTTCCACCAGAGCAGGTCATTCCTGCTGGTGATGCTCCATAGAGGTTTCCGCAACGTGCATTCGTCGTGACCTTCATGTTTGCTGCACTAGAAGATGCTGCTGCTGACGAAGCAGTTCTAGTAGAAGAAGCGATGCTGCGGCTTGATGTCGTTGAAATGCGCACGGATGTGGGAACGCTGTTACAGGTACCGAAAGGTGACTGACAACCAGTTCCGCAGTAGTCCTTCGTCTTGCCGCTGCAAAGATATCAGTGAACTGCCTAGAGACGTAGGGTTTCTATTTAGTTGCTTACCAGTAACCGTATTGGGAGCAGCAGTTACCCCATTGCGAGCCCTTGCAGGTCATGCCAACAGGTGAGGCATTGTAGGCATTTCCGCATCGCGCGTTCGTTGATACTTTGCCAGCAGCGAGCGTCACTGCTGCTGCGAGAGGCAAAAGAAGATTCCAACGCATCGAGAATAATATTAAGAATTATAACTTAGAGAATGTGCTATTATTGCAGACCAAAGAGCGAGAGAATGACTGTTGGTGGGATGCCCGTAGAGAGAGAGACGAGGTGACGATCTGAAAGAAGCTGGAGAACCCATCACTATATAACCTACTGTTGTCTCAAAATGAAGTTACCGTTCTACAGAAATAGAGCCGACGTGGCTTGCGTACCGACGTGTAGAGTTGAAGATGGCTTCATCTAGATCCTCACGAAAGCCACCAAGGCGTTCATCGCTTTCGCTCGCAAGCAAAAAAATGAGTCGAAAACCGACCGCATCGGGGCATGTACAAGGCGCGATGCCCTGTGGGATATAGGGGATGTGGAAGTGAGTTGAGCAAGACGCGCTATCGATGTTTACCATCTTATGGCGTCTCTTGTGATTGGAGAAGACCCCTGAAGGCGCGTGTTGACGCACGCCACGCGCGAGGCGAGGCTGATCTCGCCTTACCGCATTGGATGATCATCGGCTGCTCCGCAACATGGAGGCTTTTCAGGTACCAGGGTGAACAGTCGCATACCCTGAGGTTCATGACATAGCGTCGCGGGCGAGTAGCTGTTGAAAGTTGTGAGTGATGCGATCCGGAGGTGCGAGACTGGACAAACTACTGAACTGGACTAGCGCTTGGCGAAGAAGACCCACTGGCGAATTACTGTAGCTCGAACCATCGCTGGAGACTAGCGCAGGGCCATCGTCAGGTCTTGTTTTCCCTCCCCCCGTCCTTTTTGGTGATTTGCAACATCATACGCCTCTGGGAAACCGAGATTCAAGAACAATGAATTTATATGTAGAGTATGGATACACTTTAACGAGAAAGATAGATAACACACCGCCCAAGAGTACTTTCCAGATGTAGTGGATATCCTTACTCCTCATCTTTGGCTGCCGCCAAAAGTTTTCACAGCACCAATCTTTGCTGTGCCATATTTCTTATGGAGGTGGTTGGTGAGCATATCTTCTACAAGGAAAGACACTATCTAGATACCACTAGCGGATCGAGTCTGCTGCGGCACAGCAGTCGAAGTCAGCTCCGGCATACTCGTAATAGGATCGGATTGCCATTGCCAGACGGGCCCGACACAATACGCCTTGCTCATCTCGAGCGAGGCCGAGCAATCCGCTGCTTTGAGGGACGGATTGGCCGCCAAAAACAGCTCCGACGTGATGCCATTTTGGACACACATGCTCGTGCATGTCTGCTCCGCATCGGTAACCACGAACCATCGTCCGCAGCGCAGTGTAGTACCCTCAGCAACAGTTGCGCCCTTGGGCGGATCGACGGGGACATCTGTGTACCCGTCACCTGGCGCGGGTGCTGCTGTGGGGCCACTGGGGAGCGTGGCGGTTGTGGTGACATTGGCGCCCTGTGGCCCCAGACAGAGGACACTCCCCAACACAGGCGTTGCGACGTGGAGGTTTGGACAGTCGAGGTTCAGCCACGGGTTGTAGCGTCTGACATCGCCCAGCGTCAGGTTCTGGGCCATCTCGATGGAAACGCACGAGTCGTCCTTTTGGAGGGTGTACAGTTTGGGACAAGTCAGAGGGAGACAGAGTTCCTCGCCTGCTTTTATGTCGTTGCATCCGTATAGCTTCGAGTTGGCCATTTTCAGCGCTGCCGATGCGACGCTGTTTGCGAGCGCAATCGAGTCGCATGTGTCTCCCGATTTAGCTGTGTAGACCTGATCCGATATGCAGAGACCGGGCGCCTCAGGCTCAACTACCACGAGAGGCGAAGGAACTGCAGTGGGTCCACTCAGGCCGCAGGTTGAGTAGACGTACTTCAAGTCCGTTTGCCAATCCTCGTCGTAGGTCGAGTAGGCACTTGACTGCATCATTCGGAGCCTCTCTACGTGACAGTATGAACACAGCTCATTTCGCGGCATATCCTTGATGTCGTACACCGTCTTGAAGTTGTTCATGACATCTAGGATCGGAAAGTTAGACCGTGATGTACGTCAGGGTGTAAGTGCAGGGACGACTCACCTCCGCAGTATTGTTCCGAACCAGAGTCCACCTGGCACGTCTCGTTCCAACCTGCCCAAACGATGCCACCAGAGCGATTAGGGATGGCGTCGTTCACTTTAGCCCCTGCGCAAGCTAAAGTTACAGTGTCGAACCAAGCTTTGAGCGATCGGCCGCAGCCCTTGTCGCAGACTGAATCCGTCAGATTTTTGCTTTCCAAAGCGCCTCGGTATCGCAGCTCGCGAAAGCGTGTAGCGTAGTAGTCACACTTGATGATTCCTGTCAATGCCGTCTTGCATCCCTCAGAAAGACCATCGAGCATGTCCTCGTCTTGAGTCGCATTGTACAGGGTGAATCCGGGGAAATCGCGCTCTCCGATGGTACCGTTGCGCACCCAGGCAAGGATGGAAGAGAGAAATCCGTTTTGGTTGTCTTTGGCCATGGTAGCCTTGCTCTTGACGGGACTGACCATCTCGCGAACAGCCTTGGTGCAGAGATTGTAGATCCAGACGTTGGTGCTCTGGTCAATCTCAAAGACGCGATCTTGACAGTCTTCTGTCTTGAGACAGTCTTGTGAATACCTGGAGAACCAACTGTAAAGACCTAGTTGGAGTAAGGTCAGCCTTGCTCACTATATAACAAGCAGATTTTGCAAAAAACATACCGGCACCTAAGACGTGTACCTGCTCAGAGTCAATGATGCGTACGCCCCACGATACGGCACACTTGGATGAGCTACTAGAGCAGTCGTAGAACGAAGGATCGTTGCTGAAGCCGCCAAGCTGAAATGGCGCCGGGGCTCTAGGAACATCCTGGAAGTATGGGGATTCCGTTTGAATCATAGCCATTAGAATGTTCTTGGCGTTGGAGAATTGGTATTGGTATAGAACATTGTGCTCGGAAGTTGTCCCGTAAAGCCAAGTCGGGCCCTGAGACTCGACCAGAACACCCCGGGCGACATAAATGTCGATTTGATCCTGCGAAACAATATCCAAGTCGTGGTCGGCCGTCCAGATCCACGAATTTTCTACGTATGCGGATGACTGAGGCGTCAGGTGCAGGAGCATGGAAGCCGCGATGCAGTTTTTGTTGATAGTGCCGGTCAACTTAGGGCAGTCGTTCTTCTGCAGCTTCGATCCTATCGCTCCTCCAACACGGATGTGCGAATCTGAAATACAGGTTAGCTCACAAGGAGAACTTAGAGGACATCTACGATGCTCACCCCACAAACCAGCTGAGCCCTGGCTGGACTCGCGCGTATTCCACTCCACTACCACAGCGCCGGCCGTGGGTCCTGAAACAGTAAAAAGCATGTCCTGGATTTCGACGCTACCTACCTCGCCTCTGTAACCAACCATGACTACAGGCCTGGGCTTCGAAGCATCCTCAAAGTTTGCTCCTGTTCCCATAATCTGTGCCCATGCTTGGCCGACGATTCGCGAACCTGTCGGGATCTTGAGGGTGTCTTTGACGATGTAAACTCCAAACGGAATGTACACTACAGACGAAGTTCTGGAAGCCAAGTCCAAGATACCGTTCAAGGTGTTAGTGTCGTCCGTCTTGCCGTCACCTTTGGCCCCAAGAGCTTTCACGTTGAGTACTTGAGTGGAGCCGATGTCGAGGTACTTTGGTCGCCTTCTTGTGTAGAGGTTGGGGCCGGCATATGCCATGTCTGGGCTAAGGAGTATGTCTGGTCGCTTGACGGCGGGGATATTCTGGCCGTTGACAAAAGTTGAACCATCAGGCGTGTTGAGCATACCGAATCCCCAAGACTCAACCTTCACTTCGTTACCGCCAGCCAGAAGATCTTTCTTTGCAGCTTCTTCGTATACCGCGGTCTTCGTATTGAAGAAACCTACGTTTTGAAGAAGAAGAGATGTGGAGTTCTCCTTGAACAGTGTGGTGATGATTCCGGTAGGCGTGTTGGCGATCACAGCGTCGACAAGGACAAGAGACCCCACAGCTTGACCTGTGCTTCCGACACCCCCAGCCTGGGTTACGTCAGTATCAGTATTGGAGTTGTTTGGGAACTGAAGTGGTTGGCACTTACACCTCCTACTATCACAATACCTGTTTTGCATGACTCGACAACAATGTCTTGCATCGTCCATGCCCAGTCCCAGTGTACTTGCACAGCGGTTTTGCAGTTGACGAACACCAGATGGCTTGTTGTAAATTGCTGGTTTCCAAAGTAGGCGCTAGTAGTTTGATGCATCAGTCAAAAGTGGAACATAAGTAGGGATGCCACTCACCCGAAGTTTCCGCCAACGAAGGTCAGGTCACTCATGAAGCCTCCGCTACCATTTTCCATATATATTCCCTTTGCAGGACGTCAGTAATGGATGAAAACAGTGACGATGTGCATCTCAAGCCTGCCGCACAACTCACCTGCTGTGTAGTATTCTCATCGAAAGACATGTGCATCTCAATGTTCTCCAAGGAGGTACCCTGAGCAACTTGCCAGTGAATTGCACATACGTACGCATCCCAGCGTGTTTGCGTGATGTCCATCTTGAAATTCTTCACACTTCGCAGGAAGTTGTTCTGATTAACATACCTAGAATGGACTGAAGTCAGAGAATGACGTCAACTCAGAACCCGATTTAGCACTCACCATTCGTCAGTAGGACCTGGTCCAATGTACTGGTTGGAGGTAATGACACCGAGGCCAACAAAACTCGAAGCAGCCAAGATAGTCGGAACATCAATTGGCTAGAAGACATCCATCAGTCAAAATGACTTGCCGCAGAATGGTTGCTTGAGACATACATCGCCTAGTAGCTGTGTGTTGTAATATTGAATGATTGAACTGCTGACGAGGTATGTTCCTGCGGGGAAGAAGACGACAGCTGGGTGGATAGTGCTCGAGCCACAGTTGGCACCACATCTATTGCCATCAGAGATGGCGCGATTGATGGCAGCTGATGAGCAAAGGAGTAAGCATGAATGCATGACGAGAGTTCGATGATAGCTTTGACTTACCCGTGTCGTCGGTGACTCCATCACCTGATTGGAAAAGACTCAGTATTAGTGATCATTCAACTGTAAGTTCCTGGGGGCCAGAGAGCTGGAAACGAACCTTTTGCACCATAGTCGCGCACGTCTCTCCAAACCTGTATTGCATCTTGTCAACGTAAGACTAGAGGTGGCTATGGCGCGAATAGTTACCTTGTAATCCTTGGGTGCGAAGGGGCTAGAGCCTAGCTGTTGCATGTTGGCCATCCAATACTTGGACGCTCGTTTCTTTAGACCACCAGACTCAAGAGAAGTCGTGCCATTAGAAGAAACAGGAAGTATGGATGGCATTTCCGTCATGGCGAAAGAGGCAGGCATCGCATTAGTATCGTTGACTTTCAGGGCATACTTAGCCTTGATCTTCGAGGCGACGTCGCTCTGATTGCCGGTCGAAACATGTTGCGGTGTCGACTCAGCGAGGATACGAGCGGCTTCTACAAGCTCTGCTGGCACACTGTATTTGTAACCACCGTCGGGATTGGCTTCTTCGCTAATTGGGCCTGTCGAGTTGAGCGCTCGTTTTGTCAAAGTGCTGTTAGATGTGACGTTGGCAAATTCCAATATCGAGGGGACAGTGTTGTCACCTGTGGGTTTGTTCGCGCTCGGGATATCGGCTGGTAAGACTTCATAACTGTTGAACCTCGGATTGTCTAGGCGCAACCTGTTGCGTACTGCAAGAGCATCTAGAGCAGCAGCAACAAGAGTAGCAGCATCCCCCGAAGTCGAGTTACCCAGGCGTGGTTCAGTCGTTCCATTTACTGGAACGTGGACACTGTTTGCTTCTGCTTGTCTGATGTTTTTCATCTGGCGATGGGCTTCGGCGTGATTGATCCCATGGCCAAAAACGAGAGTCACCAGTGATGGTAGAAGAAAGATGGTAAAGAGGGTGTTGAAGACGAACGGCAGCCTAGAATGAGGCGCCATAGTTAAAGACAGACAAGTTGAAGGAGAGCTTGGAAGGATGAAGGAATAGACAACTTGATGTTCGCCAGCATGCAACAGCAGATCGTGGCATTAAGGATAGTCGAGCGAGAAAGGGCAGCGAATTCGCCGTAAGCTCTACAACTCAACGAGCACTTCCAAAAATCATCTGCCATGTACCGGCTGGTCCATCCATTGGTCAGATCAAACAGCCCACCACATCCGCCAAGTAGACCCTGACGGGAGGCTGCGTCTGGGCAAGATTAGATGAAATGCAGGTACGATATTGTAGGCCCCCAAGGAAATGGTTCCTGCGTTAGGCCGCCTGTATTTCCGGCGTGTGGGGCAGAGCGATGCGAATTAATGTTGCCACAAATTGAGCTAGACCCTGCGATTAATCCGAGTTCCCGGACGGCCATCATACTGCTTTAGGCAGGTTGTTAATGACAATCAGGGTCCAGCCATTTGCGGGATGATCACGGGTCATATAGTCTTCGGGCCGCCATCTACATCCTGCGAACATGGCCCGCACACTAAGCGAAGCTCCCCTGCAGGACGTACATCACGCGCCGTTAGACTGGAACGCCTTATACAGAGTTAAGCCGACACGGCAGGCTTTTTCACAGCCTTATCAAAAGTCAATGTGAGACCCGCCACCGTAAGGCCTCCCAAATAGAACCTCCATTGCCCGTTCGTGGCTAGAAGAAGGATTGGGGATACATGAGTAGATTTGTTTCTCACTGCCAAGTATTGTCATTTCCCCTCTTCGCGGACTCTTGAGAATGAACTCATTTCTCCGGTGATTGTGATTAGTGCAATGTTCATGATGCGAGTCAACTCCAGGCCCATCTCCGGCCGGAATTCTGCAGTCATCAGGAGAAACCGAGAACTTCAATCAACTTTTCCAGTGTAGTGCAACCTTCTGGTTAATTGGGTGAACGCCTTGCACTCTATCACCCTTGTTAACGATAGATTTCACTGGAACTAGTTTTCTAGGCCAAAGGCTTGCTGTCAGGTGTTTTGTCGAGGTGGGTCTAACGGCTTCTGAGAACATCAATAGACTAAGACGTCTGAACTCGAACCTCTTTATTTCTTTGGCATTTCCCTCTGCGACCAGGAGAAGACACAACACTCTTTTGTCAGATCACCGCTGTAGTCATGGCTTCGACTACGTTCATTCTTTTCTGTCTTCTTAGTCTTCTCTTGACATCTCTCCCATTCTCCTATGCACAAACGTGTAGTGCTTCAAGCCCCTGTGAAGTTGGATGCTGGTAAGTCACATGTTCTATGCGAGTTTTATGACAGCTTACACGTCGGTCAATGTGAGAAGCTGACAACCTTAACTTTTCCACTCTAATCTTCAAGTATCAGCTGACCAATGAAATCAGCTCCAAATTTGGCCATTGTGGTTTCGGACCGGACTTTTGTGCATCGGATGTTTGCGTCTCTGGCTGCGACCGCAAGTCTGACTGTGATCCCGGATTCGGTTCAGAATGGGCCAAGAGATCCACATGCCCTCTCAACGTGTGCTGTTCAAAATTTGTAAGTCAGTTTCGGTATACAAGTTCCTTTGAGCCGGGTGTTTGTAAGTACTGACAAAATATCTCTCAGGGGTTTTGCGGAACAACGAAAGACTTTGTAAGTGACAGTTGCCATTCCCCTACCTCCTCCAAAGCATCGAGCTCACTAGCATACTTTCAGTGTGGCAATAAGCAAGTCAAACGAGAGACTTGTGATGAAGATGGAACCCTTAATAGGGTGGTTGGCTACTATGAAGGATGGGGTGCCCGAAGGCCGTGCAACGCCTTCTTTCCTGAGCAGATTCCTCGTGGCGTCTACTCAATCATCAACTTTGCCTTTGCCACGATCGATCCCCAGACATTCGAAGTTCTTCCCGCGACACCTGAGGATATACCACTTTACAAGCGCTTGACAGCGCTCAAGAAAGACGACCCCACACTCCGCATCTACATCGCCATTGGTGGCTGGACATTTAACGATCCGGGTCCTACTGCTACTGTATTCTCTGACATTGCACGGTCAGAAGCAAATCAGAAGAAGTTTATCAAGTCGCTGATTGCCTTTCTGAACAAGTACGACATGGATGGCGTTGATCTCGATTGGGAATATCCCGAGGCTCCGGATCGCAGTGGCAGACCCGAGGACTTCAAAAACTTTCCTCAATTCATGGAAAACTTATCAAAGGAACTTCAGCAGACAGCGGGCCGCGGTGGGCTGTCTATCACACTCCCGGCATCCTTCTGGTACCTCCAACACTTCGACCTCGTCAAGCTGAAGAAATCGGTAGACTTCTTCAACATCATGTCATATGATTTGCACGGCACGTGGGATAAAGGCATGAACCTCTATTCTATTTGATCTACTCTCTTCTAACGTCTCATCCAGGCAACAAGTGGACCGGCGAATATCTCAACCCTCATACCAATATCACCGAGATCGATGCCGCTCTTGATCTCCTTTGGAGGAACAAAGTGGATCCAAACATGGTAGTTCTGGGTCTCGCATTCTACGCGCGAGCTTACACGCTCAAAGACCGAAGCTGCATTGAACCCCAGTGCCAATACGCATCGGGTTCCAAGAAGGGTCCTTGCAGTAACGAGGCTGGTATCTTGCTCAACTCTGAAATCGACGACATCGTTAAGAAAAAGAGTCTTGTGCCCAAGTTATGGGAGAAGGAGACTGTGAAGATGCTTCACTGGGATGATCAGTGGCTGACCTACGACGATGCGGACACGTTCAAATTAAAAACCAAGTTCGCCCGCAAGCGCTGCTTGGGCGGCGTTATGGTATGGGCCATCAGTCATGACACCAAAGAGGCAAAATACACGAAAGCCCTGGCAGCAGCGGCCAATCGCAAGATCCTTCTCCTGCCTAGTACGGAAGGCCCTGAACAGGAAGTCAAGATTCCGCATCCCCAGTGCAAATGGACAAATTGTATGGATGGAGGCTGCCCCTCGGGCTGGCAGCTTATGAAGCGCAGTGATGAGCATGCACGTACAGACGAATGGATGTTCGATAACTCTGGGTGTGACGGCGCGGGTATCCATCGCCTCTGTTGCCCGTCGTCCGAGACGCTTCCAACGTGCGGTTGGTACACACTTCCCAAACGCGGCGGTAAATGCGATTCAAAATGTCCGGACGGTACCCAGGAAGTTGGTTCCAACTCGAACTATTGCGACTCGGGCTACCAGGCCGCCTGCTGCACCACCTCGGACTCGGATAAGAAGCCACTGCGCGCCATGGAGCTCTATGAGGGCTGCGAGTGGTCAGACGCGCCAATGTGCGATTCGGGCAAGTGCACGTTTGCTGGCTCAGCATGGCCGACGGAACTAGTTGTCTCAGCAACAGGCAGTGGTGGTGCCATTTGCAACATGCGTTCTGCGGGCTGGGAAGCAAGTACTTGGCAGGTCCAAGAGCGCAAGTACTGCTGCGACACGAAGACGAATAGCCGCAAATGGAGCAACTGTAAATGGGAAAAGTCGCTCGGATGGGGTTCCGCAGGAGCCCGATGCTATCCCAACTGCCCCGAAGGCAAAACACGAGTAGCCATGGACGGTTGGGGCGACGACTGCAAGACTAGTGGTGCTCGAGCGTACTGCTGTGATGCGGACAACTACGACACCGAGACGCGTCCGTCAGATGAGATACAGAAGTATCGCGATGCCATGAAGGCTTGGGTTGAGAGTCCAACTTGTCCTCGGGGAACGGGGTCTCTTCAACGACGTTATCTCCTGGAACGAGGCCTCATAAGCCGCGAAGACAAATCTCAACTCCTCACTCGGCAGCAAACACCCATTGGCGGCAATGGCATGACCAACGCTGAACGAGTCCTGCAGCTGCTGATACTAATCCTCTCAGCCATATACCAGACGCCGACCGACATGAGCAAGGCTTATAACAGTGCTTGGGACGACTACATCAAAACCAAGCATGAGGGAATGCAGACAGTACCCATGAAGTCATTTCTTACTGACAAGTCTCGCTATCCTGCCTTTGACCTTGAGGGCCCAGAGATCACTGCAGAGCGCTTCGCTTGCGAGCTCGATGTCACCGACGCTCTGATCCGGCGGACACAAGTTACCGTCGTCATCTGTGACGCCGACATGTGCGGGATAGATGGGCTTTGCTTCGACTCCTTTGATGAAGATGCGCCTGGCGCCTCAGATAAGCGTGGCATGGGATTTGGGTCTGTGAAGGCGCGAGACACTCTCGACACATCTCCTGCAGAACATCAAGGCGCTCTTGAGAAGCGCGATAACATGGACGTTGAGTTTGAGTGTGTAGACTCGGCGAACCCCAACGGCAAGAAGATCAAGTGGAGGAAGAGGCCGTGGACTAGCGCTGGCCAGTGGGACAACAATAATCCCATCTACGACAATGCCCTGACACATATGTTCGAGGACCACTGCTCCATGACTAACCTCAGAGTTTCCCAGTTGCCCGATGGCGAATACTATGCCAGTAAGTCGATACTCACTCTTTCTGCATGCTATAGATGTAGTTCCTCTTGGATGATCATCATCGCTGACCCTTGATCTCGCACAGCTGAACACATTATCGAGATACAGACAATGGCTCTGTTTTTCACCGATGCACCGGGCGACAGAAGGTGTAAAGTTCCATGCGACTTCTTCATCAACGGCTTCAACAACCCCATTGCGAGCGGTCCATCTTTGCCTGGTGGATTCATGAGTCCAGTTCCCAGTGAGCGTATCATGGACGCGCTCGGTAGTGAGCTGAACACAGTGAACTTCGTCTTGCTGCGTACGAACCTGAACGGGATGAAAGCTAGGGTATGTAGCCGACATGGAGGTATCCATGGGTGAGACTTAGACTGACCATGCTGCCGTAGATATGGAGATACCTGGATCCCATCAGTGATGCCAGTTGGCTATTAATGCTCGCCAGCAGCGAGCCTCGGGAAGCGCTACAGTCCATCCGAGATGTGAGTACGGCAGGCCACTACAACGATCAATGTACTGACAGTATCAAGGCCATTGCAGTATTCAACTATCTGAATCATCCGTACGTCCGACCCAAACTCATAGGCATCAACAGAGTACTCCGAGAAGAGTTCCAGCGAGCATCTGATGGATACAACTTTGGGCACCCCAACGCTGGCATCAACATACGCGACTGCTGGGACACATGGTTCAGAGAACACCTGGAAGATATGGCGTCGAATACGCGTTCATGGGTGCGCGGTGCCATTGCGGATATGCGCCGAGCATGGAGCCCATTGAACAATCCCAACGATCAAACATATCAGGCGAGAGCGCTACAGGTCAATCAGCATCTTGACCGCTTGGAGACGCTCGGTATTACCAATGGGGAAATTTCCATTGACACTACGAATCTGTGGTAGTGGTAGTCATTTGTCAGCCCCTGTAGAGTAAATTTTATTGAGACTGTTCCTTCACGGCTCCGATATCCTACACTAAACTCATCCTGGCACTGTACTCCGTGCCCATGAGTTCGATCCAGCCTTTTGTAGCCCATTCTAATTAGCTTGTGTCACTCTAGCGTGTTTGCATCTTCAGCCTCTGAGTGGGTTTCGTTGCAATTGGCTTGGCATTTCATTTCGAAGTTGCACCTGCCTCATTTCGACACAATAGACGCCGAAGGTTATTAATGGATAAATAACAAAGATATGCCAGAGAACGTCTCGGATGCTCTTGACTTGAACACCAATTTCGTCTGCACCGGCCAATAATTAGGCCTCCTTCCAACTGCCCCGCCCCCGCCTCGACAACTGAGATTGCTCCACGCTCTCACCTTTCATCCACTACGGCCAGCTTCAGAATGGCGGAGCAATCACAACCTCGAGATCTCAGTGGCCTTTCAGCGCAGTTCCGCAGCGCAATGGAAGGTCTCACCCACCAATGGGGCTTTGTCGTTGTGCGCACCGCCTACGCCAATGACAACGACGATGCACAGTGGGCTGCCGCCCTGAAGAAGCTACAAGACTACGCTACTCCGTCGGATAGCGGGGCTGAGATGGATCCCGACACGTTCGCGCTACCCGTCATCTCGGATAGTGCTCTTCTGCGCGGAGCTGACTATGCCTCGGTGCGCAAGGCGTTCAATCAGTGGATCGCAGATTTTGTTGGCCGAGAGAGAAACGAAGACGACGATGACGACGAAGAGTGGCCGTCGGACGTCCGGCGCAATGTGTGCATTGTCGTCGACGAAGCTGCACTGGCTTCGTTGCTGAATGCGCCAGACTTTGCTCGCGGCAAAGTCCCGAACCTGGATCTGGAGCCGTGGGTCACTGTACTGGACGGCGAGGACCCGGCCAACATGCCTTATCGCGGAGGGGCGCCGTACATGGGCTTCACAAGAGCCTACGCGCGTGTTCTCAGCCAGCTGTTCGATGATCTCGACTCGCGGTCCCTGGAGAGGCTGAGCCCGATTCGTGTCTACGATGGCCAGATACCGCTTTTCACTGGTTCTTCGCAGGGCAAGCTTGTCGATCCGCCTGGTGGGGTGGATGGAAGATACAAGTTTCCGCGAGGAACACCGAGGGGTGCGCAGGGAGCGCAGACTATGTTGGAAGAGATTGAGCGAGCGGTGGGGAGAGCAGGCATGGGTTATTGATTCTGATGAGTTGGAGGACATCAAATGGAAGAGGACAGAAGTGGTAGTGCAGCCTATGCCTGCTCTTGTTCTTCTAATTCTGATTACCATATCTGATCCATCAAACTCTATTTCATCCTTCCTAAAAAACGACACCGAGACGTGCACGAATACCACCGTCTCATTCATACTTTCTCATGCGACCAATGTCTCGCCTGTTCTATGAAAACGCAACCCAAGCCCAAAACCCACACGTCTCAACTAACAGCACCAGAATACCAATCGCCATACCACTTCCCACCCGCTGACCCGGTCCTGCCGTCTCCTCCCCATACCCAACATGACCCAAAAACACCCAAGCCAGCGCCGCTGCGACACTAATACTGAGCAAGCCGGTCATGACAACAACAACTCTCGTCGGTGAGACCATATACACCAATTCCAGGGTTGGTACATGCGCTTCTTTCGGCGACGCAGAAGACACAGCGATCCTTCTCGCCCACGTAGCCACCATGTACTTTTTGAAACCGATAGCAGGATTCCTGTACAAAGCGAGTAGATGGGTCTCCGAGGGGTGAGGTAGCTGCGCCGAGGATGTTGTTTGTTTATCTGCGCTTCCTCTCCGTTCGTGTCCGGTGTGGTGGATACTAGGGATACAACAGACATTGCGCCTGCCAAATCGTATACCACGCAGCGTCTTAGCGCTGAAGCCGAAAGATTGCCCAAGTAACTGGCGGTTGGCCGATCGTAGTCTTTCCGCAAAAACCGTATCGTCAAAGTCGGTGTCAGCGCTGTTAAGCCTCGGATATCGATAGCGATATCCCTGCTTCTCATCATCAGCATCGCTGTCCAAGGGCTTGCTCGGTAGAACAATCTCCTCCAAGTTCGCCTGTCCAAGCTCATTGTTGCCTCCCCTCCCTCTGTCCGGCTCACTGCGCATCTTCCACGTCCACCGCTTCATCCCGACCCAGATAACCAAATTGCCTGCGCTCTGCCTCGCACTGCTATGTTTCCTCCCTTTCCCATCACCTGGCTCGGCCTGACTCCGTATCAAGCCCTGCACACTCTCATTCCTCTCTCTTCGACTCCTCAAGTCCAAGCCCTCCACACTCGTCGTCACGAGACCGAGTACATGCTTGCCTTTTCGAGCGTTGTAAGCAGTTTCGGGCTTGCTGGGCAGGTAACTTGCAACTTCCTCGGGGAAATTACTGGTACAGGCTGAGTCCAACCTAGCATAGTCTTCTGCACTACGAATACTAGGATTGAAAGCAGGGAGGGAGAAGTTGGGCAGGCGATTGGAATCGCAGGTGTAGTCCATTGCCGGGAAAGATAAGATGGTGTCTGGCAAGGGTGTGGCAAAGGGGTTCGTTTCATTGACGTATGGGGAAGCAGCGCAATCATGGCCGCGTCTTGCTTCCTGTCCTCGTTTGGGTGTTACTGTTCCCGTTGACAGAGCGCTCAGCTTGATCTGCCGATTCGCAGATAACGAGGTTACAGACTTGGGCCAACTAGTCGTAGTACCCGAGTTCAAATCACTACGCCCAGCTTCCACCTTCTCCACTCCTTTGCCCCCACTCCTCTCCAGATTCTCGTTACTTTTTGAATCGGCGCTCAATGCCTCCAGTGCACGCATCGCATTCACATGTGCATTGGCGATAGAAGCTGCAAGTACACTATCAGAGCTGCTATCACCATCTGAAGCATTCCTCCGGTGATAACCGTTCCGGAACGTAGGACTCTGCGGTAGAGGCGTGAGTGTATCCTCGCCATTCTCACGCACCTTATCCCTTGAGGTCGCACTAGCTGAGAACATGGCGGACAAGGCTGATGCAGGGTATGCTGGAGATACGGGGAGAGAGCTGTTGTTGTAGCCGTTGAAGATGGAATGCCGGGGTGAGTCGATACTCGATCTGAGGGACCTGCCATCCACCAACCGTACGTTCTCCTTATTGAGACGCGTCAAAGACATCTTCCAGGCATGGCTTGGTGCGTCTCCGTCTTCCATCACGACAACTCCCGCGGTATGTTCTTCGTTGAAGCCGCTGTAGTCCGAGCTGTTGACTGGTAGGCTCGTCACGTTGGAGAGCACAGTGGTGGTGCGACGGTGTCTGCTTCGACCCCGTGGCACGCTTCTATCGTCGTTGTTTATGGTATGAGGTTTGCTGCGGTGACCAATTCCGGGAGTATCCGTACATGTCCTTGCGAGTAAGGCTGCGCTGGCTCCGGAGTCGGACTCGGATGAACAGTCGTCGAAAAAGTCGGTAGCAGATATTGATCTGCTGTGCATGGTGTCGATTTCTCTCACGTCCAGGTAGACAGATGAGCGTTTCTTGGAATCGACCTCGACAATCCTTGGACTCGATGCCAGTATAGGACTCAACCTTTCAAACGGGTGGTTGAGGAAGATGGTCCTCGTTGATGTAGTATTCGGCCCCGGACCAGAAAGAATAACAGGAACAGCAGGATTCACAGGGTGCTGTCTCAGTGGATCAAACCTCAGTCCAATCAGTGTTAAAGTCGACGGGGGCTGGCCAGTGTCCATCCTCATATCCCGATTTCTCACCACTATGGCCGGGCCGTCGGAGGGCAATACTAGCCACTTTCCGCCCGCGCGTTAGCAGGATATCCCGTCCATCTTTTTAGAGAGATCGACAGACGTACGCAAAGGATCTCTGAAACACATATATCATGGATACGAGCAGCATGTTGCTGGAACAAAGAGGAACTAAAGGCAGCTTGACGCCGTGTGGTCGCGAGATACATCGGAGGATTAAACTAGAGAGACAAAGAAAGCACGCGTCAGGGATTGCGGATTCGTATCCGGCATTTTGACAACTCCACACTCCGACATAACCCTGGGAGAGAACAGTAGTTGTTGGTTTGCTGCTGCTCGGGATGAAGAGGAACAGGGAGAGCAGCGGATGCATCTGCATTCTGCCGCCCCTCACCTTCATCCCTTGCTATGACTGACCACATGGCCGGCTTCGGAACCGCTCTGTTGGATCATCAAAGAACTGTCGGCATATGTTGGGGCGTGTGTAGAAATAGTATCTATTGGCGAGAAGACGGACGAAGGAGACGCCATCTAGGAAGCCCCTTACCTACTCTATACATAAGCGCTGGAGGCGTACAAACGTAGAACAACGCCATATGCTATGCCACCAACATCGTCAATCGCCATTTTGCTCGATCAACATAGAAATGAACTAGACATGGAGTATGAAAGAGATGAAAAAGCGTCCTCCGTGGGAAATCGCACGAAGAGCTTGGAAAAGTCTTTGATCGTCGTCGCACATGATTTCGCCTCCACCAAATGGTTTAGCGATGCTGATAGAGCCCTACTCGCCGTCGCGGTCGAACATCTTGGTCATAGCCTTCTGCGCAAGTTCTACGCCAGCGAATGTAGCTGCGTTGGCAGGCACTGCTCTTGCCATGGCAGGTCCAATGCCAGGGAAAAAGGCCTTGAGACCACCACTTGCGTGAATGCCTTTGATGGTTCCACTGATTGTCGGTCTGCCTTCGGCGCTCTGTAACCGTGACTTGATGGTGTCAACGGGGAAGACTGGTATCCACATGGCGACACCGGCAGCACCACCCGCCACCATGACCGCGCCCATGCTCAGCGATCCAGGCTGTCCCGTAACAGGGTCTTTGGGAGTCAGAGTGCGCTTGAAGTACTCGTACGTGGCAAAGTAGAGGGCTGATCCTGGGCCGTCACGCGCCAGTGTCATGGCAGAGCCACGGTATACGGACTTGATGCCGCCCTCCTTGTATAATTGCTTGACAACGTCCATACCCCCAGAGTACTTGGGCTTCTCGCCAGGTGCTAGATTCTTCTGTCCCTGGATCTGCAGGAGCACTTTTACGCGCTCGAAAGGTGCGGTGATGATGGTCATGGGGATGGCGCTGAAGAAACCGGCGGCGGAGACTTGTGCGACGCTGAACTGGTTGTTTTCGACTTTGGACACGCTGGAGACGAGCTGCTTGCCAAGATCGTAACCCCAAAAGGATACAGCAACTGGGATATGTCAGCAGACGTTCTAACCCGACTGCCTCATACACTGCTTCTCAAGGGCACTCACACATGGGCGTAACACCGACAAGCGGCGCAGAAACACCCGCATACAGTCCCCTGGCCAATCCCTCCTTTGCGATCGTTTTCCTCACAACGTCCATGGCGCCCGTGTATACACCCTTCTCTGCCGTCTGCATGCGCACCTTGACTAGATCGAACGGGTGGCCCACAACAACCGCAAACACACCACCCACGCCTCCAGCTAACAGCGCCCGTAGCGACTGCAGCGACGACTTAGAAGCGGCCTTGACATCTTCCTTGAGCTCTGCCGTGTTGGGCAGCTTCTCAATCACCGAGTCCGTCGTGTTTGACATGGTAGAAAGCTGTGGTGGGGGTCGCGTCCGTAGGTCCGGGGGTAGGATGAAGCGATTGTGCGCGCGCAGAACCTCGTACAACTATAACAGGGCCCGGTATGGATACCAAGAAGAGCTGTGCGAAGCAAGTGAGAACCTACGCGACTCTGCCCACAGTGATTGCGAAGAAAGAAAATGCAACAGCGAGATGGGAGACTGTGGCATGTGCAAGCTCCAGTGCTCCGGAGAGCTGGGCCTACGTCGGTATTCGGCTGGTTGGCTGGCTATTTCACTTGCCGAGGCTGATCGGCGCCGAAGAGCCGCGCACCTCGTTATCCTGCCATTGACTTCATAGCATCATGTGAGGGGCGGACGCGCCAAGAATGTGGAAGCGTAATGTTCGGTCGTCGGGAGAGTATGAGGCTTGGTGGGGTGGCCTTGACTGACAAAGAGGAAAGGACTTTACAGGAGTGACCTCACATGCAGAAAGCTTGTCCTACCGGTCCAACGGCGCACGACACAGTGCCTATTTACTAATCGACCCATGAGACTGATACATTGTTTGCACCACAGTATTCCACGCAACGTAATAATCTCTACGCTAACGTGCCATTACTCGCGAGCCTCACAGCCTCGTTGCCACCGCCAGTGCTAGAACCGACAAAGACCACAAGAACAGCAGCATATGTCGCTGTAGATACAAGCCCCTCAATATTAGTCACTCGTACCCCAAAGGTCAACAGAACAGCGAACAGAAACACAGATGCCGACACCGTTATAAGGCTTTTCGCCGTCGACGGTCGGATAGCCATGATCAACATCGGTCCAACAAGGAAGAGTCCACCGATCGCAGCAATGATGAAGCGACACAGTCGATCAACAGAACCGGAAACTTCCTTTGGTGGTTTGCCATCTCTATATTCCCTTCTGCGGGTTGATCGTTCGTTGCGTGAGTAGGTCATCCATACCGGTAGTCGCTCCATCAGTAAGCTTCGTAGGCTATCGATCTTGACATCCGTTACGTCGAAGTATGAGTAGTGCGATTTGAATACACCTATGTCTTTGACCTGAGATTGAAAGTAGCGCTGCAACACGAGTTCTCTTTTCACTGCGTCGTTCAAGGTTAGACTCTTTCTGTCTCGCAGGGAGTGGTAGTTTTGTATTGCGGTAGCTGACATCGGTTAGAAATGTACTATACGAAGCGATGCGGGTATGCTTGCCATATTGCTCCAAAGTCGCTCTCAGTTTCTCAAGATCATCATCGGAGATAGTTGACGCCTTTGACAACGCGTCCTTCGTGCGAATAAGCTTCATCTGCAACGCGACGAGGTTGGTCCTTTGCAGCTTCTCGAAGCGCAAGAAATGGAACTCTTCATCTTGATCGATTGATCTTTGGATGTAATCGAGCAAGTCCTTGTTTCGACACTCTGCTGGATCCGAAGTCGATGCTGTGGTTGTTGTCATCGGTAAAGCGGATGCTGTGCGTGGCACTGGCGCTGTATAGTGCACGCTTGCCAGTGGCGCCATGACTGAAGAATTAATGAACTTGTGCGATTGTTCCCTAAAAACTAGTCAGGCAAGGCTGAGGATCGCGAGCAGATATCTGCTCACGTGTGTAGTCAGCAGCCTCAGCTGAGCCTCAGCCTCAGCTGTAACCCGCTCACGTCGCATGAAGTTGCAAGCTGTCCGTTGCATGTACCAACACGAAGTCGTCCTCCTTGAATGCCTTGCTAGATATGGGCTCAAAACTCTCGAAAGTGCGAACACCTGCCGCAGATGCTGGTAATACTTCGATCTGGTCTCAATATGCTGCGTCGTTTGACAGTTTGGTGGAACAACGTGCGAGCCGGCCTACGAGCCGACCTGCAAGCCGACCTGCAAGCCAACGTGGGAGCCAAGAGAGTGCAGGATCTGTTGACGCTGTATTTCTTGTACTGTCCGATCTCATCATTCACCATAAAAAGGCCGCTTTGCGAGCGGTAAAGAAACGGATCATTATACGGGGAATGCGCGGCGGTATAAGATTTGAACGGGCTCGAGGCTTCAAGCAGTATCACAAAGAGCTAAAGATGTTGCTCGAGGCATCAGGAGTTGTCCAAGATTATTTTGGTTCCCTCTGGCGTTTATATGACAAACAGGCTGGTAAGCTTGACACAAGTTCGTCTCTTCGTCTTCAAGATCTTCCCTTGACACATCTCCAGACCTCCTTCGTGCTATGGTCATTCTGTACGACGACACCATGAACACCTTCGAACGAAATTTGCATGAACTGGAGAAGACCAATGATTCCAAGTACGAGGTTACGAACGAAACGATCATCCAGTTATGTACTGGAAGAGTAAAAGATTTGAAGGGCCGGCTGGAGGCGCTTGTACCTGTCATGGATGGAATCCACTCAACTATCACCCGTTACATACCTACCACTCCAGCCACAATAACGCTTGCTCCACCTGAGCAACTTGTGCCTGCCAAAACTGAGCAAAACGTTAACATCTCACTCAAGCGCAGAGCAGATTCCCTACACGAGCGAACGGGCAGTACTCTGGTCGAGCGGAATGCTAAAGTTCTATCCAAGAGGAGTATGAGTGCTCCACCTGAGCGAAGAACGAATGCTTTGGATGAGCAGAGTGCCAGTGGCCCATCTGAACATCAGTTGCACAGAGGGACTCCAATGTGCACCTGAAACGATGTCAGTGGAGCCACTCGCAGGAGGGAATAGAAGCTTGAGTGCGCTCTTGTGACTAATGACGATTAGTCGCTCACAACTTTCGAAATGCAAGCCATATGCAGATTGAGCTCGTTAGATATAGGGAGCAGAGATGAGAAACCTATAGAAGAGCCAAATGAGCTTTTTCGCCAATCGTCCACGTGTCTAGGTTAGCCGTATCTCGTCGTGTTGAGAGCACTTTGTTATAGTTCGACCTTGATAATACAGTGCAATGGATGTTGCGAACCTGGCGTCAAGAGAAGACGTTGGCCCGTCATCTTCGGAGCACCATATGCGATACCAAAAGCCTATGGCGCGAGTCTACCTCGAAGAGATGTAGTGCGAGATAAGCCATGTGCAGAGTGAGCGGGGAGAACGGCTGTGTATGGATGAACCGGTGATCGGAGATGGTGCGGCCCCACTTTTACTAGCCAGGGACCATAAGCGTATGCAACGCGACATGTCACTTTCTCGAGTTGTCACCCAGGTTTGTGGTATAAGAGGAATCACGGCACCACCAATGCTCGAATCTAACCCTGGATATGCGCTCTTCACGGACCTTAGGAAGAAGATGGGCATGACCTCCTCGCAGCCTGTTCCAAGTCCCAGTCGCGTCGCAAACACCTCGATGGTAGCTTCCCCCGCCACCAAGCGCAAGGCCCACTTTAGTAAGTACACGAGCCTGACGCGCTTTTGATGCTACTGTTTGGCTCCACCAAAGCACGTTTTCCTGTGCGAGGACACGGCTAACGCATTGGAGTTGTAGGCCCTAACATGGATGATGTAGCCGCGTCGCAGCAGCTCATGGACGAGGAAGACACGCGCGCCGCCGCCGATGGCATCAATCGCGAAAACATGACCCTCTCTCAAGTCAACGGCCGCCACGACCCCTCGTCGCCCAGACAAAAGAAGCGCAAGCGGAAAGGCGCGCACAAGTCTGGTCAGAATAGTACTGCGCTATCTCCGGCTGCGACTCAGGACTTGCTAGCTCAGAGAGACGACTCTCCGTTTCCCTTCCCAGCCTCTCAACCCGAACCAGAACTTTCCACGACCAACGGCCTCATGCGTTCGACTGCCATCCAAGTGCCAGACTCGCAAGTTGCTGCACAGTCTCTGCACACGTCCGCCGCGTCGCCCACTGCCAACCATGTCATTCCATCCAGCAACATCGTCCCTTCCAGCGCCACGAAAAGCAAGCGCACATACAAGACAAGCAAGCGCACAAGACGGGATCGACTCAGCCGCGACAACATGCAGGAAGACGACTTTGACCACGATAGGGATATAAGCATGCTCCTGGAAAAGGCACTATCTCCTTCGCGCGCGCCGTCTAAACACAGGCCTTCACAAGGCGACGATGCAAAATCGGGATCGCACATGGAGTTGAAGGATACACCAGATTTGGAAGGCGGACATTCGCGCAAAGCTGCGTCGGAACTTGTAAACGGAACACCCACACCCAAGCGGCGGAAGATTGGTAGCGCCAAGAGCGCGACTAGAGTAAGGGATCTCATCCAAGATGGTCCTCACGACGGCAACGATGAAGACGGCGACTTATTACGGAGCACCGAAAAGACCAAACTGAAACGAATAAAAAAGCCGCGAACCCCGATCGCGAAGTCGAAGAACATCTACGAGATTCCCGACGATGATCCACGTCCCGCGAATGGTCACGGCGAGAACGGTGACGTCCAGGACAAAGAGGCTATGGATACTGGAGTTACGGATGCCACCAACAGCCCTGCACAGCCTAGAGGTGTTGGACAACTTAATACTCCCAAGGTGGCTTCTACCCGTAAGCCGCGTAGCAGTTTGAAGAAAGCAAGCAAGACCAACGACGAGGCTCATAACTCAGCTACTGCTGTACGGACACCCGGGCAGCCGTTGGGCGACGACGATGACGAGGACACTATCATGCGGGAGCCTGTTTCTAGCGACGAAGACGATTACCGCGACCTTCCACCCGACGACAGCAGTCGCGACGAGTCTGAGAAGAAGGAGCAAAAGAAGAAGAGAAAATCAACCACGAAGAAAGCCACGCCGCGGCGGGAGAGTGGCAAGTTCAGTTACAAGAGAAAAAATGTTCAAACGGGTACCGCAGCGGAGAGGGCTCTAGCAGGCGTGGATCATACCGTGAACTATCCCCCAGATCTCCGGACGACCGGCGATTTCACTGCAGATGAAGAAGAGCTGATCCGAAGAGCTGTCCGGGATTATCAAGATAGGAAGGAATTGGAGATACCCCAGCTTGTAAGGATCATCCAATGGAGTAAACAAGACCCCGCCCTCAATCGTACCAATGGTGAAGTATCAGGAAAGAATGACTGGACGCCCCAAGATTTGGATAATGCGCGGGAGAGCGCCGAGTTCTGGAATGACATCAAAAACATTACCACGAGACGTTCCTTTGACAGAATGAGAAGACACATCCGGCAAACATACCACATGTTTAAGAGTGGAGCATGGACGGATGAGGAGGACCAGCTACTCAGAGATCTGTATTCGCAACACCCAAACAAGTGGAAAGTGATCGAAGTAGGTATGGGCGATCGATCAATGCACGACTGCCAAAACCGATGGCGCGATTACCTGCAATACGGCGACAAGCTGAAATCCTCACGCTGGGAGCCAGAAGAAGAAGAGCTCTTCATCCACGCCATCACGACAGTTGCCCAGAGAGATGAAGACTACCGTGCCGAACAAGGACTGCCGCCCGTGGATGAATATACGATCAAACACATCAATTGGCAACAAGTCAGTCGTGAGATGGACAACACTCGAAGCCGGATACAGGTCGTGGCGAAATGGAAGAACCTGCAGAAACGCGACCCTCCACCACACATTCGGGTGGAGCACAAGCCGAGAAAGAACAAGTCCGCTCTTTCTGGACTTACTGCTTCCGACCCGACGCCTAGGAAACGTGGTCGACCGCTGCAGGGCGGAGGTCAGACACCTAAAGGACGACATGTTGACAAGTCGCAGGAGGTCATCGATAACTCGGACGATGGTGAAGTCCATGACGCACCTCCATCGGAGGAACGTGGTCGCCCTTCTCTGGGCGAGAGCTCGGTCGTCAAGAAGTCGATGAACTTCCGTACGACTGAGCCAGATGATATCGTTGATGATTCGGACGAAGATGAACAAGCAAACAGGCAAACAAATGGCTCGCCGACGAAGAAGAAACGTCGAAAGTCCGGGAAGAGTCAGGGTATGGAGGGTGAGAAGCCCAAAAAGTCGAAGAAGAGTAAGATGAGGGATGAAATCGAGGATCCTGATGACGAGGAGGTTAATGGCGATCAAAACGTGACACGTTCGTCGCCGCCGTCCAAGAAACGTGGACGACCACGGAAGAATGGCAATACGGAATCGGAGGAGCCGAAGAGACGGCGGAAATCAAAGGCGGCACCGGAATCGGTTGAGGATCTGGAGCTCCGAGAGGAAGACCAGTCCGAGCAAGCAGGGAGCAATGGCAACGATGTGGAGGAAGATGCAACATCCGCAACTAGCATCAGGCCCAACAATGTTCCAAATCAACGACTGGACGATGGCCACGAAGAACCACGGGATATTGACGAAGACGAGGATCCGATTGAGGACGAAGACGATCAGCCCCGTGCTGCGCCCGACAGTCCAGCAAAAGATGTGGACGCTGAGCAGTCAGAAGCGGACAGTGGTGATGCTGTGTCGCAGAAAGATGACGAGGAGGTTGATGAGGGAGAGAAACAACTCGATGTCACGCACAACGGCCCTGCAGAAAACTTGGACGACGACCAGTTAGAAGCAGACAGTGATGCTACATCCCAAAAGGAGAATGAGGAGCGTTCCGGCGAAGAGGTGGATGAAGCGAGCATCCCGCCCCATAGCCCAGCAGCGGACGTGAACGACAATCAGTCCGACGCGAACGGCGATGCCACGCCGCCCCAGAAGCAGGACGAGACCTCGCCTCTCGATGAGGAAAAGTCTCAATCCAGCCCTCCTCCAAAGACTGAAGAAAAGTTATCCATCAACCCCGGTTCCTCAAAACCCACCGTGTCCGACTCGTCCAAAATGCAATGGGGCGACCTCTACGACCTCATTGCCAGACTGCAAGAACGTCGCGATGAGGAAGAAGGCGATATCGACTGGGAAGGTGTTGCTGAAGAAATGTCAACCGAGGACCGCAATTACATCTGGTCGGAAGAGACGCTGAGGACGGCGTTTGAGGACATGGTTCAGTTGATTAAGGATAATGGGAAGGAGGTTGACACGGAGGATCTGCCGGGGACGGTGGATGATATTATGGATTTTGTTAGTGGGGAACATGGGGATGAGATTGAGGAGTATTATTCGTTGGAGTAGGGTCAGGGTTGGCCTGCCCTCTCAAGCTCCACCCTCCCTGCCACCCTCGACAATAAGGTCTCTACAACGAAGGAGAGTGTTTCTAGGGGGGACAAGGGGAAGTTCTTTTCGTCCTTTTTCTTTTCTCTACTAGTGGAATAAAAGGCTATTAAGTTAAGTTGTTGTAGACTTGGAAATGATTGGTTTCGCATTTTCTGGTGTATAATAGTGGTAGAAATACATGGTTATGCATGAGGCGTAGTTTGACGGGTGCGTGACATGGTACGCTTTTGGTACAAGGGTGAAGACTTGGGCATGAATTTTATAGAAAAGCTGTCAGCCACCAACGTTAGATATCTGTGTTCCGATGTGAAGTATGCATAGATTTTCCTAGTTTGTGAAGTACCGAGATGGTACAACGTACTTGTTCATATCTATTGTAGTGTGCTTGCAGTGCTTTACAAGGTACAATAAACCCGTGAGCACTTTTCGCTGCTTTTGCTTACCCCTGCCATGTGAATAACTCACAAGTAGCCCGTGTGAGGGACGATTGAAGTTGGTGTAGATGGCGAGATATTGAACATGCAAAGGTCTGTGGTGTTTTGCAAGTATTGTAATCTACAAAGGAGCATTTAGATAGATATCATTGAGATTGTCCA